GGTAGATATTGCAGGCGCCTTCGACAAGGTCTCACGCATCGGAGTCACCTACGAGCTGCAGACACTCGGCATCCGTGGCAGAGCCCTCACCTGGCTGTCAGATTATTTGTCCCTCAGGAAGCTACAGTCAGGCTGTTGTGAATGGCCAGAGTTTGTCCCCCTACCCTATAGAATCGGGAGTACCCCAGGGGAGCATACTGGGGCCAACTCTGTTCCTCATCTATTGTAAACGATGCGGAGCAGTGCCTAGCTCCTGGATGTTCACTGGCCACCTTCGCCGATGATACAACGGTCTACACCTGTATTGGATCACCAGAACTGCTCCCAAACAGTAAGAAAAGCTTACAAGCCACCCTGGATGCGCTCCATGACTGGGGCAAGAAGTGGCGGATCAGGTTTGAGCCCACAAAGTCACAGCTCATGACGATAGCCCATCAGCGGCACAGGTGGCCTATCATAGACCTCACGCAGTTTGCGGATGACATCGCCGTGACATGTGCAAGACGGACAGCGCAAGAGGTGTCTGATGCGCTCAGCTTGGCGGTTACCTCCCTCTCACGTTGGCTGGACGCTAGTGGTCTTGTATTAATGCAAAGAAGAGCAATGTATTGGCTTTTACCAGCAGCAGTGGGCAGCAGCCGGACGTGGTGGTACGCTGTCGAAATGATGTCCTTCCGCACACCACCAGCGCGAAATACCTCGGCGTCTTGATCGATGAACGAATGGCATGGCAACCGCAAGTTGACCGGTGCATCTCACGCACTGCTAGGAATATCGTTAGTTTGTGGCGGGCGCGACGCTGCCTCACTCTAGCTAGTCGAAGCAAGTACTTCCTATCCGTCATCATGCCGGATTTGATATATGGATCGTTAGCATATGGCTCCGGCTTGACCCACAACCAGCTAAACCGCTTGCAGGTGGCCCAAAACCGCGCAGCAAGGGCGGTGTTCGGACGACCACGATTTACCAGGGCCAGTGACCTCTTGGAGAGGCTCTCTGTTTATCGCGTGGACGAGGTATATCGCCAAAAACTGCTCGTGCTGGTATGGCGGTGCGTTCATAACCGTGCCAGTCCTGCTCTGCAGGCACTGTTTGTTCGCAACTGCGGAGCAACTCGCCTTCAGCGCAGTCTGGGCCTACAACAACTGTAGTATTATTATAATCACTACATAATAATATTGCTTGTAGACAATGTAGTATCCTGCATGTACGTAAACGAAACTATGATGCATGGACAGTCTTTTTAGCACTCTGAGTCATACCAAGAGTACATAACTTATGTACTCTTGGTCATACATGTACAGTCATGCACATTGTACATTCGGTTGACAGCTCTTATCACCCACACACTAACACGTTCACACTTAGTGACTTACTGCACTTACGTTACATACACTCCACACTAGCTCGTACTTTGTACATTACAATTCTCCCGTTTTACTCACATTACACCAATACTAGCTAGTTCTTCCATTGGTCAAGTGTCTTCCTAGTATATTCCTCAACACCCGTTACTTCTCAGAACTCTTATCGCTGGCTATGAAACCTTTTCCTTGCTCTATAATTGTGCCAGTTCCGTTGCATTTTAGTTCGTTGTTGTTCCGTTGCAGTTCTTTTCAGTTATTGCAATTTGTCGTATTCTTTATTCTTTTCTTCTTAAACTCCTCTCCAGGCCGTGCCGGAGTAAGATCTATAATCCGTGTTCGTTGAGTGTGCATGTGGGTAGTACCTCCGGTAGATAGCCTTAGACCAGGCCGTACATGCTACACAACCAATAGCCAGAAGCCGAGCAGGCCAATGCCGACCGGCATCTCGCGGTTGCCTGTTCTGGAACCATATACCTGACACGGTGCGAGCCATGGGCAACATCCCAGCATTCCGCCGAGCTGCCATTCCCTACACGTTGTAGACTGCTACACAGTTGGCCATACCATGGTATTCAGTACCCACGGACTTTGCACAGCCGATACTAAAGCGAAATCTTCTGTTTTTTTCCTGTTCTCTTTCTGTTGTACCCGATCTCCCTCTGATGTACCGCTGACTCTACGCTGAAGATCTAAGTATTTTAATTCTCATTCTCATTATAATTTTCATATTCGCTTTCTTGTTATTGGGTTTTATGCCCGTTTGAATTTGCGAATCAAAATAAATACAAACAAACAAACAACAACGTTTGGCGATCACACTGTGTCTGAGCTATCGGAGGTAAAACTCCTCGGCATCACATTTGACTCGGGCCTCTCGTTCAAGACCCACCTCACAACACAGCACTCAAGGCGAATTCTCGCTGGGCTTCCTGTGCAAAGCCGCTCGCGTACTCGATGGTGCTGGTAAACGAACCGTCTACAGAGGTTTTGTGAGGCCAGTCCCTCAGCTACATGTATAATAAACTGATGTGTCTGGCAGGGCCACCGCAACTAACGACGCTGGTCCCCCCACAGCTTCCTCCACCAACATGTCCTCCCGGCTTCCTCCCCTGATTACGTGCGACGCTGCTTCCCCATCAGCATCATTGACGAGTGGAACAACTTGCCCCCAACTGTGCTGCAGTCTCCGCCACGCCTGACGTCCCTCCAGTCGTTCAAGGGCAAAGTACATCAGCACCTACGACAAAGCCGCTGGTATTGGGCTACCGACTCGCTGTAACACCCCATATATCCACAATCAGCTCCCTCCCCCTCACTTATCTATCATTTTACATGTGTTTCGTAATCCCGTCCATGGTGCGCTGGATAGCTCTAACGCCGAGACCCTAGGTCGGCGTTGCTAGTCCCGCCTCACCGGCACAGGCTAGCTGAGTTGCTAGTCTCGCCTCACCGGCACAGGCTAGCTGAGTTGCTAGTCCCGCCTCACCGGCACAGGCTAGCTGAGTTGCTAGTCCCGCCTCACCGGCACAGGCTAGCTGAGTTGCTAGTCCCGCCTCACCGGCACAGGCTAGCTGAGTTGCTAGTCCCGCCTGACCGGCACAGGCTCCACAAATGACCAGAGAAACCCGCCTTCAGCAGCAGGACGGACTCAGTCTTCCAGTTGCAAGAACAAACGCTGGCAAGTCGAGGTACGCCTTCAACGCTACAGGTAAATGGAACAGATTACCTGGAGACGTCCGCTCCAGCACAACTCTGGAGACATTCAAAGCTGCAGCAGTACCCTACGCAATTGCTCGTGGACTACATGGAACAGTAGCAAATGCCATGTTTGACAATGGATCCGATTTCCAGCTGACTATCATTTCCAGTGCATACACACTTTTTTCTTTCCTTCTTTTTTTCTCTCTCTGTTTCTTTTTTTTCTTCCCTCTTAAGATCTTCGCTACCTTGTCATTGGGAAGAAATTCCCGTTTGGATTTTGCGAAGTAAAACAAAGTTAAAAAAAAAAAAAAAAGGCTAGCTGAGTTGCTAGTCCCGCCTCACCGGCACAGGCTAGCTGAGTTGCTAGTCCCGCCTCACCGGCACAGGCTAGCTGAGTTGCTAGTCCCGCCTCACCGGCACAGGCTAGCTGAGTTGCTAGTCCCGCCTGACCGGCACAGGCTAGCTGAGTTGCTAGTCCCGCCTCACCGGCACAGGCTAGCTGAGTTGCTAGTCCCGCCTCACCGGCACAGGCTAGCTGAGTTGCTAGTCCCGCCTCACCGGCACAGCCGGGCTAGCTGAGTTGAGAGCCCCTACTAGTACATGTAGTACATTGTCTGTCGTTCTCCCAAGTTTGTTGTCTCGATCATTATTTTCTTTTGTCTTCTTCTTCTCCTCTCTTTGTTATGGTCTATCAGCAGTAGGAGGTGCATTCTTTAAAAAAATGCACCCTGCCGAAACCATGAAAACTGACCACGTGGGTCTCCCCTAGGCCCTGGAGAGGGGAGAAAAGGGATCTACAAAATCTAGGAATCTAGGAAAGATGGCTACATGTACATGACTGTATTGACCCCCCCCCTGAACTCCCAAACGCCGGGTGGACTTGGAAATGATCCGCTTATGAAGTGTTAGTTATGCCTTATGCGTCTATATGGGCTCACCACACTTCAGCACAGTGAGTGCGTTCGATTATGCACACGAATCGATTCACGAATCGATTCATGAATCGATTCACGTTATTCACATCACCCCATGTGAATAGGGGGAATGGATTCCGAATCGATTCCAGGGCTCAAGACATGAAATCGAACGACTCGAATGCATGCGAATGGATTCATGAATCGATTCAGTGCATCCAGTAAGTGGGTGAGGACAAGGTGCAGAAAAGGATTGACAGCATTGGGGTGCTAAGTCGCTCACATGTCATGGCATTGTGACATTGTATAGAAGAAGGCGTTACTGCCTGTTTGTGCTGCGACTTTGAATAAAATTCAACAACCACCACCGACCAGCGCACCGTGTGTTTGTAAATTGTAGCCACGGACAGTACCCCGTATCAGGCATCATGTCAGTGCTCCACTTCGTCTTCAGCCTTCGAAGCTTCACTGTCTTACTTTTTAGCGTGCGCGTGTACTGTCAGTGTAGCCTGTAGCTAGCTGTCGACTGACACTGTCTGTACTGTGACGATTCTGACGAAGGTGACAGTCTAGTCTATCCGTCAGTCGATCGTCATCACTGTTTTTAGTAGCAGTGTGTTACAAAATACAATGATGACCGGTACTATTATGGCAGTTCCTAGACTGCAAGAGAATAAAAATAAGTCATCAACTGTTACCTATGCAGGCTATGCTGCAGGACTTAGTACAGCCATACACGAGGTGCGACTAGTAGTAGTACTGTAGTGTAGTAGTAGGCAAGATCCCACGAACTAAACAAACGATACAGTCATGTATGACGATCTGTAGATCACTGATACTGATACTGTGATAGTGATTACTGTAGTGATTAGATACTGTAGAGTGTAGTAGTCACTACCTACCAGCACTGCACAGGCATAGCAGGTAGCGACAAAATCAGGTGCGCAAGCGATGCATGTGTTTCGTTGCCGCGCTTGGTCCGTAGTTGTTGCGCTACCCGCTATCTACGTTGGCACGGCTGCGTGCATGCAACTACTCTTGTTGGCCAACGCAGCATAGTCCAGGCTTGCATGCATGCAGTCTTGCAGCAGAACTTCCCGAAGAAGTGTTGCGTCGGAAACGCTTGCGTAGCACACGCAGGATTTTTGTATGTGTCGGCCTGTTGGGCGACTTTCCTTGCAACTGCAAGTGCAAGCTCTGCGAATTCAATACTGCGATGCACCAATGCTGCTGTTTTGAACGTGAAGAAGCTGCATTTTGTCCGGTGACGAAGCAAAGAAAGTTCTTTATCGTATTGACACGTCGTGTGCCCACGAAACTCAGATATTCGACATTGGCATGAGGAAAGTGTTGTGAGAACTGTTTGGAATGCCTGATTCTGGCAAGCTTTGAAGCTTCTCTTGAGTCGTAGCTATGGCCCAGTCCACGAGGAAGATGTTACGGGTGGGATGCTGGATGAGCGATAAGAAGATCCGAAAACTCAACTTCACGACGTACTGCGAGAAGCTTAGGAGGTGGGATCGTAGACTCGTGTTCCATTCTTTGGTGATATTGAGTCTGATCGTTGCTGATCTGTATGTTTCGCCTTGTTTTTCCTTTCTTCTATTTTTGTGTTTACCTTTTCATTCTCTTGTTCAAATCCAGGGATCATGGCATAGAAATGATTCTTGTAAGTTTCTTCCTGATCGACGAAAATATGATGTGATAATTTTGGTCAGGAGAAGTGCAGGCGTGTTTATTGCTGCTACGGTGTACTTCCCAGAAGTTGAGCATGAGAGTGGTGAATTGAAAGTTTACCAATGATGCAAACTGCTGATGAGTGGTTTCGTTCATGCCCATGTGTATGTGTGCGTGTGTGTGTGTGTATGTGTATTCGATGGCGTGGAATTTTTTTAGCTTTCCCTGGACAAGCCGCTTGATGAGCAAGGCCCGTTTGATTTAGTTATGCACAAGCTTACAGACGTGATGGCTGCAGCTGATGCAGGCGACAAGCGATCAGAGGCTGCCGTCGAACGTGCCGAGGTGAGATGCGTGGTAATTTTGTTGTACGCGTTGAGCACTGTTGACTTTAATATTCCAAAGGTGCTCTCGCCCATGGCAAGACCAAGTTTCCTTATTTACTGGATCGTACTTGGTACCTAAATATCGCCATAAAAATTGGGAGAGGGTATAATTTTCACGAAATTGTTTTCAATTACATCAGTAGCTATCACCCTGTAATGTAATAGTACGAAGATACCAGACTACTAGTAGGTCAATACAACATAACTACGGTATGTTCACATCCATGTGTACTGGCAAGTGGTAACTAGCAGGAGCAAGAGGTTTTTCTTGCGTCACGTATATGTGATGCGTTGCGTAATAGTACTGTACACGACCTGGAGCAGCGTAATCAAGTAAGCTAACATAATAATGCAGCATGCATGTACAGTATGTTGCTCATGGCCGCACACAGCAAGTAGTACACTGGGCACAAGTGCAGTGTACCAGCATTACCCACATGATCGAGTCATTACTGTAAGCCGCCTGGTGTTCACTAATTTTGCGAGAAGAGCATGACACGAATATTAACTATCGTGAAATCAAAGTAGAGGAACTTGTTGGCAGAGGAAGAAAGGGAAACTGTGGATAGCTTCCCCTTGCATGGGGTTGTTCTCGTTGAGGGTGTCACTGCAGGTGCTGGTAATCCTGCTTGGTTTGGACGCATGGTTGGGAGGGGCGTGGGTGGTGCTGCCTGTGCTTGCATGTATGTGTGTGTGTGTGTGTGTGTAGGGGGGGGGGGGGGGGGGGGGTGTATGCTTGTAGCTGTGCTGCCAGTTGTATCATAATTGTGGCATTATTGACATTGTATCATCATAATTGTTGTCACTGATTCATCCCTTAGATTTGTCTGTTGCTTTCTCAGTATATTTTGGCTGTTCGATCATGGTATGCTTATGGATAGTGCAGTTTTCTCCCAGACTGCCCTTGTATTTGTGCTTGTGGAATTCTCCACAGGCCTTGGTCTAAATGGAGGGAGTCTCCGTCCTTCGTGGTGTTTCTACTTAGTATTACAGATCAGCTGTTATGCAGTCTGTGATGTATTGTAGTCATTCTGTGTGTCTGTGTGTGTGTGTGTGTTTGTGACACGGGCATTTGCTGCTGCACACATGCGGTTGCTTTGTTCATGTTTGTGCAGGCGTACTTCCACTCGCAGCCTGATCTCCGTCTGCTGGATCCACTATCATCTGTTCGCAATCTGACTGACAGGGACACATGTTACTCACTAATGAAAGCATGCACTAAAACAGTAGGAGGTAAGGCAGCTATTCGTATTACCCTGGCAATGTTCAGTTTCATCATAGCTTATTATAATATAATATAATAAACAACATGCAATTGTCGGAGGAGTCAACTTGACGCTTTTTTTCAATTTGCTGATCAGATTTGACAACAGTGCGAGAGAGACCATCGCATGATCTCTTCGCATCTGTAGTAAGAAGTGTGATTTTGTGTTCTCTGTGTATGTAGGTATACACGATGTGCTTGTTGTTCAGACTAGCCGCATGCTTGCATTGACTGTATGTCTTTTGTTCTAGAGTGCATCATGCTCATGGGGTTTGATTATTTGTTGGTGAACTTGTTTTGTTGTGCTTGCGGCTGCCGTCAGGTGTGGAAATTGCGTCTCCCAATTTTGCCACAATTCATAGTGACACCATCGACAAGGCAGAAGCATTGCGTGCCTGCAATGTTTCCTTTCCGATCGGTAAGGTGTACTTCAGTCATTCTGGCTAGTGTCAAGCGTAGCCACAATTAAATCACTGCAGAAGTAGTTTATCCTTTGTGATTGCCTGTAGTAGAGGCTTCTGGGAGGATTGTACTAGACTGCACTGGACTGTACTAGCAGTGGTTAGTTGTGGGCATGTGTCTGAATGTTTGTCATGCTGCTTTGTGCGTGCTTTATGTGTCTTCTTGCTGGATATGCAGTATGTAAGCCAATCGTAGCTCATGGATCAGATCTTGCCCACAAGGTACGATGACTGTGTGTAACAAGTTACGCGCGCGTGTGTGTGTGTGTGTGCGTGCTCGCTTGCGTGCATGCTTGTTTCGAGTTGTTTGTGTATGCATGTGTTAGTGTAGCGTGATGGCTGTATAGTTGAGTTATGAATATAGTCTCTTGAGCCATGGCTAAGTTTGTTCATTGCTACTTCTACCTTTGAAGTTTGTGTCTTTGTTTGTTCATCTAATTTTGCGATCACGGTGGAATATGCCAATAATGTGTGATGTTGGCGATTATAATCAGCCATATAGTTTACATGTCCATTGTGCTAGCATTGGATTTGGTGCTGACTATGTTTGTGTGTGTGTTTCTGTGTGTGTGTGTGTGTGTGTTTGCGTGTGTGTTTGTGTGCGTGTGTGTGGTGTGTTTATGTGTGTTTATGTGTGTGTTTGTTTGTGGTGTGTATGTGTATGTGTTTGCGTGTGTGTTTCTGTGTGTGTGTGTGTGTGTGTGTGTGTGTGTGTGTGTGTGTGTGTGTGTGTGTGTGTGTGTATCCTTTGCCTGTGTGATACTTGCTGCTTTGTAGATGTCGATTATCTTCAATGAAGAACATCTATGCGATATGCAGACGCCCTGCGTAGCACAGCAATTTGTCAATCATAGTGCTGTATTGCATAAGGTACGCACGCAACAGAATTCTTGTACAAGTACCGTCTACTGATGCATTTAATCGCGGATATAACTGTAGAGCACTTCTTGTACTCGTGGTATCCAATTAGTCCTATGGAAGGTACAGACGTGAACAATGACGATACTCCTGTTTCGCAATGCAGGTCTGCCTTGTAGCAAAGTGCATTGTCGCCCCAAGGCAATGCCACTAAGGGTAAAGGTGTGCTGGTAACCACTCTTACTTGTACCATTTGCAATGCACAAGCTCTTTTCGTGCTTCTAATTGCCTGATGGCTCGCGTGCACTCGCACACACACACGCACACACGCTGACCATTGAGTTTGTAATGATAGCGGCTGTCTGAATGTTCAAAGCGAGAACACAAGCACAGGATTTAGCATGCCGTTTCAGGTCTCCTGATCGATAGCCATGGCCGTGGAGTGCTGCTGTCCAGCAGCTCGCCGAACAAATCAATTGCTTCAGTGCGTGCGGGTTGTCCATCCTGCCGACATGACCTAGCCAACGGAGACGGTGGCGACAGATGATGCTGGTTGCATCAGGATCAACACCGAGTGTGGCCGTTGTAATGCCGTCTTCCGACTATTGGCAACGGCCAACACCCACGATGAACCGAACACACGCACTGTTTGGAACGTGCTGAGTTTCTGGAGTTTATATACCTTGGTGGTCTCTGTCTCCGCACCATACAAGCGCATCATGAAAATGGCAGCCTCATACACAGTGCCTCTTGCTGTGATCAGCGGACTTACCAACAGCCATATGACCTTGGTTTTCTCGACACTGACCGTTAGACGCCAGCTGCTTGTACAGGTGATGAAGCTGCATATCATCACTTCGAATGCAGGCCGAGATGTTGCAGACAGTGCAGCGTTGTCAGCAAACTGTGACTCCGTGATCTTCAATGACAGGAGCCTGCCCTCTGCCGTCCGATCTCCCACTAGCTTCCTCTCGACTTTGTAGAAAAAGGATATTCTCGCTTCCAGACAGCTGGACCTCCAACTTGCAACGACGGGAGAGAAATACAAGTTAAACAGCATTGGAGCAAGAGTGCAACCCTGATGCATGCTGTTCATCACAGATATCGGTTCAGTCCGCTTGCCATCCACGCGAACAGAAGCAGTCATGCCGTTGTGGAGGGACTGGATGATACAGAGCATTGTTGGCGGAACACCGATCTTCTCTGGGACCCGCTGCACGCAGGAGGCTGTCATAAGCCTTTCTCGGGTCTACCAAAAGGACATACTTCAAGCATGCATCTGAATCTTGCCCCACAGTCTTCTTCTCCATCAATTGACGTGCAATGTAGACCATGTTGACACAGCCATGGCCCTTCCTGAACGGCTGAAGCCGCATTGCGAGTCTGGCAAGACATCCTCGGCGATAGCTTTCAAGCGGTCCTGCAGAATACGGGCAAGCAGCTTGCCGACAATGTCCAAAAGATTGATGCCGGGCCACGCACACACGCGCGCACACACACGCACACACTATACATCCTTTGCTATGCTGCTTTGCATGCAGGTCACGTTAGTCATATCCGCCTATTGTATGAATGTTTGCTTGGCGTCAGTAAATGAGAACTTCGTGGAAACATTCGCAACGACACGCGAGTGCGAAATCGAATAACACGCGAAACAAACTCTCACAGGAAGTTTTTTTGAATCTTGGAGCAAATATCGTGCAGAATATGAGCCTTCACATCAACTTTCACCTACCCAGCCACGAAAATCCATGTGAAATTCCACTCTGCTAAACCTCTCTATTCATGCATAGTGAGGGGAGTTTGGTGGTAGAAATCCCTTCTTGATTGGTGTCAACTAGTAGTGTAAACAGAAAACAGTTTTTTTTGTGCAGTGTCCACTTCTAGGAGATCACGAATCAACTAGGTCTGCATGGGTTTTTTATAATGGTGTCCCCTGTGTCTTGTTTGGTGCAGGTCTTTGTAATTGGCGAGTCTCATTATATTGTTCAGCGTCCATCGATTAAAAATCTAATTGCTGGAGGTTAGTATCCACTTTGCGGTGTTCTAACAAGACTCTCACTCGCCTGCTGCTGCTCTCTCTCTCTCTCTCTCTCTCTCTCTCTCTCTCTCTCTCTCTCTCTCTCTCTCTCTCTCTCTCTCTCTCTCTTTCTCTCTCTCTCTCTCTCACTCACTCTCTCTCTCTCACTCTCTCTCTCACTCTCTCTCTTTCTCTCTCTCTCTCTCTCTCTCTCTCTCTTTCTCTCTCTCTCACTCTCTCTCACTCTCTCTCTCTCTCTCTCTCTCTCTCTCTCTCTTTCTCTCTCTCTCTGTCATTACGTGCCTGTATGTTGATCTGAACATTCTATCACATTGTCACCTGTGCTGAATACCTGTCAATTAACCTGTTGCCATTGCGCCCTTTTCTGTGCATAGCACTTCTGGTTGCAATTTTACTTATATCCCCTCCAGGTTTGATTTATCCTGTACGAGACCTGTTGTGTGTATCCATGTATGTGTGTGCACGCGCACGCGCGTGTGTGTGTGTGTGTGTGACTTGTTCGTATCCATTTACAGATCATGACACAATATTCTTCGACAGTCATGATGTGTCCAAAGCAACATCTGATTCCTATCTCAACCAGGTCAGTTTGCAACGCATCGTTGCTATGTGTGTTGTCAATTAGTTTATCACAAATCAATCTTGCCATAGAACATGCAGCTACCGTGTGCACATTCTCAATTTCTTGTTGTCTTTGCTGCCTGGCAGAGAGCTTGTGAATAAGTTTTCTCCAATAAGCAAGCTGGGTGCTCCACTGCTCAAAGCCTGTGATCTTTTGTCGGATTTGGATCCGGGCCTCAGATCCACTAGATCCGGACTCAATCGAGCCCGTTTGTTCACGCTGGTACAATCTGTATCGGCTATAGAGTGACCGGATATAAGAATATATCGGCTACAGTGATATTGGTACGAAATATCAAAAGCAAAACCAGGGCCTGCTCTAGACATTCAACACCGCCCGGTCAGAGTGTACCTGGCGCATGCAGGCCAGCCGGGTCAAGCCGGGTCAGATCATCCGGCAGAAAAACAACCAAAAAGCCTGCTCAAAACGCAGGAAAACAGAAAGGCGAATTTATTACCGGAAATCGTTTAGAGAACAAGGCGAACTATCAAAGTCTGCAAATGTAGAAGGTAAGGGGTCGTCCGCAATTATCGAAAGTTTTTTCCAATCCGTAGTAGCTTCGAAAGTGGGTGGGTGGGTCAAGGCCAGTTACGGATTGAAAAATTTGAAGCTACTACGGATTGGAAAAAACTTTCGATAATTGCGGACGACCCCTAAACGACATTACGTGAAGAATGCAATGCAGTTCCATTGGATTCTGATTTAACAATTTGAAAAAAAGGAATTCTGTTTTCTAATTAGTGCTAGTAGTAGGACGAACATGTTCACATAATAGAGCACCCAGGAGCCGAGCAGCATGCCGATAATTCGAAGCAGTGAGTTCTTACCTTTCAACCACGCATCGCGACCAAATCCACCGCCGCTTGTGTGCACCGCCGCTCGTGTTCCCGGAACACGAGCGGCGGTGGATTTCCAAAGTTTGGAAATGCCTCTTGCACAAAGCACATGACATGGATAGACTGGCATGCTCGTAGTCTAGCCAGGGTCGACCTTTCTTCCAAGAGTCTTGGAAAGCGTGAGTTCTTTTTCTCTTCGGTGCGAGCTCCATCGTCCAAATCACCAATCGGATAAAAACTTGCGACTGTGTCAAAAGCTATAGCCACAGTTACGCTTTTGACTGCATGCCTGCCCCATCGACTTTGAATGTCCTGACTTCCTGCTCGCCGCTGGCCAGATCGCGCTGGAACCAGTTGACCCCAGCCGAGTCTGTCGCTTGTAGACTGTACAGTGTACTGTAGACTTTGTAGTAGTGTGTACGGTTGCGCTAGATTTGCAACAGATGGGGTCCGCGAGTCGTAAAATACCGGTATTTTAGGAATCCATTGTCAGTTAGAGACATTTTTCAGCCGGGTCAGACTGGACCCGGTGTTATCTGTTCAGCCAGGTCGTGCAGTTCCCCAGCCGGGCGCGTGACCCGGCTCTCCAGCAGGCCCTGAAAACGTATTTTATCCAGTAAAAATATCACTATAACCAATGTTATCGGATGTAATGATATATCGGATATTATGATGGCAACAAAGAATCAAAACATGCATAACACACTATATTATTATCGGCTATAGTGATAACTTTAAAATACACGTAGCAATAATATCAAAAGCCCTATTTTTTTTCTTTCTTCACGTTAATTATTTTTATAGTGATGCATGTACATGTACATGATTGTACAATCATGTACATAACAAAAAAAATATGGAAATGCGGGCGCTGTCAACTATGCAGCATGCTCATTTGTCAAAACGCCATGCTGTGGAAGTATTTCCTTGCCTTTCATGTGTCGATCGAAAAAAGAAGAAGAAAATCAATCGAAAATCAATCGTATCGCATAATTATAGTGATTTATCGGTTATAGAGATACAATCGCGGAAATCAAAAGGGTACGCTATAGCCGATACAGACTGTACCTCGACCTTGTTGATGTAGAAAATGACGATTGAAGAGTCACTCCAGGGTTCGTACTTGTCGTACTTATCTGACATGTGTAGCATGGTGCAACGCATGGCCACGTGTATGTGCACCATTTGCATACAACAATGATAGTTACCCGCCAAGCACGTATGAATGCCTTGGTGTTGCGAAAAAGAAAAAAAGAAAGGATTAGATCCAGTCAACCCTGCTGCCAGGCCAAGGTTACTAGGGTCAGAATTTGATGAATTTGGATCTGGATTCAACCAATCGATCATTACCAATCAAGTGCATCCTATCGAGCTAGATGTGGATCCGACCGAATGATCACAGCCGAAGAATGCTTTATGCCCTGAGGCAGAGCTTTTTTTACACAGTACATGTATATACACCTGCTGATCGTAACAAGCGTTTCACTCAGAGTTGCAGCTGATCTTCCTCTATCCATGCTCTGTGTGTGTAAGTGTATGTGTGTAAGGCCCTCTGCAGACTACGTACATAGAACATCCAGTACAAAATCACAAAAACCTAAAAGGCAACATTTTTCCGCGCCTGCATTCAGACTACACATTTTACATGCAACATACAGGCAACCTTTGACCCTACACAATTGTGCAAGAGGCCTGGGATGTGTGAAAGCAGCCGGCAGTCGTACAAAGTTTGTACATTTGTACGACTAGTCGACTGCCTTGTGAAAGTACGATAAATGCAGGAAAGTTGCCTTGTACAGGGGTTCCCACCCTGCCCGAAAGGATTGGGCAGCTTTTTAGGCTTCCCGCCAGATTCTTGTAGTTGTCTTGGAAACTTCTATGTAAATGTGACTTATAGGCTGTTTTGTACCTTGTCTGAAGAGGGCCTGAGTGTGTGTGTGTGTGTGTGTGTGTGTGTATCGAGAGGTTGCGGATTCAATTCCCGACGATTATGGTCGCACACGTCTTTCTTCTCTTTCTCATTCTCCTAGCTCTTCTTTCATTCTCCTGGGTGGTTACCAACAGCCAGTGTATGCCGGAGTATGTGGTATAGTGTGTGTGTGTGTCAAAAAAATGGAAAAAAGGGAAAAATAGGAATTCACTAGCCAGAAAAAGCCACTTCAGTCAGCTGTGTGGTGGATACCAGGCTAAAAATTAGTGGCGGTCAATTCATCAGCCTTGCAAGCTGTTGAATGGTGTAATCCCAGCACAAGTTGCTATGTCTAACATAGCTGTTCGCTATCATCGCTTCCGGGATGGGCATGTCTGAGCGTGTGTGTAAGTGTGTTATAAACAGACCCTAAACCCCGTCGTGTGGCATTGACGTTTATGTTGGCTTGCTTAGAGAGGTCTGCTTAGAAATATGAGCGTGATGTGAATAGAGACCTGTCGCCCTCAGAACGCCTTGTACACGAATACGCTCAGTTGTATACCGGTACCTGCCTGTACTGCCATTTGTCTGCTGGTTTTCTGCTGACACTCTGTTTAGGGTACATGTAGTTATCAACGTTCTCCTTTTTCCCTTCCCATGCTTTGCGTTTGTGTTTGGCTGTGCGAATAGATGGAGCGAGGAAGCAGTGGTCTACCTAAGCCCAGTGAGCAAGCAATTGAATGGCTCGTGAAGCGGCTTAGAAAAACTATGGTGAGTGGAAGGTGACCTATGCGAACCTAGGATGTGTTGGCCACTTCTCTTTTTGAAAGCATTCGGAAGGAATAAAAACGAACCCCCAAAACAATAAATCTGGAAGTGGCATAAGCCCTAACACACCTTCAATTGATAATGATCAACCTTGTACAACGAAATGAGCGTGCGTTATTGTAAAGACTGGACCAGTTCCCATTGCAACTGTGCCATACTGGCCAACCACAAAAATCTCAATCCCTTGACAAGACATGCAGAATCCCTGGATGGCACAAAAACACGTGAAAAAGAGCTTTCCCCGCCTGAAAAAACATTCGACGGCACAGGATTCTGGACTCTGCGTACAGCACAGTTTGACCTTGCATTGCAGTTTGATCAGTCGGCGGGCGCCTAGCGTGCCTGTCGGTGCAGATCATACAGGCTAGTCTAGGCTGGTCAGGTCTTGAAAGTGACATGCAGAGTTCGAAGTGCGAGTGCACACCGTAGATATTTTTGAAAAATCCGAGACATTGGAGACGAGTCACTGGAGTTTCCAGGAAAAACCTGGATCAGACGAAAATGTGACTTTTCCGGGCGTTTGCTTGAAATCTCCGAGATTGCGGGAGCATTGTTGTTTTCCCGGGATATTCCCGGGAAACCCGGGAGGGTTGGCCTGTATGTTGTATCTGTACATGACATTGTGTACGTCTAGCAGCACTCCTACCTCTTACCGGGGGTCAGGAGCCGTGCAAGTCCAAAACGCAGACCTTCGTGTAAGAAAAATCCAGGAGAGTGAACAATCGCTCTCGCTCTCCTCTTAAGGAGAGTGGTGGGAGAGCAGTCCCCTCCCCCCCCCAAAAAATATCGCTCTCCTTATCTGTCCAAGGCGAGCACAATACAAATAATTACAATCTGGGTTTTTTTCAACGTGTTCAATTGTTGCTATACCTCAATCGGATTCAAATTACATCTGCTTTGACTCAATCAATTCCATCAAAACCATCAATTGATATTGATCACAGACAATGACATAGTAGATACCATTTTGCAATTGCAGCAAACAGCTGCTGAGCATGATGGATTATCAATTAAGTTTAATGGGGGTCGTTATTGTATGCTATGAGTATGTACATAATGTTCAAGTCACTGACTGCATATTAGAATCCTGGAGCTGCTCAATCACAATCAGAACTGGAAGGCGTGTCCGTAGTGCTGCCCAAGTGGTGAGCAACGATGACGTCCGAGTCTTCTAATTCCTGATCACTGGAATTCTCGGAGTCCTCCGGGATTCGGAATCGTGTTAAGACGTCAGAGTCCACCTCGCTGGCTCCATCTGACTCGCTGTCACTCTCGGCTGATGAGCTGCTGGAAGCTGCATGAAAGCGCTTGGCTGCCGGTTCCAAAGCTGCTGAGGCACTGGCGGAATGAAGCGTCAGCCGCCGTCTCTTCTGGAGGTACTCCGTGAGGGTGCTCTCAATGATCGCAGACTTCTCAGCTTCAGTCCACACTGCGTCATTGGCCCGGATCAGGAGTAGATCAGACATGGTGCCGTGGCTCAATGACAGGCGCCGGTCAGTGAGCATTGCCGTCAGGTAGCTGAAGGTTGACTCCACTGTGCCATTGCTGACGCCAACAGCAATTATTACCTCGGCCAGCAGGCAGACATTGGGAAATTCCTTTCTGCGGTATTGCAGGAGGCGTTCCCAAAGCTCGACGGCAGACGTCACGGAGGCATAGTCACGGAGACATAGTAAGACTTGACAATATGCTTGACACTCCGCCACTCTGTCTTTAGCTTTGTGCCGTCGAACCGGTGCACTGTCGGTGCTTTGCCAGAACCTCCATCTGCTGTAGCTCATCGCTGCTATTTGTCTGCCAATTTGCCGGATTGGCCCAATGCATGGCTTTGAAGACAGGCAGGGAGAATGAGTCGAAGCGTTTCTGCAGGGCTTCTCCCGACTCGTGGACAGTAGCGCGCTTCAGCGCCTCCACATCCTTGGCCCGCGTGCAGCTCATGGACGGGTACTCGACGTCGACGTACTTCCGGTTGTCAGCATGTCGCTTGTTGTGCCCGGGCTTGGGCAGAGACATCCGCAGTGGTCCACCGCCACCCTCCAGCACAATGCCAGAGTCCAGGAGGTCACGGAGTTGCCCCAGGGTGAGCTCTATTGCCGGCCCAACTTCGAATGGAAGGATCGTGTTCCAATTTCAGTGACAAGCCCTCAAAGATAGTGACGATCTTCTTCAGCAAGCAGGTTGTTGAGAGGAAGTTGGGGCTCTTCAGCTTCTTGAGCAAACCGCGCATACTGGCACTGACGAAACGCTGTGAATTGCTGTTGATAGAGCTCTCCAGGGCGAGCATCAATGGAATCCAGTTATGGAGAAGAACAGTAAGACCCTTGCATGTGTGGTTGACAAATCTATGGAGAGAAGGCAAGTATGCACAGCACACACAAGACAGAATCGTTGTCAGTGAAAGATAATTACAGCATTTAACTTTAAGAACTTCGCTTATCACATCTTTAACACAACCACGAATCGTGTGAGTAATAGGCCAGGCACAGACAGCGGCGACAGTCATGAATAGTATCCCGTAAAATTATAACTGAAACTATCAAACATACCTGGTGCCATGTACTTTCGGGAACTTGTAAATTTGCACTCCAAGCTCCTTCGCAGTGTCGTTGAAGTGCCGTTGAAATTTGCCGGAGTTTTTCATGAGATAGAAGACAGATATCATGAAGTCCTTTACTTCAGCCAGCTTCTTCTGTTTGAGAATGCTGTCTTTGACGGCAAGCTCAAGCCTGTGCATGGTACAAGGTATTTGTACCAACCATGGCCGTCCTGATTGTTCAAGCTTCTTCAGTAGACCGTTGTAGATGCCAGTGTTCACGGCCGCTCCATCTGCTGTTGCACAGACGAGAAGCTTTTCATACTTCTCAGACGGTAAGTCTATAAACAGCAGAGAAGCAAACGAAACGTCACAATTAGGCAGATTCCACAACTACTAGGAATTGAGAAGCCACAGTTTTGCTTTTCCATCATGAGCTTGCAAGAAGACAGTGGTTGCATGATTGATTATTCATCCTTGACGTACATGTACATGATTTTGTGACTTGATTATCTGTGACATGTCAATAATTCGAATTACTGTATACAACACAGTGTAATACTAATACTAGTAATAGGACGATTGGTGGGAATGTAGGAATTAGTGATTGACCTACCTGCGAAAGCATCGTCAATGGCCTGCTTCAAGTTCGCCGCTGTAGCATCGCCATGGTCGTCAACGTTCATCAGACCCAGTGTGAAGAACGTCGGCAGCCCTTCCTTCACAAGGCGCACCAGCACGAGCTCTTTCTCGCTGCCCGTTTTCCTCGCCTGCGAACCGTCGCTCAGCACTGAGAAGGCTGTAGCTTGGGAGACTTGCGCCACAATCGTCTTCAGTATGCTGGCTGCCAAATATTTAACGAACTCTCGCGCCCTGTCAGACGACTCGCAGCCCTTCAGAAGTTGGACGCCGTTCGCCTTCTGAACTTTGACCATCGTGGTGAAAGTCGAAAGCGGCTGTCCGGCAACAGCCACGATGTATGCCGTGTTGAGGAGTTTCCTCGTCGCCTCCTGAGCCTGTCTCTGAAGAGTGGAGTCGATGCGAGGCTGGGAAGGAACCAGTGCCGCCGGCAAAGATGAGGAGCAGGCAGACGTCGTACTGGAGACGATCGCTTCGTGTGCAATAGCTGCTGCGTGAGCCTGCGGACAAACAATTACATTACTTGCGTTCACGACTAGACTAGTTCTGTGATTACGGGCAACTGGAAAATAAACACTTACTTTGCTGGCACTCAAATGTCGAGTAACTGCGTGTTTGGTCACGTAGTTTGTGCCTTCCACGAACTTCAGCATGTCGGCCAGTGCCTTCCCACGAAGCTGACTGCTGCTTCGAATCTTATCCGAATGCTTGGCGCACAGCTTGCACCACACTTTGGTCACCATGTCCTTGCCGCCGACACGCTCGACATCGTGGCCGATGCTGTCACCCACGTTCCATGAAAGGAACGTGGACACCTGGACGGAGTTGCCAAACATCAAGGCGCTCAAACCAAAGACCAACAAAACTGGGCAGGACAAGACGAGCACTCTAACTGAAAGCGAACTAAACAGATCGCGGACCGGGAGTAGACTGGCTGGCAAACAACGATCCTGCGCCCGCGTTCGGTCTAAAACTACTAAAACCAGCAGTCAGTCAGAGAGTAGATCTACTCGAGTAGAGTGCATGCCGCGCCGCCAAGAGTACATGAAACCCATGCACTCTTGATGCCGTGCACGCGTGCACCATGGTGCACTCGAGATCAAGGATCCTACCCGCGCGCGGTCTAAAACTAGTAAAAGCAGCGGTCAGTCAGACAGTGCATGCCGCGCCGTCAAGAGTACATGAAACCCATGCACTCTTGATGCCGTGCACTCGAGATCAAGGACTGTGGATGAACTGACGACCAGCTACCGTACAAATGTACGGACAAGGTCGAAATTCTCAAGGCGCGCTACGAAAAGTGCGCCCAAAATGAAAGTAAGGAGAGCGAAGGCGCGCGAGAGCGATCGCTCTCCTTTTACCAGATGGTCTGAAGACGCCTACTGCGCGCACTTTGGGCCGCATTTCACGTAGCACAACACTCTTATTCGGCAGTAGAAAGTGTTTAAAAATGGTGGTACGCTGTACACGCCGTATAATGGTACTGATCAATGCGTGCTGTCGTGGGGGGGGGGGGGGGGGGGTGGTGTTATCAATTTAACTTATCATGACAGATACCTTTGCTCGCCGATTATATGTGGGTGTGCAGATATACAAGTAGCTCATGACATTTTGTTTGTTTCCTTTGTGTGCCCGACAATGTACGCTGCAGTCATTAAGTCTCTTCGGAGTGGACATCATCATTGAGAACGACACTCTTCGCCACATTTTCATTGATGTCAACTACTTCCCAGGTAAGCAGCTCGCTCTGTTGACTTTGCTGGAACGAAAATCCTCAGAACCCTGTGTTCACGGGGGTGGCCGTCTACAATACTGGGTGACCATGCACGGCCAACAAAATCGATCATTTTTTATTATACTGGGAAATGCACTGCATTTGTTCAAGTATCGGTGGCGTTTGTTTCCAGTGTGTGTTAGCCGTGATCTTGGGCTTCCTGAAAGTCTCTCTCACGATAAGTATAAGGGCCTGTGTGGGTGTTTTGTCCGGGTAGCGTACACCGAAGACTTGAGAACTGTTGTAACGGTTCGTGTTCCAGTGCAGCAGCCCTAGAAGTGACTGTGTTACTCTGCATGCTCATACAATGTTTGCAAACAACTTCGCTATCGTTGCTATAAGAGAAAATCCATGGGTGCACATCCAGTGCATTTGCAGATTTGCTTGCTTCTCTTGCGACGGGCGTATACAATACAATGTTTGTGATGGCTTGCTGTAGCTCTCGGACCAGTTGGTTGCCTTTTGCCGCCGCCGCGGGTCAAGACAGCGGCGTGAAAACAAAACTTATCATGATTGGTGGTACTTCAGAAGTAGTTATCAAAACCAGCCGTGGCCAGGTCAACGGTCAACCAGACCGAAAATGTTCTAAGTAGGCCAGGTGACTGCTTTGAAACATTGGACCAACTGAGAATGGTGTTTGCAGTCACCGTCATTATAATATGTACATTTTTCTTGATGTGACTCAGTTGTTTGTGGGTATAGTTCTGGTGACTTGAACCCTTTCAGCACGAAGGACAATACTGCATGTCCTGAAAAAGTGTACACTACCCCACGAGGGACGTAAATGTACTTCCTGAGTGCACAACGCATACATGCTGTTGTTTGAATTTTGTTGTTGTTTGTTTGTTGTTGTTTGTTGTTGTTTTGTACGTACTTGTCCTATTGTTTTTTTTTGTAGGGTATGATGGTGTCACGGACATGTTCCCAGCATTCACACGTTTGTTGACATCACATGCCAGCCTGTGTCGTTCGCCTTCGTCCGATTCGGGTGTATCATCGGGATCAGTGGACAACCACACGGCTGCTATGTCAACTGCCTGTAGTCACAGTTCACGGGATTGCCCTGCTGCACCGGCCAGCCTCGAGACGCTAGCGAAAGGCTTTGCAGCGAACAACGGCGTGGCGAATGGTCATGACGACTCCGATGAGCTGTCCCCGTGCTGCGCAACTGCTGTTCTTAATGCTAACAGCAGTGCGCCATCGTCCGGTGTCTCCTGTAACTCGTCGCCCGTAGCAGGTAGTTCCAGTAACAAAGCAGCAGCATCGTCATCGTCGTCTTGTTCCGTCATGACTGGTGCTACTGCTGTGCAACCCATTCACTCGGAGCTGCTCCCATCGCTAGTCAACGGTGCTCACCAAGCGGATGACGTCGTCAAACCAAAAAGCAAGCGGCAATGCGAGTACGACTCGTCTATCATTGACGGCGGCAGTACCTTGCCCAATGGCCACCTTAGTACACTACATGTTCTCAGCTAGGGTCTGTTTTGTTTCTCTTTTCCCAAAACTAAAATACTATTTCAGTATGGTTGTGCAGGTCACCAAACTTGTTAACACATTTATTTCCATGACCATATGGCCGACGCTCTAGTCTTGTCTGTCTTGGCTAAGCTAGCCCTGGGATGATGAAGAAAGTATTCTAATGCTGCACTGCTGGTTCTGTCAGTGTGCTATTGTATCTGCTATCGGCCACGCAGACATGCTGCTGCTGCCCATTCCTAGGTTTCCACTCTGTCTACGTCGCAGTCAATCATTTATGCCATGTGCCACTTTTTGCTTTCTTCGCTTAACGCCACACTTCCACTGCAAATGCAACTGCGTGATATCACCAGAGTCGTTGGTCTCATGCCCCCTTTCTTCCCTGTTTCCTTTTTTGAATGGACTTATCGGCTAGGCGATAAACCGATTAGGTGCATCAGCGCAGAGTAGTTTTTGCCGACTTCGTTTAGCTTGTCTGTTGCTTCTGCTCTAGCTGCTGTTGTTTGTTCTTGTGTGTTCTTGTTTAGTTGCCCCTTGTTGTCAATGCCACGACTCCAATCTCACGTTGGCTTCAACCTGTCATCCTTTCCGCGTCCTCCCCCGCAGACTGTGCCATTTCATGTGGACCGTTTCTTGGCACTTTTGCGGGCGGCTATGCCAGTGTTGGTTTTGGCCCGTAGGCTACTCCGTGTACTCGGCTCGCAAGTCTTTAATATATTATTTAGTCCACCAGCACAGGTTGTTTTGAAAGTCAACCTTCTCACAATTCTTCCATCTTTACTGTTTTGCCGCCCCCCTCCCCCTTTTTACTATCTCAATTATTCTTTCCCCGACAGTTGTACTTTGAAGTAACATTCATTTGCCAGGTCCCATCACGTTATGCTGTTCCTTGCATGTTTTCATGTTTGGCTTTTATTTTCCCCTCAAAAAATGAAGACTTCTTTATGAAAATGGTTCATCTGGTATCGACAGTATTGTTCCTCTGTTAGGGAAATGTATGTGTGGGTGTATGTATCTCTCTCTCTCTCTCTTTCTCTCTCTCCCTCTCTCTCTCTCCCTCTCTCTCTCTCTCTCTCTCTCTCTCTCTCTCTCTCTCTCCCTCCCTCTCTCTCCCCCCCCCCCCTCTCTCTCTCCCTCTCCCCCCCCCCCCTCTCTCTCTCTCATGGTGTGTTGCCGGTGCATCAATACATGGTTCGGGTGGATACTACTGTATAAGTACAAATTTCCGTTCACGGAATCTTTCGTTATTTCACTCCACCAGTAGGCTTGTTACGTACTGAATTTCGTTTTGATCGAGATCTGTCACCCCGTACGTTCAGAAAAGAACGTGTTATTTCGTGCCCCCTAACGAATATAGCGAAAGTTAATTCCAAACGAGAATTTGTACTTATACAGTACAGTAGTATATAAAATTATAAATTGAAATTATCGTAATAGCGCTTGGCATTGTTTCCGGGTACTGTAAATATACAAATTTTCGGCAGCTATTTAATTTCGGCTAAATTCGGCACCGACCCAAAACGCCTAAATTAAAACGCCGATGAAATTTTTCACAGCATCTGGCAGTGTCGCGCGCACTACACCATGCCCTCTACCCCACGCCGAAAATAAATCGCCGCCGAAATGTCAAAAATCGTGAAGTGCCGAAATTTTGCAGCGCCGAAATTTTGTATATTTACAGTACATGCACTTCTGTAATTGTGCTGCCACCCCTGCTGACATGTCAGTAGCATGTCAATTTTGGGAGGCATGTCACCTGGTCACGACCTGCACTACAAGTGACATCCTGGAGCACAGAAACAGTCACGACCTGCCGTTATAATAATTATTGACATTCTCATATACCCACAACAGCACTAGCCATGCAAATATCGAATTTTGACGTCGACCTGCTTGGTTTAGACAGTAGAAGTCACGGTCCTCTTTTTTTGCCTTTACTGGGCATCATGAGTGTTTCCATAGCTCTCCCCTATAAGGTACTAAGCGAAATCATCATTGTGTCTCGGGGAAAATTCGGAAAACTCCGCCGGAGTCTCACGCCGAACAGTGACGTTTTGTTCCAGTCCCGTAGATCTACGTGCGTATGTTAACTTACTATCAAGTATGAACGGGGGTCCGGGCAAAGCCCCCGGATGCGTAGCATGCATGTAAGGAAGGTTTTGTGTATGCAAGAGCATGTTCTTTTCTTTTCTTTGGATACCAATGGGTCGCCGGGCAGTCATTACGGTATTCGGACTGTACATGTACATGTACCACTTTTTGCCCAAGGAACCACTCCGCCAGATATGCTCCTCCGATGATTGACCGTATCACACAAGAATACCTTCCGCCGCCCCTGGAAGAGTAAGTTAGTACATATGGCACGGAGCACTAAGTCTTATATAATAATTATAAGTATGAGGTTAAAGGCAATATCAGTACTGCATACAAGAGCATGTCTGGTGTTGAGGACGAGACATACACACATTAGCTCATAACTGACTTTCAAACTAAATGATGAAGATCGAGAATGCCGGGATGTACTTGCTCCAGGGTGCGGAGCTCCACAGCAGAGTCTAAGCATGATGTGGATCACTTGTTGCTACACTCTTCTAGGCTGGTGTTCTGTATGGCCAGGTGGCCAGGTTACACGGCATACCGGGAACAGCCATTGCGCGACTACTAAGCACAAGTGCACTAACATGAGCCATGCACAGCTAAGACTAACTGTTATGACAAGGGCCAGCCCTGGAGGTGTGCGATTGCGGTGCAACGTTATACTCAAATAGAACTATTGAATAGCAGGTGGTCATACGCAAGGAGATATCAAGGTGGTGTGCATGCAGTTTAAGTTGTGGCACTCAAGATATTTTACTTAGGATTATGAATGTGTCCGGGCCGAGACGATGCTGGGATCAGTATGTCAAGCAGGAAGGGAGAGCAGCAGCAGCAACAGCAGCAGCATGCTTTGTTGCATTGCAGTTGTAGCGCTACTGCTGTTAGTGCCGGTGTCATCAATGCTGGTGCTGGGCAGGAGATGCATATTGTGGAGGAAGGAGTGGGTGCATTTGACCAGACGGCACCAGTGGGAAATGCGTAGAGGCGGCAGCGGTGGTGCTGGGGACCTGCTGTGGGAAAGCATGCGGATACCCTGGTTGTTGAACTGGTAGGGGAATGTAGCGCAATGTACCTGGACCTTGAGGCGAGGTCGGGTTGCTCTGAGGCGAAAACGGCGGCAGGGCCTGTCCACCTGCAGCATCGGGTGAAGACGGCGACAAGTGCTGCTGCACAGGTGGGAAAGGAATTGTTTGAAGCTGTCCAGGAGGAGGAGAAGAGGACATAATGCTATACTGATATTGGTTAATGGCGGCTGTGAGCTGCTGCGGCGTTGGAGAAGTAGCATGCATGCTTGCCGCCTGTTGATGCTGCTGTTGATGCTGCTGGCATAGCTCGATGCCAGGTGACTGAGAGCCGCCGCGGATATTCATGTATAGCGGTGAAACTGGCTGAGGCGGGTGCTGCTGTTGTGCTTGCTGATCCATGAGCCCAGCTGTGGACGGAGAGGGCTGGTGTGGTGAGAGTGGCACATGCATGTTTTGAGGCTGGACCTGATCGCAGAGAGTGATTTGTCCATTTCGCTGTCGGATGTAGTACGTGCTGGGGAATGCCTGCGGTGCCGAATCGACTGGCAGTGAATGGCTGTTACGCTGCTGCTCATCAACCTCCATTGATTCATCACGCTTCAGCGTCTGCGGTGCTGACAATGACTCAGGAGGGAAATCAGCCTCGTAGGGAGGAGCCACTGCATGCATAAACAAGACAACACACGTTTAGACACACAGCGTGCGTACTGCTACAGGTTAGACTATGTGGGCCAGTGCATGCGAAAACGTGTCTTCGGGGGAAACCGATTTCTTTCCGAATTTTGAGAAAATCGCTCGGAAAGAAGAGTTATATTTTTTGTGGCTCGATCGCGGATCTTGTCTACATTCCTAATCGATCTCAAGACGACAAGAGAAGCGACAAGCGATCGACTTGCAGCAATCATCATGGACGTGGCGGCGCAGGAGGAGTTGGAAGTAGCACTTGAGGAAGGGCCTCTGAGTAGACACACTCGCGGCAGACGCCGAGCAGCACGTCGGTTGAGCTGTGCCGCTCGCGTGATTATCGTCGGCGCGTCAGAAGAGATCGGCAAGGTTTACTATCGACGAGGAAGACGACAATTTATTTGGCGAGTCGTGAGTCGGAGCAGTCGGCAACTAGCAGCTGTACTGCTCACAGTGACTCTGACGAAGCCCCAGCTAAGCATCCGGGAGTGAAAGACTCCTGCGGTGAGGTTGAAGGCGAGTCGAGAGCGGATGAATTAGGCGGAGATTCTGTGGACTCTGCAAGCGACGATGAGCAGGACACGCTTCAGAGCATTGTCGCTGTGGACTCACTGATTCTCGAAGGCTGTGGCTGCGTTCGAAACTACCATTTCAGCAGCTTCACGTCGAGCGCAATCCTCCATTACGACGATGAAATCCAAGGACCTCGGCATTTTTTTATATTGGTGTGCTGGCTGCGCTGCACGCATGACGATCCTGTCATGTCGACTGTCGACATGTCGTGCATCAGTCGACAGCTTCTGCAACGGAACGGACGCGCATCACATTTGGATAAACTGTGATGGGATACATCGTGTGTGGAACCGTGTTTATTCAGCTCTATGATTGTGGTTGGCAGAACATGACGGTGTGCAAGTGGACAAGGAGAACAATAGCTGTCATCCTGGTGCACATGGAAATCTGGCAATGTGCCTTGGAATAAATTTAGTGCAGAAGTGGGAGACAGAGCGCAGCAGTTTATTCTGAACTACAGCTTAGTGTTCAGTCGCCCTTTGCCTGCAGCACCAAGAGGGAGAGGTGGGGAATCTCCCATAAACTTACCTACATCTGTCGCCTACAAGTTTGTCCTTTCGGAACATGTCGAGCAGTCTGGTGAATCGCAAACCTTGGGTTACCGTATATTTTTGTATCTGTGGACTAAGAAGTGCAAGTCCATCGAGTTCATGACGCGACGGATGGATGTGTGCAACAAGTGTGAGCTGCTCCAGGACGATATTCGTCCGCCTCGTGCATAGGATGAAAAGAATTCTGCAACGGAGCCACTCCGTGACCATGTTGTCTTTGCACAAAAAGAACGCGAGTTCTTGTTAGTTTAACGTCGCAAGAACTTGCTGGACAACGTTGCCCGGTTTTGACTGGAGAACACGGCAGCCTTCATTGAATGTCTTGGCCACTTCTAAAGGCTGATACGCAAAACTGTTGCTTCTTTCAGCGACACTGTAGATAATGCATTATACGAGGCATATTCTATGTTGGACAATGCCATAGAAATCATGGTCTCTATGTACTTTCAAATGTGATATCCAACTTTATCTTCCACAGAGGTGTTCTCTAGACCCCTGTGATTGATTTTCAAGAAAGAAAAAAAATTCCAAAAATTTGCCCTTAGACACGGTATTGCATGCACTGGCCCATGTATCGCACAAGGGAATGATTGTATTGACCGAGAAATGGACCAGCTCTAGTTTTAGCTTGGCCTTGCAGCACCCTGTGCTTGGAGGTGGCATGTCCAGACAAAGAGTCCGAAACACTACCCGGTGCACAAACCATGCACCCACACATTCATACCAACACCCACACGTGCACGCACGCACACACACACACACACACACGCACGCACGCACGCACACACACACGCACGTAGTTACGTATTGACGCATGCACCCACACCTACTCTGCACGGCAGCAGGGGCAGAGAAGCTTCTACAGCATCCATGCTTACAGAAGATTTGAGGCGTGCATGTAGCTGCAACTGGGTTAGGAGACACACACTCGTCGACGTCCGACATCTCTCCATCGTCAGCAACCAGCTCATCTGTGAATGGTCGGTGCGGCTGGATCAGCTGCAACCCACTCGTGTCTGTAAGCGGTAAAAAGCAGAAGAACCGTTATGTTAAATAGGGACACAAGTGGAAAACGGTCTTCCAACAAACACAACTTAAATCATAGGTTTGTTTTAGAAAGCCACCGCTTTAGGAGCTGCAGCTGTGCCTTGATCCTTGGGGTTGGTGGCGTCCCTGAGGGTGGTGGCATCCCTGAGGGTGGTGGCGTTCCTGAGGGTGGTGGCGTTCCTGAGGGTGGTGGCGTCCCTGAGGGTGGTGGCGTTCCTGAGGGTGGTGGCGTCCCTGAGGGTGGTGGCGTTCCTGAGGGTGGTGGCGTTCCTGAGGGTGGTGGCATTCCTGAGGGTGGTGGCGTCCCTGAGGGTGGTGGCGTTCCTGCGGATGCGGAAAACTCGGCCTCCAGCCGAATCTGGTGCGTGACGCGAACCGCACGTGATTTATTTGTTTTGTTTTAGAGAAGCATGCCGGACTCTGCACACGCTGTGAGGGCTTGTTACTATGGTCTATGTGCTTCCAATATGCGTGATGCATTTCGACCTTTCAGAGCCGTAGTGCTTCCTCTTGCGCGAACAGCACCCGTTTGAAATGTACCATGCAGAAATTTTGATTGCTGGACCTTGCTAATCAATACTGGTACTAGTAATGAGATGATGTTGATTTGAAAATGCACTGATCAGGTCTGACAAGACATGGTGATGAGTATGGGTGCTCACCTCGAAACTGTTCTTCCACCACACGTGTTTTCCTGAAGGAGAGCATCCACAAAAGGAGCAACGTTGGTAACGTGTGAGCAAGTACAAAAGCCAAAGAGGACAGGGAGCAATTCTCTTGTAAAGGTCACTGCTTCCCTCTAAACTCGGATGGCGAGCCAATACTATAAGTAGAAAGTACCAATAAGTTACGAGTTATGACTAACAGTCCACCACGGTAGCAAGATCTTATACAGTCAGACAGTGCAACTTCGTGGCGCATCCCTTTCCCTCATTGGAACTTTCCGCACCTGAGCCTTTCTAGTTGGAAGGTTGTTGGTTTGCACTACGTAGATGTGTTGGAGCTAGGTGTCAGGCCGTCGAATGTCTCAATACCCTTGTCAGTTTTGTGTCTCGTTGTCACACTATCTGACTGTATAAGAACTCGTTACCTTGGTGGACTGTTAGTCAGAACTCGTAACTTATTGGTTCTTTCTCTTTGCTTCCCTCTAAAATTGAAGATCTTCTAGTGAAATGGCACATCAGAAGTTATGCGGCCACTCCCATTGTTGCTGTCATTATCATCACCAACACCAGCAACAGCAGCAACAACAGCAGCAGTAGCAACACAACCAGGATTTCAAGCTTACTTGTGAGCCTCAGTAAATGCCTTTGCATAGGGATTGTTCTTGATTTTCAGCTGTGTGACCTGCGTGATGACAAGCACAGTATAGAACAGTAGAGGAGCATTGCTTAGAGGCATCATCATGCATAGAATGTGCATTGGAGAAGGATAGCGATGCAGAAAGTGGTCTTCATTCCAACAGCGCAATGCCCCCCCCCCCCTCCTCACCATAATACTGGCAGCCAATGCTTACAACATGATATTGGGCTACGATTAATATTCTGAGCAAAGGCAGGGGATCGACACACAGGCTCTGAACAGACACGGTAGTCTGTATTAGTGACGAAGATCCTTGGCTTGGAGACTGATTTCGTAAGAGCCATACACGAGAGAGCCCATCCTCACCTCTTCGTTCTGATAGGCAGTAACGGCTATGAACTGTGTTTCTCGGAATGACTTCCAGATTGAAGGAAGTGGATGCACACACTGTCCCTGCTCCGGGACAACATGGACGCGTGCCTCGTACTTGTGCAGCGAGTTCAAGACAAGCTGGATATGTACACATACACATGGCGATACAAACACATGCGCACAGACACACACACAGACAGACACATACAATGAGCAATGCAACTATAATTCCTAGCCCTCTTTCAATTCTTGCTCGGCTGACACACTACAGAATCTTAGCTCTTGAGTACAATTGGCATTATGAATGCATTATGCCAAAATTTGCCAGAATATTACACGACTTTACAGTAACGTTGACTGGTACTGCACCTAGGGAACCATCTAAATGCGTATCAAACACGAACAATTATCCAGGGCAACTAGGCGTTCATACCAAGTAGAGTTTCATAATTCATAAATGAATTGCACAGCTGAGATTATCGGTGCCAGGTCATATCACGATTTATACTGACCAATTGGCAGATGGCAATGTCTGTGAAATGATTTACTGTTAGGTTGATAACAATAGTGTAGTATGACCAGTAAGGGCCGAGGCCAAATTTGAATTTTCAGCATTTAGTTCTCACTAAATAACGAGGACATTTCCACGGGCAAAGTTTCCAAGTGCTGCAAAGCGGGAGATTTCGCGGTGCATTTTGAGCTTGTCAAGTTCAGATGGCACGCATGTTAGTGACAATTAAATCAATTTAGCAAATGTGGTAATAGTGGTCTGTGATGCGATGTCATCGTATCACGTCAACTCCTGTTCAGTGTCACGAAAATTTCGCAAATCCTCCCCCATCGAAAAATTCTTGAAGTAAAACTTTTGTGCAAAACTTCCTGCGTTACTGCATACAAAATCTAGGAAATGTGCTGCACCCAGAGCATAGCAGTCACAACTCACGTGTCCTTCTCCGATGCGGTTAGTTAGCTTGACCTTGCTGAAGGAAATTGGACTCTTAACCCAGTGTGAGCCGTAATGGGGCGAGTCGGGATGTTTGTAAATGGTCGCATGCGGCTGATCAGCCTTCCCACCAGACACCCATTCTCCGCGCACATACTTCCAGCGATGGTTGTCTACCAAGATCATATCCATGAACACAGAGTACATTGCCTCCGGCCGAAGGCCCTTGACCGACACAGTCACGACCGGAAACATACGTCTACAGGAACACACACGGACACACACACGGACAGGCACACACACACACACACACACACACACACGGACAGACACACACATACATACGTTCAAGCAAAAGGCATACACACATCTGCCGCCATGCCTAACTAGCGTGCAGATGGAAAAATATGTGGGAGGTGTAACCACAACAACTGCAGCAAACATTCAATAAAAATATTCACTTGCACCATTACCGATGATCACAGTCATGTCCAAAGGAATTTTTCATAAGTTTGCCTAGCCATGGAATTTATTCGGCTGGGACTAACGGCTCAAGTAACGCAGTACTGCCAAACCGTCCGATTTTTGAAGGCTCTTCCGAAAGCCGGTCCGAAAAGGATACGCCCGAAAAGCAGCCAAGAATATCAGGGATCAGTACTTTCGTAAATGTATGCAGAAGTCCTGTATTTTCACTTTTGAGCGCAACTGAGCATTCTGTACATGTGCTTCTAAAAAGGCTAGGACTGGGCTAGGACTGGGCTAGCGGCACGGTGCCACCGTGCTCTACTTGTACATAACATGTACATGTACTAGCCACTCACGTTGCATACAGCACGCCTTATTTAGCGCCTATACGCGATCCGCTGACTCGCGCTGGATACTTTCCGTCCAAAAAAAGGTTCCGCCGACTCGCCCCATGAAATCATTAGCATACTAGTAACCTCTTTACTCCCGACTCAACACATCTCCAGCACAGACCTGACCTGCAACACATCTCCAGCACAGACCTGACCTGCAACACATCTCCAGCACAGACCGGACCTGCCAACGTGGTAGGGAGATCTATCCCTCCAGGTTGGGCTGCTGCGGTAGAGAGATTGCCTTCCCACAACACGTAGGGGTGAGGATGGGCATGCTAAGCACGTTGCCTATGCAACAGGGTGCTATGCCGGTCACACCAATAAGCGCACCACTGTACATGCATGGTCAGCATGCTTGCCACAACCCGTGTCCAGTAGGTCTGCAGGCAGTAGAACGGTTTTCTACTATTCTGGTCGGGATACATCAGGAGATATTTACAAAACATCAACAAAATTGGGCGATCTCCCGCCTGATAGGGAGATTTGGCGCCTCTGCTGTCATTCTTTATCACACGCTTTTCCTTAGGATTTTCGCGTCTAATGCACACTTTTGAAGACGCGGATTTGACGCAGGTCCGGGCCAGGGGCCTGCTACGAATGCAGCACTTAAGACAAGAGAGTATTCTCACCAACGGAGGAGTGTCGGTGAATCGTCCTGATGCATGTATTTCTTGAACCCGTTAGCGCCCAAGCAGCCATTGTTCTTATCTCCCCGAAGCGTCAACATCAGTAATGCCCTCGGACGTAAACAATTCTATGTCAAAATAGACAACTCGCAACGAAATCACCCTGGTCACTGCCCAGCCACTTCAAACCTGCAACATCCACGCACAACATCGCTACTTGGCAGCGTCGACAGGTCAGTGCAGATAATGGTCAAACGGTTTCTTCGCCTCTGGGCCATGCGCCAAGCTGTGACACACACAGGTCCCAGACACCAAATCTGACAGAGTACTTGAGCATAAGGCAACTCGTTGCACTATCAGGATGTGTGGATCAGCAGAATCGAACTACAGAACCGGAATATCACACATTGTCCAATTGGCCACAAATATTGACCAGAACGGGAGCACGAAAACTACACGTAGCTCTACAATGACCACGACGAGCCATGCAAGCCTGCGACCACGACGAGCGATGCAAGCCGACCACGACGAGCGATGCAAGCCTGCGACCACGACGAGCGATGCAAGCCTGCGACCACGACGGTCGTGGTCGCAGCGGAGGTTGTCTGAGTCACCCTTCAGATCTTGCTTGACTCCAAGGTGCCACAATGACAACACGTGCATGGGAGTGCAGTCAACAGTTATCAGTCAATGCCTTATCTCTAACGATCACATTTGCACCAAGCTGCAACATCGTCCCATGAAAGGACATATCTCGTGCGTCTGATGAAAGGATAATATTATTATGCTGATTTCGTGCGAGGCAGGCAACACGTTCAATAATGCATCCGTCCTTGCCACAAAGAACAAAAGAAACACAAAGATGGGCGGTGAGAACTGAGAAGGCGACGGGGGGATCTTTCTCCCTCGTCAGAATTCTAACCTTGTAAGGCTTGATCCTCTACTGTGCAGTGGCTTCAGAGTTCAGACCAAGATACTCTTTCCCTCGTGGCAATTATTTACTGCGCAAGGCAAACCGAGCACCGTAGCTGCTGCAAACAATCGCAATTATCTCACCGGACAGGTCTGGAACATATCCGATAAAGCCTCCATCGCCATCGGGGCGAAAGTGACTGCCAGGGTCCTCCACACTTCCATACCACAATCGAATCCATCATTTGCGTCAATCAAACTGATTCGATTAGTAAACCGGTCATCATCAGTGATCAATGTGGTGGTGTGGTGTATTGGAAATCATTTTTTCCAGTTCAACAAAACAGTTTCCTCGGTGCAGTGTTCTTCTTTTCTGACTTCGCCTACACGCGCACAGCTGACTGAGCTTTCAAGATATCGCACATGACGTGTGTACTTGTAGCAACATGAAAACAACTAACGCATACAGGTAATTATTATTCTCGTGCTCCTTGGAGTACTCCACACAGAGCAAGCCATCAAAGCAGACTTGCATAAGACCAGTGGATTAGACCTACCTTCCTTGACGAGTGACCACCATCTCCGTCGGGCAAGTTCTGAATTCCTCCCACAGCGGCACGTTTTCCAGTTGGATGGTGACTAGTTGTCCGCCTTGCATGGCCGGTGCTGCCTGGTGGGTCGAGTCCCGTAGGTAGCTGCTGCCCTGGCGCACACCATCGCTTGATGTTGCTCCCGCTGCTGCTGGAGGCGATGCTGGGGTAGCAGTACCACGAAGATCGCCTGTGCCACCGGCAGCCACCGCTTCAGTTTCCAGCTTCAGCTCCGAGAAGGAGCCGATGCCATTTTCTGCCATCTTCTCACTTCGCGCGTCTGTGATTCGATCTCGATCAGCTCAAGTGCCGTCTCTCTTATCGACTGGTTCGCAACTCGTCAATCCTTTTAATTTACAGACTGCGACGAAGCTCCCACTGCTGAAACTGCTTCCCCGCAGCTCGCTGGTGGAGTTGGCGGGATTGGTATTCGGATGCTTGCTGTCCGTTTCGGTTCTTGCACGGGCCAAAAAGAGGGTGATCGTGCGTCTTTGACTCTTTGAGGTCAGTTACTTGATGCGTTCCTCGCAGTTAGGCTATGGTCAATGGAGTATGGTGCCACTTGTACTTATTCAGTGAACAGTCTGATTGAAGTAACACTAGGTGTCGCTGCCACGTTTCGCCTGTGCTAGGTTGGGAGCGCGCCACTTCTCAGGCTGGGAAAGATGCACTGCACTGGATACAAACATGAAACACCCACGCGTAGACCTACAGGGTTCAGGTATATTTAGTAACCCGTGGATCAACAACGCGCCTCACTGATAAGTGATAGATCCGGACAAGACTGAAATGAGCGGGGAATAAAACCTACACCGACTCGAAGACACAATACTAATACCAGAATACGGTCCACAAAATGAGAAAGAAAGGTGATCCAATCCTACCTAAGCGAGTAAGCCAAGGTAATGTTACTGGATAAAAATAGGAGCCTAGACTAGAGGCCGGGTAACATTGGTGTCCAGGGCGACCACAAAATAGCTCTTTCCGGAAAGAATCTTTTTTCCACTCGGTCGTCTTTGCACTAGACCTACACTGTGATACTTAGAACAGTGAGTGGGGATTTTGTCATCCAAACGGTTTTGCTGCATCGCCGGTACAGTCATACATGACCGTTAGCAGCCACGGGTAATCTCTGCCTGTGTATGTGTGTGGTGATGGTGATGACGATGATTAGTGGGACTGTGCTAGCATGCATACCCGTCAGTCTTGTGCCAATCGAGCTCGGGCTATCAGCGACAGTGGCAGTGGCAGCGGGACGACAACTACCCGTTTAGCAATGATCCGATGACGGTTACAACGCCTCGGACACAATGGAAATCTCGCGGCATGTGATGGCGGCAGCGATCATCAAGCAGCTACGACGCTCACGCCTAGTTGTTGCAGGGCTGCCCCAATCCAGGCCCGCAACGGCCCGTCAATGGCGTGCGACATCCGACATCGGAGCGACACTGATTGTGTGTTCGAATTCTGAGAAGGTATTCGGGTTTCACAATCCTCTGCCAAGTCACACTGTCTGCAGTCGGTGGCAACACGAGCTCAGTGTGGAGTACTGTCGCGGGTGGAGCTTGTCAAGTCTCTGTGAACGTTGAACGTTGAAGAGTGTCAGCTGTGTCAGTCATCACACGAGTATGACTATTCCATCAGTTCATGACTTCAATCCTCACCTATCACATCGAAATGTCGGCTAAGAGTGCAAGGACTAGGACTAGTAGGAGGGAGGATGGGCAAGCAGCCGTTGTACAGGGGCAATCGACGCAGCATGCAGCAGTGCTGGTGGTCTGGTCCGGCTGTTGCGAGTAGTCCAGGCTGAGCATACGCTCGAAGTGTCCCCTGTGCCTGCTGTAGGAACTAAGACGTAAAATTGCAGACGCGGTCTACCCCGTGAAGTCAAGCTCCTCCCTAACTCGGTGATGTCCTAGAGACCCAGCGATAACAGATGGCCGTGAAAAATGTCTTGCAAGTTGTGCCGTGGCCCTAAGTTCTAGCGGGGACATGAGCACCAGGGCTTGCTGAAGGTTGGTGAATGACGTGTGGTGTGTGTTTGACAGCTGTGACATTCTTGTTTACAAGATGCACTGATGAAGGAATTTCCACTTCAGCACTACACTACACAGGCTCTGACAGTCAGTCCACTGGCCAGTTGTATTGGATCAGCATGATCACTGGGCATTGCTGGGTCTGCCCCAGCCTGTACAGCTGTAGTACAATAAGTAAGTGTAGTCTGTAGTCAGTGTAGAGTGAAGACTACAGTATACCAGAGGCATCACAGAAGATCATGTGACCCAGGATGCTGGCTGTACGTATTGTAGTACTGGTACACAGTATTTACGAACACCTAAAAGCTCTTCTCTACACAGCCACCCATCGGCTTGGAGACAGTGGATCCCGTCAAAGTGACTGTCCTACTCGGCTAGTGAGCGTTTCTTTGTTCCTCAACAGCACGTGTTCTTGCGACATTCTTGCTAGTGGACGAGGAACAAGTATGCCTTGCACATCAACATACCATGGTGTGTGTGTGTGTGTGTGTGTGTGTGTGTGTGTGTGTGTGTGTGTGTGTGTGTGTGTGTCAGCACTGCTGATACCATGTCAAATCGTCCTGTACTGGGTGTATGACATGTCATTGCAGTGTCCATGGCGTCAACTTGGCTACGGGTCATGCTGTTCGTAATGCCCATGCTCTGTCAGGTACATCACTAGCAGTGGCTGGCTCCAGCACTACATATACGATGTCATGTACACATCGCTAACGGTGGAGAGGTCATGTGCCGGCGGAGTGTCATGCAATGGAGACACAGTTTGCCGTGTGAACCCTGCCATATAGGGGCCCAGGAACTACTTGCTAGCCGGAGGACAGACTGCATGCTCTGCCTACTGTGCTCAGCATATTTGGTAGTAGAGCGAGGTGCGGACAGACTGGTTGCTTGTCTGAGGCCCTTGGCTGATCACATGCACGGGCTAAAACTGGCGGCTGTCCGTGAAAACGTGGTCTGGGGTGCAAGAAGTAGGCAAATATTGTCAGGACAGGAGCTGCCTATCGCCCACCCTGCGTCACTGTGACTCTCCGCACACTGCCATTGCCACGTCGTCCGCCACATGTGAGTAAGTCTGAGCCGCACGTGCACATACAGACAGGCATGTGAGTCCATAGTCATACAGTAGACCAGTACTAGTACTGTCCATGCAAACCATGTGTCCTTGTCTTTCTCATTTTTACATCGTTACTATTGGCTCAGTACCCGAGTTCAATTCTATACTAATATCATAGTGAGATCACCTGGCTCTCTATTGAATGGCACTTGACTACTTGTCGGATGTCCTTGATGCAGTACAAGCCACGGAAGTGACATGCATAATATCACCCACCCTGCATGGTCATCAAACATTCATGCTATGATCCATCATCTCTATTATGCATGGCATATTGATCATGTGCAGTGTTGTTCAATGAAATCCAATGGCATGAGTCAAGTATTCGCCTAGCGCTGTGCAGCCCTAGTACCTGCGGACACTAGGATGTGAAGTGGTGTAGGTCACTAACATGATCAGTCACATGATCAGTGGCACAGGGTCGGATTTCATTGACCAGCACTGTACTTAGTGACTGTAGTACTTAGTGACTGTAGTACTCAGTGACTGTAGTACTCAGTGACTGTAGTACTTAGTGCTCAGTGCTCAATGTACTGAATCATGTAAGGGGTCGTCGCAAAAGTTTTCTGTCGTCCCTGAAACGAACATCGTTCATTTCGTACTCAGACCCCCTCCCCTCCCTCTGAAACGAACACAGTTTGCTACGCTGGACGACGAAAATCGCATGCATGTACATGTCATATGTACAGTGTCGGTCGACTTGCGATTTTGGCTCGCACCCCCTCCCCCCCAAATGAATCATGTTCGTTTCAGGGACGACAAAAAACTTTTGCGACGACCCCTAAGGACATTATGTAGATATCTCTAACCATGTTACATATGGTCATGCAAACGTCTGCGTACCTGAGGGTGTGTGTGTGTGTGTGTGTGCGCGCACACTCGTGTATGTGCGCATGTGTGTGCAAAAGAGTGAAGTAGGGGGGGGGGGGGCATGAAACGTTTCTTCCCGCTCGGATCTTCGGGCTGTAACAGTTACTGTGTTTTATCCTGCTGCACATCTTCAGCACAAGATGATTAGATCTCATGGAAACCAGAGCTCATCTGTTTACAATGACTCATGTTTGTGCTACTAAGCATTTAAAACGTGAAGAAAACAGAGTGCTGGACATGCTGCAAGGGCATTGACCTATTGTTGTAACACTTTCAGTTTCTTCCTTGTAGTACTTCAGTAGTAGTACTAGCAGAACCGTTGCATGTGTGCTGGGTCAGACCACACAGTGAAGTTAGTTTGTCCAACTACCAGATCTGTGCATCTCCGCAGGTAACATTGGATTCTGAAACTGATTGGGAGCTCCAGCACCATCAAGGTGTCTGTCACAACTTTCCGGGTGGTCATTGGTCTCTGAATGTCGTGTATTTCCTATGTCCGTTGACTTGTCGCCACTGGCTAAATTCAGACAGCTTGCAACATAGCATTCACTTATGTGCGAGCAATTTCCATTGAGTGGATTGGGATGGGGGTGATATGTTGCCTTCCCCTCTGTACATGTCCAAAAGCAATACCCCTCCCTCTCACGCTCCAGGCCACGTCCAGAGTACATGTAAATTGTATGGGAATACTCCACGATTATGTAGGTGCATCCTACACTACAGCGTGATACACCTGTAGCGTAGCAGCTACTCCATACTGCCAGCATCGGGGTTTCACAACCATGTGGCGAACGATACGATAGCGTTACTATACACGAAGGACGTTCCTAGATTGATCTTCGCTCCTGTGGGATGGAGAGGAGAGATGGAGAGGAATATGAAGTATGAACACCTGCATGGGGCGGTCCAGTGCAAGAGATCTGATCAAAAGGGACCGCACTGACTTGCGACATGCGAGCGCTGCGTAGGTCTCACAGAACACGACCCAACACTGAGCCACACAGCATGCCATTCACACGTCCTTACACTTGTGTAGCTATATTGTAGCAGGGACAAGGTTTTGAGAATTGCGGCCTCGCAAGCTATAGCCTGTAGTAGCCTGTTGGCATTGCTAATCATGAGCATAAATAGTTTTGGATACTAGCAAGAGTTCATGAAGTATGTTGATACAAGTGCAGGCTGTATAACATGCGTATAACATTACGACTGATGCAAACAACATAGAAAATGGACAATACTGTTACGTTATGTTGTGAGGATTATTACAGGTGGGTTCAACATTGCATGATTGGGAGATATTACTACAGTATTAGACAGTTTGTCGAGTCCAGCAGCTAGCATGCGGACACTTCACACCGGACACTCGGTCAAGCAAGTCCATCATCACTGCCACTGGTCTACCTACGTCTACGCAACAGCACAGATGCAGCTCACACGCACTACACGGACGCCTGTCACTGGCGTCACTGCGTGAGAGCAGACAGCTGAGCTGGTCTGGTGTGTGCAGCAAGCAGCTGGGGTCAGCGAGCTACGACCTATCCCACCCACACTAACACTACACTAACACTACACTAACACTACACTAACACTACACGCACTACACAACCGGCGAGTCGCACACAGTAACCCAGTGACCAGGTGACCAGGTGACTGGGTGGATCTACGGGTATAACAGGTAGGGTGTATTTTGGGGGACGGAGTAGGAGGAGATAACTCCTGAGTCCTGAATATCCATGTCAACTCATCACGATAACAACATTGCACTAGTAGGTAGTACTAGCAAGAGTTTATAAGCTGGGAGGTTACACACACAACCATTGAGTCTCAAGCAGACGATGGATCATGTCTCCTGATTCTGAAAGTGAATCCGGTATCGAGGACAAAGGTATTCAGCTCCCCAGGGCAAAACAAGCTGCAATAGCCAGAATACGATCAAAAAAACTAAAAGCAGCAAATCACTAAGTACCAAGAGGACTACAAGGGTCAGGGGTGGTGGATCCGCCCAAACCAAAGCCAGCGTCAACACGGCTGAAGGAACCTCAGAACAAGTGCCTCTACGTCGCTGGGAAAGCTGTCACTGCAATGATTATGTGTGTCAACGATTTTGCAGACGAGGAAGAGCTGCATGTCGAAAGCGAGCGTTGAGGCAAAATTGAAAAAGGATATGGAGAAGTCCAGCATCCAGCCGCTTTTGAAGAAACACTACATGTAGTCACCAGCTGGCAGGAACACAATAATGATCATACTGCTGAACGCGTGGGCGCTAGCATGTCTTCTGTTGTTACTGACGATAATTATAATCAAGCGTTGAGCTGATAATAGTAGAAGCTTTCCTCAGGACTGGCACTGCTGTACTGCGCAGCAATAGCCGCATAAAAACTAGCATTATGACTCAGACTTTCTCAGCATTTTCTGTGCCATGTATGAAAAACTGCACAACGTGCATAAGGCTGTACAAACCAAGCCGTGTTTTACCTGCTTGCTGCTTGCTGCTTGCTGCTGCTGCTGGTGTATTGCTGGCATTATGGATGAACAGCAGCATTGTAAGCAGCATTACCATGTGCGGTTCATCCACCATCCGAAGAGGGCTCAATTTGCCGAAGGCAAAGAGCGGCATACACAGACAGAAGAACGAGCAGTTGCGGTTTCGTAACACTATAAGTAGCATTATGATACTGTTTTACTGGCATTGCCATTAGCATTACCCCACGGATTAAATAGCATTATCCGCCCAGGCCAACATACGTGTACATCCACCAATGTTCTTCACAGCTGAGAATTTCAGCTCAGGTTTGTCTTGGCTGCGCGCACCTTCCCCTCCTACAAGTATGTTATTACTATCACTAATAAGAACCTTCTGATTGGCAGCTAGTTGTAGAACGTCAGAACCATCGGTCAGTGTCGTGCAATGTTATCGCATGAGTTGATTGTCAAGTGCATTGTAACTGGTGGTGTTAGCGTAACTATCTTGTACGTTGTACATGTAGTTCCTTGGTCCTTTTTCTTTCCTATAAAATAATACTGAAGAAGGATCATACTGCTGAACGTGTGGGCACTGGTACATGTACAATCATGTATGTCTTCTGCTGTTCCTGATGATGCCATCAAGCGTCGAGCTGACCTACAATCTTGTACATGTACCAGTATGTCTTTGTAAGTTGGTAGCTTTCCTCAGGACCTGCATTACGGGGCAAGATTCTTCCAAAACACTGAAAAAAGGTCCTATAGCGGACATTTTTCGAAAATCCGGTAGATATTATGATTTTTTATGCCATTGACATTAATTTTAGCATAATCCGCCCACGCTGAGCCGTTGCAGAAACAAGGTACGGAGATCGGTGATCAAGAAGCGAAGTTTGACTCGAGAATAATTCAAGATCCGAGTCTTGTCTCTTGACCTTGTTGTTGATCGAGTTAGGAAGATCTGTCAGGACCCTGACTTGCAGTCAGTCACTGGTTCATTCGTTCAGTACTCGTTACAAGTAATAGTTCAACCTGTACTCGGCTTTAGTTTAGATATCTATCGTCAGAGACCATGAAACTGACGATAGGCATCTAAAGCCGAGCGTAGACGATCATACAGCGGAAGCCATTGGCAACTAACTTGTGCTGGGATTGCACCTTTCAACAGCTTGCAAGGCTGATGAAGGATTGACCACAGTATTGGTCCACACCAGTAACCAAGGTAACACCACACTGAGCTGAGCAAGGCCAGGCCAAGGCCTTTCTGCCACAGCATACCCTACTGCTGGCCCTACTGCTGAGTACTGGTGCATGTACGTAGTATGCACCACTCCCAGTCTCCCACCATACCAGGGAGTCGTCAAAAATAATACGTATCTAATGTTGACTGAGTACGAGGTCAATGATACTAATAGGAAATAAAAGCCGAGTAAAAGACCGAGGCGAAGCCGAGGTCTTTTATTTCCTATACTGACCAAGTACGAAGTCAATACATGTATTAGATTTATCACGACTGACCAAAGCATGTGTTCAATCGCTAAAAAGGAGTCAAATATAAGCGGTCAATATAGCCCTAAGGAGTGAAATATGCAGGAATATTTGACTGCTTAAATTAATTTCACGGTTCGCGTGAGACTCGGCTGGAAGCCGGGTTTTCCGCATCCGTAGGAACGCCACCACCCTTCAAGGATCAAGGCGCAGATGCAGCTCCGGTGGGAGGTGAGTAGATCAGCTCACCAGCAAGTGGTCAAAGACCGAAAATCCCATTCACTGCATCCATGTTTTCCTCGTGCCAGGCCACGAGTTCCCAATTAATTGTGGGTCGCAGCACGGCTGGAAAAAATCCTTCCGCTTCCAAGCAGGACTTGAACCTGGTACCCTCTGTTTCTCAATCATGGTCTTAGACCATCCCTCTATGCCTGCCTGCCTGCTTAGGTATGGCAAAAATCTATGTGAGTCAATACTATTAAAGGGAGTGATAATTTTTAATAGTAATACAGTAATCATGGTAATAGTAATCTTGACTAGTGAGTACTAGTTTGAGGGAAAGACAAAAACGGGAAAAGTCTGAAGAAAAAATTAATACAATGTAGTAATCATGCATGGTTGACGACTCCCTAGTAGTAGTACTTCAGTAGTAGTACATGTAGTACTAGTAGTAGTAGTACATGTTTGCCCTCTCTATGCATAATAATTATGAAATATCATGACTGTATGAATCTATGTATACTATGAAAGTATTATCTGGCACTGTCTGTTTGGTGCAACTGCCATAGCCGGGCATAGCACAGACTCAGTAGATCTACTCTGCTGCACGTCAGGTCACTCCTCTTCACTTCAGAAGTTCAGTTCACTTCCTTCAGCTTCACTAGTATTAATAATGTAGTCTTCAGTTCAGCAGCAAAATAATTCAGGCTCTTGGCTGCAGTGACCATGGAAACTGAACTGCGCTACATGTAACCTGACAACCACTGACTGAGCTTGATAGTTGCCGCTGGGTCCACATACACACTCAGCCGCGATGGTCATGGCAGTCTTGCTCTCACATAATCATTCAAAAACGATCATACGATCGAGTGGTTTGCTGACATCGACAGATCGAGCTTTGAAAGTTTAGTAGGTATTTTTCTAAAATCCATTCAGTATCTATCTTCTCTTCCAGTGCAGTGTCGTCCTTAGCATTACATGAAACATCCGATGCCTTTCTGTCCTGTCCTACCGCAGAACAAACCCTATCGAAGCTAGGGACAGGATGTGAGCTAAGAAACCTGAAGAGCTTGTATCTTGTGCATACGATTGGATTTGTTTCTGAAAACCAGCAGGCGAGCTAGTCACGCGAAGAGCGGTCGCAAGATAGGTCAACTGGCCAGGGCATAGAGATCAGGCAGAGGCCGGGTCTATCTGTGTGTGTCCGCACGCTTGCAGTGAAGATGGCAACGGCCGCTGTCGGCACTGCGCCCGCTCCGCTGGACGCTAACGGTCCGAGACTGTCGGCACTTGAAGTGGCTCACCTGCAGCCTGTTCTAGAGGATTGCATAGACAAGCTAGCAATTATTGGTTACTTGATGCCTCACGGTCAAGGCAAGCTAGGGCAGAGTGGCGCACTACTGCAGAAAAGTGCTCCAAAGGTGAGCAAAGATTAAGGAATAGTTGCATCCTTCCCTATCAAGAAGTGTGGATGACTGCATTAGACGGTGACCCCATTAGTATTACACTATTACAGTATTAGTGCATGGCCAAAACTTAGTGGAAAATAACTACCGACACATGACCATACAAGTTCCACTGCACAATCGTACTCTCATAACGGCACACATACAAGTAGTTGATGAAGATGTCAAACAGATGAAGAAAACTACACCCATGGTTACAGAGTCGTCCAGCTTTACGCGGATACGACTCACCTGATGCTTGCGCCTTATGCTCGCTAAGTACAGGTAAAAGCAAGAGTACATAATCCCCCAGAGTGTGCAACGCCTGATCCAGCTCTGCATAGGGTCTTGGTCGAGCATAATCGGATCTTCTGATGTCATGCGTACACTCCACACCAGTGCAAGGCCGGTCTCGAGGCAGGGCACCGTTGTTTTTGACTCCCCGGGTTCCCCTCAGATGTGTACGGTATTATGACGCAAAGATCCGATTACGCTCGACCAAGACCCTATGCAGAGCTGGATCAGGCGTTGCACACTCTGGGGGAGGGTATGTACTCTTGGTAAAAGCTGTCATCGAGCATAAAACTCAGTTGAAAAAATGTCCCCTCTCTCATTCAGCAGAGCTCTGCTGAATGATCAAGCTCCCCGGCGGTGTTGGGAACTCTTTGCTCATGGGAGTGCTCCACTTGTGTAAGGATACGGTAGTCAGTAGACAACTACAGACAAGTATACAGGGGCGTGCTTGGCGAGGGGCACAGGGGGCAAGTGCACCCCCCAAAAAATTTCGAACGGGGTTTTGAAAAGTCACCAATGTATTGCAGAAAACCCAACCTCGCGGGAGCACATCCTGCACCTGTGTATTGTACATGTACATTGTACTGGTAAGTTGTAGTGCAGTAGGGGCTGTTCTTTCGACACTCTCCTCGCCGAATCCTGTCCAGATACGTCAACTAGTGTGACGATTGTTCTTAGCTATATCCGTGCAATGTGTGTTTGAATCGGCCTGCCTGGCACAGTGCCATCGACGGATTGGTTTTTAAACATTTGTAAAGTTTTCATCCTTTATTTTTAAAAAATTGATATGATACTGTACTGTGTTCATTGTTGATGACATACAATCTTTGTAACATTAATAATGATGTCACATGTACAAATATCTGATGATGTCACCGGTACAACCTTTTGAAAATTGCTGTTGTCTGGAAGTGGTGCACCCCCCCCCCCCCCCCCCCCCCCCGGAAGGGGAGCCGAGCACGCCCCTGAGTAAAGTTACCATTGCCAATGAGCAAGCTTATTTACTGGATCAACTTCTTGTCCTATACATGTACAGTAGTAGGAAATGAAATCCAACCTCGTGTACATGTAGCTGTAGAGCCGTGTTCACTGCAGCACTGCAGCACGGCCCAATATGTACAGTGCCCCTCACCTTCCCCTCTACTGGTTGGATTTCACTTGCTCCACAACACTTGTAGAGTACTTGTGTGGGGTATTTTTAATTGTTTGCATAAACCAACAAACCAACAATGCTGAAACCAACAATGCTGAAACCAACAATGCTGAAACCAACAATGCTGAAACAATGCTGAAACAATGCTGAAACAATGCTGAAACCAACAATGCTGAAACCAACAATGCTGAAACCAACAATGCTGAAACCAACAATGCTGAAACCAACAATGCTGAAACCAACAATGCTGAAACCAACAATGCTGAAACCAACAATGCTGAAACCAACAATGCTGAAACCAACAATGCTGAAACCAACAATGCTGAAACCAACAATGCTGAAACCAACAATGCTGAAACCAACAATGCTGAAACCAACAATGCTGAAACCAACAATGCTGAAACAATGCTGAAACAAAAACTCGGATGTTGAGCCAATAGTAATATGTAAAGAGAAAAGGACCTATAAGTAACAGTTAGTTACGATTATTGAGACATTCGACGACCTCAAACGTCGAATGGTCGAATGTCTCAATATCCTTGTCAGTTTTGTGCCTTGTTGCACTATCTGACTGTATATTACTATGATCTCGTTACCTTGGTTACCTTGGTGGACTGTCTGTCATAACTAGTAACTTATAGGTCCTTTTCTCTTTAAATAATTCTGAAACAATGTGTATTAAAGTAGTGCATTTGCGGGCAGTAGTAATGACTGCAATTGACACCTATACACATGGATGTAGAAGTAAAATGCAGTATTTCAAAGTACACCATACTGCACAGAAGATTGGGACTTGAACCCGCCCCTACTTCTTGTGAGAATAGTGTGTGCTACTCTGTCGCGGTGTGTGTATGTGCGCGTGAGCGTGTGTGTGTGTGTATGTGTGTGTATGCATGTATGTATGTATGTATGTATGTGGTGTGCACTTGTGAGTTGCATTCCACATGCGTAAAACCATACCTGTATGTGCAGACATCTGGCATTGACAGCATCATCCGTGGACAGGACAGTCTGGAGGAGCAGTTTCAGCGTGTAAGCTGCAAACAGTTTGTGTGGTGGGCTTTGCCCTGAATGATTTGCTTTGATCTGGGGGGGGGGGGGGGGGGGGGCAAACCTGCAACACTGCTTAGCTATACATGTACACTGTCATTGGTGCAATCAGTCCATGGCATGTTTAATCCAAGCCATGAATCAGGTTATAGGTACTAGGTCTTGGCCAGTAGTCCGGCCATGAATCCAGACCGTGGGACCAGGCTTGGAGGAATGACGAAAGTTTGCCCCAGCTAACCCAGGATTTCTCGTGTCCACAGGGCTGGCCAATCGCCCGGTTTATGGGAGCCTATCTAATAACATTCCCACCATCTGTCAAAAGCAATAAGAACCGGCCTGAGGACACCACTGCATGTACAGGGTGTGCGTTGTTGAATACAATCATGTGCTGCACATGTACATGAATAGAAAAGGGAAACTCAACCGTGAAGTGACTCAGAGTTTTAAGAACTTAGATGGTGAGCCAAGGAAACTTGTAACATGGAAAAATGTGGGCACAAGTTGTACGATCGAGCCCGCCAATTAAACCAGATTTTGAACAGTCAGACCTGCACAATTTACCACAATACTTGGTTTAGTTGGTGGACTCGATGGCATAATTTGTGTCCACATTTTTCCATGTTACCATTTTGGCTCCGAGTTCGATCTATTAGCGATGAACAGACAGCACGGTGCTGTTGCAGTGCTACAGTGCTGTTTAATAGTCACGTACTAGTATGCATGAAACTCTGGGTCACAGCAAGTTTTGGTTTCCTCTCTCGATACGTGTAACGCTCGTATCTCCACACCGAGGTGTATCGAGCTCTCTTGGGTTGCCGCGACTTGCCCTGACTACAGCACATGTACATGTATGCAGCATCACAACACTAGAAAGATCCGTCCACTGCCCAGTTATCGACTGGATGTAGTCGGTCGCGTATTACGTTGGAGGTGTCAGATTTTAGATAAAAAATCATTTCACTGTTCTACATTTACACTGTATGCACCCGGCATGCCCCGGGAAAGAGTGACTCAGCATCAAGCATTCACTGTGCTGTGAATCAAACACTGCTCCCCAATGCGGATGCTTTGTTCTTTCTGCACTTTACAGGTCATGGAACTACGAGATTCCCGAACAGCAGAACTGCCGGAAAACCAGGACTCTTTCATCGATGAACTTCGCACGCTGGCGAAGAACCTTCAGGGAATCTCAGGAAGTATGTGGATTCCTAGACGCCGTGTGTGTGTGTGTGTGTGTGTGTGTGTGTGTGTGTGTGTGTGTCAATTCTTCAGCCTTGCAAGCTGTCGAATGGTGCAATCCCAGCACAAGTTGCTATGGCTTCTGCTGTAGCATCGCTATCATCGCCTCCGGCGATGGGCGTCCAATGGTCCAATGGTGGTGTGTGTGTGTGTGTGTGTGTGTGTGTGTGTGTGTGTGTGCGTGTGTATGTGTGTGTGTGTGTGTATGTGCATGTGTGGTAGTTTGAAACCCTTACATGGCCAGTGGTTCAGCATTGTCCTGTTCTTGGCGGCAACTCAGAGTACTGCATTACTATACATGTATGATATACAGTAATGCCCAGTCTCCACTAGAAACAGTGTGTGCAGTGCCACTTGAGGACGGGTGCCACTGCGCACACATACCGGTGCATGAATGCCTCCTGAAATAATTTTTGGATGTCATGTGTCCTGTAGAACCCCCCCCCCCCCCCCATCCATTCAATGCCGGTACATGTAAGGTGCTAGTCATAGGGTCTACGTAATCAATCCAATCTGGATAGTTCGGGCAGGTTTATCTCAAGTTCGGGCAGGTGTATCTCAAGTTCGGGCAGGTTTATCTCAAGTTCGGGCAGGTTTATCTCAAGTTCGGGCAGGTTTATCTCAAACATTTACAGACTTTACAGACTAGACTTCTACTTGGCTGAGTATGGCAAGGCTGTTGTGGTCTTTCCCTTCCTGTAGTGTCTGGAAGTAAAGTGGAAGAGCTCAACGACCAAACGACCAAGGACAATCTTGTCAAGCTGCACTCTCACAGGTAAGAGTATGGCTAAGCTGATGGCACACATTGCTGGGTGTGTTGATTGCTGCAATTAGGATTATGTGGATACCAGGGCCCCGCAGAATCTGAAGGGTAGTTTAGCTATTAGTTTTGACATACCTGTACCTGGTGTGTGAAAACTGAAAACTATGATTTGCATAATTATGCTTATGTCCTTAGAATAGGAAGGTAGATACTGAAATCACTTCACAAGCTATGGAGCGAGGTGTCTGCAAGTCACAGACGCCGCTGCAACATTTCCGCTGTCCACTTCTTTGATTCGTTGTGACATGTGATTGATGAGGCAGCTTTGCCAGCTGTCTGATGCTGATACGCAACTGTTATTAATTGTATGTGTGCTTTGAGTGTGGAACAGTTCTAATCCTCTTGGAACTGCTGGGTGATTTAACTTGCCCATGCTGTCTTCTCATGTGTAAGATACTGACCAATCCCCCCCCCCCCCCCCCCCCTATCACACATCTGCACTGACACCCTCCGTCCTGGCTTACTGTTGTGGCGTGTTCTTTGTCCAGGGAAGACATGCGACAGCTGTTTCTTGCACTGCAGTCTGAGCTTCAGACGAGTGGCGAATACCCATGTTTGATGAAGAAAGTGGACTCGGCCGTGAAGCAGCGAGAGAGTGAAGAATTTCTTGTCGAAAAGTGAGCCGAGCGCTGCAGTTTTGTGGTCTATTGGGATCAGAATGGAGCCCTTGTGACACCCCCCCCCTCCCCCTCCTGACACACACATTCCCCAGCCATGGCAATCAGGACATGGCAAGCAGGACATGGCAAGCAGGACATGGCAATCAGGACATGGCAATCAGGACATGGCAATCAGGACATGGCAATCAGGACATGGCAATCAGGACATGGCAATCAGGACATGGCAATCAGGACATGGCAATCAGGACATGGCAATCAGGACATGGCAATCAGGACATGGCAATCAGGACATGGCAATCAGGACATGGCAATCAGGACATGGCAATCAGGACATGGCAATCAGGACATGGCAATCAGGACATGGCAATCAGGACATGGCAATCAGGACATGGCAATCAGGACATGGCAATCAGGACATGGCAATCAGGACATGGCAATCAGGACATGGCAATCGGGACATGGCAATCGGGACATGGCAATCGGGACATGGCAATCGGGACATGGCAATCGGGACATGGCAATCGGGACATGGCAATCGGGGCATGGCAATCGGGACATGGCAATCGGGACATGGCAATCGGGACATGGCAATCGGGACATGGCAATCGGGACATGGCAATCGGGACATGGCAATCGGGACATGGCAATCGGGACATGGCAATCGGGACATGGCAATCAGGACATGGCAATCAGGACATGGCAATCAGGACATGGCTGGGGAATAGTACTCAGTATCCGAGGTACTTGTAAAACACACACTTTCATGGAGGGGAAATCCCGGCGTGCCGCTATGGAAATGACCCCACAGCACTAGTGTACATCTAACCAGATAATGCACTATGTGCGTTCCACTGTCACGGATGTCAACTGACAACTTTCACTAATGTGTTTCGGCACCCTGTACTCGACATGCATACAGTATAGCAGGTACACTTTGTCTGACGGATATGTACCCGTAGTGGACAGGTATGTGAGACTTAAAAAAAACAACTGTACTGGCATAACCGCAATTCTTCCTACTGCCTTATGCTGTAAGGGAGATTCTCTCTCATTTTTTGTAGTCGAGCCCTCTCCCCCTCCCCCCCCCCCCCCTCCTCCAGCTTGAAGTAGAGTTTTATGGAACCGATACCTTTCACGGCTTTCTCTCTGCATCATGTGACCTACGCAGTGAGGCGGTGAGCAAGGACTACCTGGAAAGACTTCAAAAGGACGAGGCAACCCTGCAGCTGAAAGCTGACCTCGAGCTAGGGGTAAATCACTTGATACTGCATGTTGAGCACACTATCATTGTCACTACATGTATTGTACTTGAAGTAGATAGAAACCTTACTCTTATTGCGTAACATGTGGACTTCTTGCATGAACACTTTGAGACAATGTGCACCGTGTAGTGTTATGATTACAAGTTTGCAGCGTTCCTCCTCAATCCTATTGCAACCCAGCGCACATTGTTACACCTTATGCTGTCTGTGTCCAACACGGCTACACTGCTGTTTGAGTTCATCCCAGCAATTTCACACCTGCCATGCAAAGCTTAATCATCCAGTGTACTTGGAAGTGTGCCAATTGTCATGTTCTATACAATCTGTATGGTGTAGGCTGTGAATGGTAAAATCGCTATCCTCAAGGACCAGATTCAGGAGAAGAAGGCACGACTCGCGGCAGACGAGAAGTACATTGCAGAAACCGTGTCGGTAAGGTCTGCTCTGGCAACAATGGAAGTCTGACATTCAATTTCCCATTCAGTTCAACTTGTTTGCTTTTTCAGTAGCAAGACTTCCGTCACTTACTCGCGTGGGATTCATAAATCTATGTTACCACCACTGTGCAACAGGTCTGGAGTCATAGGAATCGACAAACTCACCCATGTAGATCTCTTGACCAGTCACACAACAGATTTGTGGCTGTTTTGAGGAATTATTTTTAGTGCCAAACAGGTTTAAAAATGCAGTTGTCCCCATCGTAGTCTGAAATCCAGAATCTAGGAATGTTGGTGATGTACTAATGGAGATACTCCTAGCCACATACCAAACCATGCGCCAAAGTTAAAATTTAAAAAAAGGCTTTGGTTTCCCCCTGTGTCTGCTTTATGCTCGGATAGGAAACCGTGACCACAGCAGAGGACAAGCAGTATGTCGAGGAGAAGAGGCTGAGGAGTGAACTGAAGGTTAGCGGCTTCTTCAAACTGCTGGATAACCTGTCTTCAGCAGAGACCCCAGCATAGCGTTTTCTCGGTCACTGGGGATATGGTGCGGACGCAGTGCTCATACACAGTTCGTGTTGACTGGTTCCTGTGTGACCTTTTGGAAAAGAGTATTGTGGGAGTCAACCGACTACAGTCATCTTGCAGGATGCCCCAGGAACTTAGTGCATGTGGTGTGGAATTCATTCATAGATGTACTCGAAGTGAGCAAGCCAGTGGAGGGGGGGGGGGGGGGGCATATTCGTAGAACAAGTGAATAAAAGTGAAGGGCATTGTCTGTTGTGAAACCATTATGAATGAAGGGGAAAGACCATCAGACTCTTCTACGGCACGTACACGCACGCACACCGCACAATCTCAGGACCTGGTGTTTCTTGTATTAGTTCTAGGAAGTAGTGAAACTCACTGCACTAGATTATTATTGAAGACTATTCTAAATACACTGTGGGGTATACCAGTTGCGCAGCAAAAGCCCGCACTCGCACGTGCTATCGAAGGCTAGTAATTAAGGTATTACTATTAGAGTAGTCCAACCAGCTGAACACAGCAGCACGAGAAATTACATGACTAGGTAAACACTAGGATCTGACCCGTATGATCAACAATGTTGTTAACAATGATGAGAGTGTGCTCTTAACGTAATTGAGCGGCCCAGATGTTCCAATCAATTACTTCTAACATGCTATCCTTGCAACCCAATCTACTTATCTGCGCAGAGCATACACTGTTGTAACGAATATCATGAACAATGTAATACTTGTACCACAAAGCAATACCGTGCACTAGACTCTAAATACATGACACCACAGTCATCAGTATTAGACCAATGCATGCAAGCAAGATCAGCAGTTATCCTTCATCACCTCCGCCTGGTGGCATGTAGAAACTCACTACCGACCATGCAATTACTGCGTGCGAAAGCGGGCAGGCGGTCGAATGGCAGACCTGTCTCGCAACACTCGCTCGTCTGGAGTATCGCTACTCGGCGAGAACACTACGTATGGCCCGCTGTCATCACTCTCTTCTCCAGCCGATTCCTCCTCTCTATCATGGCGAGGCTCATCTGCTGGGTCCGAGGAAGGTGCAGCTGGCACGTCACGCTTCAGCAGGTCGATGTTGATGACCTTCTCCTGCAAAACACCCTTGAACCTCCGCCAGATGACTACTGTCGATCCTGACAAGACCTTCTTGATACGCCAGCCACATTGGTATGGAGGAGTACACTTCTGGCGCCTCTTTGGCTGCTGGAGGAGGACGCTATCATCAGGCGCGAACGGGCACTCATGCTCGGATTCACAGTGGTCTTTCTCGGACATCTCCGCATCAAGCAGGTCGCGAACTCTCGCACACCTCGCTGCATGCTCGTCCTGCCACTCTCTGGGATCGGATAGGTTGATGCGGGCGCTCACCAATGCTCGAGGCTGCCACCCGATCATTGCTTACATTGGTGAAATGCCGATGGCGCTGTGGATGCGGCTGTTGTAGTAATGTATCAGCACCGGGAGCTCGGCGAGCCAATCCGTTGATTCTTCCAGGACCTTCCTTATGAGGCCGAGCAGTGTGCGATTAAAACGCTCAGCCATGCCTTGCGTCTGTGGGTGCCTGACAGCTCCGGTCTTGACCTCAACACCAAACACACGCAGAAGGGCCTTGACAATGTAGTTGCGGAACTCCCGGCCATTGTCCATCCGGATCACATCTGGCGTTCCCCATCTACAGCACAACTCGACAATGGCATCGGCCACGCTCGCACCATCGTGCCGACGCAACGGGACAACTTCGGCGTACTTCGTCAGGGCATCAACGCAGACCAAGACGCAGTGGATTTCCCCGCTCTTGCTCGCCCCAAGCTCCAAGGTGTCGATCTGAACACAGCCCCACGGTCTCCCGGGCATATCTGGTCGTGTCGCTGGCGCCGCTTGTCCTCCTGCGGCGTTCGCAGCCTTGCAACGCTGGCAGCTGCGGACATGTTGCTGGCATTTCTCGGCCATGCGTGGTAGGTAGCAGCGTTCACGCAACATCTCGTACATATTCTGCCATGAGGCATGGCCGGAGTTGGTGTGGGCAGCGCTAATAACAGACTCTTCCGCGGATTTAGCGATGACAGGAACGAGGATTTCACCCTCAACAGGCAGCTTAACGCTTCGGAGCAGGACGCCATCCTCGACGACGAGCTGACTTGCCACGCTCCTGTAACCAGCATCGCGAACCGCCGATCGGGTAGCCACCTGGCTGGCGACACGCTGCACCACTTCGTCTTCCAGCTGGGCTGCCGCCACGGCGTCAAACGAAATTGGGCCAACAACTGTCGTTTCGCACACAGCGCCGGCGGTGACGTCGGGAATGCTACCCACGGATCGAGTAAGCCAGACGCTTGGAACTCGGGTCAGGGCATCTGCAATGTTGGAGTCAGACGACACCCATACAACATCCACTGCTGCTCCAATCGTGTCAATCATATCGCTGACAATGTGTAGGCGCCTCTGCACCAACAGGTCATGCAAGCCAGTGGTCTTCACTCGTCGGACATCGTTGATCACTTGCTTCAGCCACCCGAAGACGGTCTTGGAATCAATCTTCAGCGTAATCCGCTTCACATTCCACTTCGCAGCCAGATTGAGACCCAGGATGGCCGCCTCCAATTCGGCAATATTGATGTGCCTCTTGTCCTGGTGTGGTCGTAGCTGCGTGGTATCCTCCACCACCTTGCCGTCAACCTCCAGGGCAGCACCAAGGCCCAGGCCGGACGCATCACACCACACCGTCCATGTGTTGCTGTCGCCAGCAGAGATGCTCCACGTTCCCTTTGCTGGGTCGACTTCGGCTAGCCGCTTCTCAAGCTCCTCGCAGCAGACCTGGATAGCCGGTGGGACTGGATCATCCCAGGACGCATCGTCCGCCGAAGCTGCTCTCTTCAAGAAACTGCAGGCAGGTCGCAGCCATGAGCATACCGGGTAGTGGCTTGTCAGTCGTCCACACCATTGGAAGATTCTCCTCCTAGTTGCCGGACGCTCCAAGGTCATGGCAGCTGGCTCCTTTCGCGACCAGGACGTGTCACCACTGGAAGACTTGGTCAGCTGGAGGCCAAGGACCCGAGCCTCTGCCAGTTGCTCTGCGGGCTTGGTTGGTAGGCCGAACTCATTCAGTGCACCAGACACCTTCGGCACCAGGGCACTAGGGACCAGCAGGTCGTCATAGTAGTTATCTACTCCAGGATACGGCTGGGTGACGTACTTCACAACGGCATCCATAAACTTGGGCGCTACCGCCAACCCGAATCCCATTCTCGTCATGACGTGAGCTTCTCCCTTCCAAAGCACGACTTGGTAGCGGTACAGCGCCGGGCTAACCCGGATCTGGAGGTATGCCTTCCTAATGTCGAGCAGAGCATAATCCTCTCCTGCCTGACGCCATCGACGTAGCGTGTCACCGCAGACTGGTGGGTCAAAACCAGGGTCAGAGTGGAGCTTTTTATTCAAGTGACGGTAATCCAGGCACGGCCTCACCGGCGTCGTCTTGTGTTCTTGCGGAACACCGATGAGCGGCAGCACACATGCTGGCTCGCCATGTAGCTTCGGGTCGTGCTTGATCAGCCAGCCGTTGTCTATCCAGGATTGCACCTCACTAACAAACAGGCGCTCTTGCTCCGGAGTCAGGTTCGTCCTGCTGTACTCTCCGATACCCGGGCCGAGCGGCATTGCAGGAGGTTCACCATCGAGCCACTTCCAGGTCAGCTCCCATTGCTTCTCAGCAGGGCTCCAGGTCACGTCGCCGTCCGCAATACTGAGCATAACCTTGCCCTCGTCAGTGGTGCTGACTTTCACCCGACGCGACGGATGGCCAGATCGACCATCATCATTCTGCCCCTTCGGGGACAGCCGATCGGCAGTGGCTGCAACAGTGTCGCTGGCTGCGGCTCCAAACACAACTCCGCAAAGCTGTCCATCACTACTATACTTCAGTTGCAACCCACCGCTCCGCGAAGCGACATCCGCTCCAATCAGCACGTCAGCACGGACAGTGCTTAGGCTTTCAACCACAAGCGCTCGTACCTTGACTCTGGGAAGGTTGACAGGCCCGTCGTTTCGCTCTAGAAGGACCTCTAGATGCCCCAGAACTTCGATTCGATTGCCGTCCAGAGCCACAAGGTTGGTCTCGAGAGTGTCTGGGCCGTCGTACGTGAGGCTGCTGCGGTCCGCGAATGCACGGCTGATCAACGTCCTCGTCGAGCCCGTGTCTACAACCGCTTGTCCGCGTGCACGTGCGCTCACAATGGACGATTCCTTGCCGACGTTGTCACCAGACGCTGCACTTACACCAACGAAGATTTTTACCAGCTGGCCTGACTTCTCGCTCCCATGCCCCATGTACAGGCAGCGCTCCTCCGCAGGCTCACCTCGTTCCACGGAACATTCCTGCGGGGAAGACGTGCAGGCTGCCGATGGTGATGGCTGACCGGTGACTTTGCTTGACCTCTGGGCCTCCCAGGCCCTCCGTTCTTCGCAGTCTGCTTTCAAGTGGCCAGGCTTGTCGCAGAAGAAACAAGTGAGGCCAGGCCGCACGCCACTTGAACCCCCCGCCGCTGAGCTCCTCCAAGCACCGCGATCGTAGCCAGACTTCGCCTCCGGGCAGTTTCGCCGCACGTGACCAAGCTTATTGCAACGGAAGCAAAGCACATTCCGCGTACCAGAGCCTGCCGGCCCGGGGCCACTCGCGCCACTTGCAGCTGAAACAACATCATCCTCAGTTCCAGTTTGCTGCAATGCTCGAACCAACTGCAGGCACAACGATACGTCGTCGCCTTTTCCAACCAGGGCAAGGCGCACTTGCTGCGCCATGGATGAAGGTAAGCCGTTCAGGATTTGCTCTACGAGCACGCTGTCTGCATCCGCGCCCCTTCCAAGACCTACCACCGCTGCTAGCCTCCTAAGGTCGGCAATGTACCCATCTGGGGATTCATCCAGCTGCAAGCGGCGCGCAACAAACAGCTTGTATGCCTGCGACTTCGTGAGGCAAAACGCTTCTTTCATTCTTTTCTCTACTTCGTCCGGTTTCTTTTGGTCCGCGTCGTCCATGGCGTTGTAAACCATAAACGCATCGCCGTCCAAGTAGAGCGGAAGCTGCGCCATCTTCTTGTCGTCTGAGTCCCACTTCTGGTTTGTGGCCAAGAACGCGAACTTGGCCCAAAACACCTCCCAGCTGTCGCCCTTCCCTCTGTAGGGGCGCAAGAACCCTTCAATCCTCGCCGCCATACTCCTCACCGGACCTCTCTCCAGGAAAACCCACAGCAGTACGTTCTGCCTATCCCGGGTTTCGGCACCAAGAGCTGAAGGGGAAAGACCATCAGACTCTTCTACGGCACGTACACGCACGCACACCGCACAATCTCAGGACCTGGTGTTTCTTGTATTAGTTCTAGGAAGTAGTGAAACTCACTGCACTAGATTATTATTGAAGACTATTCTAAATACACTGTGGGGTATACCAGTTGCGCAGCAAAAGCCCGCACTCGCACGTGCTATCGAAGGCTAGTAATTAAGGTATTACTATTAGAGTAGTCCAACCAGCTGAACACAGCAGCACGAGAAATTACATGACTAGGTAAACACTAGGATCTGACCCGTATGATCAACAATGTTGTTAACAATGATGAGAGTGTGCTCTTAACGTAATTGAGCGGCCCAGATGTTCCAATCAATTACTTTTAACATGCTATCCTTGCAACCCAATCTACTTATCTACGCAGAGCATACACTGTTGTAACGAATATCATGAACAATGTAATACTTGTACCACAAAGCAATACCGTGCACTAGACTCTAAATACATGACACCACAGTCATCAGTATTAGACCAATGCATGCAAGCAAGATCAGCAGTTATCCTTCATGAACATGCAGGTAGAAAGCAATGGCAGATTGGGGGGGGGGGGGGGGGGGGGTGGCAAGGGGCGCTGCGCCTGGTCGCAACTCTCAAACCTTTGGCCATGATTCTTTTAAAAGGATTGTAAAATTAATATGCAAGTTTCCGACTGCATAGTACTGGCATGCATATCTTACTCCATACAGTGTAGTCAAGCCAATGCCATTTGGGCACTATAGTATCTTATTCAGTTATTAGGCGAATGTCTGTTATAGCCACCACTATAATTAATCCAATCTAATCCATCCTTAATTCTAGTTCCAGAGTTCCGTTTCTATTGAATCCCCGCCTCCCTGAACACCAGCCTCTGTGACAGGTAATCTGAGTTCAGTGTAGTCCATACAATCATGTGGCTCAACACTTCCCCACCCGAAATTATTATATATTTTAAACTCTTTGCATTGTAGAAGTTGGCGGCAGACATCAAACGCAACAGCGAAGATCATGAAGAAACCATGGTACTCTTGGGAAAGTTGTACGAGGTGAGTGCTAGAAAGCGTACGGACCGTTTCGCTGAAACCCGGGAGGCAATTACTCCCACCCCAACTCCCCGATCTCCAGCACGCACGCAATCTTCATGTTTTAGCCACTTTCCCGGGCCTTGCGGCCCACTGTCTAGCCGTGAGGGAGTGTCCGCTTCAGCACTCTAGTCACGCGGCTGTGTTTGCTTACATTGACACTTCAGTATGACATACATGTACCTCCAGGGGACATAAAACTCTGTACCCATTATAGCCAGGGCACACTCTATTGTTGTATTATCCAACTGGTCGAATGCGGACTGCTACAGGATACTGCTCATGGTCCTAGAAATCGTATTTTGTATCTCTTGATGCATGGAGAAAAGTATGTCGTATACAAGATACTTCATTCTATATAACATACTCTTATACACACTCAGTGATGGATGAACTTCACATGGTATACTGTGCACTGCATATTACACGGCATGCCAGGAACTATCTGCAAAGCTGATACACTGGAGCAACAAGTATGACGAAGACACCATGGAGCTGCAAGAGCGATTGGATGCGCTGCAGGTATGATTGATGGTGCTAAGCTGGTCTAGTCTATGCATGCCCGTGGGTGCAGCAATACATACACATGCAGTTATGCATACATATGCAGTACATATACATGCAGTGCATGCAGGGCAAGACTGACCGGACCAGTGGCGACTCTGGCCTGCAGTGGAGAGGTGTAAAGTGGTAGGGGATATCCGTGATGAATAGCCCTGCTTGAGTAGCTGGCCAGAGTTCTGTGCCAAGCGGCTCGCCGCACTCAAGCACAACACAAGAAGGGAGTGGTGCCACTGCCTTTATGCTACTTGTACACGTCACTGTCCCGTAAGACTAAGAGTACGCATTCTGGGAGTACACATACGCGTACACATACAACAACAGAGGCGAAAGGCTGTGCAGCTGTAACTTCAAGTTTCACACATTTCAGCGATCATCCGACAGCGGCATTTGGCATTAGCTTGTGTTTATTCTGGAAGTATAACTTACACTGTACCTCACAACCATCACCTGCGGATGCATGCTCTTTTGCTAGCAAGGCCCGGCATAGCCTGTGGGAGTAGACACTGCAGCACTGCCTACTTTGTTAGTATCCCGGGTACCTTCTATGATTTCGTGTCAGAATCTTAGCTCCCTTTGTTTGTCATACTACACGGCATCTACAGCCGATGAGCGGTAATTGACAACACATGTCCCTATCATCACTCGAATGACAATACTACGAAACATACCGGCTCTGACAGTCTCAGCACAACACTGCTAGGCTGTGAACTGGGCCTACAGTGGGTGCAGACATGATAACGAAAGAACAAATGGAAACTTCCAATCGACATAGCTGGGAAGCACATGTGATGATATAAAGCAATGGATAAATCAGGTATACATGATCCGTTTCCTAATGTGGGATGGACCAAATCAGTCATTTGCTACAGTTATTCATTATCATTCTGTCCCACCCTACTCGGATGTGCCAGTTAGACTTCCAACAAGTGACGATGAATTATTTGTTCGAAATATTCTGTAGCTGTTCACTTCCCCAGCATGCACATTGATCGCATAACAAGAACACAACACACTTCGAACCTCGCCGCATCCGTTCTCTGCCCGTCAATCATGATGTAAGGGCGATGGCACAAGAGCTCATTACCGGCTTCTAATGCACTTGATGACGCTACCATGTGATCAGCTAGTCCGCCCATGGCCCCGCTGTGTAGTGTTCCATTTACAGATTGCGCGGCGTACTGTCTATGTTCCACTATGGTCACAAGTCTGTTCAGGTTATTCAGACGCGGCTGGTTGGTGATGTGATTACTTTTCAGTACTCTGGGCTGCTACCTGTGGAGACGGTACCACCGCTGATTCAGTTAGGCCGTCGCGCAGCGGATAGCCCTTGCAGATGAGATTCACGCAGCTTTGTAAAGCTTTCTCGATGCTGACGTACATGGGGATGTTCCGCTCCCTGCATACATTGCGCAGATATGCACGTCCTCGATTGTAGTCTTGTACCGCTGTCCTTGATAGCGCCTCTCCGGCAACATTACCATCCTCTGAAACATCCTGCCCAGTGGAAACAGCAAAGAACATAGTTGGGCTTAGGTCACAGTGAAACTTAACAGGATTTTTCGCTGTTCAGTCTCGGCAGGATAATGGTAATTGATTTGATTTTGCCGTGCTAGTCATACTACTTGTGGATGGGAAGGTCTTTGCAGCTAGGAAAAGGTGTGTTTTTGTGTTTGGGCAATGGCAGAAATCTGTTCTTTTAAAAGCAAAACACTGGAGTATATGTGATACCCGATCAGCACAATCTACAAGTACACTGTACGTGCAAGTACTGTACCTGAATGTATGTGATGATACTCTGTTGCATTAGTCCAATGTTGAACGAGGCATCGACAAGCGAGGCAGTGCTCCGTGTCTCGGACGTGATCACAAACAGCAGAACTCCGAATGTCTTCATGTAATTTATCTGCTCCGGAATGTTTCCGAACTCCCAAGTGCCAGGTGCCTGAAACGACAGCCAAAACAGCATACCACCTGGCCATAAAGGGATATAGCTCGCTTTTGTGGCTTGCTTTTGTTTGTGCTGGCGTGCATCCAAAATATCTGGTTTTAATGCGAGCCTAGTCCTCACATCGGCTTCTACAAGAACATGCCCCGTCTACTATATCCGACATAAGCAGGCGTATTGGGATGGCCTAAGACCATGATTGAGAACAGAGGGTACGCGGTTCAACTCCTGCTTGGAAGCGAAAGGATCCTTAAAAGGGTGATGACGTTCCTACGGATGTGGAAAAACTCAGTCTAGCTGAATCCCACGCGAACCGTGAATGTTTTCAGTGTGCATTCTGGAAATGACAACAGGGGTAACTCACTGTTTGTGGGTTGTAGAATGCTACACCGGCCCGTTGCAGGTGTGGAATAGCGATGCGCTGGCGCCAGGCCGTGTTTCCGCAGCTTCCTCCGAGGAAGACCATCTGCCCTGGATTGTCGACGTCATCGATCAATGGCATTGGGCTGGGGAAACGGTCCCTCATCCACCTGCGTGCCGAGCTGACAACTGTGTGTTTGGCAGACGATAGCAAGGTACTGCAGCTAGACGGATTTGGCTCCTGAAAGGCGGGCAGCATAGCTTTCCACCCCGGTGCTGCGTGCTCCTTTGCTTTCAGGAACATGAGTGCTGCAAACGACATGTACTCGCTGTAGTTGAGCGTTATCATCGGAATGGTGACGTCAATGTCACTGCTGCTGATGCCGTGTAGGCGCATGATGGATTGGCGTGCTCTTTTTCCGGACATCCTGTAGCACTGTCCGTCGTCACCTGTTGGCTCAGCACCGCTCATGAACGCTTGGTTTGCTGCGTTGATCGTAGAGCCGAGTCGCATGCCGCTCTCTTCCCAGGATGGTAGATGTTGCGCTGCGACACCCTCGCTACTGGTCAATGTCTCGCGGATGGTGTCCAGCGCGCCCTCCAGGCTGCTGTAGACACGGACACCATTGGACTCGGCATAGTCCACCAGCAGTGCGCGTGCGTAGTTCAGCTCCAACGCCTCGTCTTCACCCAGCTGCACGGCACAGTCCGCTCGACTCGGGTGGCGCTTGTATGTCATGCGCATCACGGGAGCAATGCCGACGCCGACCGCACACAGATAAGCGGCATCGATGAGCGACGACACACAGCGCGTCTCCTCGTCCACCAATACCAGTGATATCTTAGCCTGCCGCTTGGCCTTGCTCTCCAGATCAATGACGCCTTCATACCACTCTCTTACCTGTGAGTGACAGCACGCGTACGTAGACAATACTACAAATGAGGTAAAACGGGGCCTTATTGCGACTCGTGCTTCACGCTCACCCGATCATCAGGCAAACTCACTCCTAGTGCATGTACTGCATAGACACTACTAGACGATGTGAACAGTACATGTACACAAGGGAAATGTTCTAGCTGCCAGGGCACACGCAACTATCTATGCTGAAGTTGTCAAACAGCTACTAGTATACTTCGAAGTGCAACAGAATTTAAAAGTGTGTCCTACTCAGTAACTTGCACATTGACAGATCCGTTTCTCTAATTACAAACCCACTACTCACCTGAGGATTGTGGTAGGTGATGTTGTGCTTCTCCATGAATGGTATTGCGATGCGCTCGCGCCAGTCGGTGGGGTTACACGCGCCGCCCAGGAACACCGCCTGTTGCGAGTCCTGCAGCGGCTTGATCACGGTCTGCAGGATGCGTGGCTTGTCGGGCCTGCCGGGCTGCGTGCGGCACTGCCAGAACGCGTGAAGGAACTGCGCAGCGTACCAGCAGAACTCGCCGTACAGCAGGCACAGCTTCTCCGGCATCTTGTCAGTGTCAGTGCAGCAGGTGTAGCGCGCCTGGCACTTCATGGCCGTCACCATGATCTCCACCACCTGGCCGAATGTGACGCACATGCCCAGGTCCTGGAACGCGTACAGCGCATCGCAGGCACTCAGCCAATCTCCCTGCGAGGACGACTTGCGTACCGCCACCTTCGCCGTTGTTAGGAACTGATCAGACGGGATTTGAACCAGCGGATTATCAGCAGCCATTGCTTACTTGAATGTGTGCAACAACACTGCTACTGCCCTCTGCGGAAGTTCTTCAACAGTTCTGATGTGAAAAGCAGGGCCTCATACTGTAGCACTGTTACCATGGTTACGGTTTTAGGGCAGTACGAACAATTGCCAACAGACCAGTACAAACATGATAGTACTGCAAGGACACACGGATGAGACTACCTCTGTAGAGGGACGGTCTTCTCTACATGCACGTTGGAGTGTACAGAATTGGTGCAAAGACTTGCACATGTGATTCTGGTACTTATAGCAAGGATGGTGCGCACCACACCTCACACTCCCTCCCTAACTAACCTAGCAGTTAACACTGTTTGGAGGTTGATAGTGGTAGCATTTGGATTTGGATGTCGCATTCCCTTACACAGCTGCCTAATACCCTACCCCCGCCTATTTAATTGTCACGCCGGCTATGCACCTTGTCTTTCATATCGGTGTCACCTGAGACACTGGCGGGAGATCACCAGGCAAAGCTCCTATCATCACACAGGTTATGTGCAGGCAGCCAACACTGAAACTGGACCAAAGTATTAATATTATATGTCACAGTGTCCGTGTCGAGGTGAAATGCACTGCTGTGACATAGTAACATAATAATAGTGTTGTTGACATCACCATCCAGCCGTGTACTTAGCATTACATGCACGTGCTGAGTGGTTAGATAATGGCCTCTGAGCAATTCGGTGCTGTTTTCCCATATTCATCCTGATATTAGGGACAACTTGGAATACCGCTTATTGTTTCAGAGAGTTTTAAAAGTAGCTTTCCAACAGGTGCTATGGATGGGCACGTGTGGAGAAATTATAATGCAGTGTGTTGTACTTTACACAATCATACAAAATAGTCACGGTGTCCTTGTTAGAGCTATGCAGTACAGTACAGTGTACACTGTATTCGAAGAGCATGCTATTCTATTCAGTACTGATGCTAGTGTTTGCTGTGCTCTTGCCTGATTTCTACCTTTGACTTGAAGGCCCAAAAGGAATCAGATTTACAGAAGCTCCAGGCTATGACCGAGACGGTAAGTTCTGCCCACCTCTCCTAGCTCTAGTATGTCACAGTGCAGCATCATGTTCACCAGGCTATTGATCTGACGTACTTCAGTGAATGATTAGCCTCAGCCCTGGGCCAGGAGTGAGGCTTAGTAACTACATGGCTTCAAGATGCGTGTACAGATGAAGTAACGTTACATGACCTCTCTCCATATGGCTCTTGATCGGTGTGCATCTGTTCATAATTTCTTTCCAGTATAAAGAGTATGAGAAGGTGGTAGACGAGGATCGAGAGGAGAAGGAGAAGCTCGCTCGAAAGCATGCCAGAGAGCTGCTAGAAATTGCCAGCGTCACGAAGGTAATGTTTTGGCACGGGCATTTGTGCGTGTGCATTTCTCGACTGTTGTAATAGGGTGTGCATACATGCATGCATCTCTGTGTGTGGTGGTGTGTGGTGTGTGTGTGGTGGTGTGTGGTGGTGTGTGGTGTGTGTGTGGTGGTGTGTGTGTGTGTGTGGTGTGGGGGGGGGGGGGGGGGGGGGGCAGTTTGTATGACTATTGCCGGTATTGGAAACCAGCCGTATTCATTAGTGTTTCCCAATGAAACAGTGTGCCATGTGTAGACCAGTCAGTCATGCAGGTCATCTGTATAGAATGAGCCTTGCAGTGGCCATGCGACGTTGTAATTTGCTACATGCCATCTTTGTCCTGACACGTGCACATGAGTTCAGTGAAATCTGATTGAATAGAATCATGAAGCCAGGGCTTTTCTCCAGCGTAGGGCCCACTGTTGTTTCAGTGCCGCAATGGCTACATTGCGTGCAGGGCTAAATTGCGCATGAGGTCAATGGTTGCCATGGAGCAGCACCGTACTTCCATATTTCCATTTGCATGCATTCTCTTGTTATCCGTTCATGTATTCCTGTAGATCCAAGCATGGTGGCGGGGTCTTTTGGTGCGACTCAAGCTTGGACCATTCAGCACGAAAAAGAAGAAGAAGGGCAAGGGTAGTGGCAAGAAGAAGAAAGGCAAAGGCAAGGGTAAAGGAAAGAAGAAGAAGAAGAAGTGAGCGATGCTATCGACGACTCCAAGCAGTGCTGGTTGCTGGTGATCAATCATGGCCTGGGTGGCAACGGCTGTTGTGATGTGCCTTCCTTCTGCCGACACTGTGCACGTAGAGTATGCAGTATTACTCCTTTGAGTATGATGCAGGCAACCACAGCACAGCACTACCGCTGACACGATGATAGGGATTCTGCTGGAACACCTACCATCCTTGATTCACTGAGCGTTGTGAAGGAATGGAACACCTACCATCCTTGATTCACTGAGCGTTGTGAAGGAATGGAACACCTACCATCCTTGATTCACTGAGCGTTGTGAAGGAATACTGCAGTGTTTTGTATTGTATACTTTTAAACGCCGGGCTCTCCAGAGGCAAGTGGATGATGCCTATCGAGGACATTTCGTAGAGAAAACTGCAGATGAAAAAGCATGAACGCTAGAAAATGCTTCAAATAAAGTTGATTGTGCAATAATAGTATTTGCCGTTGCTGCACATTTTTACTATAGACACGAATCCCCTTTACTAGTAGTCACCTGTAGTCTTGTACACGCATGGCTGGCTGACTGGCAGATGTCTAGCCTATATTGTCTTTTCCCGGGCACACTGGTATTTTCAAGTCCTTATTTCAACACTGCGGGATCTCTCTCTTTCTCCTCTTTCCTCGAGTTGTTCTGTGTCAAGTTTGTACCGGAGCTACCACACTGTTGCTCGTTTACCATGCTTTGCGGCATGTGCATTTTTACTACAGTAAAACACTCACGCAGTCGTAAAATATAAAAAAGTATTTTACGACTCCCTGCTTGAAACCAAATGATTTCCCTGGTTTCAAGTATTATAATATCAACAAAAAATGCACCAACTCAGTGCTGATTCTGTGATACGCGTTTGGTCTTGAGACGATTCTGATTTCAAAGCCGCATCCGTGTTGCATGCCATTGACTGTGACTAGTAACAATATAAACTAAAATAAGCACAGATGCTACTAGCAAATTCGTGTATTGCGAAAATAATGAGTCAAACAGTTAAAAAAATAAAAATAATAAAAAAGTTGGCTGGAAAATACTGCCCTGTACTCATGGACAGAATTAGAAGGAGGAATCCTAATCATGGATATGATTGCAAAAATGCTACGGAGAAGGGAGGGATTGGAGAATGCTACAGGTCCAATCTCCAGACGCTGCAGCTCATGACAGACAGGTCACCAGCACTAGTCTGTCAAGCTAGAATGTCCGGTTCATTCCTATTGCTAAAGAAAAGTAGAAAAGTAGATGTTTGGCTAATACAAAAGCAGCAAGAATAAGATTACTTATTCCTTTCCTTAGTTAAAACGAGACTTTATATTGTGGATTCGCTGAGATTTCCAAAAGGTAAGCACAAGCAAACGACAGCAGTTTCTTGTGACAACGACACATGCCACCATCTATAAAAGTAGTAAAATTCGTAAAACTAGATATCGAGTCGAGTACCGCATTTTCCGGGGTATAAGCCGCACCCCCCCCCCCCCCCCCCTTTTTGAGGCAAAATATTGACTAAAAGTTGGTATTCGGAGTATAAGCCGCACCCACAAACCAAGATTTTTCACACTCATTGACAAATGGCCTTTCTACAAATTTATTATGGTTATGGAGCTAAATACCATGTTAGATCAGATTATGAAGTGTTAGTGCACCACAGGTTGCTGCAGAGATGTTGGTGTATTGCTGTGTTGACTACAGATCACTCCATGTCATCTGCACTATCTTCAGTCTCGCTGCCACTGATGTTGATCAGCAACACAGGCGCGAAGCTGAGTCGAATGACATGTCACATGACGTCAGCATGCATACTGATGTATGCTAAGCATTCATTCGCGCAAGCATATTCGGTGTATAAGCCGCATGTGCGATTTTGGTCCGATTTTTAGCGAAAAAAAGTGCGGCTTATACCCCGGAAAATACGGTAGTTTGAACACGATAATGTTGCCCACTATCTGAGACATGTGTGCTGACTAAGGGTGAAGTGAGGGAATACTAACAGTACTGCAGGAATAGATACGCACACCTCGTACTTATCCTGGTTGTGCTGTGCCAGAGCTGAAGATCCTCGGGTATTCATTGGAAGCTGAGAAAATGCAAGCGACCGAATTTAACGTCATCAGCGGTTGTTGCGTAGCCGATGGTGCACGGGCTTCGCATGCCTTTCTGCTGCTGCGGCACCCGTTTCCTAGCTGCGTATCATTCTGATTCTTGCATTCGCACCCATTAGCACGGCAAAGCCAAAGCGTTCAGAGGGCATGTGAAAGCCGATGTTCTGACTGCAGCCGCTTCTCTGGTGTATTCCCGTCAGCACGTACTGTTGAAGGTCCATCTGCAACACCAGGATGTCGCCGGCCCGCCACGGCTGACCTAGCTTGCGAAAGCTACCGGCGCACTGCCTCGAATGCACCTTGCCGGTCATTTTATGGCACGGCCAGCCGATGAAAGGCGTGCGCAGCTTTGCAGCTTGACCATTCTCCTCCGCAATTATCCCAATGAACAGTCCGAGGCCAGGTTCAAGAACTTGAATGGAGCACTCTATCACACCATGTGAATAGCTACCCAGGGTAGAAACCATGCCGTAACCGTCGGCGACTCGCGATATCTCATGTCCATCGTTGGACAGGCGCACGTGTGCAGTGTCGCAACTAAACGGATCGAATGTCGGATGCACGTGAATCGGCTTCTCCGCCGTCGTTCCGTCCCGGCTGGGTGTGGTGCTGCGTCCGTCACAGCCACAATCAACTAATTCGCCGAGATCAGCCGCACGACTTCTCGCACAGTCGGCAAAGGGCACGTAGGACACATCAAACGGCACTCTGAGATCATGTGCAGAGAGTTTGGCACTCTGTGTACAATTGACTACATCACTGACCTGCTTCTCCAGGGTCTTCTCCGCTGCCAGAAGGCTGCTATTGCCAAGGTTACGTAGCAGGTGCTCACAGCGGTCCAGCTGATATTCCTTCTTCTTCACGTAGGCAGATTGCTCGTCCAGTTGTTTCACTGCTGACCAGTGCAGACTGTCCAGTTGATCAATCAGTGCTTGTTCTCTCTGCTTTATGTTCTTCACGTGCTCGGCAAAATCAGCAGCAATATAGTTCGACAGATGCTCCACTCTGTCGTGAATTTCCCTAGTCTGCGTGCTAACAGCATCGCTAGTTTTACCAAGCTTCTCTCTCCAGGCACTGCCTAAGGTGCTCAGCTGTGTCTTCCAGATTTCCCGCTTCCTGTCGGCTACCACCTGGATCTCTTCCATCGGTGAGTGGTCGCAGTGCACTTTCTCGCGGCATCTCTGACAACACAACTGTTCGCACTTGCCGCAGTATGCATCCACCGTGAAGCTCGGGTGCAGCATGCACTTGGGCTCTGGTGCGCCAGTGCCGTCGCCCTCGCCGAGGCTGGCCAGTGCAGTGACTGTTGCTGCAGCCAGCTGTGTGAGCCGGTGGCCACGCGTGCTCCTCTTTTTCAAATGCACCCTGCTATGGCCGTCACACAGGTACAAGTCACAATCCACGCACTGCGACACTGCCAGCTCCGAGTCGGAGTCTTCTATGCACTGAGGATCTTGGCAAACTGGTTGTTGCTGCGCTTGACACTGGGGACCTAGTCCCAGGTCATCACCACCGTTATTCTCGTGTGCTTCATCCGTGCCACGTCGCTGATTTATATCCGGCCTAGGCCAGTCCACGAGTGAATCTTCCAGTCGAATTCCCGGAAGGGCAGAGCCTGCCACTGTCAAGCATGTGAAACAAGAAACTGTCCCATCTTTGGTGACATGTTCGCGCAGGCAAGCAACACACATTGCATGCAAACAATGGAGTATCTTGAGAGATTCCGTTGCGTCGTTACAGGCAACACAACAGCTTGTATTACTTTCCACTCGATCATGATCTCCACGAATAGGAGCGGCCTCGATCTCAGCCATTCTATATCATAGGATTCAAAATCAATGCAGGCTCTGCATGATTTGGAGATCCGGAACACGAAAGTCAAAAGGACAAAAGCATACAATGTATTGTAACTTCAAAAAGCTCAAGATCAGAACAACAAACAGCAAACCTTGCAAGTGCACGTGCGATGTACATGCGTGTGTGTACGTGTAGTCCTAGCAACAAAATATTGTCATTAGCGACTAAAGCAGCTAGCGCTTGTGCCAAACTGATTTGGGGAAGGTCGGTTGGTTTTTTTGTTGCCTGTTCGTGCTTACTACACTACAGCGATCGCACTATTCGAGGACTGTTTGTAGTGTAGATCAACCCCTCGACACCGTCCTGCTCCGGTATTATTACTAGATGCTGAACAATTGTAGCCACTGTCAGCAGCAACAAACTTACAAGTAGCAGGCCTGATTTTTGTGATGTACTAGAGTAGACACAGCCTCTTTACTTACGTGCCAAATCAACTTTAGCAGGACCGTTACGTTGAGGGTTCCAGGGCAAAGTGTTCAACCAACACGTAATTGCCGCACGCACGCGCTCATAGACATAGCGGCCTGTGCTAAGCTGAACCTGGAAGCACTGAGCTGCGGCCCAGGAAATCAAGGATGAATGGATGCGAGTGAGCCTGGCCAGGGGCGGCAGGACCACGTCCTCTCCCAAGAACGGTGAGAACTAGTTGATGATGTATGCAACATCCATGTACATGTACATGATGAACCATGGCTGATTTCCGACGGGCCAATTGATGGGATATTTTTGTAATCACAAAATACTTCAAAGAGTATATACCCAGGAGTGTGCAACTCGACAATCTCTCAGCCCAAGGTGGAACGTTTTTTTTGTTATAACAACAACAGTTTCTCGCGGCCGTTTGGCTCCCTGGTGCTATCATGTGTAGCTAGAGAACAAAAGTGCAGAAAACTTGTACAAGGCAGCTACCGTAGTCAAAGCAGAACAACGGTTGCGGGACCGGGACCGCCATTGTGTGCGTGTGTCTGTCTGTGTGATGTTCCACCACGCACAGGTATGATGCCGGCTGTATTATTTGGGAAGCATGGTGTCGCTACCGGGATCGGAAATGGTACTTGATACTTCGAATAGCCATCCAGGAAGCCGTAAGTTCGATGGGTCGGTGGTGGAGAAATTATTGTTGTGTACGTTTCGAAATCAACCGCACTGTGACTACAATCATACTCGTGCATATCATCCCAGTCACATCTTTGAGACACGACATGTTACATGACATTGTTGGTTGACAGCAGGTAGCAAGGCGGTGGAACACCGTGTTCGGAAACAGGGTGTTCCACCGCCTTGTTACCTGCTGTTAACCAACAACGTCATGTGTACAAAAAAACAACGTTTATCTAATAACATGTTACATGCACGAGTATGTCCAAAACAGAATCAATTTCCATGGCACACTTGCACACAACTCCAAGCTCGAATGCGGAAGATATGCGGATCAGGAAGAGCAACGTTATGGAGCGAAGAGGCGCTCGAATAGCCCAAAACCTCGAAGTATGTTTAACATTTGAAACATTCTGTACTGTAGATGTAGCAGCCTGAGGCTATAGCCGTACTCAGTAATTCCACAGTATTTGTACCTGGGATAGTTACCCAGGTCACTGTGGTATGCATTTTGAAGATGTTCTCCCCGTTACCCCCAAAGGGCCATCGACGGCTTTTGACACCTTTTCCGGGTCACGAGAACGGTGCTTGCTGGGATGGCGGAATGGATTCGGCTTTACGAGAAGCAATAATCGAATATGAAAACGTCAGGAGAAAGCATAAGTGTTTACACCCCTGCATGTGTCGCAATGGCCAGAGTTGACTAAGGGTCATCATTACCTTGGTCTTCATCTCATGCACCAATTGTCCTATGACCATTCCTAACTATACCGTAGTGTCTTGGATCATTAAAGCCTGTCTCGTATACATGTAGAAACCTATTTTGGATACAAGCCTGAAGTCCATGATGAACTGACGGTTTTAGTGTTGACATACATAGGGATATCTGGTTTGCATAGAAGCCGGACTTGAACAGAAGCCTAGCCCTGACATCGGCTTCTACAGGAATAAGCCTGGCTTTAATACGCCACATTATGGTAGTTATGCATGATGGTAAGTATGACATTTCGTGGGAACCCGGCGCATGCATGTATGTCCTTCATCCTCCTTCTCCCCAACTCACCGGCCATTGTCAGTCAAGAATCTACCGCGGCCACTAGGGCGTACACTGTGGCGTATTTCAGATCCGGGTGCCAACAGTCCTCCTTGAGGGCGGCGGCTTTCCTACGGATGTGTAAAGCTCAGTCTGAGTGTAACGCAAGCCGTGATTTTTTTTAACAACACTCCTTACTAAGCTGCCGGGTAGGGAGCTCTGTTAACTTTTCTCTTTTCCTTGGACCACAGCTTGTCCTAGTGTGTGTGCCCCCATGTCTATTGGAGCAGGTCACTTGGCACTGAAACATGTCCCGTTGATTCTTTGTCTTCGCCGTCACAGGAACACAGCCTGTCACACAGTGTACTGCGTCAGCTGATACCCACCGAGGCGAAGCTGCTTCGAGACAAGGTGATGAAGGCCAAAGTGCGCTTCAGGCAAGTTTCGCTTGGCGCATTGATGCCACAATTTCACTTTTGATGAACTGGCGGTTGAGACGCTATCGGACTCGTTTGCTTTGCTGGTTGATATATGTGTGAGAGAATTCTGCTCTGCATGTATGATCTGATAGCCGGGTCCTTTATTACTTTATTACAACTTTGAGAAACGAGAGTGATAGCAGTCTCAAAAATGATAAAATGTACTGCTGTGCTACGGCTGTTTCTCATTGGCATTCTCTCTGGTGTGGAACTTCGTGTTACTTAACCGGCTACAATTCACTGCACAGGCTGATTGGAGGCACTTTCCCACCAGGCATCGTTTTCAAGATATATGTGACTTCCGGGGAACAAACAGCTGTCCAGTACCTTAGCGGCAAGGAACTGATACGACCAGCATCTGAGGTCAGTGCCCTTGCCGAGAAAAAGCAAATAATTATGCCTTTATGGTTTTACACTGCGATGATGATGTACATGCACGTGCACGATCATCATGGAATGATAGTACAATTGGCCCCCGGTGCTGCAGCGTGCGCACATCACATACGATTGTTGTCTGAGGCGTTTGTGTTCCAGCAGCTCTAGGTGTTCTCTACAGTCATATTGATGGAAAATTGCAAATCTCGAAGTAAATCATACTGAGATTCTCTTCACCGGCTGAGCCTTTTAGCCATACATTTCTCTAACGTTAGTGCCAATGGCCTCGGATTTTAAATATCTGAGAGTGAGCCATACATGTACATTAGTTGACTGATGGTTGCTTGTGCAAACAATTATACACTCGTAACCTGAGCCATTATCCTGACTGAATATGCATCACTGTACTGTTTCCGGTCTGTACGCTCAGGCAGCACAAGATGCTCTGAAGCAGATGGGAAAGCGGAAATTCCACGACCAGATGGCTGAAGATGAAATGTACGAGGATGCAATCGGTGTGAACTCTCTGGCCGATGCCGTCACGCCTCAGGAGTGCATGCGAGTACGTACGTTAAAACTTGGCAGTCACCGCACACATCCGTTTCCCCCAAAAAAATATCCGGATAGGCGAGGGAACCAGATAATCGAACACACACACACTGTATGTAAGTGGACGACGTATGCTGTAAATCGGTAACCAACGATATTCTTCTGGATGGAGGCGAGGGATCTGGATGAAAGGGGACCGGATGAAAGGGGACCGGATGAAAGGGGACCGGATGAAAGGGGACCGGATGAAAGGGGACCGGATAAGCGAGGTCTGACTGTACTCATGTTCACTACGCTGATATGAGATGCCAGGGTGGGGGGCAGGGGCGTCGGAAGGTTATTTAGTGTGGTACGGTCAGCTATCTGAAGAACAGAATGCGCGTGAGGGAGGGGTGGCGGAGCCGAAACTTTTGGAAATTTAGAGTCCAAATCAGTGCATTTTATTGATTTACGGGGTACTTGCGGCAAAAAGTGGTACGGTCAATACCGTAGTGACCGTAGCGTGTCCGACGCCCCTGCTGGATGCTACTGAACATTACACCATTATGGGACTGCTAATCAATAGGAGTACGTACCGTCCTAGGGATTTTGCATCGAGTGCCATGCAAACTGCTTTGAAGTATGTCAGACTCGGGGAAAGGTGTTATGATGCGGAGTGTACAGCTGTCTGAGCTGTTCAGGGTCAAATCATCATCGCGGCTTCTGTCAATGCATGGATATGCGTTACTCTTGTTCTGCATGCCGTCACTGCGCGTGTTCTGTGAGTCTATGTTGTATCAGTGATCGGGTGCAGACAAACATGCACTGCTACAATACTGCCGGGTGCTGAAGACGGGAGCACTGAAGAACGAACAGGCTAGAATTTCACCAAGCACCGTGCAGCATAGCATGATGTATACACGGTGACTCAACTGTGCATGGACCATAGTACATGAAAATAAGAAAGGCCTGGGCCGCTAGGCTACGAGGCTGACACCCAGTTCTTCGCAACCCGACAGTACTGTACAGGGAATACACTACATGTAGACGGACTAAGTCCTGCGAATCAGTATTAGACTAGTATGTATTATGGTGTCTGGGTGTGTGATGACTGGCCGCTGGCTGCAGACACTACACTATGCTGGCGCTGCTGAGGCTGAATGGAAGTTCACAAAACACCGGTGTTCTGTCATCTGATCTCCCTGTTTTGCTGACCGTAGTATCAAAGTTTACGTGACGAGCAGCACGCTGGAGAGGGTGGCAAGAGCAATTCATGGCGACGCCTGTCACTCGATGGTGAGTAACAATGACATCATCATCATCATATAATAAGTTAATTACACTCGCGGTAGCACACACTGTACATGTAGAGGGCGTTGTTGCAGGTTTTAAAAGATGCATCTATAAGAGCTAGACATGTACATTGTATGTCTGTCTGACTCAATAATTACACCACATGAACAAGAAAATCATTCAATTGTGAACATGTGATCAAAATAACTGTCTGCAGCAGGGTGGCAATGAGTTGGAGCAAACCCTGGAGGCCACGGGTCAAATTCAGATACATGTAGTTCCTGTTAGAGTTGTTACCGGTTAGAGCCACACTAGATTCACTACGGAGGCTATGCGAATGATGTCATGGTGGTGAGTCAGCAGAACCACTTATGGGTGCTATGACAGCGTGAGTCGGCGGTTTCCATGGTTTCATTTGGGCTGGTGTATCGCTGTGCTGCAACGTCTTTGGCAAAGCATCTAAACTGATGATGTAATCACACAACCTCTATAGAGGTCTACAAATTAACGACATCATTGGTGATACAATGCTAATGATATCATATGTTATGCTTTGCATGGAGTAGCAAACAAGAACTTGTGCATGGATGTATGGGCCAGGGAACCCTACATACACACACCGGCTTGTGAAGGCCCACTCCCTGGCATGGTGTAACTCTCGGTTTTTCTCTTGTGCCCTGCAGTGTTTCTGCGCACCATTACTGGCCAACCCGTGTACAGACCGCGGGGCCCGAGCATACCTGTTATCCTAGGGCGCAAGCACATCTCAGCGAGCGGCAAACCAGTCACGGCCGCAGCAAAGCCCAGAAGTCTTCTAGAAAGGTTAGAGAATGTGGTGCAGTCTATACCCCCCATCAGATCCCTGCTGGAGAGAAAGTGTCAAGCAATAATTTAAAATGGGAAAGTGACAGAGATTCAGCTGGTAAAATGAACATGAGACTGCGTGCCAGATTCAGCACAATCCACCTTGCATGTCACAGCCTCTTCAAATGTGGAACACAACGGGTGTATTCAGTACAGTATCATGTACACTGTTTCTCCATCTTTCCTGGATTTCACGGACCACCGCACAACTGAGGTAGAACGGTGCAGGTATGATTATGTGGCGGTCTATAAAACACTGCCTGTGCTTGCTTGGACGTGGCAAATGGGATTTGGGCTTTGGCCTCTGGTTTGTGGATCTGATTTATCCTCCCCCACCGGTTAGGAGCTGCATCTGACGCCTGATCATGGGATGGTGGCGTCCCACTGAAGCAGAAAGGCGGTTCTTGACCCGTCCTGCACACGAACCCGAGGCTGGGTCATTATTGGTTTTTTTTTGGTTTTTTTGTGCTTGTTTGCCATCACAGGCCCGGCGGAGGTACTGGTGAATCTGCTGCTGTGTTAGCTCAACGCAACACTACTGGAGTAACTTCCGCACCTGCAGCCGCGCCAGCCCAGCCAGCCCGCAAGCCTCGTGTACCACTGTCGCAGCTCTCCAAGCAGAAGCGGCTTGAAAAGATGCGGCAGCTCTATGGTTTGGCGGAGGTGATCCTAACTTGTGAAGATTTTAATTCTAAAACACCTTCTTGGTGTGATGATATTGACCTGGCCCATATAGGCTAGGGCCGGGCGAATGTACTCTGTGCATTATGACTTGAAAAATTGTGAAACAGGAACAAGAAAAAAAGTGGTACAGTAACTGAAACAAGATTGCGGAAAAGATGTAACGAATACTAGCGATGTGTTCTCCGCTGGCTCTTCTCATGCAGAAAAAAAACACCTCTTGCCATATTCTGCTTGGGCAGCATGGTCATGCTTTTTCCAACAATGCATGCATACTTGGAGTCACGGCTCATTTTTGTGTCGTTGCTTGAGCACGGTATGCACCGACTTAATACCGGTACTGCAGTAGATGTGATGTACTGCTATCACCGTAGCATTACAATAGATATCCCTCCACCAGTGACTCATGGCGGATATGTTTAAAATGTGCTTTTCTTGTGCCCAGAAATCTCCTGGCAACATCATTGCTCAGATGCAGCAGGTGGAAGCTGGCTGCGCAGTCGACAGTGCGCAACTGCAGACCAATGATGGAGACAAGGTTGCCGGAGCAGGGGAAACTGTGGATTGCGAGGCCGATGAACTGTACACATGGTCGCAGGACTTGTGCTTGGATGATCCAGACCTGGACTTCTGAGGCACAGTTCAGGGTCAGGTGGTTTTGGGAGACTGCGGATGACATTGAACTCGCCAAGGCATGATGCTTACGGCAAGCAGTGCTTGTCCACATTGCCAGGGATTTCTCCGGGCACTCGCGTCATTCTCCAAGTGAGCCGCTGCCGCTGGTGGGTTCTTTGGTACATGTAGCGGATAAGTCGCATGCCCGGGGATCAGTGTGACTAGCCTGTGGTCAAGCATGTACGGTGTTGGATTTGTGTTGGAAATCACGATACCAAATAACAGTGAACGATGCACCGCTCCCTTTCTCACTGTGTGCCTTTGCACCATCCACGGTGAGCGTCTGCGATATCCCACGTACTTCAGCAAGTGTTCATTGAAGTAGGAATATTGAACATGGAGTACACTAAACTCCTCCCTGAAACTTTTTTAATGGCTGTCCTGAGTTTCCGAGTTGAACCAAATCTTACTACAAATAGCGGAGAACTTGAAGCTGCAGTCAGTGCACCATCAGCTACCCCACATGATGTACTGGTAGTACAGTGTAATGCTTTGTCTTGACTATAACATCGGCTGCGGGCCAGTGCTGGCCTACGGATGGCTTACACGTATGCTCTTCGTCTTGACACAGACAGTGATCACATCATTATTAGCCTTTACCTTTCTCACATCGACAATGTTTATCTCTATATATATCTGCAAGCTCAGTTTTGGTTTAGTGATTGTGTGTGTGTGTGTGTGTGTGTGTGTGTGTGTGTGTGTGTGTGTGTGGTGGGGGGGGGGGGGGCAGATCTTGTCCACTATCTTGCTACAAGTGAGAGTCGACGGTGGGTGCCGTACATCCGGTGCACTTGCAGATGTGCATGCTACTCTTGCGACTCGGCACATCCCGGCACGGTACACGGCAGGCTAGTGGACCGCCGTCACCGGCCTACCAAATGTAAGGATGCTGGCTGCAGTCATGAGGTGCCGCCGGTGTATCTCGACTGAGCATTGAAGTCTTCAAACTGGCACAAGGGGTCCAAAAACGTCTGACTTACAGCGGCGAGTTCCTCCATTGGTGCAGTACATGATGTGATATTGCACGCGTGCATGTATGCGTATGGGGGGGGGGGGGGGTGTATGAGGTGGAGGGGGAAGGGGTGTATGAGGTGGAGGGGTGTGTATGAGGTGGAAGGGGAAGGTGTGTACACTCTACAGGGGTACTGATTATGTGTGGACGTTCTGTGGCTGGCCATCACCCTTTTTTTATAGTGCTTGCTGCGACATTCTCTCCGACCCGAAGGCCATATCTGTGAGCTCTGCTGCTTGCCAGTCTTTGGTGTAGCAGTTATCAAGGCGTGCAGTGTGCAGTGTGCACGCGCTTGCAGGTGTACGTATGATGCAGCCGATGCAATTGATGCGGCAGCTAGGGCCCATGGCATGGGCTACTACATGCACTAGTAAGTAGTATTGTCGCCGGGATATTGCGAGCCGTTGTGGCCTCATGATTTCCGCCAACACATTCCAAGGCCCTCCGCACTCAATCCACTTGGCAATCGCGACCTGGTATATACATGTATCTATGGTAAATCATGCATGGGTGAACTACTACAGACTCTGCAGAGGATCAAGTTTTGAGAGGAAATTATTTACATGCTCTAGGCTAGCACAGTCCAGCCTGACTGGTGCCGTGGTGACCATGGCGACAAGACAGCTCAGGCATAAAGCAGTAACATTAACACCAAGGAGGGTATGCTATGGGGGCTTATTACCGGTATTAATTTTACTCTCTTGGTAACACCAAGAGTACGGCCTGTGGGGATTTATTATTATTATTATTATTATAGACAACACCTCATGGCATGAAAAAAATCAGCCAGTACGGGAGATGTGGGTGGGGGTTGTGTCACGTACTCTTGGCAACTGGTTACACCAAGAGTAGATCCACCAAGAGTAGATTATCTACTCTTGCCTGAGTCTTGGTAACACCAAAGGGGTTATGTACTCTTGGTAAAGAGTAGATAAACATTTTATCTACTCTTGGTAACACCCATACCATGTAGATCTACCATGCTACTCGTGCGATCCTCGTTCGAGTGAGGCTCGGAGTAGATACAAGATAGAGGAAGTCACCTCCCGAGATCTGACCGGTCGACCTGCACGGCTAGCTGCAGATCGATCTGGCCTGGCAGCTCAAGTATTTTTCAAAAGGAGGTGCGGCAGCGGCACACGTGCAAGCGGGTCTACACTCTGCTACGGCCCATGTAGATCTACATGATGAACCGCACAGATTTTTTATGGTGTTGCATAATGTGACATTCATGAGGAAGAAAATACTTCATCTCCATTCTGGAACAACCAGTTACCTGTCGTCCTCGGTGTCCGACAGGTGTCAGGCTTGACCTCTTTGTTGCTAAAAGTAAAGGGTTGCTTTGTGTTGCTTTAGTGCCTAACCCAAAGCAGCAAAACGGCGAAGAAGGGCTTCGGAGTTCTATGTCCAATTCCATTTGAAATATTTATTTGCACCAACTGAGAAAATGAGTTCGTTGAAGGTGGCAGTGATTGGACAATCAGTGTTCGGCCTTGAAGTGTACAAGCTGCTGCGAGAGAAGGGCCACACGGTTGTGGGTGTGTTCACGATCCCTGATGCTAATGGCAAGGCGGATCCACTGGGCGCAGAGGCTGAAAAGGATGGAGTGCCTCTGTTCAAGTTCAAGGCTTGGCGTGCCAAGGCAACTGGCCTAGTCTTGCCAGGGGTGTTTGAGAAGTACAAGTCGGTGGGAGCTGAGGTGAACGTGATGCCATTCTGTTCACAGTTCATCCCCATGGATGTCATCAACCATCCACAACACAAATCTATCATCTACCATCCGTCCATTCTACCGCGCCACCGCGGCGCATCCGCAATTAATTGGTAAGCAGCAAAACACAACGTAGTGAAGCTTGGAAACAACTACACTCCAGAAGGCATGCCTAAATTGAATGTGTAAATTCCCTTATTTCGATGTATCACTTTATCCAAGTCTGGCATACTAGAAACATGCTGCGCGCGGGCAACATTTTTCCCGCTGTTATGACTGACATTGTTTTATTCAAGCTTCACTGTATATTAACAGGGACTGAAAATTGCATCACAGAACAGGAAATTGAAACGGATTATTATTATAAATTTTTATCTTATCCAACACAGGGGCGTCAAATAGGGTACGACCAGTATGACCATGGTGGTACCACTTTTCGTCCAGGATGGCCCAATTCATCCCAGGATGGCCCAATTCATCCCAGGATGGCCCAATTCATCCCAGGATGGCCCAATTCATCCCAGGATGGCCCAATTCATCCCAGGATGGCCCAATTCATCCCAGGATGGCCCAATTCATCCCAGGATGGCCCAATTCATCCCAGTATGGCCCAATTCATCCCAGGATGGCCCAATTCATCCCAGGATGGCCCAATTCATCCCAGGATGGCCCAATTCATCCGGGGGAAAAAAGGTGCTAAAACGTGCCCTGTTGGCAGAAAAATTAGAATATTTTCCCAGGGGACGCTCCCGGTCGTACCACTCCCCACTGCCCTTCTGACGCCCCTGCAACAAACGGAATCGTTCTCCGTTAGTGTATCAGTTTACTTCATGGATACCAGTGTTGTTTTTTGTGTTTTCTGGACAGGACATTGATGCAAGGTGATGCGGAAGCTGGCTTCACAGTCTTCTGGGCAGACGACGGCCTCGATGAAGGTCCCATCTTGCTACAGAAGCGCACAGCTGTTGACGACAACGACACTGTTGACACATTGTACAATCGCTTTCTGTTTCCCGAAGGTGTGAAAGGAACGGTAGGTCAGCTGTTGTAGATGCTGGTGCTATGCAATGCTGTTGTAGATGCTGGTGCTATGCAATGCTGTTGTAGATGCTGGTGCTATGCAATGCTTTTGTAGATGCTGGTGCTATACAATGCTGTTGTAGATGCAGTGGCTGTGTTTGGAACTCTCCTTACCTGCCACACCGCTGTCTCATTTTACCTGCAAATCAGCACCGTGTTAGCTCAACCCATTGTTGTGCTTTTTCTCTACCGTGGTTGCTGCTGCTGCTGCTGCTGCTCTTGTGTCAGGTTGAAGCTGTTGGTCGCATTGCTGCCGGCACTGCTCCCAGCATACCGCAACCAGCCGATGGTGCCACCTATGACAAGATGTGGAAGAAGAAGGAACTAGCGCAAATCAACTGGCAGCAGACAGCCTGGGAGCTACACAATTTCATCCGTGGTAATGACAAGGTAAGTGAGTGTTGGTGTGGGTGTGTTTCTGTTATAGTTACTTGAAGTTTGCTGGCACATTTTGAAACTTGGTAACTAGCTTGGTTTATTACACGTGGTATACACGCTACGAGCTCTTGATCAGTAGCCACACTAGCGATCAGGAGATATGGCAGTGAATGTGCTTGTATAATTCTTCTGTAAGCAATCTTCGGACAGCTACTAGTAGCTGTTTCAACATTGTTAGCTCTCCTCAGCGGAGCTCATTGTTTCTGTAAGCCATCGTTTTGTTTTAGGCCTGATGACAAGCACTGCTTAGATAGCATGACTGTAAGCCATCTCACGTAGAGGGTCACAGAAAACTCCACAGAATTTGCATGCAAACTGTGACCTCCATAACTGACTTTATCACTCCCTTAGTATTGACTCACATAGATTTTTGCCATACCTAAGCAGTCAAATATTCCTGCATATTTCACTCCTTAGGGCTATATTGACTGCTTATATTTGACTGCTTAGGGGTTGCGCAGTTGAACGGTGCCTACGCAGCCTAGTGCAGCATTGTCACTGCATGAGTAGGTGGTGGTGCAACGGTTGTGCAATCATAAAACCGGGATTCATGAGGTTATCGTTCTGGAATTTGAAATACGGACTGTTTGTCGTGATAAATCTAATATTGACTTCGTACTTGGTCAGTATAGGAAATAAAAACCTCGTAAAAGACCTCGGCTTTTATTTCCTATATTGACCTCGTACTCAGTCAATATGAGATACTTATTGTTGAAGGTAGTGTGCAGGCGTGCCTTCATCTTAGCACTGTTGTTTTATTCTATTTCTCCATATCTGTCATGTTTCTTCAGCTGCCAGGTGCGTGGACTACGATCAATGGAGAGGTTAGTATCCGTACCGCTTTGTCGCTTGATGTCCTCCTAACATAACCTATCATAGGGAGAGTATGTCCAGGGTACAACGCTGTATCTGGAGTACTGCAGGGGAGCGCGCTTATTCAGGAAGCTATAGTACAATGTGTCCAATGCACTCTGGACAAAAAGCAAGGAAAGCTGGCCGGTTAGCTAACCGCTGGGTAGCGACTGGCCAACGTTGACTGGACTGCGCATGACCATCTCTCCCCCCCCCCCCCTCTCTTCTCTCTCTCTTTTCTCTCTCTCTCTCTCTCTCTATCTCTCTCTCTCTCTCTCTCTCTCTCTATCTATCTATCTCTATCTATCTCTATCTATCTCTCTCTCAAGATAGTGCGAGCTCTTGCTGAAACAGTGGAATAGTCTTGTGCACATTATCTGAGTGGCCATTATTGTTCATGTGCTTGTTTGTAGAAAGTCACAGTGTTTGGCTCGACGTGGGATGCGAATGGAGTAGTTCCGGAGGGGTCTCCAGTGGATGTGGAAGGTTGCTCAAAGCCTGCAATTGTGCATGCCGGTGGATTGACGTTCCTTGGATCCGATGACAAGCCCGTAAGTAGCCTGCTAAGGCACACTTCCTTTGCAGTGCATGCTGTTGTTGCTGCTGCTGCTGCTGGTGGTATGGCAGCGGCTGCTACTGTCGCTGTTGTTGTGGTGATGTTATGTTTTGTATATTTATGTATCCCTACAATTTCTCAATAAATTTCGTAAATTTCGTATGTAATGTCTCAATGTCCTGTTGCCGTTTTCAGGTGACTGTGAAGCAAGTTGTTTTGGAGAGTGGCAAGATGATCCCAGCCGGCCGGTTTGGTCAGGGAGAAGTCCAAACGGAAACACTAGAGCTGACAGCGGAGGAGAAAGCCATGGAGGCAGCCATTAAGGTAAGTTAGCTTGCAGTCTCGGCTTTGTTTTTATTGCAAGTTGATATGGAGTGATGGTGTCTCATAAATTCGTAGTGTGATAGAATTCCACCGCCATTACCCCATGTTGGGTATGTTATCAGGAGTGATGGTCTCTTGTAATGTGATATGTACTGACATGTACTGCCACCACTGCCCTGCGTTTTGAAGGTTATCTGGAGTGGTATCTTGAATGTGGCGTCGATCGAGGACAGCTCTGATTTCTTCAAACTTGGAGCTGGCTCAATGGATGTTGCAAGGTAAGTGAGATCATTGCTGGTGGCAGGTGCGTGCCTGTGCGTGGCTATGTGCTGGAGGTAGTAGACACATGTGTACGGTGGTCATGTCACACCGCCTTGGAATGGGAACTGTAGAATGTGAACATAGTAGTTGAAGAGTATTCAACGTGCAATTTTGGTCTTTGGGGCCTGTACACAGTACCCGGTGGATGTACACAGTGCATGTGTGCGGTATGGGCAGGTCTTCTGATGGTGTCCAGTGCACAGTGGAATCAATCTGGGAGGTGGTACTGCCGTTACGGGCCTTGCAGGTTATCGTATCCTAGACCTGCTCTGTGTGTAGTGCTGCCAGGCTTTGTTGATTACTGCTTGCCTCTATGTGTTCTGACTTGGTTGGTGTTGTCCGTGCTCTGTTGTGTACATGATGGCTTTGCTATTGCAGATTGGTGGAAGAGGTCAAGCAGAAGTGTTCTGTGACACTGGCCAATGAAGATGTGTACATGGCTACCAGGTGAGTACTGAGTAGTAATCTCACACAGTAACACTGCATAATCTAGACTTGTGTGCAGGTGGCTGGCGTTGCTTGTACTGTAGTGTGGATGGTTAGATACTCGATATCTACCTGCGAGATTGATTGCTCGTGATGCAATCCAGGTGCATGTAGACATTAATAATTTTATGAATTTGACCACAACCTATAATTTTATAATATAAAATTGTGTTACTCAATCTGCGGACAGAACTGTTTCGTCCTTAGTGGACTCATCAGCGCAGCACAGAGGAAATGAGGTCGAACCTGATAGCAATGAAAACAAAATTTTCCAAAGCCAGATTTAAACCAGGCCTGAACGTACCTTGCCAGAGTGCTCAAACTGACAAGTCAGTGAGCTCTGCATAACGCAAACAGCAGAAATTGTGGCTAGATACTCCTGAGCTCATCCATCTTGTGGAGAAACGAATAAACAATGTCACTTGTGGCTAATTTTTGTTTTGTTCATTTTGTCGTCTGTTGTGGTAGATTTGATGAGTTCATCAATGCAGTTGTCACCATGCACCGTGGTGGTGGCAAGTCAACGTTTGAATTTGATGCTGTAAGCACTGCTGTTCAATTTCAATGAACACAAAAGTAAAGTTAAAGCTGTGGCCCCCTTTCCCACGCCAGGGTGCTGATAGTAATAGAGTAGATACCTTTTTAAAAATAGCCATACCCATTCAGTAGAAGCTGTTTGAGCGACTATCTATCTTTAGGAGACCTGTTATCCCAAGGCACCAAACATTCAATTGAAGTTCGAAAATGTCCACAAGTAACTGTCAATACCTTCTCGTCAGGTGGAGTATAGGCGAAAAGAAATTGAACAAGAACAATGAATTCTATACTGCAGAGAGGTGATAGAAACAGCGCAAAGAAGAGCAATATATTAGAAGTTCGCACTAACTTTGCCACAGATACATGCATAATGATAGATTGAAGTAACAGTTCCATAGTGACGTGACGACGCGACAGTCCCAGAGGCCTGTGGGGCATTCACTGCACTGCCCGCCCGCCGTGCTTGGTTCCTCCGCTGCCACTCCTGCCGTTGACGACAAAGTTGTTGTAAGCGCGCAAGTAGCCAGTGGTGGTGTGACAGCGCTCAGAGACACATGGTCAGTTTAGTTCGGATCACAACTTGAGAATCGTTTGAGAGTTTGTTGTTCATGTGTGCTATCCTGATCAACTCTCTCTCTCTCTCTCTCTCTCTCTCTCTCTCTTTCCCTCTTTCTCTCTTTCTCTCTCTCACTTTCTCTCTCGCTCTCACTTTTTCTCTCGTACCTTTTGCCAGGTTACCGTAAATGCCAATGATATGGAACTCAAGTTTCCACACCAACTGTTCATCAATGGCAAGTTTGTGGATGCCATTGAAGGACGCACATTCAAGACAATCAATCCGTACACGGAAGAGGTAGGTGTGTGATGTCTCTCATTACCCAATTCGTGCTTGCTGTTGATTGCTGCTGCCTCGAAGTCCAAATCCTCGCAGGTCGCACAGTATGACTTCGAAAAGTCCTCAATTCGATGTGATGCACATCTAGTGCAAAAATGCAGTAGTGCATAGATCATTGAAGCCACACTGGAAGGGTCAGCAGATTCTTGAGCCTGCGGTGTAGCCTACGTGATCACCTCCTGGAGCAGACCAGCGAAAGTGATCGGGCATGGTCGGGTGTTCACAATGTCAATGTAGCAGCTTGTGCATGCTCAAACATTGCCACAGTCGATTGGTCAAACTAGTACATGCCCCGCTTAACGTTATCTGCTACTGCAATAGCACATGTATGGTAGCACTGGCCATACTTGCTGTGCAGAGAGAGAGAGGTGAATACCTGGGCGTATTTGTGTGCAGGCTTGCTAGATGTCCATGCTTGATGTGGCTACCCAAATTTGCTACTGGATTCAATGGATAGTCATAGCTTCTTGAAGTTCATTATTTGTTTGTGTTGCTTGCATGCCATGATGGGAGTAACCACGGTACATCTAATTGTAATCCATGCATGTACTGTTAGGTGGGTGCCAACACAAGACCAGTTCTCTACTCGCATTTTAGTGACTCCTGCTCATCGGCGTCATGGTGTGTTTTGTCAATTTTCTCATGTTTCTTGTTTGTTTCTGTAGCCAATTTGTGAAATATCTCTTGCTCTGAAGGCTGATGTCGATGTAGCTGTGGCAGCTGCAAAGGTGAGCAGCGAATATCTGATTGGGTTGTAGCACATTGGAGAGGTTTAGCGACTCGTAGATAAAAGAAGATAGATTTCGTTTTATTTTCAAGCTGTGCAATTTGCTAAGTACACTCTAGTTTCATTGACTCGTCGACGAGGTCAACTATGACTGGAATGCGATCACGCCTGAGCTAAGCCCAACCCAATGCTATGCCGTGTTCCGTCTGAAACAAGCGAGTTACTACACGGAGCAATGATGTAATCATATCACATTGTACATTGTGTAAAGAAGACCAGTCCTGAATGGCATGCATGTACATGACGTATTGCTTGCTTTGCACGTGGCGATGACATCACTCCAAACGGGGATGCAGTCAGTGAATACTCCGGAATGCGTGTGTTGTGGGAAATTCTTCAGTGTAGCTTATGAGACATCAGCTTTTGTTTTTGTGCACGTGATGCAGCCTGTGCTTTTGTGCTAACGCTCATGAATGTCTTCATTGGTTGCTTGTCCCACACTCTTTGTTTGTGTGTCTAGGATGCATTCGAGAAAGGAGAGTGGGGAAAGATGAATGCCCGAGATCGGGGCAAGCTTATGTTCAAGTAAGGCGGCCGTAGACAGGACAGCTTTCGTTTGGTTTGTTGAGAATAACTAGTCTAGTCTAGGTCTCTTCCATGCTGTGCTAATGTACAAGGTCATAGCCCTACTACCGTATGGTGTCATAGCCATGCTGTACTACTGTATGGTGTCATAGCCATGCTGTACTACTTTGTGATGTCACAGCCATGTTGTACTAATGTATGATGTCATATACATGCCGTACTACTGTATGATGTCATAGCCATGCTGTACTACAGTATGATGTCATCGCTAGACACCAGCTGCAGCACACATTCATGCCCATGCTTGCTCGTGTACGTGTTCCTGTGTGTATGGGTAGGGGAGGGAGATGTTATGCTCATGGCTCTGTACCTGCTCTGATTCCACTATTGATAATCAGGGTGTGTTTGTTTCACATGTCTGAACACCTGGGCGAATGTGTAACTGTGGATGCATGTTTGTTTTGTTTCTCAGGCTTGCTGACCTTATGGAAGAGCACAAAGAGGAGTTGGCATCGTTGGAAACGATCGACTCGGGTGCCGTGTATACGCTTGCCATGAAGACTCACGTCGGTTTCTCCATTGACGTTTTCCGTTACTTTGCTGGCTGGTGTGACAAGATACAGGTATGCAACGTTTATCTGCCACGTTAGACAGACCATCTTTGTTGCTTGTATGTCCCTTTTTCGGGATTTTAACATGACAGATTATGAAACAACTTTGAATAGGTGTGAGATTTGTTTCTTGCTGCTACTACAAGTATCATATGTATGGTGATGCGGAGTCTATCATGAGTAGAAGTGTAGAGTCACTGTATCGCAGTCAACGATCGGGGTACTAATTGAACATGAGTACATGTATACGTGTTTGATTGCATTCTGATTCTAGCAGTACCCGCCTTGTATGCTCCCGTGTCTTGGTGGGTGGAACTTGGAAATCGTGGACCGTCCGGCTCAACTCTCATGGGGTTGTCAAAACCCACTGGCCCAGAATGGGAGCAAATTAGAAATGTATTGCCACCTTTACTTGTAGGGTCTGGTTTGTGCAGTGCAGGGCTACAATCCTGTGATACAGGAGAATTTGTTTCTCGTGATAGCATTTTGTCAAATGTGTGACTGGTGTTCACGATCAAAACAGTGGTTTCATGTGATGGTGTCTCTTTCCTGTGCCTGTCTGTTCAGGGCAAGACGATACCGGTGAACCATGCTCGGCCAAGCCGTAATCTCTGCTTCACTAAGAGAGAGCCCATGGGGTAAGCTGCCGATGCCAGTGCTTCCGCATCTGCTGTTGCTGCTGCTGTTGTTGCTGCTGCTGCTGCTGCTGCTGCTGCTGCTGCTGTTGCTGCTGCTGCTGCTGCTGCTGCTGCTGCTGCTGCTGCTGCTGCTGCTGTTGCTGTTGCTGCTGCTGCTGCTGCTGTTGCTGCTGCCTCTGTAGCTTTGCTTTGTCTTACCTCCGCATAGCTGTTACCAGAAGTACGTAAACACGAGTACCAGTTTGCAAGTCCACTGCTGGTCTAATGTTTGTTCCGGTCCAGTTTTCCTATGACCTTGAATCATCACAATTGTACTCTGTACACAATCTGCAGATTGTGTGGCTGCATGCCGGCATGTCAGTGGATTTTGTACCTTCAACGGGTTTTAAGTTGGTTTTCGCTCCTAAATTTTGTGGAAAAGTATGGCTGGTGACTCTTGAGGTCGGATGTAGAAAGCAAGTTTCCAAATTGTGAACCCCATCTTCAGTTGTTACTGACAAGCTCAGTGATGGCCCTGCGTGTCTTTCACATATGCTGTGACTTGTTGCAGTGTTGTCGGTCTGATTGTACCCTGGAACTACCCATTAATGATGCTGGCGTGGAAGATGTCCGCTTGTTTGGCGGCTGGAAACACCTGCATTCTCAAGCCGGCTCAGGTACATGGCTACTCTTGAGGTCCAAATTGGGTTCTTGTGGTTTTAACTGCATTGGTCTTGTACCCGTTTCACTGTCCCTCATCCTGCTTCCTATTCCGTGTCGTCTCTACCTCTGTGTCTTCTCCGCTATGCCTATGTAACGTATGTTGTGCCCCACTAGACCCAGCTTCATGCGTTCTCTGTCCACACTTCTACTTCTTTCCCGGTTCAGGTGACGCCGCTTACGGCATTGAAGTTTGCGGAGCTATCGGCACGTGCTGGCTTCCCTCCGGGTGTCATTAACATTCTACCCGGTGCTGGTTCAGTGTGTGGACAGGCTATCCTAGATCACCCGGACGTGCGCAAAGTTGGCTTCACTGGATCAACGGATATTGGCCGAGGTATCATGAAGAGGTTAGTATTTCCTTCTTTTTCGTGGACAGCGTACATGTACTTGAAGTACATCTAAATACTTGTGTGTGGGTGGGGGCTTGCGTGTAAGTGTGTTCCTTCACAAGAGTCAGTGAACCGTCGGTAATTTATATGCTGGCTGGATGGGTAGTGTGCTGTTCTTCAATGGTTTCACCTTTTTGGCAATGCAACCAGTGCTTTTGCACTTCGAAAAAGGGACTTGCACAATTTACAGTCATAGTCATACCGTAGTGACGCGCATATAAGAGCATGTGCCTATACCCGGGCATAAGCGCACCCTCACAAATAAGCGCATGGGCTTATAAGTGAACCTAAGTGCAATCCATCCCGCGACAAACAGACACCACAAAAACACCATATTCACATAGTTCAATGCGCATTGCGGTATTGCACTATGTGCATGATTATGCATGGTACCGGTACACTAGCAACTCAAGCCCATGCGCCTATGTGTGAGACAAAACGACCCGCAAAATAGCAAATAACGCAAAAACTCACTCATAAGCACATGGGCCTTTATGTGCGTCCCTACGGTGCTCAACCACTGGTGTGTCTTGTCTCCTGTGTGTATGTGCCGATGTGTGCCTGCATGCGTGTGTGTGTATGTGTGTGTGTGTGTGTGTGTGTGTGTGTGTGTGTGTGTGTGTGTGTGTGTGTGTGTGTGTGTGTGTGTGTGCCTGTATGTGCGCGTGTGTGTGTGTATGCATGCATGCAGCGCTGCAGTGAGCAATCTGAAGAAGGTTTCACTGGAGCTCGGTGGCAAGTCTCCGCTGATCATCTTCAGCGACTGTGACATGGACAGAGCAGTCCGGCAGGTATGTAGTTCACACAGTTCGCCTGAGAGATTTCCAACTCCTCCTTGCCTTGGTCTGCGTGCTTTAAATGATTAATAAGTGCTGCTGCCTATGGCTGTGGTGGCGTTCCTACGGATGCTGAAAACTCAGTCTAACTGAATCTGACGCAAACCGTGAATTTATTTATATTTTTATGACATTTCAAGGGTTCATCAGAATGCTGTAGGAGAAAGGTCGGATGTGCAGTGCTGTCGGGGAATGGATGTGTCCGCACGGAGCTTTCTTTCAACGATGGAGAAAGTGAACCAAACACCTCGGGACCTCTCTTTATTAGTGTAATGGAAGGGTTGCTTTTGTATAACAAGTTCGGCTTATCGCATTGGTGAGGGGCTAAACAGTCGGTCTCCAGACATCTGACACTGTATTCGGTTTAGCTAATTTAAACGAGAGAGCTTGGAAGCTCAGGGCCCTACGCTATGCTTTTTTTGCCTTGATGACCTAGACAAAAAAAAAGCATAGGGATGTTATAAATTCTTTTAAAAAATCCTTTTTTTTTTAAGACATAACCTGGGATTCAAACCCGCACTATCGCGCGCCCTGCATGCATCCCCCGATACACTTCGCATACATTTGTTTGTTTGTGTCACGCCTGGCGCTATCCGTATCTACCGGCAAAAAAGCATAGGATGTTATAAATTTTTCAATTCTCCTATTTTTTTCAGGCATATCCTGGGATTCGAACCCGCACTATCGCCCTACATGCATTCCCCCATACACTTCGCATTCATACCCATTCTTCCAAGTTGTTTCACATTGTGATCTTGCATTTGAAAGCCCTATTTGAATATGCATTGTGGCCAGCCGTCTTTGATGGCACGGTGCGGTAGGGGATAGGTACGGGACAGGTACGATCGAGGGTAATACGACACCGTCTCCTGTACCGTGCCATCAAACACAGCTGGCCACATACAGCTGCCCGCAATATTCAAATAGGGCTTTCAAACGCAAGATAATAACGTGAAGCAACTTGGAAGAATGGGTATGAATGCGAAGTGTATGGGGGAATGCATGTAGGGCGATAGTCGGGTTCGAATCCCAGGATATGCCTGAAAAAAATAGGAGAATTGAAAAAATTATAACATCCTATGCTTTTTTGCCGTCAGATACGGATAGCGCCAGGCGTGACACAAACACACAAACAAACAAATACCAAATTAAAGCTGTGTGGACCCTGGCTAGCGCCAGACGTTACTGAAGTAACGTCTTCTGCATAGCTACGGGAATTATTTAATCTACTTTTATGAACTTGAATCGGAGCATCCGGTGTTCATCGTGTGTGTGTGTGTGTGTGTGTGTGTGTGTGTGTGTGTGTGTGTGTGTGTGTGTGTGTGTGTGTGTGTGTGTGTGTGTGTGTGTGTGTGTGTGTGTGCGTTGACAGGGGCTGATGGCTTGTTTCTTCAACAAGGGCGAAAACTGCATTGCAGCAGGTGAGGTGGCCATGCTTTATATGTTTGCATTTCTTGGTCCTTTTTTTCTTTACTATAGTCTATAAATAGAATATTGATATCATTTTTCGACACCCAGAAGAAACTGGTTATTCTCCATCTGCATTCAATTATTATTTCCAAAACGAAACTCCATCAAACCCACCCACCCCCAAACGAAAACTTTTCGTTTTGAAAATATTGTTGGTAACCTTGGACGGCCCCTAACCTTTTAAGCCGTTTCTCAAAGCACAAGGAACGAAAGACAGAGTGTGAATGTGTGTACGTGACTAGCTGCGTGACACTAGTACATCATACCTATCGGCTATAACATTGTAACACTGCCGTCATGTATGTGCTATGCAACACTGTGGCGTGTTGTGTTTTAGGACGGCTGTTTGTGGAGAGCTCCATCTACGATGAGTTCATCACCAGAGTGGTAAGTGGCACTCCATGCTATGTACGTGCAATCGTTTAGCATGCATACGTCGTGACGCAGTTGTGGAGAAATCATACGAATGAGGTAACTTCGTTAGCCATTTTACTGGTGCAAAGCTGGACTGTTTGTGTATGCTCTCACTGTACATGGATCAGGTTGCCGAGGCCAAGAAGATGAAGATTGGAGATCCGTTTGATAGGTCGGTGGCGCACGGTCCGCAGAATCACGAAAAGCATTTACTGAAGCTACTGGACTACTGCCGTGTTGGTCAGGAGCAAGGTGCACGGCTAGTGTGTGGTGGCAAGAGATATGGCACAAAAGGTTGGTTAGTTTCATTCTAACGTTGGTTCTTTGATTGGGAAACGGGTAATCTCCCATACTCTAATCCACTGTTCCTGTTCCTTTTCCCTTGCCTGTATTTCACCTGATGAGAAGGCTTGAAAGTATACTTGTGAAACCAAAAACTTTCCAAGATGTTTGTAAAGAGCCTGAAGTGTGTCCTTCTTATGAGTATTATCTCTCATACTCTCCTTTCCCTTAGTTCTTGTTGTTGTACTGCTGTGGGCATTGAAATACAGTGGAATGACTGGGACCGGCACCCTTACTGCCATACTGCCCTTAGTGCGTACATGCACTGTGCTTCATATCCACACTGCAAAAATGGACCAGCAGTGTCCAGCACGTAAATAGAGTGATTATGAATGCGTACCGACGGTCCGTATGCGTACTCACGGCTGCAAGGCCACACCCTGTGGCCACTTGACTTCTCGCCCGATTCCAATGTCTACAACAGTAGTTGGCTGGCAAGAAGCCACTCTCACCATGTTGGCCAGTGTGTTCCATTGATACTAGTCTTGTGTGCTGCCTTGGTGTTTGTGTGCAGGCTTTTTCCTTGAGCCAACCGTGTTTGCCGACGTTGGCGATGACAACTTCATTGCCCACGAGGAGTCGTTTGGTCCTATTATGATCATCTCAAAGTTTGAGGATGGGTGAGTGCGAACGTGGGTAGAGCTTAGCTTGGGTGAACGCTATACTGGTACTTGAGTGGGTAGAGCTTAGCTTGGGTGAACGCTATACGGGTACTTGAGTGGGTAGAGCTTAGCTTGGGTGAATGCTATACTGGTACTTGAGTGGGTAGAGCTTAGCTTGGGTGAACGCTATACTGGTACTTGAGTGGGTAGAGCTTAGCTTGGGTGAACGCTATACTGGTACTTGAGTGGGTAGAGCTTAGCTTGGGTAAACGCTATACTGGTACTTGAGTGTGGTGCCTACTGGCTACCGTCATGTGCGTGTACAGTCACGTATAAGTGCTTATGCTTCGTGTGTGGGCTACTGGCGTGTGCATGTACACATGCCCATGGCTAGCGTGTGGGCTCCTGGTGTGCGTGTATGGCTGATGAGACCTCACAAGGACGAAACAGCTAGCTGTCCGGAGATTGAGCAACAGCTAGCTGTCCGGAGATTGAGCAACCTGCCATCGATGTAGTCATGTTCCGTGCATGCAGAATCCTTACAAGAATGGATGATTTGAACTTGGCATATCAGCTTCATTGACTGGGTGTGCAATGTATAGTCAACTCCTGACATAACAAACTCCAATGTGCAGAAGAATTTGTTCTTTATAGCCGAAGTACTTTACAGCAGAAATGCACTCAGACCATGCAAGCAACACGTCGTCAAGAGTATATAACCCCCCAAGAGTGTGCAACTCCTGATACCCTTCTATGGGGTACGCCGATGGTGAAAACTCACATCACGTGGTGCAATGTCGCAGTTGTACGTTTCCAGCCCGTTTTTAGCGAGCAGCGTAGTAATGTAAAAAGCACTCTCTGACAGAAACTCGCTGCGGATATGCAACTCCCCAGCATGATCATGGCAGAAATTCGGATTGCGCGCACGCTATCCTTCGTTTGTACGTAGTACGAACGTATCTGAGACACGTGATGTGAGTTTTCGCCGGTGGAGACCCCATATGCAGAGTTGCACACTCTTGGGGGGGGGGGGGGGGGGTATATACGTCATATAGTACGTTTGCCACCCCAAATTCTTCTATATAAGGGGTTTCTGTACCCGCTTTGGGCATTTTGCCACCCCAACTGGCTACTATATATGGCGGATTTGACGTTATCGCATAAGGGGCCTTCCGTAAATACCGATATTTATTTAGAAACGAAAATTAGTCGTTTCTCTTCAACCCCCTCCCTGAGAAACGAACACATACACATGGTACATAGTATCGATATTTTTGGTCTTTTTTCTGGACATGCTCACGCATGCAAAATGTACATCGATATTTTTCGAGAAACGAACAGGCGCTCAACCCCCTCCCCCCTAAACGACTAGTTTTCGTTTCTAATCAAGTATCTCTATTTACGGATGGGTCCCTAACCTCTATACTCTTGATGTCTTGCCTGGCATGTGGCATGTGACTGCATACGTGCACTGGTTTTTATCATGTATTTGTGGCATGTGACTGCATACGTGCACTGGTGTTCATCATGTATTTGTGGCATGTGACTGCATACGTGCACTGGTGTTCATCATGTACTTGTGGCAAGTGCAGCTACAGCCAGTACAGCCAGTACAGCCAGTGCTCATACAGCACAGGAGTGTGGTTTACTTGTAATTATCTCAGCCACTTCGCTTCATCTCACTATCATCTCTTTTATCTCATCTACTTTGCCTTTCCCTATTCTGTGTTTGATGCATGCAGTGACGTGGATGGTGTGCTGGAGAGAGCCAATGCTACTGAGTTTGGTTTAGCGTCTGGTGTTTTTACCAAGGACATTGGAAAGGTAAGCTATCCGGGAATCCCCTACTACCCGCCACTTGCTTATTCGATAACTTATTGAAATGCTTGCATGGTGGCAGGAAGGCCCACGGTGCACTTACACTTTGCTTGGTGTCCTCCTTTGCTGGGCCGACTGCTCTGCTCCGTCATGTGATTGGCTTGTATACTAATTGGGTATGCTCCTCACACTGGTCAGTGTTGTGATGTGGCTCCGTAGCCCGGCATTGCAGGGACAAAGGCAAACTACCCTCCAAGCCAGAGAATAGTCCCATGGATGAGGAACACAGTGATTGAGGCTAGAGCTTAGTGAAGGCAGTCCTCTTGCCGTCATCGCTAGGATAACACCATGGTGACTGGTGAACTCATCACCTGGTGAATGTGTGTGTGTGTGTGTACGTGTGTGTGTGTGTGTACGTGTGTGTGTGTGTGTACGTGTGTGTGTGTACGTGTGTGTGTGTGCATGTACAGTCGTGGCAAGTGAAATCTGACACTTGGCATAAGGGACTACACCATGCAGTGTGCAGCCCCTGCAGCCCTGCACACGTAGTACATGTGTTACATACAACTTTAATCTGTCTCATGACAGTACTCGTACTCATCACAGTCAAGGTTCAAAGGTGCTGACAAAAATGAATGGGGACTGGATACCAAAGTCCAATGGTCCTTATGCACGTTGTACAGATGTACGAAGTTCTGTACTAGGGCCGTAGGTGTGTACATACCCGGTTGGGTGTTCATTGTGTGCTATACATGGTTGGGTGTTCATTGTGTGCTATAGTGTTCATTGTGTGCTATACATGGCTGGGTGTTCATTGTGTGCTGTACATGCGCGTTTGACCCGTTTAGCCTCGTAATTCGTGGCAAACAATCGCTTTTCCAGCTTCTTCACTTTGGGATTGAACTAACGACTAGCTAGATCTCTGCCGGAAAACGTTTTCGTATGAAATGCCTTCAGGGCCCATTTCATAGTGGAAATAGCAGTAAACACAATAGGGTCCTGCACATTCAACACCCAACCTGGTCTACGGGATTCTACAAGATTCTATGAGATTCTACCGGTATACCGGATTTCATGCAGCTGTACAACGTGCATAAGGCCTATACTCCTTATATGTACCTTGTAAATGAACTGTGTGTATCTACGCTGTGACCTTTCGACCTGTTTGGGATGCATACGGCTCTACTGTACAAATTAGGTGCAGTGCATTACATCATTGATGTCCATTTGTGGCGCTGTCCCCTATATATGGCAAGTGTCGGATTTTGCTTGCCACGCGTGCACGACTGTATGTGTGTGCGTGGGGCACGGCTGTTTTTTTGTGCGATTTCACGCCACTTAACAATATGGCCGCCGAAAGTCTCGATTGGGCTTCAATGGCAAGAAAATTTGAATTTTCAAATCGTCAGAACACGAGTAGGCCATGGTTTCCACTGGATTTTGGAGACTAGTCAGCCCGGACAGCCCGGGGAACACGCTGATCATCTGCGTCTTGTTTCAAGCTTTCCGCTCGTACCTCACATGACTGCCTTTCCTTCAAGAAACATTTGTTCTGTGTCGTGCGACTTTGGCTTCGTTCGGGAATACTCCTTGTGTCGTCGCTGACAAACTCGGCTCCGAGAAGCCCTTCCCGATTTCTTCCCAGCTTAGATCGATTTTTTTCCCAGGTAGAGGACTATCCTCTGGTTGTCTTCCCCAAGTGTCATTAGAATACGCGCGTGAACTTCTAAATACGCGCGACGAGTCAGGAGCCTGTTTTCTCTTGATTTGGAAGAATAAATGGTGTGGCCCTTTAGTTGCTGTTGAGTGTAGAAGGCTGCTTCCTGCTGTAAATTGCTTAGTCGGCATGTGGGATATCGTAGAAGAAGACAGCAGCCGGCCAAGTGAGCTTGAAATTGTGATATCCACCCTATTGTGCGTTGAACGATTACGAAATGTCTAACTTGAATGTTGTACACGCGAGCACGCCAAGCAGAGGCTGACAATCACTGGCGAGATCAATCTCCAGACTGCCAGGAGTACTTCGAGCAAGTTTGAAGCGGAAAGACAGCTAACTGGGCAGGCCAGGACGCCTTTCCACCCTCTTTCTCTCTCAAATTGCCGAAAAGTCGAGTATCTCGCTCGAGCGCTTTCAAAACTTTTCTCTTGGTTTCGCGTCCCAAATCGTGGAACCACGCGAGGATCGACATGAGTTTCTTGCAAAAACGCAAACTCATCGCGTATTTGTACTATTCGCACAATATTACATAAATCGCACCGAACAACGCCATATTGATAAGTGCCTGCACGTGAACAGCCGTGGGGGGGGGGGGGGGCATGCATATACACATGACCACATGATGCCATACATTCTGATGGAATTATTGCTTGTATTGTGATGATGTATTCTGTGTTGTAAAGGCGATGACAGTCAGTGAACGGTTGCAGGCAGGTACCGTATTTATCAACACGTACAACAAGACTGACTGTGCTGCTCCCTTTGGTGGATTCAAGCAGTCCGGATTTGGCAAGGATCTCGGTATGTTGGCCTGTTACATTGTAGTACTTGAGGGTGGGTGGGGTGTCAACGCTTAGCCACCATGTCAACTCTTTCGTGCTTCTCCATGAAATACAATCATGCAATGGAGTCTGTGTGGCTAACCCTCATCTGCACAGGCTGTGGCATCATCATCTCTCTGCTATTACTGCATGTGTTCACTATTTGCGTGGGGACTCGCAGCCACATCCAGGGCATCCACCACTATCACTCCCAGGGCCGGAGGAAGGAGTTCGGGAGTGGTCCGGCCAACCTTTGAGGGAGGGGGGGGGGGTCCGGGGGACCTCCCCCGGGAGAAATATTTAAAATTTACGTGAAATAGAGCGAATTTGGGCATCTCTAAGGCTCCAGAAAATGCAGAAAATTATAGTAAAAGAACACAAACATAACTTTTTTTATCCATATCAGCCATACAGTGCCGGTCACGGAGTCCTAAGCTACTTCGAAGCACATCACACGTCAGCAGTACAGTCGAGTCATGTACCTCTGGATTTTTGTACATCGATTTTGCACGAATCACATGGACCAGCTTGACCGGTTCCGCCGGCCCTGACTCCATAGCCTACCTGTCGTGGGGTTCAGGATCGTGCACTCAACATTGGGCTCTGTGAATTGGGAGTTCATGATCGTGCACTCAACATTGGGCTCTGTGAATGTGGAGTTCATGATCGTGCACTCAACATTGGGCTCTGTGAATTGGGAGTTCATGATCGTGCACTCAACATTGGGCTCTGTGAATGTGCAGGATGTCTGTTACTGTTGTCTGTTGGGGTTATTGCCTGGAATTATGTGTGCTGTGTGCTCCAAGCTCTTTTTAGTAAACGATTTTGAGCACTAACAGCCAGAATTGCTACTGCGAAAAGATAGTTCAGGCCTTGATCAAATTGGCAATGAGATGCAAGCGTTCAAGTAATCAAACGTGCTCCAGACCTGAAAATCCATGTATAGCATTGCATGACTGCAGGTCTGTTCTTGAATTCTCACCAATTGCGTCTGCCACCATTATCTGCGGCAGGTGAGGAAGCTCTGTCGGAATATCTCAAGACGAAGACTGTCACTGTTGAGTACTGAGCACCAGCTTGCACCTAAGAGCAGAGTGGCGGTGAACGCAAGGTGCCAACAGCACCTACCCTCTTCGCCAGCCGCAACAGAAATATGTTCATAATCGAGAGTTTCCATTGGAAACATGTTCCCTTCTGTATATATTATCATGGCCGTACCTCCTAGTCCTTCTACTCGCAGTTTGCTTCTTGCAATATACCTGACTACTCGCTACCCCCCCCCCCCCATATTTTTAATAAGTATTATGATCTAGTCCACCCACTCTTTGCCACAAACCCCTGTTTTTATTGTGTCCTGCCACCCTATACATAGTCTCTTTGTGGCAGGTCGGTTGCTCCACGTTCGATCTCTGGCTCATGACTTTCTATACTGCAGAAGAATAGTTGCCACATACGCATGTGAATTGTACGCTATTGTGCTCTGATGTTACTATTAGTATTACGTTTGTTAGTATCACTTTTATACCGTTTGTTCTTTAGGAATTATGTTACTTTAATTTGACGACAATCCCCAAACCCTGTATTGTAGGGCATAGTGCTTCAATTACTCCCTGTAGAGCGTAGTGCTTCACTCCCTGATTGCCGTTTAATATTGATTTATTTACCCGCCGATGTGGTGTGAAAGCTCCGTGGATGCTACTGGCTGCTTTGATGGTGTGTGCAGTTGCATTGGTCTTTGCTGCCTGCTGCAGCTATGCTCGAGCAGCGCTGTATGCGGCAGTCCATTGCCCCTCTCCGAGTCTTGCAATTTTGCTCTAGCTTCTGCTATTAATGTTGAATTCTTCAGGGCTCAAAAATATACGCCTTGCCCCGTGCAGGTTTGTCTTGGTTCGTGTGCAATAGACCCTTTGCACAATAACGGTCACGTGATCCGAGACGGGGCATCCTCTTCGATTTTTGTGCAGAGTATCCGTTGTTGAGCATGGTGAAACACTGTATTTTTCCATTTTGGAGATGGAGGAGAGAGTGTCGAGTGGTTTGCCATCGATGGCTGTGGCACCCGTGGACGAACTGTCAAATGAAGAATGGCCTGTGAAGGAACTGAACAGTTTTCTGCTGAATGAGGGTGCGTATCTGTCTGGAAAAAGAAGGAGTTGTTGGAGCGGTAAGTTTTCCGCAGTCAGTGGATATTTCGGATTACTGTAGATTGAAATTTATTTTTATTTTCTCTACCTTCTCTCCTCTGTCGATGTAGAGAACACTTCTCTATGCAGAACCCTGATGCTCCTAGAACTAAGAAGGGCACCACTTCCTCGAGTGTACAGTCGTCGTGCCCAACATTTCATGCGTCCCAGTGGATGACTCGATGAGTGATGAACCTCTGTTTCCCAGAGTGAGTGCCACACCAGGCTTGCTCATCTCCAACGCAGGGGCAAGTCGCCGACGACAGTGAAGAGGGAGCTGATGGAGTTGTACTAGTGAAGAAGCCCGTGGATAGTGTCCATGAGTTTTACTTTGGTGGCTATGTGCATAACGTGAAAGTCTGTCATATCGTGCACACAGCCACAGCTCGAACTCAGATGGCCTTCTCCGCACGCCTGAGCGATGAGGCTGCGTCTCTCTGCACTTCAACATCAGCAGCTCGAGCAGCGCCAGCAAGCAGTCGATCTTCCTTGAATAGCGAAGACAGGGATGGGTCATGCCTTTCTCTCAAGCTCCAGAGTCTCTTGGCAGGACGTTCCGCGTCTTCGCAAAACGATGAAAGTGACTGTCTTCATCGACAAAGTGTTCCGAGCAAAACCGTGACTGTGAACGATGTCGCAGCAAACTGCTGCCCTTCTCGCCAGATAGCCAGGATTCAAGAGAGTAGAATGCCAGCATCACTAGGGAACGCCTGGAAAAACAAGTGGGTTTCTTAGACAAGGGATGACGGTTGCTGCAAACAAGAACCCAACAGCAGTCCTTGGAAAGCATTTCGGAACTTCTTCCTTCAGAACTGAATAAACTTCAAATGAAAAAAGGCTGGGGAGTACATACATGAACATCGCGTCGGGACCGTGAAAACCTAGCCTGTCACAGGAAACTTGATCACGTCCTGCAGCAAACCATGCATGCTGGTTGCATGCCAAGTGTGCAGCGCGTGCACAGCATGCCCCGTCTCGACCCCTCTCGCTTATTGCGCAAAGGGTCTATTTGCACGGTGCTTTTTTTATTAAAATAAATGATGTTCAGCACCTTTTGAATGAAGTAGCACCGTGTTCCAGTTGGATCAGCGCGTGCGTACGTGCACGTACATAGTTGGCTTGGCTACGCTATTTTTGTGGTACCAGCTGTGACGTGGCCCTGCTCCTGCAAGCAAATGGGTCCGAGGCATGTCTCAGAGGCAGGAGTGCATAACCTCACAGAGGCTGTGCGCCTTAACCTGCAATAGTGCTCAAATGCCCGAAATGGGCAGAGCGTAGTAGAGGTACACAAAAGGAAGTAAATCGGGCTGTTTTTTGTTGTAACTCAGAGTTTCATGACAAAAACCAATCATCAGACAACATAACTTAAGGGGGGACGGGAGGTTCAGAGGGTCAAAAAATGAATTTCTGAGTTTTGAACTTTTTGCTATGGAATCTTGTCTTAGGATATTTGAAGTGCCAGAATTTCAAATTTGAGCGTAATCGGTTCAGTAGAAGTGGAGTTATGAGCTAAAGCATGTCGAGATAAATTTCAAATGTAAATACTCAAATGTTTACAATTGCCTAATTATTTTGTGATTTTGGTTTAGTCCAAAATCAAGCGTTTTTGATTCAACTTCGCCAGGTAAGCGACCCTGGCTTCTGTTTTTGTAGTCATGGAGAGCTGTCACGTGCTTCCTTGATCGCGTATGACGTTCTGCAGCGCCACGACGCCCACGCGAAGGAAAAAATCTTTGTTTTTTTGTTTGTGATCGTGAAAGTGAACAATTTTACATGGGGAACCGAAAGAGAAGCACCAGCAGCTCTGGAAGTGGCCATAGGAGGAAGAAAAGGAGATACTACGCCCCAAAGCAGTCAAGCTCTGTACCAGTTGTGGAAGAAGGCACCGTTGAAGCGGCGCAGAGCGCTTCCTCTCGGAAGATTTCGTCGAGGCCAAAATGGCTTAGTGATAAATAATTTATTAATTATGGTCATGGAATTTGAATCTGAGCTTGTGTGCTCGAGTGACAGTGATTCAGACGAGTCGTCCAGTGATAGCTGCCAGGAGTATGATGATGATGCATTCTATCCTGATGTTGAGGAGTCTGTCTCTGGCTACAAGATCGTGGATTTACAGTGTCTCCAGGAACTGATGGATCAATTTACTGTCTGTAGGAAGTGCACGAAGGGAGACATGATCGTCAGTAACTGTCATGACACTGGACTTGGATCGACCCTGCGACTTCAATGCGCTTTGTGTGGACACAGTGGAAGTACGTCTCTGAGCAAGAAAATTGGCAGGAGCTATGATCTGAATCGACGATCTGTACTGGCGATGCATTGGACGTGGCCATGGTGGACTCCGAAAGTTTTGCGGCGTAATGAATTTTCCTGCTCCTGTAACGGAGAAAGCGTACCGCAGCCACCAGGAAGTTGTCCTTGCTGCAGCCGTAAAGCTAGCTGAAACTGACATGGTTCAATCCGCAGCTGAGTTGCGTGCCATGACAGATTCCACCCACGTCGCAGTGACGTTCGACGGCACTTGGATGCGCAGGGGATATTCGTCGCTGTATGGTGTGTTCGCGTGCATCTCCTTCCAGAGCGGCCGTGTACTGGACATCACAGTGAAGGGTCGATACTGTCACGAATGTAAGATCTGGACTGAGAAGAAGCGAAGTGGTGCAATCACGGTGGAAGCCTTTTCAACCTGGCTGGATAATCACAAGTGCAGCATAAACACAGCGGCATCTGCACCCGGTATGGAGAGTGAAGCTGCGTGTGATATTTGGCAGCGGTCTGTGGGCACACGCGGAGGCCTCATGTACACGTCGTACATCGGAGATGGGGACTCCAAAGGCTATAAGAAGGTGTGCGACCTGGACCCTTATGATGGTGTTGCCATCAGCAAGGAAGAATGCATAGGCCATGTGCAGAAGCGTGTTGGCAATAGGCTCCGGGAACTGAAGCGGCAACACAAGGGCATGAAGCTGAGCGATGGCATCGGTCTCAGTGGAAAGGGCCGTCTCACTGACAGGCAGATGGAGCGTCTCCAGACCAATTATGGCAATGCCGTCAGGAGGAATGTCGGAGACCTGCAAGCAATGGCCAAGGAGATCTGGGCTGGGCTCATGCACTGCTGCTCAACAGATGCTACGCCGCAGCATCAATTCTGTCCGGAAGGTCCAGACTCGTGGTGCAAGTGGCAGCAGGCGCAGAGTGGTGCACGCCAAGCTTATGAGCATAAGAACCCTCTCCCAAAGGCTGTGTTCGAAGTCGTGAAGCCCATCTACATGCAGCTGTCCGAACGAAGTCTGCTGGAGCGCTGCCAGATGGGTGCAACGCAGAATGCGAACGAGTCGTTCAACAACGTCATTTGGAGAATGTGTCCGAAGGAAGGCTTCTGCTCCGTCGACACCGTTCAGCTGGCAAGTAGTTTGGCAGTGCTCAACTTCAACAACGGCGCTATCACCTTGCTCAGTGTGCTGAAAGAGTGTGGATGCATTGATGGCAATCACACGAAGGCAGCGCTTGAGCTAGAAGACCAATGGCGTGTGAAGAAGTCCCTCCGCAAGTCATGAGCAGTGGAAAAGGAGAGCAGGAAAAGGAGAAGGAGGCAGAGGAAAGGCTGGGAGGAGACCACTATTGAGAAAGAGGGCACTACATATGACAAAGGTGGGTTCTGAATGGCAACTTCAGGTCAGATATGTGAAAATATTTCAGTAGCACTCCACTACCAGTCCTTTTTATGTAATTTTTAGGTGCATTTTTCACTGATTTTAGGGGTATTATGGGCACTCCGCGCAGTTTTTTAGAAATGCTGTACATATCTTGTATGTAAAAGTATATATTTTCTGGTTCTGTACGGTCCATTCTAGATCCGTTGCCTTCTTAGGACACAAGATCTTCTGTTAGAAACAAAATAATGGACCTTGAACTTCAGTCAAGTTATCTTGCGCACGTGCATTGTTATTTCAAGGCTGCAGTGGCACACCATTGGAACTGTAATCGCATTGTGCTTAGGCAACAGCCCTAGCCCCTTGGTACCTGATCATTTTGCAGTGTTATGTGTTTATCTTCAAGTGACCATGTTTGAGAAAAACTGCGCAGAAATCATGCCCGGCTATCGCATTTTTTCCAAAATTGCTTTCCTGCATTTCTCCATGATACCAGTATACTTTCCACAGTTCTTGGTTGCAATGTCGTCAGTGGATGTCAAGGAACATATACTGAAAATTTGAAGGAATTCTGATGTTTGAGTGCTGAGATTCAAGCGAATTTATAACGGGCACCGCAATATGGCCAGCGAACCTCCCGTCCCCCCTTAAGGAGATTAGAAAAAAACGCAGCATATACAAGTATGTAATTTATAACCTCTGGAGTTAATGCATGTAGATAGTAGCAAGAGTCCATACCCCCCCCCCCCCCCCGGCTCATGCCCCCCCCCCCCGGCTCTTAATGATGTAGTGGGACCGGATGACCTTTGTCTTTGATTCATCATTGGCATAATCGGATGGCATGATAATGATGCGCAAATAACCCACTAGCACTCTCCTCCCATCCTGAAGAGTGAGGGCTGAGGTATGATAATAAATATTACCCGCGGATGTCTTCGTTCCCCAAAATGTATGGTCGCATATTACGACAGTAGCTACATCATGGTATATCGGGACCCTACCAACTGGTTGTCTCAGTATCAGAATGCTGGTTCTGTCCAGTCCTACCTTGCCAGCTCAAGAGTTTGGTTGTTCTGATGGAAGAGCGAGCCGGATGTCCACCCGCGTAGGCAAGCCTGAGTCCCACACGTTTGCCGCGTACTTGTACACTGCTACCAAGAGTATAACCCCCCCCCCCCCCTAGGCCTCGACCAAATATGCTGGCGCATATTTCCGCATATTTTTGTGAGACAGTTCATTATGGCATATTGAGCGACAAATGGAATATTGGAATGAAGCCGGCATATAATTCAAATATTCTGAAGAAAATGAGGACAAAACATTCATATTATGGACAAAATGTGTTCAGAAATGCCTTTTATGGTTGAATTTGGAATGGCTGAGGCGTTTGCTACATTTCCCCATGGATGAACACTATCGCGCGCGCTACTGTTGCTGGGGACACACCCCAGCCATACTATTCCGCATGTGTTTTGATTTGCACCATAAGCATGATAGCCGTGAAGCAAATGAATATTGCAAGGTTGTAATTTTACTGAATCGATCTACACTTTCTGCTTATGTCGAGCATATTTTGGCTTATACCTCACTCCATATACACTTACAGTCTATCCTAGGCATGCTCTCCCTTAGTGGTACATGGTGTATATGTATACAATATTACCTGAAGCCGAGTGAATATGGGCGAATATTCACTAGTATACAAACCGAGGCGAAGCCGAGGTTTGTATAACTAGTGAATATTCGCCCATATTCACGAGGCTGAAGGTAATATTAGACTTACATGTATACCTCTCCATATTCACCCTCTCGTCCCTAAAACCCAACAAACCAGTCCTGTTGGTCATACATGTACATGTACACAGAACTAACGTAAGTCGTTGTTGCTTCACTGAGCCTTCAGACCGACTGGCGTGTTCTTGCCTGAATCGGAGGGCCTAGGGCGCGGCGGCGTGTTCAGAATCCTGTTCAATCGATCGTGTACACGTACTGGTACATGTGGCATGGGAGGTGACGACCTTGGAGAACACGCTCGTGCCAATCACCATGGAGAACACGCTCGTGCAGCTTTGTGGCGGAAGCCAATCATTAGAGAGGTTTCGTTTCACGCGAAGATTTGACCAATCAGAGAGAGGTTTCGTTTCGGCGTCGGTTTATAACAGCGAGCCAAGCGGTTCTACTCCGTACTCGTCCTCTCACTTCTTTTCTTTTTGGGCAGCGCATCGGAGCTGTTGTGTGCCCTAGGAAAATTCTACGCTAACGTCCTTGAACAGGGCTGTTCTGAGTACAAACGAAATTCCTGGCTTGCCGCTTGATCCGCAATCGATCATCGGGCCATTGACATGTTGAGCGTCCAAAACCTTGTGTTCTCGCTGAAACGCTCCGTCTGTGAAGATGCTCACTGTCAGCACCTGGTCACATGCGGATCCAGCGGCAATGGCAAGCAAGGAATTATTTCGTTTGTACTCAGAAAAGTCCTGTCTAAGGAAGTTAGCGTAGACATTTTCTAGGGCACTCGACAGCTAGCTCCGGTGCGCTGACTGAAGAGGAATCAAGCGCAGCACCGAGTACTGCTCTCTTTACAGTACAATGTAAGTATCGAAAAGTGGTGAATATGAGGTAAGTGGTGAATATTTTATTTATTATTTTATTTATTTATTGCAGCATCTCATAGCACAGTGAGAACACCGGCCAATACAAAGAGAGAGGGTGTTAGCCAACCACGGCAAGGAAGGGAGAAGGGGAGGAGAAGAAAAAAGGAACCGGCATGGATAAGTAGTGATTGCAACAAAATGAGAAACGCAAAATCAAAGTCAAGGCGCGACAAGGCTCTTAAAAAGGCGGAGGGAAGAAAGTATAAGCGGTGAATATTCAGCAATATTCACCACTTATGTAAATGGCCAATTGTATGTGGGTGAATATGGAGTGAGGTATAAATTTCGATATACACGAGGTTCCTTTGTTATAATAATTATATTTATACCTCTCCATGTTCACCGTGTGTGATCTCCTAATGCCAATAGCTTGTTCCTCGCTGACAACTACTGCTAATTATTTCCCCTAGCGGTGTATATGGAGATATATACACCACGGGTGAATATGGAGAGGTATACATGTAAGTCTAATATTACCTTCAGCCTCGTGAATATGGGCGAATATTCACTAGTTATACAAACCTCGGCTTCGCCTCGGTTTGTATACTAGTGAATATTCGCCCATATTCACTCGGCTTCAGGTAATATTGTATACATAATCATATACACCAGTATAAAAACCTCGGCTTCGCCTCGGTTTTCATACTGGTGTTACAGTGGTGTATACATGTATATCTCTATATACACTCGGTTCCTTGTTATAATATATACATATTTTGGCATATCTTTTTGCATAATTATCTTGCTAAGCCTTTGGCATATTATGGACGTTTTCCCTGATATGCGACGAGCATAATAATTATGCTTTTTTTTAGCATATTTGGTCGAGGCCTACCCCCCCCCCCCCCCCCCCCCCCCAAATATATTCTGCAACCTTGAAGCGTTGTAGCGCTGCCTTGGATGGGGGAGCGTTCAGGATGGCACAGGGTAGAGCATTCCATGTTGTGAGTAGGTCGAACGGGAAGGATCGTGTGAACCAGGGAGTGAGCCGAAAACCTGACTCTTTAGTCAACTTTTCATGACTCTCGCCAATGGCTATAATAACCCTCTGTTGTTGAATACTTTATTTAGGGGGTCAAAATAGGCACAGGCCTAACGTTAACAACAATGGACCCACTCTGTTCACACTGGCAGCCGCTTGCGCCCTTTGTTGTGGAGAGTCTCTTCCGATCCGTCAGTACCGTCACCAGTCCATCGCTTCCTGATGTAGATTAGGCGATCTTGTCTGCAGATCTGCCTGTCCTGTCCGGATCCCGTACGAATAGAAGTGTTCGCACACGTGCATTGGTGCAGAATCGATCGATCGCACACCCACCTGGTCGTACGATACCGTATGGTGCGTACCAGTGTGTACGGTGTGTGCGGCGTATACGGTCGTGAGCTATTCGATCGCCGTGCCTTGTCATTCGTGACTTGGCTTGCCTCGTGCACGCCAGCAAAATCTCCTCGCTCCTGCCTTCTTGCCGCCGCTGAGTGCTGCGACAATTCGACAATTCGAGTTTCCTGGGATTCCGTGGGTAGGGAAGACCCGGGAAACACACACGACCACACTCAACCACGGATTCGGGGGACGAAACAACAAGTCACACGGCAATGGCAAGGTAAGTAGCCCAGTGCTAGGGCCGGCTGCCGGGCTGGGCTAGCCACAAGTGCAGCCGCGCCGCGTCGTCGGTTAGTTACCTTCAAGGAGATAATTGCATTTCCAGCCGTCATAAGTACCAGGCAGGAATGTATTCTACTTTGAGAATGGGTTAGGGTTTATTCACAACACCAATCACGTCAAGCTACGAAGTAAGAACCAAAGCAAAAACACCAACCAAATTCGGAAATAAAATAGAACACTCAATTGAATTGAGGAGGGAGGTATTTTACTACTATACTCCCTCATATCAGCAGTCCCGTACAGGTATGTGTGTAGGTAAATGCAATTGCTGGTAGATCTACTGTATAGTGTTTACATCAGGGAGTCGAAAAAATTAATATGGTATTTTACGACTCCCTGGTTTACAATCATGTAGAGCAGTTCGCTTGGCATGTCGACCAGACCATTTGCCGATTTGGGTTTTCGCGAATTTCAATGCAAGAGTCGATAGACAAACACTCCAACAAGTACGGATTTCTAATTACCTGCACATGATGTCGACTAAAGTGTATCAGCAGAAGCCTGAAGGAAACAATTATAAGGAGTTTATGGACTTCATGCAACTGCATCATAAAAGAAAGAGGGGGTGGGGCGGGGTCAACTGACAACGGCAGTTGATATCGGGGAGTAGCAGAATACGTTACTACGATACTCGACGTACTCCCAGGTTGCTACACACTCTGCGTGAGTAGCAACTGACTAGAGCGGTCGCCAGTTCACAACCACCCATTGCTTTTAGAAGGACATAAGGACAGGAAAAGATAGCTAGCAAGAAAGTGCATAGGTCCACAAGGGATGAAAGTGGATGCTAGTGCGCCTGTGTTCTGCTTGATGATGCGTCGGCTCGAGAAAAGCCGTAAAAGCCGTAATGCAAGTGCTACATTAGCTAATGAAAGCAAATAGCATAATTATACTACAGCTGTAGTAGCAGTGGGAAGTGATAGCAAATACCATAACTATATCACTGTATCAGTTGCAGGTAGTGGAAGGTAGTACATGTACCCAGATGTTACAGGTACTTCCTAGGTTGCCGTGTGATTATATCCAATCACCACATAAAATGATAATGACACACAAGGGAATGGTCTCAAACTGCGGAGAGTGCTCAATGCAAGCGAGGCAGAGCTTCATCACACACAAGCGGAAAAACCGTCAGAGATCAAATTCCATTACACAGTGCTTCACCGTTCAAGCAACGGATCATCAGATGGACTGATGATCCGTTGCTTGAACGGTGAAGCACTGTGTAATGGAATTTGATCTCTGACGGTTTTTCCGCTTGTGTGTAAAATGATAATGACAAATCCTATTCTATGGGTGTCTCCAACAGGCTACTAGTATTTGGCCTTCGAAGTTCTTACGCTTTCTTCATTTAAACTTTTATCGGGAGTCCGTATGGTTAGGCGAGAAGGCAGAATGCCTGTGTATCTGGTGAAGCAAAATAGAAACAAACAAACAAACAAACAACTTCAAGTTTCTAAACACTGTAAACAGACAAACAGACAAACAAACGCTACAGGATCCCAAACATGTACTGCCCTTGCCCTTGCCACTGCACCTGCACCTGCACAGCTGCAGCTGCACAGCTGTGATTCTTGAGTTCTGGCGCGCAGTGACCGTGTGTGCATGTGTCGTGTTAGCAAGAGTATAATCAAGAGTACATAACACTCTTGGTATAATGTAAATCCAGGAATTTCGTCGTAACAGTCTGGCCTTGCAGAAAAAGTCAGAAGCTGCACACTCTTCTCTGTGGTTTCATAACTTTCATTACACTCTTGGTTGCATCCCGTGACCATAAATCTTTTCACCTCACACTGGTATCCCTTTTTACAAAAGTAAGAGAAAGTAAAAACTACTGCTAAGAGAAAGTACACCAAGGAAACGGTACCTGGTTACCGCACCAGATATTGGTAAGCTACCTCCTTTCCTTTCTTCCCCTTTTTTGTTCCTCAAGCCCCACGATAGACTCACAAAGCCTTTGATCAATCCGTACAACATCAATCTCCATGCGTAGTTGGCCATAAATGGACATCAATAATATCAAGAGCCTTCACCCCGATGTTAGTTAAACGTAGAAGAGGAGAAAGGACACCTGGAAGGCTGGATACGCGAGCCATGTACTGAGCAGCTGTGTGCCTACTGTAACTGTAGTGTTACGCTGTCGTCAGAAAGTGCCATAACTACAACACTCGTAGTCCGCGAAGTTGGTTGGGTTATCATGTGCTGCGTTGCTGCTTCCAGTTCAGTTGTAGCAAGAGTACATAACCCCCCTCTTGGTTGTAGTCAGACCACATTGTCAAGCACCTTCTTGGTCACGTTATCCCCCCCCCCCCCCCCCCCTCTTGGTTGTAGTCAGACCACATTGTCAAGCACCTTCTTGGTCACGTTATCATCCAGTATTAGTCGACGGTCTTTGTTGCAGCGGGGCTTAGAATTAATAGCTTGTACTCCGTACTCATTTTCGTCGCTCACTGGCTTGTCTCCTCCGTCTTTCCTAGCCATGAACCTTTCAAGATGGAAGACTGTTGCGGTTTGTGCACCGCAGCTGTGCTGGAGCTGGGTGGCAGATCGTTGAATGTCTTGTCTTAGTACTCTGCCAGTTTGATGTCTAGTTGTCGCACTTTCTGACCATACAATCATTCTCTCTCATCTAGTTACGGTGGACCAGTGGTAGACAGTTGCTCCTACACTATACATACAACTCGTATACATGTATCATTAATTTTCTCCTTTCCAAATCTACTCGATAACTACCATAATTTGCAATGGAACGAGGCTAAGTTTGTTGTTACTAGTAGTAGTAGTAGTAGATTTTATTATTTTACTAGGGGAGTCCCAACAGGCGTTGCCTTTTTACTGGGAACCCTCATCGTTTCATGGTTACAATCTGCAAAAAAACAATGGTGATGTGCTAGTGGTTAAAGTGGCTAGGGGGAGAGGAGCGATAAAACAAGTTTGACAATTTAGCACGGCAGTTAGAGGCGAACATGAAGGCGCAATGCCTTGGTGTGAGGGGAGACGATGAAATTATTGTTGCAATGTAAAGGTGCCTATGATCACATGAAAGCGCCTTCATTTTCGTGTCTACCTGCCGATCTTCTTTTATTACTCCTCTCCTACGTGCATAACCCGAGGCACCACTTGTATCAGCATTGTTGTCTGTAGATGTATTGGTGAATACCCATGAGACTCTGAGGAACAACACACTTCAGCCTGGTTCCATTGCTAACTAACGTGTTACTTGTATCTTTGGGCTCGGCCATCGCGTTATCGAGCACTTTTGCAAGCACCGGTACATGTACTGTATTTAGCAACATAGCCTGTGCTATTCGATAACTAAAATAGTTACTCTTGTTGCTACATGTATGTCTGATGATGTAAAACTCGTGAAATTTCGATATCATATGGAATGGCCCAAGAGTGTACAACTCCAGTCTATTGGGTCGGGGCAGTCTATGAGGTCTGCGACGGTAGAACTTCACATTCCGGTGGAGTTCTGGACTCTTCGTCTTGATACATTGTACAGTAATAGGAAAATACCAAGGTAACAGTACAAGAGACCACAATTACCGGTATTGGAAGATGATACAGCTCGAATGCCGAATGGCCATTTATCATTATGGGTTGCTGTCATGCAGTGAAATTCTTGAATTACATCGTGAGTAGTGTCGTTAGTAACTAATTTACTTTCCGCCCGATATCTACACCAACTATGATGTAATCGAGACATTTCGCCCGTTGCCAGACGTAGACACCCTTGCAAAACAAGTCCGCAGCTGCACAGTCTTGCCAAGTATTGGTTTCATGTCCTCTTGAAAACCATAAAGCATGTAATACCTTTGGCATAAAAATGACATAATTACCGTATGTAATAGGCTACCTCCAAGGCAAATTGGGCAGTTTTCGCCACGCGCACCTACAGAAATATGGAATCCTTCCCTGGCACTTATCCAAAAATAGCAAGCATCTCCATTAGGGGTAAGCCACGCTTTCTTTTTTCGCGCTTATACGACATGCATTTTAGGATGTCCCCCGAAAGGAAGCTTAGCCAGTAACAGATCATGCCTTATACCATAATGGTGGTGGAGGCAAAAACTTACCCGGAACAAAAGCGCTGGATCTTTTCCGTCCTTGTTTGGTTTCGAAGCGGCAGGTGCATCCAAAACGAGACGTGCTTTTGCTGATGCGATATGCGCGCTATCATCTCAAGATAAGCCGTACCCATATCCGGGTACGTCTTACGGCCTGAGCTGCTACTCACCTTATACGGGAGCGTGATGCATGTGACCGGAGACAAATTTGGCAAAAGCATGCGCAAGCAAAGGCAGAAAGCGCTTGGCCCCTCCAATCCGGGCCATGCATGCACACTGTGAAAAGGCAGCGAAAAAGGCCAGATTCGCCAAGCGAGGGAAGTCTTTCCTCCTGGTTGCTAGAAGAGAGTGGAAAGGAAAATTGTTTGTGAGTGGTGCTTAGCCGGCTAGCCCTTCTTAGCTCTGTTTTGGAGAGCATAATCTTTGTTTCATACCGTCGCTGTCGTACTACTACTGGTTGCCATGAGCAGGTGAGTTTTTCCTACAAAGTTTGTCGTAGAGTGACTAGAAGAATTGGTACTCGACGTCGTGGGTAGGAAGAGTTTTTCGTTTCTTGACTTTCCTCTTCCTGTTGTTCTGGTGAAAGCATCAATCTGCTTTCACTTGTCGATTATGAACCTAATGGAGCACATGCTTCGACTGATATCACCTAATCTGAGCTGAACATCTTCAACAAGTAGTTCGAGTTGTGTTGCTCTTCTTTTGGTGTGATTGTGTAAAGAGTATACATATACGGGAGCTTGGTTGTAGTATTGTAGTGAAGCGGATTCCTTTGGCGTGGCATGGCGTCTCGTATTTCCTACAAACTACAGCAGCAACAGTCGAATTATTCCTTTGGGTCAGAACTTCCGCATTCGCTTTTCCCAACTCCTACGTTTTTCTTTATCGATGGCTTTGCGGCCTTTGTTCCGAAAGCGAACCATATCGGGGATAATGCAATGATACAAAAAAGGGATCTTGTCTGAGATCTTTATCGCTTTCTTTCTTCCAGTTCTTTAGGACTTCACATATCAATCTGCGAAAGAAATGCTACGAATAATGTAGGCCTTGAACAATGTAAGCATTGGACGAGGTTGTCTCCGGGAAAGGTGGACATGGTGAAGATGCCGGAAAGTCCGTTCTGCCTTTGTGGCGATGCTTCGTGCCCTAACAAATTGGGTCACCGCTTATCCGTCATTTGCTGAACTACATGTAAGCGACTTAGCTGACAGCTACAAAGGAAAGCAAAGGACCGTGTTTCTGGAGCTACGGGTGGGGGGGGGGGGGGGGCTGACGATGACATCTGCAAGCTAACTAGCTGAAACTGAAAGCCAGAGAGCCAGCACGTGGTTTATGAAATAATCCCAGCTATCTTTCACGAACAACCAACTCACAATGATGACATGGCTTCCCTTCAATACGCAGCCCACTGCTCTGTAGCATGCTGGGAAGCTGACATAATGCACCATTGTAAAGAAAACGATCTTTCGACTAGTCTTCATCAGCCACACTATTTTCATAAATGCAGGTTTGATAGTGGCGTATGACAGTTCATGCATTGTTGGTTCATGACATGAATATTGGCACCCGCTTCAAGGCATGCAGTTCAAAAATTTGTACCCACAATGAACAGGTTTTTAGAGTTTGTTGGTATCTTCGGCCAGGAGCATCTCTAATGTGCTGGTGTTGTCAATTGTGTGGTGCAACCTAAGTTACCGCCAGTCATTGTTTCTGCGGTTGCTGGTGTTGCCAGTTCCTCGTTCGGTGTGGCAAACTTGACCGTTCTGCATTAGTGCGTGCTGTATTCACTAGCAATAATGCGTTTTTGGCTGATGTGTTGACTTGTTGTCATGTGTGTATCTGTGTCTGCTTGCTCCCACAGCGAGAAGATAGCCAAGATGGAGCCGCAGCCGGTGCAGCCGGGCATTGGACCGTTGGCGTCCCCTCCTCCATCGTCAGGCCTTCAGTCGTCGCAACTGCCCCAGCAGCAGTCAACGTCACCATCTTCGCAGCAGCGGCAACAGCAGCATCTCGCCCAGCAGCAGTCGCCCATCCAGCATGCTCAGCAACAGCAGCATCTCGCCCAGCAGCACTCGCCCATCCAGCATGCCCAGCAGCAGCAGCAACAACAAGCGCAGCAGCAGCAGCAGCAAATGCAGCAGCTGTCACAAGCACAGGTGGTGCAGCATAAGCCACAGGCGCTTCCGTCAATGTCACCGCAACAGCTTCAGCAGCAGCATCAACAACAACAGCAGCAGCGGCAACAGCAGCAGCAACAACAAGCATTACAACAACAATTGCAACAGCAACACCAACAACAACAGCAGCAGCAGCAACACCAACAACAACACCAACAACAGCAACAGCACCTTCACCATCATTCACAGCACCAGGCGTCACACGTTAGCCCTCCGATGTCAATCCATCATTTACCAGCTCAGCAAAGTCTACCTATCCATACTGGATCGCAACACCATCCCCATCATCATCAATGTACCTCGCCCACACCGAAATCTGTGGCCATGCCTACACCTACCAAGCAGATCTCTAATGAAGAAATCCCGCCAATGCACGCCATTCGAGTTAGCACGAAAGGCTTCCGCCAGCGTTGGAACGGCCAGCAATGGCGACGTCTTTGCGACGAGCCAACTTGCGTGAGGGAGGCGCAGAGATTGTCGCTGTGTGCAAAGCACCAGCCCATCAAGGATTGGCGTCCGTCACGGCGTTCGGGTTCCACATCGTCGCCGTCGACTAAGAAGTCTTCGCCGAAACGTGGCCAGCGCCGGTCGCATCCTGTCGACTTCCAGACCGCACTGACAATGCCCGGTGTAACGCCTCATGCTATGCCCTTGAACGACCCAAGCCTGTTCCCCGTAGATGCCAACAACCTGCAGATGTCGGTCGGCGAGCACGAGGATCAGCTGGCGGCACCGATGCACGCGCCATGGGGGAACCCGATGGGTGGCATGCCCGGCTACGCTCCCATGCCCAGCGCTTACCCTCAGCAGGGATATCCGTACGAGAACCCGGCCTTGCTGCATTTGGCTGCCGAGCAGATGGCCGCAGCTTGGTCCATGCAGCAGCCACCGCCATCGCACATGCCATCGCAGTACATTCGGTGATCAACACCGAAACAACACAAAACAAACTATCTACACCTTCCCTGCTGCTGCACTGCTGTCAGCATAGTCTGCTGCGTTGAAGGTGACTGTTGTCGTGTGTGCAGTTGGCAGGCTAGTTGCCCCCGGGACTGCAGCAGATGTCACCGGCTGATAGCGCTGGTCTGTTGTACTCTTTTCGTTGCTCAGCCTGTTGCTGTGCTCTGCTGTGTGGAAGTCAAGTAAGTCATATAAGTAATGGATCCGGACAGTCAACCACATTATATTTATGGAATGTTGTTCCAAGTTCCCGTAACCTGCGTATCCATGCACCAACTTTTCCTTCGATTTTCCTTCTCTGTTGTACCAGTGTTGTCTAGACGTTGCATGAGCCTATATTCTCAGCAAACTTGGTCATACCTATTCAACTCTTTATTGGCGTGGGCAAAAGAAACTCAGCCAAGACCGATCACAGCTCTCTTTATTCATCTTAACAGTGTACCGATGTCATCTCCTCGCCCTCTATCTTTCTCTTTCCTTCCTTTGTATTTATATATGACCCTTTTCTGAACACTGGTTTTTTCCATAGCCACGACAATACTTCACTTGATTTTTGACTTTTTTTCATAAAGGCTGTTTAGTGTAAAATACGAGGCAAACTTTAGTTAGCTTGCTTCTGCTGGGCATGTGTTTCATGCTTGTTCTAAAATCACTCTATTTTCACAACAGACACGCGCACGCTGTCCTATTCGCTTCACTTTCTTGAGCTCTTTCCTTGGGGAAAGCAGCTGCATCATCATTTCCGTTTCTTTTCCTGTGCATGAACGCCATATTTATTGCACGTTTTTTAGATTTAAAGATGCATTTTTACTTTATCGCTGGAACAGAAAGAGCTAGTTTTGTTTTAATAATATTTTTGCATCCAATATTGTGTTTAGAAAAATTTAAATGCTATCAGCAGATCATGGACATGAAGTGAGGTTGTTTTGCTCTTGTCTTAGTTGTGAAAATACTGTTGTAGTTGAAGTATCGATGAGAGCCAGCATACCATGCATATGGCCGTCATCAGACCACCTCATATCGTTGCTCGAATTCAATCGTGTTTCAAAACCTGCAAGGTTCGTTGTTCTGGAGCACTGCTGCTCGTGAGCGTGGACAGCATGGCAGGGGGTACTAAAAACCAGGGAGTAGTATTGTACTACTCCCTGCTAAAAACCGACTTCCTGGCCTGGTGGACAGCATTACACCGGTATTATCAAGAGTACATATAAAACTACTCTTGGTATTATCAAGAGTCCATAATGGACTCTTGGTGATTATCTATGCTGCACTGCCATCATGGTCTGTCGACATGTCGTCTGCCCTACATACACATACAGTAAATAGAGAGGTTCCGGGGTACGATTTTCCGTGCCAAAATCCGTGTGGGCGCTACGGATTTTTTCCAGGAGTGCTCCATACGATTTTTCGGCACGGAGAATCCGTGTGGACTGGCTTTCACACGAACCATGTTTCGTATGGAGATTTTGCGTCATCGGGTGCAGAAAGATTTTTCGCGTACAAATTTGGTACGAGAAACATGGATTTTCCGCGGGAAGTTTTGATTTCGGTACAAATTTTCAAAATATAAAGGCATAGCGCGGGAATGTGACGTGTTTGCTATCGTAACCTAGGCAATGACGGCAAACACATAAGTTCCGTACTCCGGAACATTTCACTGCTCGAAAACGACGTATAAAAAATCCGTAGCACCTCTACGGATTTTGGCACGAAAAATCGTACTCCGGAACCTCCCTAGGCCCTATTATATTAGTGGATATAACGTGCCCCTTTGATTTTCGATAATTTATCACTATATCCGGTGCATCGCTATAGCCGATTTGCATGTATGACTGACACATGGCACATGACTGTGCATGAAATGATGCATACACGCTGGAAAATGCATGAAAAGCAGTCACGTGTACATGTGGCTGCTTACAGCATACAGGGAAGAATTTTCTCTCAATCACGTCTGCTGCCAGATGCATCCAGGAAACACTGGATCAGTTTTGGAAGAAATGAACTAAATTTGAAGAACAATTGTTTTGTGATCATCTCTCTTGATCAGTATATACGATATTTTCCTGTGCATTTGATATGGTTTGCTTCCTGAAGCCCATCACAATAAGCGATATATCGGTATAGCCGATAATAGTGTGTATAGTGATATTTTAGCTGTATTTTTTTGTGATTTGATTTTGATTTTGGCGAGTTCGATCATTATATAGCCGGTATATCGTTACACCCGGTCACTTTATAAACGATACTCACTGTAATACAGATACTCATATGTGTAGAGTGTTACCGGCACGTTTCCGGTTGAGGCAATGAGCACCGTCATAGACTGATTGTCCTCATGGCTCATGCACAGAGTAACAGTTCATGCTGCGTCTTCCCAATGTCTGAATGAGAATTATTTTGTGTGTTGTAGAGTCACCAGCATCGCGACGTTTTTATGCACTCCCATTGCATTTGTAAATTGGTTATTTGTCCAAATTTACCAATGCAACGACGCAAGTTCACACATGCAATCAAGAAGACACTTCCTTTCATCAAGACTGCATAATCAAGAGTGCATAATGTTGAGCTGAGAGTCACTTTTATTTATTTTTTACAAAAAAAAACAAGACTGTCAAGAGGACAAGCTACAACTTAGTACTAGTACAAGAGAAAAGCGATCCTGTCAGCTTTTCTATTATTATTAAATTTTTGGACTCTTGCTTTCATCTACTACTTACTACTAGTACCAAGAGTACATAACCCCCCAGAGTGTGCAACGCCGATCCAGCTCTGTGTAGGGTCTTGGTCGAGCGGAATCGGATCTTCTGATGTCATGCGTACACTTCACACCAGCGCAAGGCCGGTCTCGAGCTAGGCAGGGCACCATTGTTTTTGATCCAAGAGTACCCGCGACTCCCCGGGCTCCCCTCAGATGTGTACGGTATTATGACGCAAAGATCCGATTCCGCTCGACCAAGACCCTATGCAGAGCTGGATCAGGCGTTGCACACTCTGGGGGGTTATGTACTCTTGCTAGTACCGGTATCATGTCAAACCAAGGAACCGTCAAGCCGCAAGACATACATACAGTACAATGTCATGTACCATGACCATGATGACTGTACAAAAATAACAAGTCAAACACAAAATGCATTGTGCATGGTTGTGTTTCGGACGAGGGTCCTCCGCCCAGCTGTCTTACATCACCATGACATGGTGACATGTGATCACGCACGCGGTAAAGAGTCTAAGGACCATGGAGTCGTAAAATACCGGTATTTTAGGACTCCCTGGCCCTGGGCAAAAGTTTTTATTTTTCAAAAATCGTCTTCTTCATTGAATGATCAAACGCTTTTGGAAGTCCCGAGCTAGCTTATCGGCACCATGGCCAGTGTTATCGCTGATACTATCCGCTCCAAACTTGAAGCAGGATTGTCTCCAACTCATCTCGTAAGTTTGCTACAACTACAAGCATGGATTCTAACAAGGTGGCACATGGTAGGAATTGGCAGAATGGATTGAAAAAAGGAGTTATTTTTAGCATAAACAAATGCAAGAGCTCCAGGTTGCACTATACGACTAACGTACTTCAGGGCTTTGTCTTGAACACCAGCACTCCACAAGTACGTTCCCTACTTTTTAAGTAGTTGGATAAAATGCAAACAAATCATAAGAAAATGAAGTATCAATGTCCCTTCCCTACCCCATGGGCCCAGGTACCAGTACACTGTAGTCTGTAGTGATGACAATGGTAAACATAATATTATGTGATGTCACCCGAAGAGGCAACCAACTGAGACTTGTCAGCTGTTTAAAAAAGTACTTTCTTGTTTCTTGAAAGGGTTGGGAGAACTTCAAACTTGTTTCTTGTTGTCCTCTGCCGGCCGTTCATCATAACAGGATATCAAGGACACCAGTGGTGGATGTGGCTCTGCTTTTGAAGTTGTAGTTGTCTCTGCACAATTCGCTGGGCTGAACACCCTCAAGCGACACAGGTAATGAACACACACACACACACACACACACACACACACACACACACACACACACACGTGCATGCATGCATGCATACACACACACCACACACACACACATACGCACACGCCACACACACACACACGCGCACACGCCACACACACACACACACACACACACACACACACACACACACACACACACACACACACACACACACACACACACACACACACCTGGTCCTGGTATACACTGCCATGTAGGTCGCGTGTTCACCACACACACACACACACACACACCACGTGTGCATGTGTGTCTGTAATGTTGCCATAGAGACACTGCTGCAAATGAGAATAATAATTATGATTCTAATTTGAAGCAGTGTCTCTATGACAACAGTCAACTGCAAAGGGAAAATCCCATCCTCAAGACCCAGCTCGGCCACTGAAATCCCGAATATGCTGTGGCACGGATTGTAAGTGCCGTAGTACCGCATCCGTTTACTCTATTGCTTCAGCAATTGTTCCTACGGATGATAGCCTGGAGGTTTCTCTTCGGCTTTGACATTTAGGATGTGTTGTAAAATGCTGTTGGAAAAGTTTGACACTCTCCGAAAATTTGGAGAAGTGTTGTATCCTTTCTGAATTTTAGATTATCCAAAGCTCTCCGAGCTTCAAAGGTGGTCGAAACTTGGAGATTTCCGCGTTTTGGGATCAGCGCATGCGAACTACTGCGAGAAGTCATGTGGTGATCATGAGCCCATGGCCTGTCTTTCTTTTTTTTCTTTTTTTTTGCTACGCACAATGCCTACTACTGTAAGACCAGATATTTTAATTTTTAACGTCAATTAAAGTTAACGATCTCCGGATTTTTGTGGGTTAGCGAGGTCGAATTCTAACGAATTCTGTCTCAATACCGACAAATGACTGTGCATGTGCATATCGTTTTGCACATAACGACTTCGAATGTTAACGATTCTTTCGATTTCGTTAACTCGTTTACAATTAAATGTTCGTTAACATTACTGGTCTTACAGTACTTGAGTCAGTCAAGATCCATCTCAAGACCCCTTTGGTGCTTTGCACGTGCAAGAGATCTTCAAAGACCTGCTCCTAAATTGTTTCCAGTTTCTTCCACTTCCAGGATAAATTTTTCCGAGAAGCTAGATCAAATCCGAACGCACCCTTAGAATTAGTTGTCCAAATTAGCCCCGAATTGACTTACGCATTGACTGTATCCAAGGTGATGAAGCTAGAAAAGCCATTGCCTTCCATTGAAACATGGGCTAAATTGGTCAAATGTACACTGTATAGCTTGCAATGATCCCATAACGGGGCATGTAGGCACCTACGGGATTTTGCACATCTATATAACGTGCATAGGGACCATTTCAGATTGAGATCGTCTATGACGCCAAGTTGAGCTATTAGATATCCTTAGCTAAAAGAACGCTGACGTAAACGCAAACCTTTCCATACTTCGGATCGTTCAAGCTGACTTTTCCCTTAGCACAAAGTACGTTATAGTTGAGACGAAGTAGTCGTGACAACCATGGCGATGTGAATTTTCGTGGAAACCGGTGCGGGAAATTCAAAATTTTGAACCAGGGATTAGTTTGCTGTCGTTCCGAAAGAATACCTTGGCGAGGTCTTTTACTCTGGAATAGCAAAAGCACGGCGAAAATGAGTTTTCGGCGGAACTTTTCGCTGTTCCCAGGTCCTTGGAAAACCTTTCCTAAACGCAGCACCAAAGACTGTAAGGGTTCTTCAGCTCCAGCACGTCTGGGAGAGGCCGATGAATTTCTTCCTCAGGACTGGAGTGCCGTGGAACTGGTCCTTTGTTTCCCAGATGGGATAGAGGGAGAAAGGCACGAAGCAGAGGACGCAGGCATTGTCAACTGAAAGGCAAAACTCGCCAAAAATAAATGTCACAAGACGAAGCAATCTCTCCACTCTCATCTCGATCTGCACGACGCTTTTTATCTCCCGCCAGTTACAAAACAATGCGAGTTTTTGCATTTTTTGCAGAATTTCCATAACGAACGTCGGCCCATTATTTTGAGCTCTGTAACGTTTTTCCGTTACCCGATAACGTCTTTTGTCACGGCTGGGAGTGAGTACCGTAAAAGTTAGCGTTATCGTACTTTTGCTAAGGATGTCTATTAGAGAGTTTGCGCTTCACGTTTTTTTTTCAGAACGTGAGATCTCACGGCCGAAATGGCGCATCTCACGGTGCAACGTGAGATTTCAATGCGACAGACGGCCATCTGACGGTGAAAAAGGCGCTTCAACGCACGTTTTTTCTCACATTCGAAATTGAAAAAACGTGAAGCGCAACCTCTCTATTGACCATGAGCGAGAATAGTGTTTTGTATAACGAAATTGATCTACTCTTCTTTGCCCGTTGTTCTTTTTGCCTTCTTTCATGCCGATCCGTCTTTCCTTGCTTCTTACCGCGTTGCCCAGTCCTATGTTTGTTGTCTCTGTGTCTCTTTTCATTCGTTCCTGTCACACAACATTTGTAGATTGGTGAATAGCTTGCTGTCGGCCGAATTAGAAACCGTTCATGCTTTCTCCCAGTCAACCTACACTCCAGAGCAATGGGCGGAGAAGCAGGCCAGCTGATCTTGCAAGTAGAAAGAACAGGTAAGCCATACCGTGTGCTATGAAGTAGGAAGTCTGGCAGGTTGTCAGCTCCTAGTTACACTCCGTTGTTCACCTAAGCCTTGGAGTTGGCCATTCTACCGGTTGGCTATAAATAATAGAATTGATGCCGACTTACTACTATGATAAACTAATGAAATGAAAATTGTACGACCTGATTCAATTTCAGAAACGTTTTTCTTCGATAATCATCAGTGGATCTACATCGAATAGTGCACACGGGAAAACCTATCAAAATCATTACCGGTATAATGCTCATAATGTGCTACCATGTCCTGATAGAAGATTACATGATTTGTATTATTTTTGGGCGTTTGTAATTGTAGGAAACTCGTGAGGAGAGGTTAGCAGGGGACTCGGGGACTTCGACAAGAGTGCACCTTGCTACAAGGATGGCTGGAGATAGACAACAGCGCTGTGACTTTTGTTCTCTTCTTTCAGATGTGAGCTGCACTTTCTTTGCTTGAGCTCCGCATGGCTGTATTGTTAACCTCTGCGTAGAGCATGTTCAGGCCTGCATGCACGTGTTCAGACTCCTGTGTTCTCTGGCGTGTGCCCACTTGCTATTCATGACTGAACAACTCAAGGAATCTGCTGGTGCATACTGATTGCAGAGAGGGCCAGTGTTCTTCGGCTGGGGAGTGCATCAGGCTATGTGCCGCTGCAGCCACGCATGCATGCCACAGTGTGCCGGTAGTCCTGTTGGTGCACATTGTGCATTGCGCCTGTCCTGGTGTCGACTGGACTGTCGAGACTGCAATGTACCTATCCTTCTGCTGCTCTGAGCGTTTCTCTGCGTCCGCCTTCCGTTTACGACTGCGCCTATACTGATTTTTTATTTTCTATTCAGCCGAGTGAGCTCTCAACCATGACATTGCATCCTTCAATTTCAGAATGATAATCATGTTATTGGTCTCTCTATGCTCTTCTTCTGCTTTACCTTCTCCTGCGCACTCCCTGCTTATAGTACCCAAGACCGTATGCATACTCGATGATCGAACTACATGCAAATACTTGATCTGAGTGGACAAGCATGCACATGCAAAGTGCTCACGTGAAGGAGTGCTATTTGATTGTCTGAGGATCGCAGCGAGCATGAACTTGGAAGCTAGGAAGTAGGAACCGTTTCGTCCAGCAGGCATGTTGGTGAGGAAATACTGCTGCCGTTGCACACTGAGCACTCTATGAGCAGCAGCAGCAGGGGTTCCTATATCGTGTAAAAGACCCTGTATACGATGCTTTCTAACTCTACTAGTGTCAAGTGCACATCACATGCACCAGGCCTTCAGGGCAGACTTGGGTGTGTTACCATCACTGCCGCTGCCACCATCACAACCACCACCAACAACAACAACACTTCTCAATCGCACCAATGATACAGGAAGAGGAACCAAAACGCAATATTGTACGAGAGAACACCAGTTTAGGATAGCTTGTCATGTAAAGAAGCAATTTCTTTGAAAATTAAAACTCTTTTTAGGTAAATTTTTATTGTAGTTCTCAATAAAACTGTCCATAACGGATACCCTTGATTTGGTAATTGATGATAATTTTGAAATCTTTACCAAGCACATAAAGACATGCTGATTGCGTAACAGAATTAAATTTTATTCATATATTCAACAAAAATTAAAAAAAGAAACAATTGTTTATTGAGTACACCTGATGAAATGGCAGTCCCGCTGCTTTTGGACAGTAGTACGTAGTTAAAAAAAAAATTAACATCAGTATGATTGTTATGCTGATGGTGAAGAACTTTTAAAATAGCACTCATGCCGGCGGTGGAGTGTGTGTTCTATCTCTGGCATGGCGAGACATCTAGTAGATGTGAGCACAGAGGACTGGCCACCCAGCCGTACGGGACAGTCAACCACTCCACTACACAGTGGATGAGAGGAGAAAAGACATTGGCTTGTGTGAATGTCTGGCTGGTATCAGCTCTCCATTAGCACAAAGTCATCGAGATCTCCGTCTGACCAACGCTGCTGCGCCGCATCTCCTGCCGCCGGTAACGACGTGCTAGCCAGTGCAGGTGCTGGCAAGCTTGCAGTCTCGGCTCGCGCATCCTCTCCGAGCTGCGGTCGCCTAATGGACGGCACGTTGCGACATCGCGGCTCAACACTGGAAATGTCGGCAAGGCGCTGCTCGCTGAATGTGAAGATGGGGTAGCGTGTCTTCATCATGGGTGGTGTGGCGCACTACATACAGTCAGTGGAAAAGAGAAATACCCGACGATCACAGGCAACACAGTCATAACAGCTGAGTACAGCATGAGAACAGATCAGATTGGTCGACAGCGCACTCATACATGTACATGTAGACTTTTACTTTGAAGTAACTTATTTAAAAAAAATTAGTGTGTTGTGGACCAATCTGATCTCTTCATCTAAAAGCAGCAGGCACTGTAGAGATCACTGCAGTGAGTGCGTTCGATTATGACCGCGAATCACATCACCAGATGTGAATAGGGTGAATGGATTACGAACCGATTCCAGGGCTCATGACATGAAAATCGAACGACTTGAATTCATGCCCCGCAATAAACTAGAATGTGTTTCAATGCTGAAGACCCTAGGCCCGCTTAGATGAGAAAAATAAGCCTAGGTTTATAAGCCTTGTGCACGTTGTACAAATGTACAAATTTCCGTTGGTGTGTAAATGCCCGGTTGGGTGTTAATTGTGTGCTATACATGCGCATTTATACCAGTTTAGCCCAATACGCAATGGCAAACAGTCGCTTTTTCACCTTCATCACTTTGGATAGAGCTAATGACTAGCTAGACCTTCGTCCGAAAAAAGGCTGTTGCTTGAAATGGCTGCAGGGCACGTGTCGTAGTGGAAAACACAGATAACACGATAGGGTCTTGTACTCGTCCATTCAACACACAGCTCGGTCTACTGGGTTCTACGAGATTTCGTACATGATGTCAATGTGCATAAGGCGTATTAGTCCCTGGCTCATGATGAGCCGTGCTACGACTTAGATCTGTCATCCGGTCATTGCAGTGGGCGAGTTAAAATGATGAGACGGGTTGTGAAACTCGCACGGGCTAAACTTAATAAGCCCTGCCATAGATGTCTAAGGGCATGTTCGATTGGTTGGATCTGGATCCAGATCAATTGGATCCACGCAATATGTGCACGCTCGTTTCAACAAATCCGGATCCAGATCCAACGGATTCCGATCCGATCAACCCTACTCCTGGAGCAGGGTTGACCGAATCCATCGGATTCCTTTTTTTGTTTTGTTTCGTTTTTGTTTTTTTTGCGAAAAACGTACTCTGTACGTGATGTGTGTACAAATGGCAGGAATAAAAGCGATGATGCGAAATCGTTGCTTTCTCTCACGGAAACCCTCAAAATCACTAAAATTCCAGATTCGATCAAGGGCAGCGTTTGATTGGACCTTGCTGGATCCAAAGGATCCACTCAATCTATCTGGATCTGAATCCAACCAATCGAACATGCCCTAAGCTTATGAAACGCCCATGGCGTATTTTCTCATGTAAGCAAGCAAGAAAATCAGCCCTGGCTTGCAAGTGAGTTTTCGATTTTGCCTCTTGAAACCTGTGATAACGTCTCCACAGACCTTGCAGTGCACCTCTTCAGCCTTTCTGCTCTTCTGAACTAAAAAAATGTAAATTGAAAAACTGTAATAAATACACTAGAAGCCCTTGTCCTGTTCTGGGCGGATAATGACTAAGTGAGGCACTCACCTCCGTGATCTTAGGACATGAACGCTCCATATGCTCTCGGCTGTCAAAGAGGAAACCGAGTGCACAGGATGGGTCTATGGCCTTGCTGGACATCTTGCGTGGACTCTGGCAATGATAACTCTACCAGGACAGTACATTCACACACCCAGTTACGCACAGTGAGGACAGGGGCAATTACATCATCACCACCAACACTGCCACCAGCAACAGTAGCAGCAACAACAACAACAACAGCAGCAGTAGCAGCAGCAGCAACTCGTATTGGTCATGAGCCATGAAGATAAAGATAAAGCAAGTTGAAATTGACTCTGCCAATGCTAATGCCACACAGTAACACCACTCCTAGTTCCCAATACTATGCAAAAGACTCTACGTAGTAGCGTCTGGTGCTAGCCAGGGTCCTCCGTGTTTTTGTTTCGTATCTATGTGCGTGTATGAGCGTGTGTGTGTGTGCGTGAGTGTAAAATACTCGTGAAGAACTTACTGCAGTTGGAAAGCCTGGACGTGAGCTGTCGACAAAGTCTTGACAGAAGTGTGGATCCAGATAGATCAGCTCTGACCCTATGCAGGCACAACACAGCAGTGGAAAATGCAGCTGCTGCTGTAACCAGCACTCAATAGTGTGCCAAGGGGGCAGATCCCATAGGTTGGGAGGTGCACACTCTTGGGTGTTATGCACTCTTGCTGTTGCTGATCACACAGCCATATCGTACCGGAAAGAAGGTAGCCTTCGACATACTTCTCGAAGTATAAAAATTACACAATTTTCACGGTCTGCATCAGACCCAGTCAGACTGAGTTTTCCGTATTGGGTAAGAATGCTACTACATGTACCTGCGAGGATCAAGGCGCGGAATCCACCTCTAAAGCGGCAGGAGGTCAGTGGATCAGACCCACCACAAAATACTAGTACATGTAGTTGAGAATACTAAATTAACCAAAGACCGAAAGTAACACAGCAAGTAAAGAATGCAGACACTCAGTCACTGCTTGCTGTTGCTGTGATAGTAGTCATTTTACTTGCAAGTACATTTGTTTATAATAGTGTGTGTGTGTGTGTGTGTGTGTGTGTGTGTGTGTGTGTGTGCGTGAGAGAGAGAGAGAGAGAGAGAGAGAGAGAGAGAGAGAGAGAGAGAGAGAGAGAGAGAGAGAGAGAGAGAGAGAGAGCGCTACAACCATAGAAATGGGGGGGGGGGGGCAAACCTGAAGAGCCAGTAACTTAGTACAGATGTATTGCGGCCTGGGCTAATCTAAGGCACCACTACATACTGCACCAACAGTATGATGATCACTAGCACAGTTACCACCTACCTTGACAGCCAATAAAGTAGAGTGAGTGTTTGGGACGACCACCAATGACACCCACACAGCAATCCAGAGCGAGTAAAGTCTGAACGACAACAACGACAAGACGAAGACAGCGGCGACATAGAAAACGGAACTTCACTCTTTTAAAAGCATGCTTGCCATTAACAAATACCACACAGAATCACATACTGCTATTCGCCGTATTTTCATCGCCTCCTCTCAGCCATAGTATGTACGCTGTGCGCTGTACGGGTACATGTTGTGGAAGAAGAACAGGACTAACCTGCAGGCATGGTGCGTATATCGGGTTGAGACGGCTTCTGCCCAGGCGTACCGGTACCAGAACTAGAACGGAGTTCTCAGCACTAGCCTGCCCCTCACCGACATCCGCATCAACAACACCACTACTCCGCCTACTGCCGCCGCTGCTCAGCAGGCTTCTGTTTGCTCCTATCATCAGGTCATGGACATCTCCTTTGTATACTGTACAGTTAGCAAGGACACAACAGCCATACAAGACCGGCAGATTGTAAGTAGGGAGGTTCGCGTACGTGGGTGATACACGTAAAGTGGATGAAGGGCATCCACGTTACAATGTTGTGTTTAGTCACATGGAACAAACAAAAGCATGAAGCGAAAGGCCCAAACCTGGTCAAAGACGAAGCTATCCGGGCCTAAGAAGCTCATCGAATATTTTGATTTCGTGCTTCGGAAACTTCTTCAGCTGAGCACCCTCACAGCTCGCAAAATGCGCTCCATTCTGATTTTCACCCACGTTCTGGCGGAACGTGGGTGAGCCTCCATACACGGTATGTCGTGAGTCAGAAAACATCTGTAAGTGGGTCACTGAGTATCACGTGGTACACACACGTAAAGTACCCACGGATTACGTGGGACTAAACCTCCCTAGTGATTGCCCAGCGCATGATGCTTTTGACTCAGACCGTAGCATGCACTGAGACCGTAGCATGCCGCATGATCAGTGACTCACTTAATCTGTAGCAAGAAATAAAAGGTTATTTTCTGCTTCTTGCCTAACTACAGTACATGTACAGCATGCATGGAAAGCTTTTTACTTAAAACGGAATTCAAATCTAAGAAATTTATGGATATCCCGCAACTGCATTAAAGAAGAAAAAGGGTTGTCAACTGACAACCGCTCTATTCAGTCGCTATTCACTCTGCGCTGAAATTCAAATCCTAACGAATATACAGTGCTTGCCTGTGGAATCTTGAGCCACGTAAATCCTGAAGTTTTGCAGAGGTGGACACTGATGGTACGCTTCATCCACCGCTTTCCTGAACCCATGCAGGAGAGGAGACACAGAAAAGCAGCATGTCAGTGTACTGAGCACATCAATCTTGTTGTTATTCTGCGGCACGTTTGTGCGCGTCATTTGCCTGTCAGTCACGTAGTATGCACTCTTTCTGTAACTGATCTACATGAGCCACGGGTGGTTTCGAAAACCTTTGAGCCTTCAGTGCAAGAAATACTTCTGGCCAATTTATTTTCCCCATGGCAACATACTACCCTTCAACCGAGCACATGGTAAATATCGTATACTGCCCAAGGAGTCCAGTACAGCCAATTTGTCCGCCTTGTAGGCTTTCTGATTATCGGCCATTATGGTCATACCGTAAGAGATGTGACACCTCGGCCGGCCCCAGCCACTGACCAGGTCGCTGGTGACCCAGACTGAGGAGCTTGTGAATGGACAGCGGACAGTCGTCTGCCATCCGATCGTTGAACAAGCTCACTAGCTGGTGCTCCACTCCGTCAGCCTTTTTGCTCTTCTCACCTATCCGCCAATCTAAGGACAGGCAAAGAAGAGTTTCCTTCAGCTTAGAGTGAAAACGAATTCACACGCGACGATGGTGAGTCTAGTATAGCTAGATATGTACAATGGTTGACCCTGTGTGCGTGTGATACGATCAGGACATGCAAGAGTTGAGAATCCTATCTCTTAGAGAACACAGAGAGTCTGATTTACATCATACAAACAGCACGTCCAACATTCCCTGCCCCTGCTCGGTTTTCTGCATTCCCTATAGCATTTTTCATGTAGCAAACCAGGTGAGAAGCAACATGCATATCACGTGTATCAAGGTTTGATGATTCCATGGTTGTGCATGAAACTCTGAGTTACAACCTTAAAATAGCCTTTTTGTCCACTGTTTGACTGTATCAGGCATATCATGCATCGCTACTCCTGTAGTCATGTACCTCTGCCCAGCATCAGCTCGCACAGTGCCTGTGCAACAAGCATCTGTCCAGTACGTATCATGCAGCCCCAGCCAGTGTCACAGCTGTAGGACGAATCGCCAATGATGGCAAACTTCCGCCGGTACGTGATCCAGAAGCGAGAGTGAAAGTCGGACAGGAAGGCTGCAAGATGGCCCGGACAGTCTGCTGCCTTCTTGCTGGACTTTTGGTCGAGGCTGAAAGAGCGTGACTTTCCTGTATCAAATAACAAGAATGCAGTGAAGGTTGCCAGTTCATCATGAGTGCTCGATAATGCAACTATGATCCCTGTTGCTGTCACAGAACTGCGGAGTTGAACATGTTCCAACCAAGAGTGTATAACGCCAAGAGTATGCAACCCTGCATAGCGGTGGCGCGCCTGCACTACGTAGCCACAAACTGTGGGCCATCGTGTCATTATTGATCTGCTATAGTTTCCTGCTTCCCAGTACGCTTTTCTCAGAGACTTTGAATGGTTTCGTACATGATGCATCCAGCACAGGCATTGCCTTGAGCTTACCGCATTGTGCGTGAAATCGTTGCGGCTCAAATCCAGCTTGATCATCACTTTCACTATGATAGTAGTGAAGGCAATGCACCGTGCAGGGCACCCATAACTCAGAGATCAGAGTTGCACACTCTTCAGGTTATGTACCCTTGATCTCACCTTGCTGGCCATCATCACGATATAACTACCGGCAAAACTAACTTACTTCAGTAAGTGACGCAGAAATGAAGACGGTATATGTACGGTGAGGCCGCTCAGATCAATCGTTTCTGATCCCTTTCTAATCTCGACTTGGCGAAGCACTTTACTTTAGATGCTGCAGCCGCTATCTCACAGCAGAATCTGCACTACATGTAGCCTTAAGGTCTACCCACCACTGCATGATCTATGGTGTCCTGGCACTTGATGATGCATCAGTACAATGTACATGTACATGTATGTGTATGTGTGTACTCACGGGATGTTGCTGTGCCATGATAATGCTGGCCCAAAAACCAGATTGGTTCGCCAGACCGAAAAGCTCCGCCAATGGTAGGTACTGGAATGACCCATCCTATTGGTTTAGACAACAAAGACAGAGGAGTTCGTGAGAGGCCACTGCTTGCTGAGAGGTGTGTGCTACCACCCTCTTGCACCAACGGGACATGAAACCCAGAGTGTGCAGCTCTGATGGGTTGGCGGCACTTCCGGGATTGCATCATTTTAGTGATGCAGTGCGTACAAGGAGGATTCAAGCAGGTCTCTTTCTGCACAACTGCAGCTCAGTTATACGCACTACGCCACTTCCCGCCACAGATCTGCACCAAATATGATGTAAACCCGGAATCTCGCTGCGACAGGCCCCCATGCCGAAAAGTCAGAAGCTGCACACTCTGGGTTTTGTGTACTCTCCCTTGCACCTAACAGCATGATATGGAGGGGGGGGGGGGGGTCTGTGAGCGAGGAAGCTTGCAGGCGCAGTATCAGCAAGAGTACCTAACCCCAGGAGTGCGCAACTCGAATCTACATGGTCTTAGGGATCCGCGACGGCAGAACTTCACATCACGTGACATGGTTCAATAGGTTACACCGGCAAACAGTGGAAAAGGACGAGCATAGCACAGAATTGAACACGAAGCAGGGTTGCATACAACCCTGTATCTATCAGGCACCGGGGGGGGGGGGGGGGGGGGGGGGGGTGCCACGTGATGTGAAGCTCTGCCACCGCAGACCCCATAGGCCATGTACAGCGCTGCTCAATGCAATCCAGTCGCGTCACTCAAGTTGGCGCCTTGCACCACTTCGCAGCCCAGTCACAGTGTTCGCAGGTCTAGAGCTGCGCGACGCCCAACGCGTACTTGTGTGACACAACTGGATTTCATTGAGCAGCACTGTCGATTGGAGTTTGCACACATACAGTGTATGTATTCTTGGTACCAGTCTGCTCGGTGCCAGTGGAGTACACAAAGTCAGCGACTGCATCCATACACGGCATACGGTAAAAAGATATTTGCTACTTTATACTAAACGTGTATTCTGCGTACTTGTCTGCTTAGTTATGTACTCATATCCGGACAGCTAGTGGTTTCGACCTTGTTAGGTCTCGTCAAGAGTACATAACCCCCCAGAGTGTGCAACGCCTGATCCAGATCTGCATAGGGTCTTGGTCGAGCGGAATCGGATCTTTGCGTCATAATACCGTACACATCTGAGGGGAACCCGGGGAGTCGCGGGTGCTCTTGGATCAAAAACAATGGTACCCTGCCTCGAGACCGGCCTTGCGCTGGTATGAAGTGTACGCATGACATCAGAAGATCCGATTCCGCTCGACCAAGACCCTATGCAGAGCTGGATCGGCGTTGCACACTCTGGGGGGTTATGTACTCTTGGTCTCGTCCATTATACTTGTATACATGTCCGGGAATGTTGGCCGTGAGCATAGGGCGCGCTAGAGCATCGATGCATCATACGTCTGGTGGCATCATCTAAACATCATTATATTATTACTTGAAGTATAATTATCACAGTAGTGCATCGAGTGCTTTCTGTGTGTGTTACCCTACAAGAGGCTTTGGTGACAAGGCACGCCGTTATTACTACTGTAGATGTGAATGGAACCCAAATTGTCAACTACACAGTACAACACTACACAGTACAACACTACACAGTACAACACTACACAGTACAACACTACACAGTACAACACTACACAGTACAACACTACACAGTACAACACTACACAGTACAACACTACACAGTACAACACTACACAGTACAACGCTGTCCACAGCATCGACTAGAGATGTCGTTTTCCTCGACTATGCCTTCCGTGGCTGGATGTATTTATCCTATAGCTGAGACTTTCAAGGATCAGGGGTCTAGCGGCTAAGCCCTTCACACCACCCCGACGACTGTGCCCGGACCTTGACTTCATTCTGGACCCACCACTGAGCTCAGGAGTCAGGGCTCCGAGTGTCCATACCATTATCATGTTGCATCTGGTTGCAGAGACAAAACCAGGCATAGCAAGTCATCGGCCAGATTTGCTCGCACACACTCACATGTGTGAGTGTACGTGTGTGTGTGTGTGTATGTGTGTGTGTGTGTGTGTGTGTGTGTGTGGTGTGTGTGTGTGTGTGTGCGTGCTCGTACGCACGCACGCGTGCGTGTGCGCCTGTGATTGCTTGTGTTATAAATGCCCTGTGCATTACAGGGCAATCAGTACTAATACTATTATCCCTACACTAGGCTACAGTGTACAGTGCACGGTGTACTACATATCAGGTCAACCCTACCATTGGCTAAGTTATTGAAAGCAGCGCGCGCCTTGCTCCGAAATTTGCCGCCAGCGCTAGATACTCGGGCTGGCGATGACGCTGAACGAGGCCTGTCCACGTCACCAGTTCTGGGCACCCAACGTTGGTCTGCAGCAGCGGCAACAGCTGCTGCAGATCCCCTCCCTGTTGTTGTTGAGCCAGCAATATCTTGGTCGACAGGCTCCGGCAGTTCGTCAACTTGATCTTCAGCTTCTCCGGTTTCGCCGGTATCACTGTCCATGATCTCACACGACAGCTCCTACAGCCTAGGCCCAACAGCCGGAATCCCCCACTGCCCTGGAGTCTGCCGCTGTGAAGCTGAACTAACTATTACTTACTTTCTTTCTGGCACAGTGGAAGTCAGCTGCACCCATCTCCCCGGATACATGTAATGCTATCGTACCCTAGCCAGCCCTACGTACTTATGATTGTAACTGTTCTCTACCATCACTGACACAGCTAGCTACACTCATTATGAATTTATGTGCATTCTCATGACTGTGGCATTTGACTTCTTTGAACAGAAAAATAAACTCGACTGTTCGCGACCTACATAAATCATGCATGACTGTATCTTTCGCCAAGTTTCGGGCCGCGGGCCAAAAAATATTTTCTCTGGACACGTGAACGGCGTGGAGTGACATGACAGGATCTATGACTACTACTACTACAGCTAGTACAGGCCATAGCCTAGCTAGGGCCTCGTTGCGTCCACCCGCTAGGCCATAGGCGCCTACTGCATGCATGACATCTAATCAAGACAAGAGTCCATAACCATGATAACCGGGGTAATGGACTGGACTCTTGTCTTGATGACATGTCGACATTGTACTGACCTCCTGAGCTAGCAGCCCACATATTCATAACTAATTTAAAGGGGAAGTATATCCTAAAATCAAATTTTCACCAGTTGTAGTCTTCTGGGTGCTGAGTCGAATGGTCTTGGTCCGAGGAAGCTGCGACGCTCCCTTCCTACTTGAATCCCAATCGAACTCGCGCACTTCCACCAAAACTGGGTGACTGCGCCCTACTAGATGGGGATTTGTATGCAAAATGTCACTAAAAGCGCCATTTCGTTCTTATAAAAGCACGGATGACCGCGATTGGCCCATATGTTGCAGTCTTTTGGACGCTGAGTCGACTGGTTTTGGTCCGAAAAGGCTGCGATGCAGCGTTCCTCCTTTATTCCCAATCGAACATGGTTGAACAAGCGGTCACGTGCTCCTGGGTGCCCAAATCACCTGGTCACCGCGCCAGCAGGCGACAACTTTCACACCAAGGTTCAACTCGAGTGACAGGACTGCACCCAAAAAAGGTCAAACAGGCTAGTAAGTTGTACCCTGCAGGCACGGTGACCAGGTGACTGGTGTACGCAGGAGCACGTGACCGCTTGTTCGACCATGTTCGATTGGGAATAAAGGAGGAACGCTGCATCGCAGCCTTTTCGGACCAAAACCAGTCGACTCAGCGTCCAAAAGACTACAACATATGGGCCAATCGCGGTCATCCGTGCTTTTATGAGAACGAAATGGCGCTTTTAGTGACATTTTGCATACAAATCCCCATCTAGTAGGGCGCAGTCGCCCAGTTTCGGTGGAAGTGCGCGAGTTCGATTGGGATTCAAGTAGGAAGGGAGCGTCGCAGCTTCCTCGGACCAAGACCATTCGACTCAGCACCCAGAAGACTACAACTGGTGAAAATTTGATTTTAGGGTATACTTCCCCTTTAAACAAGGCTACAGCACACCATGCCCATGGCCTATGGCATAAATAGGATGACCAGTTCCATTATGCTGGCTGTAGCCCGTGCACTCAAACCTACAAACTAACTTCGTATGTTCGATTTTCCACAAGTACACTCAAACGTCTCTTATCCGGACGCCTCAGATACGGGCACGTCTCTCCACCGGGCACCTTCGGTTTAATGCATACCTTTACAATGGCAGGACACTTTGATCTGCTGTAACTCTGAGTCAGTTTCATAGCATTCGGGCCGATCATCTGATCACAGTGATCAGACCACAACATTCATGTTGTGTGATGATTTGGATATTTGAATCTGTGGATGACGATTGGCCCAAACAACATGAAACTCAGAATAACAACAGATCAAGTTTTCCGCCACGGTGATGTCTTGTCACAGGCTCCTTTTCGTAGGTTGAGCACACTCACAAGACAATGACAACCCTTGCTTTGTGCCAGAACTAAATTTTAATGATCAGTATACAAATGAACCGATCTCAACATTGGCAAGGATGCGATGGGTGATAAATTAATATTGTTATATAGTCCGGTCAACGGTTAGAAATAATCAAAAAAGGTGCGATATTTTTCAAGCTCCTTGTACCTTTTTAATTTAAAACTGGTTCGAAATCTTCATAAAGCTTGATAATTGTTCAAGATACTGGTATGATTCAAGGCGTTGGCACTACTTCAAAGTACAAAGCTAAAGCATGCCATTGCACTCCAGCTTTGTCCAATCTAGACATTCCAAGCAAAGACTACTGGTAGGCCGGACGGCCAAGTATAGGCTTGTCCAGGAATCTTACTTGGGGCGTACAGGGCACTCTTTCTAGCTCCAGTAACATGACGGTGTTCTTGCCAGCGTGCAGTAGTGGTGCTGGCGTGTACAGCGTGTGCTGTGGGCCGGAAGAAAAGTAGCGGCCCAGTACGGCATCATTCAAAATGACCAAGCCGCGGCCCCAGTCAGCACCGATGTGAAGATAGGTGTCACGGGGCGGTTTGTCGGTATCGATGGAGAACTCGGCGTAGATTAGCTGCGGCACGTTGGAAGCAACCATACGATTGGCACACGGCGTAGGTATCTTGCCGTATGCCTGCACACTGGTATCAGCTAGGAGTGTATTGATGTCGGCATGGGTGAACTCAAGCGGGTATACCGTCCAGCCAGTCAGGATCTTCCCTGAGAGTGAAACCTGCTCAAGCAAACCCTTCATTTCATTCCGTCCATCCGGCAAGTAGTTATTGCGCCCGAAGTGTGCCACCAGTATGTCAATGGTGTTCACAGTGGGATGCAGCTTGTCTGCTGGTATTGGGAACAGTGCGGGAGTTTTGTGGCCAACGCGTCCAAGCACCTTGCCGTTGACCATGATAACACCATAGTCGGCCAGTGACGGTAGAGATAGGGTAGCATTTGTTAAAGTCGTACTGGTCGAGTGGCGGTACAGCGTCCACCCCATTGCCTGGCCACTGTTGCCGTTGACAGGAAGCTGCTCCATCGGCAGCACATTGTCAATGGCCACACCTTTATGCAACAGCTTTGCCAACAACTCAAGTGAGGCATACTTTGTCATAGATACGGCGCCGTACGCCTCGACAGGAATCGGTGCTGGGATATCTCCGAAAACAACTTGGTCACCGAGAGTTTCTTTCAGGAGGTTGCGAATAGCAAAGAAACTTGGCATGAGGGTTCCATTCTCTGACACGGGACTATCATAGTCATAGGACGACGTTACAACCCGATGCTGTGGAATCTTCACAGCGCCATTGTGATAGAAGTTGACTCCACCGTGCCACATGTAGAAATTGATGGATGCGTTCTGACGCAACCACTCAGACAGGCCTGCCAAGAGCGCAGCCTGTTTGGCCGTGGAGAACGGATTACCGAATAGGCTGTACCAACCCGACCAGAACTCGGTTACGAACACTGGTGCATTCACACCGCGCTGATTGCGGCGTAGTAGGCTCATGTGAAACGGCACGCGGTCATTGCTGTTCACAGTCTGCAAGACACCAGGCAGCTGAACCAATTCACGCTGCAGGCCCTGACCATCATCACACTTGAACAATAACTCCACTATGCCACCTGCACACAACACCGCATTACACATTCGTACATATACACATGAGCTATATAAATCAGTAAGAAAATGGTGGACATCACGCAACTGCATCATAAAGAAAAGGGGGTTTGTCAACTGACAACCGCTCTATTCAGTTCTGACGATGGGTGACTGGCCCGAAACGTCATAATTTTCGACATCAGAATAAAATTACATTTTAATCCAGTGCATGCGGCGATTGTGAATAGCAACTGAATAGAGCGGTTGTCAGTTTACAAGCCCCCTTTTCGATATAGATCAGACACATGCAAATACCCATGCACACAACCACGAACACACACGCACGCGTGCGTACACACACGCACGCGTGCGTACACACACACACATACACACACCCAACACGCATTGACGCATGGGGTAGCACAATAAAAAAGCACCCCTGCAATTTATTTCAAGTAAAAATCATTAGACCGCACTGAAACAGTTCCTCTTTGTTTCGGACTGAGTGCCGGCCGAGTTTTTCCTGCGTGCCTTCATGCATGTATGCGTATTGCACCTTGCATAGATCGATGTGTTGTGAAGTGCAGTATATTACCTACATGTATTACCCAACGTCAAGAGTAGGTAAGTAAGAGTGTGCAGCTCCGCTTGGTTTGGCCCAAGCCGGAATTTTTTGTTGACGTCAACGTTTAGTTTCTGCAGATCATGAGACTTACCGTATGAGGAGTCTATGGCTGCATGAACTCAGCAGGGTGTCACTATACTAACTTGCACGAGTGCGGTGAAAAGCTACAGCAGTAGGAGAACAAGCTTTAACAAATTCGTTTTGGAAGCAGCATAAGCACACCAGCTCGCACTGAAGATCGGCGCCCAGTGCAGGCTTTGCGAGTGCTTTGTAAGAAATGCGTCATGGGTTCGGAAAAAGCTGACGTCAACAAAAAATCGTGCTGTGGACTGGACCAGCTGCGGAATTGCACACTCTGGTTTATGTACTCGTGACTTTTTCATTAGCAAAATCTGGTTGGCCGAGTGAAAACCGGAAAGTAGCAGTGCCAAAGCCCACCAGCCAGACACACCTTGCTACGCACAGCCCTATGTATTGGGACCAGCTCTTACCATCTATAGCTGCTGTGCGCAGTGCCTCCAGATACACTCGATCATTGCCCTTGGTGACAGACTTGTCCTCTTGATGTACACCGCCAGCACTACGACGAAATGCCTCGCCCACACCGTACGTACCGTACTCGTTTTCCAGCTGCACGGCAATGATGGGCCCGCCATGCGCCATCTGCAAGCGGCTGGTCTCGGCGTAAACCTTCCGCAGATACCGTCGCACAGCCGCCAGATAGTGCACGCCGCTGGTGCGGATCTCCTCACCGTGGCTACGCAGCAGCCATGCGGGAAGTCCACCAAACTCCCACTCTGCACAGATGTACGGTCCAGGACGCAAGATGACAAACAGACCAACCTTCTGCGCTGCTCGGACAAAGCCAGCAAGGTCGGTCAGCGAGTTCTCGGTGAAGTCAAACACGCCCATTCGCGGCTCGTGCAAGTTCCAGGGAACGTACGTGCTGACTGTGTTCAACCCAGCGGCTCGCAGGCGGAGTAGTCTGTCTTGCCAGTACTGTGGCACAACGCGGAAATAGTGCATCTCACCGCTGAGAATGCGAAGCGGCTTGCCGCGCAGGAGAAACGTGGAGCCACTGTCGCTGAAGGTCAGGGCGGAATTACCCTTGACTAGTACAGGCATTGCGTCTGCTGCTGCTGCTGCATGGTGACGGGCAGGTCCGTTTGCCATCGTAAGCACGGAAGCAACAATATGTTGATCACTACTAGTACTGCTGCCCGTAGGAGTTTTCGCCCGAGGTGCTGTTGAAGTGCGGAGTAGTGGCTGTGCAGTGGTCAGTTGACTAGTTACAGCTGTTGATGCTGACAAGGTGCTAGGTGGAGAGTCAGCGCGTGGAGCCACAGTGCTGCGCCCGCTGGTTCCAGCACCACGGAAACTTGGTCGAGGTATAGTAGTAGCTGAAATACGTTCGGCTGGGGTATGTAGTCCCTGTTCGCCTGGGGTGTGTAATCCCTGCTCGGCTGGGGTGTGTAGTCCCTGCTCACCTGGGGTGCTTAGTCCCTGGTGGGACGCTAATACAGTGCCAGCCTGAGTTTCCTTGATAAAAATTGCTTCAAATCTAGTGTCTTCCAAAGCGCTAGAAACCGAATCCTGCACAATCCGTATAGGACCAGCTTCACGAAAAGGGACATGCTTAGAGTAAATAGCAAAGGCGGAGAGACAAGCACAGGCCACTATAGAACATGCAATTATCCATACGCAAGCATCCGTCAAGCGTACACGCTGTGTCTTCCGCTTGCGAAATCGACGTGCAAAGTTACCAGAAGAGGCCATGGTATGTCTGAACACAAACACAGCATAGCAAGTTATACACATACACACATACACAGACAGACAGACAGACATACACATAAGCATATACACACACGCACAGACACACACACACACATAAGCATGCGCACACACACACACACACACACACGTACACACACATACACACGTACACACACACGCGCTCTCGCGCACACACACACACACACACACACACACACAAACATACACAGTTTGTTGAAGTCAAGTGGCAATAGAAGAATTGCACAAACAGCGAGGCGAGTTATTCTCCGCTGCAAGAGGAATGGAGATCAGTGTCCTCCAAGGAGCACACTGAAAATCTGGGAAGCCTGTTTAGCAGCTGACGAGGAGTCAGGACTGTGAAGGTCCGCAGGCCTACTTTAAACTTTACACACAGTTGAAACAAGAAAAAATAGTTTTAACTGACAGTGTCCAAAGTGGTGGGTGACTCAGACTAAACTCTGCCTCAACTGCTTCTGAATTTCAGATGACCCACAAGCTCCACTCGGTCACCTCAAAGCGCGGAATCGCGCTTCCTTGTGTTCACAGTTGTTCTCTGTAGATAGTGCTGCTAAATAATTTTGTCAGTATAATTATATCTACAACTTGGAGTCATGTTGCTGGTGTGATGAGGTCGGCCAGAGAGTGCATGTGATGAAGGTGGATTTGCTTTATTGGTAAACAGGACGAAAGCTGCTGCTTACCGTTTTAGTACAATTCGTGAACAAACGCTTCGGAGGCAAAAGCTTCAATACATGTACAGCAACAAGCAAGCCGAATTGTGCCGTGTTTAAAGCATTACCTATTCGTTGGCAGGGCAAGAAGTGCCGAGTCCTAATTTCATTAGCCTACTCAAGCTCAACTGATGAGGGGTTAGTTCCCCCGAAACACGGTGTATTGAGCAGGGAGTGGTGCTTTCTCGCAGGTTTGCCAAGTGGAAGGTTCGCTGGACTTCTCGTGTGCTCTGGATGGCAGTACAACCTAAGTTGTACCAATGACAGATTAGAGATAACCCTTGCACAATGACCGTATTATACCGCATACTAGTAATCGCCGCATGCCTTCCCTCCGCATACTTACTAGAGTCCTGTACGGTCACGTGACGGCCGTCGCACGAAATTAAATTTGCCTGCGCACCGAGTGTGCAGTGCTGTGCAAACCTGGCGCGAAACACGCACAGAGGTACGGTAGTACGATTTCCCGATTTCAAGTCGAGTCTTTTCAACCGTCCCCTGGGGCCATAGGGAGGGCTGAAATTTCAACGCGGGTCAAGCGCGATGCGCACATGATTAATGTGTCATGTAAACGCTCCAGTCAAACTGTGTTGTATTTGTCCATAATTTTGGTGTTGCTTCGCTAATGTTCTTGTCCATGAAATTGCACCGGCAGATTCAGGATCAAAATCACGGCACTAATCACGAGTGCGGTAATTATGTGTATAATTCGGATGGAGAGCCAAGGTAAAAATTATAGAAAAGAAAAAGGACCAAGGAACTAAACTACAAGTTACGCTATAATGTGCACCAACACCACCAGTTACTAAACAATACGCTAATGCGATAACATTGCACGACACTGACCGACAGTACTGACGTTCTACATTAGGCCAAAACAAAAAATAGGCTTGTTTCCGGTCGGCAACCCCTTGAAAAGGAGACTCGGTCGGCCGGAATGAAACTTTTTTTGGATACTTTTTTTGGTTCCTCAATCATTGTGGTATTGATGGACAAGAGCACCTACACATGTACATTGTACATATATCATGGCAAGGATCAATGTCAGAGTTGACTGACTCACTGTTCTTGTACGGCATGTGGTGTATTCCTGTTTTCATACATCCTGAGAAATCAAGCAAACAGTTCGAGTCCTTCCAGCTCCGTTATTCTAGCTCGTATCGACCCCGGAGGTTTTCGAGCCGACAGCTGAGAATCTCTGCTACCTTGTAGGTGTTTCGATTGTGGAATTCGGTTGAGATTTGACTGAGTTATGACTCGTTGAGTGCACTTGCACACATGGCATTGCCACCGTTTGTATACATTTGGGACCAAAAAAAGTTTCAGAATTTGGGAAAAAGTGGCCCGGTCGGCCGACCGGAAACAAAGTCATTATTTGTTTGGGCCCAACTAACTGGCTATCAGCTCTAGCACATCTTGGATGTGCACTCCAACAGCCTTCCAACTTGGAAGGTGCTAAGTTATAATGATAACACATGAGGGGAAGGTGATCCTTGAATCTTTAGAGCCACACACGTTGTGTGATATGTTGCTATGCGTCCTTGAATCACGGTTTGACCGTATTGTCCAATGGTCTTGCCAGTATCGTCATCAACATGCATGTACATCCGCCAACGCCCTTCACAGCTGAGACTTTCAGCTCGCACTTGTCTTGTTTGCACTCACCTTCCCTCCTATGTTATCATTATAACTTAGAACCTTCCAAGTTGGAAGGCTGTTGGAGTGTGCATCCAAGACGTGCTAGAGCTGTTAGCCAGTTTGTTGTAGAACGTTAGTACTAGGGACTTTCGCACCACGCGTACGGATACGAAACGAATGCTGATTCGTCGCCTGGGTTCGAGGATTCGTCAGAGTATCTTATGAGGGCTCGTTTTCACGAATGGAAGCCTCTTATTCGTGGATCGCTCCGAATCCGGCAGGTGCACATTTGTTGGCCAGGTACACACTATTTGCCACGATTCGCAGCAGATGCAAAAGGTCCCTACTGTCGGTCAGTACAGTGTCGTGAAATGTTTTCGCATGAGCTGATTGGTTAGTAACTGGTGGCGTTAGTGGACTGTAGTGTTCACGTCTACATACGCGCTGTGGCAGTCCTTGGCCACTCCAGGCATTCATGATACATGTAGTAGTACATCGTGTTATGTTATGCATGTAGCATGTGCCGTTTCCCGCGCGTGTGCGCAGGAACGGACTTCGCAGCTTGTGCATGAGTTGAGTCTGGGCTCTTGTTGTTTTGGACTGGAGAAATAAAGAATACTACAGTCCATGTCAAAACTATAGACGCGTACCTAGGCAAAAACCGTTATGCCAGCATCTATACCACATAAAATCTGTGATCACTGTGTGCATAAATTTTTCCAAATAATTGGGCGTCTGTTATCCAATCTTTTAGAAACTATATGAGAGTAATTGTGGAGCGATCCTGAGCAATATTCCGAAAACTATTCTCAAAAAGTTCCAGCCAGATTTGAAATATTTCAAAAACCCTACGCGTCTATAGTTTTGAAATGCACTGTACATGGACATTACAGCATAACATGTAGTTCCTTGGTCCCTTTTGAATTGTGTGCATAATTATGTGCATAATTCCGCGTTATTCTGTGTGGACAGAATCACCTCGTACGCTCGGGTGACTGAAAAAAATACGCAATAGCTGTAGCATTACAGTGTACAATATACTTACGACTAGGGATACCCGTGCGTGTACTCCAAGAGTGGGAGGCAGGCCTGCTGAGTTGAATTGATCTACCAAACCATTGCTTTCTTCTTTTCGGCTATCACTCGTACTACGTGCCGACTAGCCTCCAGAGGCCTGGCTATGGTCAGGAAATAAGACTCAAACCAATCAAACAATCAACATTTTGAAAGTGTGACCTCCAGATCATGCACGTCGTTGTTTCGCGCTGACATGTACGGTATTTCATTCAAAATGATTTTGATTTGGGCCACGGGGTACCGGGTGTATACATGTAGCTAGCTAGCAGCTGCACGCGCTGTTATCAGGGTTATGTCTGCTGTAGCATGCAGTACATGTACCTGATTTACAGTGTAGCTACACTACAGCAGTTTTATTATGACACGTGCAAATCAGGGTAGTAGGTATTTTACGACTCTCTGGTTAATACTCTACAAGCTGTCAAAATCGAAAAACATCCCACCAGGCAAAAAAATACGACTCCCTGCATCCCCACCACCATGGCAAGCAAGGCTTGTGTATAATTAAAGGGGAAGTCCGGTGAAAAATTTAAATTTCAGGGTCGATAGAGTTTCGGGCGCTGAGTCGAATGGTGTTGGTCCCACGTGTCTCCGACAAAGCGTTCTCGAGATATTTCCGTTTGAAAAACTGAGTTTCGGGGGCTGCGCCATGACGTCATGCGGCCGCGCCACACCCTCTGCAACGTCATAGCGTGCAGCTAGGTCAAAAGGAGTGCGTGAAAGCAATAGTGTCAGTGCTATTTCAAATGATTTGGCGACAGATAGTTTGGTGCAAGCGACCCCGAAGACCTGTAACTCCTTGTGAGAGTGAGGATGCAGCCATGGCTGACCTTCATGAGTTCGGTCTGGGGCTGAGAACCTCGGTATTCAGCTGAAGAAATGGCCACGCGGGCCGGTCAAGAGTGAGCGCTACTGAGTTTCCGACTGATGAAGAAGCAGCAGCTATTGCAGACGAGGCTGATCAGATCGCTGGAGAGCAGGGTCGCCAAAATGGAGAAGAGTGATGCGAGTGCTCTAAATGTTGTTCCATACCGATTAGATTCGCTTAGACTCCAGTAGCCTGCCACATGGTGATGTTTTGGTGCGAACTTGGAATATTTCGGACTACTCAATTGGAGAACAGTGCAGGCTCTTTGAACCACGGGCACGACTCTTCGCTCGCAACGCTATGGAATCTGAAAGTTCTAGGTCCAGGAGCTGTTCGCTGTTTTGTCACTTGTCATGGTTGTGCACTCATCGCTGTAACAGAAAATAATGAGGCGGGTGCGGAAAACTAAAATTTTCTTTCTCAAAGCACAACCACCGGCACCGGCAAGGAGAAACGCACGTTCTCTGACTACATGACTGAGCAATACGACTGATACGAGTGTAGTACATGACAAGTCCGTGTGTTGACTAGTTTTCTGAGTCTTGTGTCAGTTGTGACTCGAGTCTTGTACTACAAGTCATACTACCCCAGCACGGCAGTGCGGGAGTAGTTCCGTCTGTGATGAGTTTGTTGACTGCACTACAGCTAGATAACAACACACTGCACGCACTGCATGCACGCAGCGCAGAGCGCGTAGAGGCTGACGGAAAAGTCCAACTCGGAAACGGCTATAATAATACGGTATAACCTCCAGGTTTACCGAGCTGAAAATCACAGGGTACGTAGTGTTTGTAACACTGAATCGAATGGTCATGGTCCGAAGAAGCTGCGACAAACGGTTCCCCAATCGAACGCGCTCCGAATATGGCCATTTTTGTACACAACTAGATGGTGTGGCTACCTGGCTGCACGCTGTGACGTCATCACCTGGATCTGGGTGATGCGCGCTCAAATTCGCACATGTTCGATTGGGCGTATCTGACGAACCATAACCCGCAGCCTCCTCGGACAAGAACCATTCGACTCAGCGACCCGAACTCTACGGACCGTGAAATTTAAATTTTTCACCGGACTTCCCCTTTAAAGGGGAAGTATACCCTAAAATCAAGTTTTCACCACTTGTAGTCTTCTGGGTGCTGAGTCGAATGGTCTTGGTCCGAGGAAGCTGCGACGCTCCCTTCCTACTTGAATCCCAATCGAACTCGCGCACTTCCACCGAAACTGGGTGACTGCGCCCTACTAGATGGGGATTTGTATGCAAAATGTCACTAAAAGCGCCATTTCGTTCTTGTAAAAGCACGGATGACCGCGATTGGCCCATATGTTGTAGTCTTTTGGACGCTGAGTCGACTGGTTTTGGTCCGAAAAGGCTGCGATGCAGCGTTCCTCCTTTATTCCCAATCGAACATGATTGAACAAGCGGTCACGTGCTCCTGGGTGCCCAAATCACCTCACCTGGTCCACCTGGTCCACCGCGCCAGCAGGCGACAACTATTGTTACTTACTTTCACACCAAGGTTCAACTCGAGTTCACCTCGAGTGACAGCCTAGCCTAGTGACAGGACTGACTGCACCCAAAAAAGGTCAAACAGGCTAGTAAGTTGTACCCTGCATGCAGTAGGCCTAGCCCAAATTTGCCGGCAATTCTTCCAGCAAAATATCGAATTTTCCAACGAAAAGAAATTGCTGGCAAAATCCGAGCAAAATATCGAATTTACAGAGGATCCGGGTGTGTTTTGGCAATTTTATTCAAATTTCGTTGGTTTCATTGGACCAACGTCGTGCTGAAATAGCTCGTGCAGGTTGTCAGGGGTACATAAATTTGAAATCATGCTCCAAAATCCGTAATACTGACACAATTATAAGTTTTGCTTTCCTCATCAGAGTCACCATCCATTTTTACCAAAGTAGACGGTTCATTCGAAGCTATTTTTGCCACAAAGCAGGAGCAAAATGGAGCAAAATATCGGAAATGAAAGGCAATGCCTAGCAAAATATGGAAAGTGATCGGGCAAAATTTGCCGGCAAAAAATCGAAGCGCCCCGAGCAAATTTGGGCTAGGCCTACCCTGCAGGCACGGTGACCAGGTGACTGGTGTACGCAGGAGCACGTGACCGCTTGTTCAACCATGTTCGATTGGGAATAAAGGAGGAACGCTGCATCGCAGCCTTTTCGGACCAAAACCAGTCAACTCAGTGTCCAAAAGACTACAACATATGGGCCAATGGCGGTCATCCGTGCTTTTATAAGAACGAAATGGCGCTTTTAGTGACATTTTGCATACAAATCCCCATCTAGTAGGGCGCAGTCACCCAGTTTCGGTGGAAGTGCGCGAGTTCGATTGGGAATAAAGGAGGAAGGGAGCGTCTCAGCTTCCTCGGACCAAGACCATTCGACTCAGCACCCCGAAGACTAAAACTGGTGAAAATTTGATTTTAGGGTAAACTTCCCCTTTAATACCATACTCTACAGTTCTACTCATCAGGGAGTCGTAAAATACCTATATATTTTACGACTCCCTGGTTCTACTCATCAGCTCAGCAGGCCTAGCGCCTGGGACAGTACTAGTCAGTAGTGACTTTTTTTGTAGTGTGGACTGTATGAATACATGTGCTGTGCACATGTGTGTTTTGGGCAAAAGACCTTCTACTCCAGTGGAAAAAAATACTTCCGATTATCATGATGTGCACCAGGCCAGGGAGTACTCCCTGATGTACACAATCTTCTGATCATGTCTGGCGTTGCAAGTACGAAGAAATATAACCACCGGAGAAAAACACCGACAGAGTGCAAGAACGATGCAAACCCAATATTTAAAGGAAGCAAAATTAACCAAGAGTACGTTATGTACTCCTGCTTGTACAGTGAAACCTGTCTAAGACGACCGCTCAAGGGACCTTCAAAATGTGGTCTCTGTAACCAGGTGGTCTGCTTATCCAGGGTCATTTCACTGGAAATAGCATCCCTTGATCCTGGTTTCAGTGGTCTTCTTATCCGAGTGGTCGCCTCGACAGGTTTTACAGTACTGTATTTTCGGCAATACTGGCCAAGGCGTGTACTGTAATAGTTTATTGTTCTCATATCCGTCCCGAATGGGACTCACAACGGCAGAATTGACTATGAGCATGTGTGTGTGAGAGAGTGGGAAAACGAAATGAAAAAGAGAGTCTTGAATCAGAGGTCAAATTTAAGAAGAGCAGTACTAGACTACCGTATCATCTCTAATATAAGCACCAGCATCTTCGCTCTCATTCTGGGCTTGTACATTTGCATGCCGGTACAGGTGCACTGTGAACACAGCATTTAACACATGTGAAGGAAAAAAACTGGTGCTCTCTGCTTTCAGCCGGGCACCACGTTCTTGGGTTTTACTAGAACCTGCCATCATGCACAATACAAGCTAGCATCTATAGACTGAACAGGTTAGTATTCGTCTACCAGCAGCACATGATCACGTGCAAAGTGAAATTCTCGGTACCGTACACATGGTAGACAAGTCAGTTGACCGTGGACTTGGGTGAATATGCATAGGAGGATGACTGCAGGTCCCTGCGGCAGAGTGGCCCTTCTTCCGAGGAGGGAACATCACCAGGGTGCTGCTGTAGGGCAGCACCCTACATGTACAGTTGTGCTCAGTGAAATTCGACCCAAACTGCATATTTGGCACCCTCAACTTGCACGGCCCTTGACACCCTGGAAGTGGTACGAATGCTGCTACAGTGATGTAATCGGAACTGGTCCACGGGGTCAGTTTTGCACTTCGGGTCGGATTTCAGTGAGCGCAACTGTGTTACACTTCTTTGGCTGCACTTCTCCCAGGCTAAGAAGTGAGTCACCGGGTGAAACACCCACACCGGGACCCCATTCTACTATACTACACTGCACAAGCACAGACATGGCAGGAAAGGCATGCATGCCGTTACATGTACGCTAGTTGCACACATTGGTATCGTTTGGTACTGAGAAATCCCACTTCATCACTTCTAGTAGCATGACTGTACGCATATAGTTGTGGCCAAAGAAATCCCACCCACGAGTCAAAAGTAGCGCTGTATTTCCATTTCAAATTCATCATGAACGCTCCGAAAATCGATCTGAGGGCCGCATGTGCCTTGGCGCTACTTTCGGCACGTGGGTCGGATTTCCTTGGCCATGGCTGTACTTAAAAACCATGTTGCCTCATCGGTGAGGTTGGCCCCATACAGTCACATACACTGCTTAGATCTCACTGATCACTGAACCTCAGCACTGGTATCATTATTCATTGTTAAAAGCTAAAATGTACAGAACGTGGTGGCATTATGCGTCAATATTAGGTTGCAGTCCAACATCATTGATACGCACTGTGGTCATATGTTGTCGAAGGCCTCGTTTCCGCCGGTAGCGTTTTCTTCTCTTGAAGAGGTAGCGAATCTTCTTTGCACCAATCACCTGTTCAATTACGGTGCCAGTCACCTGAACGAGTCGAGGGCTTAGCATGGGTGTGCCAAGCAAGGTGAAGTCTTTAGTGCCAGCTAAAAGAACTTTGTTGAACACTATGTGAGATCCTGGCGCACAGTGCATTTTATTGGTGACGATCACGTCTCCATTGGTCACTTTGTATTGCCTGCCAGATGTATGTATAACACAGAAAGCCCGTCCTGTCGTTCCAGTAGCGATGGCATTGTTGGCCTTCTCAATGTTCTGCCCAGGCTTGAAAAGAGGTCTAGCAGAGACTACCTCCGTATTGTCCATCAGCGTACTAACAGCTCGGCATCGTGGCACCCAGGCCAACGAGCGTCTCAGCATGTTCATCTTCAATTGCCAGCCAGCTCAGTGAAGTTAGTTGCAGCAAACAAACTAGAGATGTTTGAAGACGATCAATAGAATCAGATATTCTCGTGATCGAAACAAAAACAACTTTTACAATCGACAAAAAAATTCTAGCCTGGCAAAAAAACATTAATTATTTTTAATAATGCGCTAAAAAACGCTTGTGCATGTACTGTCACGTGACTCATATTCATAATGAGCACTTTTTAAAGGGGCACTCCGGCTTCATTTTCGACGCCGAGTTTTCGATGCCAAGACGAAGGTTGGTGAAAGAGAAGACCCCTCGAACAAGAACGAGTCTCCAGAAGCGATCGAGTCGAGCAGGAAGACGACTTTTGAATTTCGGCCGAGCGAGCGCTGATGACGTAATGAGGGATTAGCTTGCCAGTGGAAATGCATCTGCGCACATACATTTCACATACTTTTTGGCCAATTTTCAATCGAAGAGGAGGTTGTTTTCTATGTTCTCTCAACGTCGTGAGCGATCCCGTCTTCTATACCCTTCCAGGTACCCTGAAGGTCCTCCAGAGGAGAATTTATCTCCAGCAAAGCGTTGTTGATCCGCTAAATTCGTCTCGAGACATATTCACCCAGTGCAGTGCTGACAAATGTAGAATGTTGAATCTGTGATAATTGTCGACGATGGACAGAAAGGTTGATAGCCGCTGTCGCAGGGAAAGTGAAGCTGCTGGAAGTAACAACGGGGAGCTTGTTAGCATCACTTGATCAAAGCAGCTAGACGGAATCGGGGAGTACTGAATATTTGTCTCGCCCTCAGTTTAGTGAATTTTATGATCAGAAAATTTTTCGATCAGGATCCCTTCTACAAGATGTGTAGTACAGGTGATTTCTGAACTTGACGATACGGAGACCGACCAGTAGACCTACCAACAACGTGTACCTGCAGGAAATTCACCCAAGGCTATTGCTAATGCTATCCTCTTCAGTGGCTGTTGTTTTTTTAGTAAAAATATGTTCACTTCTCTCAACATATTCCTGCATGGCAGCAAGAAGGTGCGCTATGGAATTCAACGCCACAATCTTCGCCCAGCTGTGGATGAAGCATGGTCAAGTCATGGCAGTACATATACTTGAACCAGATGAGAAATTGAAGTTCATTTGTGATGTGAAGTTTGACAGCCCCAGTGACCGAGTAAAGCGTTGTCTTTTGCCGTGGCACAAATTGTTGAAGAATCCGAGATGTTCTTGGAATTATGCACATGGATACTACCAGAAATAATGGTGGCATGAACCATTGTGGAATGGGACAGCTCACGGAGAATACTGGAATAGCTCAAGTATCTCTTGGCGATTGTAAATCCTGTTCTGGCTGATAGCTTCGGTCTGCTGCGCCCGTCCATGTACAATGATGGGAACATGCATTTCTGTTTTCTACATATTTGCTATCTACTGTACTGTGGTATTACAGTTGCAGGTCCCTTATATAGAAATATGTTCACCCCCCCCCCCCCCCCCCCCCACATACCCACATAAATATGAACTAACAATTTCACTGTTGGACTCGCCGGTGGCTAGAGAGCAAAGGATTAATTTATAGCAAAGAAAAGGACCAGGGAACTACAAGTTACGCTATAATGTCCACGAACTATTTCACTGTATTTGAAATAATTTTGTTTGATACCCTGAGAACTCTGAAACTTTGCAGCACTGTGGATTATATGTGGATACAACATTTATGGAAGGAACACATAGTTCAAATAATTATAGCACTGGATTGTTGAGATTGTGAGCACATTCCAATCAGTACTCTACATATTTATAAGCGGTGGCAATCGTTAGGAATAGGTCGTGAGTTGTCAGAGTGCTCTAGTATATGAGAGAATGTTTTGTTTGTCTAATCGACGGCTCGTTTGAAGCCAGAGTTGTTTGAACTTGCTTCAGTCGACTTGATCCTAGACAGTAGTCGAAGGAGTACAATGAAGTATACACCAGGCGTAGTCTGTAAGGTATCTCGTGAGAATTCTGTCGGTACACATCAGGTATCAGCTTGCAAAGAAGGCTCCTCTCTGTTTCTTGAAAGCCTGTATAGTTGGACTGTGGCTCCAGCGATTCCCTTCTCAGAGCAGGTACCATACCCAATACGGTCAATGCATATTGGACAAACCTGTGTGCACAACAGAAATAGTGGAGAGAAATCTCTCAGCTCATGAACACATCAGTGAAGTTTGAACTGCCGTTGTTTGTGGCCATCAGTATAAACCTATCGACAATAAGAATAATGTGCAAAAAACCCTCTATAACTACAGCTGGGGCCATGGAATTATAAAGCATCTAACTTAGGGAACTGCCAATTCTGGTCGGAGTTGCGTTCGAGGCCTGCAATTCATGATGGCTATTGTATGTTGCATTGACCAGAGATCATATAAAACTTCCATGCCACATTGAAACACGCACTACTTTCGAGTACTTTGGTATCCCCCACCAAATGGGCATTCGTTCCCGGGGTGGCAGGCGTCACCATTCGTTATGCCTGGATCAGATTTCATTGACCCCAACTGTCATGAAGAATCATTTTTACTTCGACTGGATTTCAGTACAAGTTAGTTGTAGAACTGCAGAATAAATTTTGTTGTATTTGGGCAACCATTTCTCTACAAACGCTCTATTTGGAAAAGATTTTTTTAATAAAAATTAATACATGTCCAAATTCCACATTTACCCAAATCGGAATACTTGATCACGTATTCAGTCCTACACGGAATGTTTAGAAAACGCCAGGGAATAGGAATTTGCTAACGAGAACTCCAGGCCAGGGTACTAGCATACGAACAAAACAAGATAAAAACTCACCAGTATACTTGTAGTAATTCATGTCGGTGTAATATTCACGATAAGCAACGAGGCACCCTCCGATTTGGTCAAGCTGCTTTGAAGTCTGGTTGTTCAGGTGATACAAACGGGCTCCCTGTTGTTACTTCCAGCAGCTTCACTCTCCCTGCGACAGCGGCTATCAGCCTCTCTCTCCATCGTCGACAATTATCACAGATTCAACATTCTACATTTATCAGCACTGCACTGGGTGAATATGTCTCGAGACGAATTTAGCGGATCAACAACGCTTTGATGGAGATAAATTCTCCTCTGGAGGACCTTCAGGGTACCTGGAAGGGTATAGAAGACGGGATCGCTCACGGCGTTGGGAGAACATAGCAAACAACCTCTTCTTCGATTGAAAATTGGCCAATAAGTTGTGAAATGTATGTGCGCAGATGCATTTCCACTGGCAAGCTAATCCCTCATTACGTCATCAGCGCTCGCTCGGCCGAAATTCAAAAGTCGTCTTCCTGCTCGACTCGATCGCTTCTGGAGACTCGTTCTTGTTCGAGGTGTCTTCTCTTTCACCTACCTTCGTCTTGGCATCGAAAACTCGGCGTCGAAAATGAAGCCGGAGTGCCCCTTTAATTAAAGGGGAACTACACCCAAAAATCAAAACTTCATGGTCCGTAGAGTTTTGGACGCTGAGTCGAATGGTGAAGGTCCCACTTCGATCCGACCAAGCGATTATATCAGTTTGCAATTGTCCTTTTCGGGTCCGTGCCGTGACGTCACAAACCCGTGACGTCATTGAGACTTGGTGATCCTTTGGCCAGATCCAGAAACACTGGGATTTCGCATCTTCTTTCTGTTTGTCCATGGAAGAAGAGGGTATTTGTGTCATCATGGCTTCTGGCTGTGTTGTTGGCTACTATAATCTTACTGGTAACCCCCCTGGGATGAACCTGCACTAATTTCCGAAGGATTGTGCTTGGCACAGGCCGAGCAGTGCACCATAGCAGCTATCAAGCGACATAATTATTTGCTTGACAATTTCGGGACTACAATGTAAATCCTTCGCGTGTGTTCCAGCCATTTGGCAGAGGAGGATTTTCAGGAGGAATATTATGCACTCATCCGATGCGGACGCTGGTGGATGAAACTGTGGTGTGTCCTTTTTCGCACGCCACACTGTGAAGCGTCAGTCGAAAAGCGGAGGTAAGTGCAATATTTCAAAAACACTAGCTACTGTATGTAGTTCTTTCTTTTCCAAAGCATTTGTAGAATTGTTTTGGACTACATCACTACGAAATGTGAAGCTTTCCGAAACCGGCTTGATGAGGTGGACGGCAGTAGATCTCCTGTTTCCCTAGGCTATACTGCGTGCGATCGATGAACCTGTCTGCGATTGCTGTTCTTGATTTTACAGGAAGAAGATCAAGATCGGCTGCACCATCGGTCGCAGTGACTCACTGTTGAGCTACGACCACTGCCACCGCCCCAAGGTTATAGGAAGGACTGTTTGCAGCGCCAGCGCCTCTAGCTGGCATGTTTTTTTCCTGTATGAACACTCAGTATGTACTGCTGATAAGGTACATCACGCAATGACCCGCAGTTCAAGGAGAGAAGATAGTCCACATACCGGCAACAGTGTACACCTATTCGGGAACTCGTTGGGTTTTCTCAGCATGGATGCAGATGAGAGCCAGACATTATTTTTATTATTGTGTGTATGCGTGCAAGCGCGCGAATGTGTGTGTGCGCGCGCACGCGCGTGAGTGTGCGCGCACGAGCGCGAGTGTGCGCGTGCGAGCGTGAGTGTGTGCGCGCGCCCGTGAGTGAGTGTGCGCGCACGTGAGTGTGTTTGCGCGCATGCGCGTGAGAGACAGACATTATTATTATTGTGTGTGGGGGTGCACGCGCGTGAGTGTGTGTGTTTGCGCGCACGCGCGTGAGAGACAGACATTATTATTGTGTGTGTGGGTGCACGCGCGTGAGTGTGTGTGTGCGCGCGCACGCGCGTGACACTGAGTGTGTGTGCGCTGCACGCGCGTGAGTGTGTGTGTTTGCGCGCACGCGCGTGAGAGACAGACATTATTATTGTGTGTGTGGGTGCACGCGCGTGAGTGTGTGTGTGCGCGCGCACGCGCGTGACACTGAGTGTGTGTGCGCGCACTTGCGTGAGTGTGCGTGCACATGCGTGTGCTTTTGTGAAATGTGATTATAACATTCCAAAGATATTCATGTCATCTATTCTGTGTTCTCCTTTATGTCATTCTCTCCCCCTTGCGGGAGGGACATGGAATGACAAGTAGTAGATGCATTGCCGTTAGTGATCCTGAGGAATGTGTGCGTGTGTAACCAAGTGCATGAGTGCGCGCATGTGTGCGTGCACGAGCATGTGCACAGGCACTTGTATGCTTATGCAGTCGTGTGCGCACGCGCTTGTGAAATTGCGTGTCTGCGTGCGTGAGCATGTGTGACTACTATACTATGTGCCCACCAAGGTGAGCACATGTGCGTGCGTGTGTGTGGGGCGCAGGCGGATATGTGCACACATTTTAGAATGATAATCAAGAAGGACAGAGCTGTTCCGGTAATGCAGTCATGAGACACCACAGTAGGGCAAAACGCACTCAATATGCTACTGTGCTGCTGCTGCTAGAGTGCACAGCGTAATTGTTGGTACACACAGCTACGTGAAATACAAGAGAACGTATCAGCATTCATTTCGCCACAATACGAATTGAGGTGCAGTCCACTTGTGTGAGATAAAGCACAAGTGAACCGATACACATTGCACGACTTGCACGGAGATAATACTAGCCATGTTACGCAGCAAACTCCATGTACAGGAGTACGAGTGAGGAGACTATTGCTCTGAGTACTGTGCGAATACAAAATTTCACACAATTTACGATATGAAGAGAACGATTCGATTTGTGAGCATTACGTAGGACTATACTGTGAAAACACTTACGGATTGTCAGGCTTGTCTGAGCTGCTTTGGCTGCCGCTTCATTTCGAAATAGCCCAGCCAACCGGTTGCTAGATGTTGCTGATGGAGAGCGACTTCTCCAATTGCAGTAATTTCTGCTTCATCCACATTTACAGTCCGAATGGAAGCCACCGCTTGCGCTGCCATATCCTTTCCTGAAAATTTCGGCTCGTGCCTGAAGCCAAACATTTTCAGCTCAGGCTCTGAGCTTTCAAGCTCGTCTGATACGCGTATACGTCGGAATCGCTCATGGTGAGGACGTCTTTGTCAGAACTATTCCTTTCACATACCAAAATACCTGTACTTCTGAGCTTGGCCCAAGCAAGCAAGTCTCAATGACGTAGAAGGGCGTGTTGGGGGTGTGTCGCGGCCGCATGACGTCATGGCGCGTCCCCCGAAAGTACAATTTGAACCGAAGATATCTCAGGAACGCTTGGTCGGATCGAAGTGGGACCTTCACCATTCGACTCAGCGTCCAAAACTCTACGGACCATGAAGTTTTGATTTTTGGGTGTAGTTCCCCTTTAAAGGGGAACTCCACGAAAAAATGAAAATTTGATAGCCTGTAGAGTTTCGGGCGCTGAGTCGAATGGTCTTGGTCCGAAGTCTCTACGAGAAAGCGTTCTTGAGATATTTCAATTTTAGCCACGCCCCATACCAATGTATGTGTGACGTCATTGTGGCATGGTGCGAAAATACTTGGATTTTGAATCTCACTTTCTTCAGGACGAAAGTCACTTCAGAAAGTAGTTTGCCAAGTCGCCTGAGCCGCTGCAATGCCAAATTGTTGTGTTGTTGATTGTGCCAGTATCACATCATCCTCCTGGGGTTAGTTTTCTCAGATTCCCAAAGGATGGAGACCTGGCAAAGCGCCGAGATGTTGCAATGCGTCGTGAAAATTTCAAGCCTATTTTTGTAGCACGAGCTATGTTTGCTCGCTGCATTTATGATCCAGAGGGACTTGAGAGCTGAGTTTTGACGAGTACGCCGTCCAGGAAAGCCCTCATCAGTGTACCAGTGCCCTCCGAACCGTGAGCCTCCAGCAAAGCGAACTCAACAAGCTGCAACTGAGAAAGCAGGGCGAGATACGTCCCATCAGGATCAGAAGAGTACATCACACCATCAACTCCGACTGCAGCTAGCTGATGAACGATATTACCCCAGTAACTTTGCGCATACCAGTACTCAAACTGTGCACATCTGTCATCAACTGGGACGCAAACAGACAGACCCCCAGCAAGTACGAAGGTTACAGAACTGTTTGCTTGCGATGTGCAGGCAGCATGCACGACGAACTGTCTCACCAATCCTGCCAAACTGAACCAGTGTAAGTTGATTGCGTGGATATGTCTCTATTTATAACAGCTACCCTACTTCTAGGCATGGTTGCATGAATACCATATCACTCAGAGCAGTTGTTAGAAGTCTGGACAGCCTAGGAATAGTGCAAGCAAAGTGAAACAAAAAATTATTACACTCCGAGTTCCACGCTTGCGGGATCACCAGGCCAAAAAAAAATCCAATTTCGAACAAGGAATGGGTTCTGGTTGTATGCGAAAGAAAAGTAAGTGAAGACCTATTGTGCAAGGAATACAGTGGGAACTACACATATTATACACATGCACTCACACCTTCACCCACATGCGCGCGCGCGTGTGCGTGCACACACAAACACAACAACACACACACATACGCACCCACATACTCAAACTCACTCCCACGCACGCTAGCCTAAGGATAGTACATATGCTGTAGTAGTGGTGTACTTAGTGAAATGACTATGTGTACATCTAATGATGCCGCCACTCCACGCCAGAAGACAACAAACATCTGCTGAACATTTTTGCTCCCGTCTCTTATGGACAACACAGGGAATGAAACGAACAATGCAATTGAGAACAAGAGTCGTCCTGTACGGTGAAGTTTCCATTTTCTCATACAGCAGTATATTGTCTAAGCAAGTGTGTTTTCTCCACATTCTTTTTGCCATGCAGGTATATCACAGTGTCCTGCCAAACTTCATTCTCAAACGCATTCGTTTCTCAATTCTGGGGATGATTGGACACGCACATCTCGCAGCTCTTGACGACGTCAATGTCAACCGTCGCCACAGCACAACCAAAAAGACCAATAATTATTTTCAAAACGAAACTCCGTCAAACCCACCCACAAACGAAAACATTTCGTTTTGAAAATATTATTGGTGACCTTGGACGGCCCCTAACGAAGACTGGCCAAATAGAAATTATACGACAGAAAGAGCTATGAGTATGTTGACAAGCTCATGTGTGAGGTGGTAGCGGTTGCAAATGGCAACCTCGATGTTCCTGCCTTGGAGAAGCGAGTTTCCCTGCCAAATTCCAGGTGGAAGCCTCCTGAGAAGGCTGAGGTGGTGCAGAATTTGGATATCTTTGCCTGATGGTATTCACAACGCAGGCTGGAAGACGACAACGAACGTGCTTGCCCAATTTGCCGTGTACATAGTGTGTACTGCCTGTGTGCCGCATAGCGTAGAGATCTACACAAACACAGAATGTCATATGGAATGTGTATGATGAGTGCTTCGTGCTTGTACACATACCACATTGCTGTACCGTAATAATTATTATAGTCAAATACTTATTTACTCTACATATGCGCTGTATTGCACCTACCGGTACCTACCTGCACTTTCAGTGCGCGCGCCATACTAATTTAGTGTCCACTGGTACAAAGATGGAGGGTCTTGTAGAATTTACCATAATTGCTGATTTCAAATTGAATTCCAATGATCTGGGGGATGAATACTGATTAGGACGCGTTCGATTACCTACTAGTACAGAGATGTCTTGGTCAGAAAGTACAGATTTCTTACTCTCCTGCCAGAATTTGTGCATTATTTTGGTGTACACTTTCTTGACCCCACGCTTGTACGTTGCATGCCATGGTATACTAGAAAACGAGTTTATTGACAAAGTCTATCGCTTGAAACGATAAAGTATGGGTTCGGGTGTGATCAAATGCACCCATGGTGCTCATAAACTGTGTGCAGTGCTCTCTTCACCAACAGAACACTACCTACCATACTTCGTAGATCTCGTACCAATCCAAGGGAAAATGACAAAGACAAATGTGAGTCATGCATGAAAACTTGTGATAGCCGCGGCACTACAGTACAGAACACGTTGCAACGTTGTTCGTGCTATGCCTGACAACAATAAGTTACACACAAAACATTACGCGCATCGATCCTCACAAGATAAGTCAAGACATACTCGGAGCAAAGAGAAATTTGTTTGTGTCATGCATGAAACTTGTGATAACTACCCGTACAATGTCTTTCTTGTGCGACGCCTACTGTAGTGCGCCTGACAACAATAAATTTCCCCAAAAAAATAAGAATAAGTGTATCATGCTGATACGCGCTTCTCACAAGACAAGTCAAGGCAAACTAATTGAGGCTTACCTAATGTCAGACTCTTCTGTCACTGGCATTGGCGGCTTCTGCATGTCGAGATAACCTCGAAGAGCAGTGATGGGCACAGCCTAATGCAAGGATACGATCTCGTAATCTGCGAGGTCCGCTACGCAAGAAACCTTGGGCCGTCTTGTCGACAACGACGGCAGCATCCTACCAGCAAAACCATTCCCGCAGGCTGGGCATGGCTATACACTTTTGTCCACGCTCGCACCAGTCGGAGTCCCAAACGAATCGAGATTCTGGTGGCCAAGCTACTCGTCTTCTGTCGGACGCAGCTGCTGAAGCATCTTCTTCCTCAACATTTGTTACACGCGATGGCAGCTCCTCAGCAGAGTATCTGGGCTCCCTGCCCCAACCATACGCGGCGGTGGGCTGTTGGTCCGACCGTCGTCCTCACTGGCCTCAGCATCGCTGCCTTCATTGCTGGGGACAGAGGATTGTTCGGAATCGCCCATCTTCCCTTGAAATACCAACTAAAATTAGTGCTTGTAGATTGGCGAAGAGAAACGACTTTGCCACAATGACGTAGGCAGCCCGTGATGATGTAACCAAATGGCCGCATGACGTCAGGGCGCGGCCCCCGTTTTTGCAATTTCAAAGTGAAATATCTCAAGAACGCTTCGTCGTAGAGGCTTCGGACCAAGACCATTCGACTCAGCGCCCGAAACTATACATAGGCACTTCAGTCACGTGACAGGACCTGTCAAAATTCGCTAAGGTGAGAGTGCGTACTTGCGTGGCACCAGTCAAGTGCATGCGCAAAACTGCACAGGTACGCGCTATGCTTCGTTGTACGGGCTGATAGTTGGGCGCATCGTGTTGCTCTGACGTTCAGCTTTCGGTAGATCCCGCATACGTCATAGTGCGTACATTTTTGCGAGTTGTAGATCACGTACACTTCCAGCAAAGTGTTTTTTCACAAAGAACTGTTGTTTGCTCGCGTTTGAAACGTTGCTTATCGTCTTCAGCGTCGTCTTTCCATTCGGAAACAGTAGAGTTCTTGTTTACCAGGGTTTGCGCATCGCTGCGCAAGGAGACATTATGGACGTAGGCACTGAGAAGTATGCGCTTTAGGCGGAGGAGAACGACGATGCGTCGTCCTACCTGGGCGAATTCTCAAAGCGTACTGAGAGCCAAATTTTGACACGGTTGCACTGGAAGGCCTACTGATGTTTACGAACAATCAAAAGGCACAGTGGCTGCCGGAGAAACCCTCCGATGAGGGGATGCTTTGATATACGCAGCCAGGCACGCTTCACCGAAATTTCAAAGCTCACCAGCAGGCAATTCATGACTGCTGCATGGCGCAGTTCAAGGAGAGGGAGGCAGATATCACACCATGGAAAGAAGCTACCAACAGAGGTCCTGAGGAACTTCTTGCCAACTTGGAATCACTTGAAGTGGCATGACTGTGGGCACGAATGTCCTCTGCAGTAATTCGAGCGCGCGCGCGTACTTACCCTCCACTTTGCTGTGTACGGCAATGGAAGTTCTCTGTTGTTTTTGTGCCAGAAGAATGTCTTTATAGCTCTTACGCTTTAGTACCCGCAGGAGCCTGCCAGTATGTCGTTATCAGTTCATTTTACAGCAAACTGAAGCTGTTACTATGGGTTACTATGGCGTTGCTATGGGTTGCTATGGAGTTGCTATAGTGATTGCGGTCACAATTGCCGTATTCTTGACTATTCTGAACTTTGATCTGTATTGTTTCGATCCATACATGGTTGTTGGTGTAAGTGAGTGATGTGTGCTTGAAAAAAACACTCTGATGTTTTGTGACTATATCCACTGCTAATACTTCAGAGATGCTGTTGGTGCCACAAATTGTATTGATTTCGCCTTATGCAACTGCCTATCTTCAACCCTTCATATCTGAGTGGTATCACTGTGGATTTCAACGAGAGAGCTTGGAAGCTCAGGGCCCTACGCTATGCTTTTTTGCCTAGCTCATCGTACATGTTATTAGAAGTGATGGAAATGTTTTTTTTCCGTTGATTGGCCACATCTCACACGCATCTGCTGTCATGTACAATCCTGTAGAGCCTTTGTAGTCACAGATACGGGACAGATACGGGACAGATACGGGACAGCTACGGGATAGCGCCAGGCGTGACACAAACAAACACACAAACAAACACCAAATTAAAGCTGTGTGGACCCTGGCTAGCGCCAGACGTTACTGAAGTAACGTCTTCTGCATAGCTACGGGAATAAAATTTTCTTTGTGACCTTGTCATACTCACCACCATCGATTACCGATGATAAACCTGGAAAAAACCCGATTTCAAAAAATGGGGTGAAGTGCCTACTATACAGGCTATCAAAGTTTCATTTCAATAAAATTTTCTTTGTGACCTTGTCATACTCACCACCATCGATTACCGATGATAAACCTGGAAAAAACCCGATTTCAAAAAATGGGGTGAAGTGCCTACTATACAGGCTATCAAAGTTTCATTTTTTCGTGGAGTTCCCCTTTAGGTTTTAGCAGACCGGCTGCGGCGAGACCAGGGCCCGGAGTCGTCAAATACCGGGTACTCAGTATTTGACGATTTCCTGCCTGACAATCAATCCATCCGAGGACGGGCCACCTCACAGCCCATCCTAGGATGGGCATTAGCTACCCTGCCCATCTTAGGATAGGCAAAATCCTTGGACGGGACGGAACATCGACACTACGTTGTAGTATAGCACTCAGGACCTACTCCGAATGGTCCATGATCTACCCGGGTTCTTATTATTTCAGGGACAGATCTACCTGCACTACTTCGAAGTACTATTATTGGAGACTGGTGCTATTATTTTTCCAATGCACCAGTATCAAGCCAACCCCAGCATAAACTGACCATTTGAAGACTGATTTTCTAAACCCTAAACTCAGAAATACCTTCAAAACCGATGTTTCACGATCACATGGCCATCGGTCACCATGCACCAGAAAGGAAGTTACAGTCAACTTTGCGTATAACGACACTCGGCCGGGCATCAGAAAAGTGTCGTTATTCGCGAAGTGTCGTTATAACCGAAGTCTGATTATATATGCATACAGGTGGAATGGACTTTGCTCTGGGCATGGACATTCTGTCGTTATTCGCGAATTGTCGTTATATCCGCAGCCGTTATAAGCAAAGTTGACTGTAGTTATTATTTATTCATATTTTAATAGGGCAGTCCCCACAGACTCAATGTCTTCTTACGGGGTACCCGAAGTACTAGTAGTAGGCCGATAAACCTCCTTACAAACATGTGCTTGGCATGCAGTAGTGCTATTTATGTGCAGTCAAATATACTTGTTGCATACTCGTGGCCCGTGCTACTATTAGAGACTGTGCTCTTATTATTTCAAACAACCCTCACCCCGGGTCATTATTGGAGACTGGGCTATTATTGGAGATCTGGACATTCATTAGAGAAAATACGGTACTGCTACTAGTACACGAGCAGCAGGGGGGTGAATGCACCAACCTATTGAGAGCCGTCCCGCACCCCCAGCTCTTCGAGCAGAAATCTCAAGCCAAATGGTCCTTGCGTACATAAAGAATTGGCAAAGTTTCAGGTACACAAAACGGTGGAACAACAAGCAAAAAGGAGCCCCAGAGGGCGGCCCATCCCCCCCCCCCCCCTCGCCGTCTGTGGGGCTCCATCTCGAAAAAGCGTTGCGGCACAACTCATATGACAGAACACTATTCTTTCAAAATCTGATTTATGTTTTATTTTATAAGAAGAAAAGAGGACCAAATAATTAATTGCAAAAGAGCTACACGTTACGCTATAATATCCACTAACACCTTCAGTTACTTTACAATCAGCTCATGCGATAACAATGCACGACATTGACCTACGGTACTGACGTTCTACACCTAACTGGCAATCAGCTCCAGCACATCTTGAAGGGCACTCCAACAGCCTTCCAACTATTACCAAGAGTACATAACCCCCAAGAGTGTGCAACTGCCTGCACAACCTCTATGTAGTGCTGCGACGGCAGAACTTCACATCACGTGACATGATTCAAAAGGTTACACTGGCAAACAGTGCAAAGTGACCACAAGAGAGTTGTACCCAAAGCTGGGTTGCGTACAACCCTGTATCAATCATGCACAGAGTGCAAATAATGTGTACGGGTTCATCACGTGATGTGAAGTTCTGCCGTCGCAGACCCCATAGCTGGAGTTGCACACTCTTGGGGGTTATGTACTCTTGCTATTACTTGGAAGGTTCTAAGCTATAGAAGTAACATAAGGAGGGGAAGGTGAGCGCAACCAAGACAAGCACGAGCTGAAAGCCTCAGCTGTGAAGGACGTTGGCGGATGTACATGTTATGTCGAGGACGATACTGGTGAGACTATCAGACAAAACGGTCGAACCAAACACGTAGGTTAACATGTAGGCTCCTACGGCTGCGGAGAAGCATGGGCTGAGTTGGACATCACAGCACCGAATCACAGCATAATATTCACAGCACACACTGTGATGAATAAATAGGAATTCTTTCTGTAAAAGTTCGATCAACAGCAGAGGCACTTGCCACCGATAATTGGAGTTGGGCTCAGTACTTTCCCTTCTTCTTCGTACCGTGAACACCTTTCAAAACATCCAGGAGGCTGTCTCTGGACAGTGTCACAAAGCAAAAGAGTGCACATTGACAGACAGCCAAACAATGTACTACGGTATTTACCACTTTGTTGGGCGTTTGCCAAAAAAAAGCAATCCATCCTACAGCACAGTGCAACACGTGTATGAAAAATCATTAAATTGAATTTTGCGAGCGCTCTTGACCACCCACCTCCTGTTTGCATGAGGATGGATTTTTTTATTAATATTTTCGAAAATTACGGAAGACCCCTAAACCAGCATTCGTTTGCCAAACACACGCGCCATAAATACCCAGCATGTGCCAGAGGCAGAACAAAGTGAATTTTAAGTCACGTAATGATAGGACGCCTGGTGAAGGTAGAGTCCAGAACGCTTTCAAATTAAGTGTTGTTGATCAAAACTTACACAGTAACTTTTTCACTTTTCCGCTTAGTTGTCTGCTGCTGCTGTGTACCTGGGGAGAGTGGGTGCACGGAGCTGGAGACACCGGCAGCAGCACCACCACCTGCACGACTACCGCCACCTGTGCCAGGTATGGTGTGCGGTGTTGCAGCAGCAGTCGTCGTCGTCATGTAATGTTGTCGGCGAGCCGCTGCCGTTACTCCGGCCGTCACCGACTGTGGCAGCTGGGTGGTGGGGCCGAGGAGCGCGACCAGGTCGGCAAACAGCCGCTCGCTCTTCCGGTTGATGAACGTGATGGCAGTGCCACGCAAGCCCATGCGACCGGCGCGTCCAGTCTGATGCACGAACTCTGCAATCTTGTTCGGCATGTCAAAGTTGATCACCTGAAGCAGGGGGCAAGAGAAAAAATTAATGATGACAGCAAATCCCATCGTCCACATCTTCCCGCGTGAAGTAAACTCCGGGAATGACATTTTAATTTTTTTCTCATCTGTCATCACAACAGTCATTTTGAGGAGGCCTCAGATCGCCTAGATGCCAAAGGGAAGACTGTTTCACGGGCGAAAGGCTAAAGGGACAAGCCCAACTTTTTTTGCGGATTTTCTGTCATAAAAAATAAACGTCACAGGCTGCTCTTCGTAGGTGTCCGCGTCCCAGCGGTCCGGGCAAGCGACCGCACCTCAGTGGGACACTTGGCCGTGGCTTTTGTACTGCAATCTGTGGGAGAGCCTTTCCAGGGGTAGTACACACCTGGCCTGGGTACCGGGTATGGACGAATCCCTGGTGTTGATCCTTTTTTGTTCCGTTGCTGTTTCTGTTCCCGCCAGCGCCTTTGCTCTAGTAAAACATTGCTGGCTGATAAAGGGTCATTGCTCGTGATGCCAAAGGTGAAGGGAAGCTGGGTTTCTTGCCATTTGCAACTCCCTGTCTCTGAAAATGTAGCTTGTAGCTCCAAGTATGTTAGTTTTTCGACGTGCCAGACCTATTGGTATGAGCTGCAGAGATGAGGAGCAACGAAGGCGTTGGATTGATGCCAATAATGGTGTTTATGGCCGGACAACGCCAGCGGTTTTCACTTGTCAGGAGGACAGTCAAGTTGGAGCAGGCAGATGACAGATTATTAATTTTGGCGCATTTTTTTGCAGAGTGGGTGGCTTGCCGAAGAGAATCATCTCAGTACCTCATGGTTACTAGTATCTGACAAATGCCTCTTATTGCTAGTCTGCATTAGAGCATAGCAGAATTGGTCATGTCACAAGTACTAGTAGTGTCAAGACTTGATGTGCTACGAAACCAGTCCACGGAAACGATGTGACGCCACACAGGAAGCTAAATGGCAAACCAATCAAGTTCTTTGGTAATGAAACCTTTCACCAACGTTGTCCGGTTTCATGCCTAGTGTCACTCACACAAGACCAATGGATGCCACATGTACCTAAAAGATACGCTGTTGATCAACCACAACTCCAATACCACTGAGCAGCGTCTTCTATACAGATCCAATTAGATATTGAAGTATATGAGTCGAAGTTGCTGGTATAGTCTCTCCTAATGACCGCGTATTTGGCATAATTTTCTCTATACTGCACTCTAGAGCTACTTACCTTTTCCGACATTGAACTCAGGCAGTGACCACTCGCCCACAGAATGAGCCAATTGACACAGACACCAAGTACCATGTGCATTTGTCGCAAGAGAGACACGGAAGTTTGCAAGTGCAGTGGATGTACACCCACTGATTTTCTCTTATGCCAACGATATCAGACGTGAAACATATCAAGACTAGCACCGCATTACTGCCCAATTCCGTAATTATAATTATTGCGATGCCTTGTGAAAGGGTTTAGGTTCTCAATGCACACCTGGTCTACGCCACACGGAATACATCGGATGATAATGACCAAGACAGCTGCCTATGTCTCTCTCTTTCCTCTCTCTCTCTCTCTCTCTCTCTCTCTCTCTCTCTCTCTCTCTCTCTCTCTCTCTCTCTCTCTCTCTCTCTCTCTCTCTCTCTCTCTCTCTCTCTCTCTCTCTCTCTCTCTCCCCCCCCCTCTCTCTCTCTCTCTCTCTCTCTCTCTCTCTCTCTCTCTCTCTCTCTCTATCTTCATCTATATCTATCTATCTATCCAATCTGGGGACAGAACTGTTTCGTCCTTTGTGGACTCATTAGCACAGCACAGAGAAATGAGGCCGAACCTGATTGCAATGAAAAATAAATTCCAAAGCCATATTTAAACCAGGGCCGAATATACTGTGCCAAAAATATCTCTCTATCTATCTCTATCTCTTTATCTCCTTGAGGGCACACTGGGTCCCCTGTTTTCGCAATTCTCCACCTATCAACTCCCTTCTGTGTTTGTGTGTGTGTGTGTGCGTGCACGGGTGCAGGGTATATGCGCACATATCTTTCCTTCTCTTCCTGTCTTTACCTGGTTTGTGAATCGGCTTTTTAATCGTATTTTTTTCGGCTCACTGTTTTATGAGTTCACCTCATTATTGCACACAGGCAAGCAGTCAGGCAGCATTACAACAAATCAGCTTTGCTTCACTCCTGTACAGTAGTGTCTACTACACTCTGCTTTCGCCGCATTCGACAACTCTCAGCACTCTAGATCTGTGTGCATTATGCTGCTACCTACTTGTATTATACTACTTCAGTATTAGAAATCCAACGAACGAAATCTCTCGTATCTGTGTGTCTCCACATGTTTCTCTGTCTGTCTGTCTCTCTATTCTATTAATATATCTATCTGTCTGCCTCTCTCTCTCTCTGTGTCTATGTGTCTCTGTCTGTGTCTTGGTTTTTCTGTATGCCTGTCTTTGTCATTCTCTAGCTGTCTGCCTATCTCGTTCTGTCCGTGTGCCTGTCCCTATCTGTCTGTCTGTCCATCTGTCTGTCTGTCTGTCTTCCTTTCTGTTTCTCTGTCTCCATCTGTCTGTCTCTGTTTTTCTGTCTGCTTCTCTTCTTCAGTCTTTCTCTGTGTGTCTCTCTTTGTCCCTCACTCGGTCACTTTTCTCTGTCTCTTTCTTTCTCAGTTTTCTCTCTCTGTTTCTGTGTGTGTGCGTGCGTGTGCGCGTGTCTCTCTCTCTCTCTCTCTCTCTCTCTCTCTCTCTCTCTCTCTCTCTCTCTCTCTCTCTCTCTCTCTCTCTTCTCTTCTTCTCTCTCTCCCCCCCCCCCCTCTCTCTCTCTCTCTCTCTCTCTCTCTCTCTCTCTCTCTCTCTCTCTCTCTCTCTCTCTCTCTCTCTCTCTCTCTCTCTCTCTCTCTCTCTCTCTCTCTCTCTCTCTCTCTCTCTCTCTCTCTCTCTGTGTTTCTCTGAATCTTCGTCTCGGCCTTTCTGTCTGCCTATCTGTGTTTGTCTGTGTAACTCTCCAGCTGTCTCCCTGTCTTGGTCTGTCTCTGCTTGTCTCTCTATGTTTGTCTGTCTTCTTGGCCCTGTACTTATGTCGCTGTTTCTCCGTTTGCTTCTCTTCTGTCTCTCTCTCAGTCTCTGTGTCTTCTTCCTTCTCGATCTGCCTCTCCCTTTCTCAGTTTTTTTCTCACTGTCTCTCCCTAAGGACCCTCTGTCTCTGGCTCTCTGAGTCTTTGTGTCTGTCTCTCCTTTTGTCATTCATTATGTGCGTCCCTCTGTTTCTGTCTCGGTCTTTCTGTGTCTGATTGTCTGTCTCTGTCTGTTTTCTCCTCAGTCTGTGCTTTGTCTCTTTCTCTGTCTGTCGCTCTTTATGCGCAGCATCCCTCTGTTTCTGTCTTTCTGTGTCTGTCTGTCTGTCTCTATCTCTCTACCAGCCGCTGTTCTACACATAATGAAATTGTGTGGCACCGCGCACGTGGCTATGCGTGGGACATTCACACGCACACACACACACACACACACACACACACACACACATCCGTACGCTCGATCATACAAGTACATGTAGTAGTGAAGAATTCACCTCAGACACATTATTAAAACGTTTCTCTCTCTCTCTCTCTCTCTCTCTATGCCTGCCACTGTGCTGCATATACAGTTAGTGAAATTGAATGGCACAGAACACGTACATGACTGTATATTTACGCACACGTGGGGCATTCACGGATGCACCCACACACACCATGTATACGCCCGTCGCAAGAGAAGCACCAAATCTGCAAATGCACACCCACACACACACACACTTGTACGCTCGACCATACAAGTACACACACACACACACACTCATACGCTCGATCATACAAGTACAATGTAGATTATGTAGTAGTGAAGAATTCACATCAGAGACATTAAAACGTCTCTCTCTCTCTCTATGCCTGCCACTGTGCTGCATAATATTATACAGATAGCGAAATTGGTGTGGCACATAACATATACATGACTGTATATTTACCCACGGGCCAAGCGTGGGACATTCACGGATGCACACACACACACACACACACACACCACACCACACACATGGCCTGCAGCAAATACCATTTCATAGCTACAAGACCTTCAAAGAAAGTCATGGTGTCAAGAAGATAGACACGTACAAGGATAATTGTAAAGTATAAATTATATTATACATGTACATGTAGCAGGGATATTCTCAGAGAGTCAAACTACCGCATGAAATGGCAAACGAAAGTCTCAACTTCAGAGAGTAGAGTAGAGAGTAGAGTGGGTGGGTGTGCAGACCAGTGAAGGTCATAACAAATTGATAATAACGTGTAACCAATGCCGGCAATGGATAATGTGTGAGCGACCAAAGAGGCGTACATAGCACTACCTGTACCACCATAAACACACCTTGACCTTGCCCATTGCGTAGCAATGATACCGCATTGTTATTTCTCCAGTCCACGACAGAATGACTGATGGCGTTTCAGGTCGCCGCTTAGACGGAACATGCGGCCGCAGGCGCAACCGTAGCCAGCAGCAGAGGGTGCCTTGTGTGGTCGATGGGCAATGGCACGCCACTCCGGATGGTTCTGGGCTGCATCGTACCATCCACATGTTGGTACCGGTGGCTCAACCGACGCAGAGTCATGCATAACAACGTCCCTCCACCTCTTGCGTGGATCACGCGCGGGGCGCGGGGCAGGCAGTTCACCGAAGAGAACACACTTCGGCAACCGGTGATCTTCCCTCCGTGCCACGTGTCCAAGCCAGCGCAAACGTCATTCCCGTATGATGTGACCAATGTCCTCAGGCACTCCAAGGGTCTTTGCAAGGGCTGAGGACGTTGCGTGGGTCTCCCATTGCTGCCGTCGCGACACTCCAACGATAGATCTGACACATTGATGGTGGAAAAGGTTGAGGTGTCGTAGGTCCGGAGCCTTCGTTGTCCAGGTTGAGGCGCCGTACAGGAGGGTAGAGAGCACCACGGCAACATACACGCGACGACGACACTGCAAACTCAGTGACCGGTTCTCGGATACGGCTTGCTTCAATTGCAAGGAACTAAATATGGCAAGCAAATCGAGGGACATTAGGTGCAAACCTCGTTGTTCTAGTTGTCTAGACTGCACGGGGTCTTGAAAATACTGAGCCTCCACGTTGTATCTGTGTGGCATGTGGCATCCGTTGATCTCGTTTGAGTAGTAGTAGGCATGCACTTAGTAGGCATGCACTGCATTATGTTTTGATGAAAGGTTCGATAGCTGATGAATGGGTTTATCATTTGGCTTCCTGTGTGGGTATTGCTTCTTTGGATTGGTTTGGAGCAATGTTCAGATAGTCCAGGCATCAGGCAAATTTATAATGGCGGTCCAAGCTAGTTGAATATCCGGATCACTTTTTCTCATCTGGTCTACACTCCATCCGCTTGCATCCGTAAGCAATGCAAACGCATTGTCCCTTGCACAGGCACGATTTTGGGAGAGCGTAAAGTGGCAGGACGGATATTCTCGTGAAGTTACAACATGATCTGAGTATAATCGTAGGACATCAAGTCTTGACACTACTTGTGACATGATCAATTCTGCTATGCTCTAATGCAGACTAGCAATAAGAGGCATTTGTCAGATACTAGTAACCATGAGGTACTGAGACGATTCTCTTTAGCAAACCACCCACTCCGCTATAAATGCGCAAATAATCTGGCATCTGCCTGCTCCAACTTGACTGTCCTCTTGACAAGTGAAAATCGCTGGCGTTGTCTGGGCCATAAAAAACATTATTGGCATTAGTCCAACGCCACCCTTGCTCCTCATCTCTGCATCTCGTAACGATAGGTCTGGCACATCGAAATCTAAAACTAAAATACTTGGAGCTCTTATTTGTTCAAGCTATATTTTCAGAGCCAGGAAGTTGCAAATGGCAAGAAACCCAGCTTCTCTTCACCATTGGTATCACGAGCTATGATCATTATCAGTGAGCAACGTTACTAGAGGAAAGTCGCTGGAGTGAACAGAAAGCTTTCCAAGCAGCAACGTTTCTTTCTCAGCAAGAACAAATAAAAATGAAAGGAGCAACACCAAGGATTTGTCTATCCCGGTATGGTACCCGGGTGTGTGTAGCCTCTGGCATGGCAAGGTTCTGCCACAGATTTCCAGTACAACGGCCACGGACAAGTGTCCCGCTGAGATGCGGTCGCTCGCCCGGACCGCTCCGACGCGGACACCTGCGAAGAGCAGCCTGTGACGTTTATTTTTTTATGACAGAAAACTGCAAAAAAAGTTGGGCTTGTCCCTTTAGTCCTACCCGTTTCACGGTGGTGGTGGTAGTAGTAGTGGCGGTGGCGGTGGCGGTGGTGATGGTGGTGGTGATGGTGGTGGTGGTGGTGGTGGTGGTGGTGGTGGTGGTGGTGGTGGTGGTGGTAGTGGCGGCGGTGGTGGTGGTGGTGGGGGGGGGGGGGGGGGGGGGGGGAGAGCAAGCATCTACAGATTGCTGATTGCAGATGGCTATAAAAGACTTGAACCTCACACAAAATAGCATGGCACTTTACTTTCACTTGCCGTGCCAGCTATCAACAATATACTAGTACATGTACTTCGAAGTACTATAATTCCATTCAGTTCGAGTCCACGGAAAAGGAATCAAATATTTTTTTTGGTGAGGTTTCGAAAATTCTTCATTGTGCACTGCACAATGAGCAACCAGTTTGGGGAATAGGAAGGTTTGTCAATTGCTTTGCCAGGATCCGAGTGAGTGACAGTTAAGAGCTGTGTGAATGTGTGCGTATGGCAGCTGGGCAGGGCCCTGCTGCGGAGGCTGAGTGAGCCGTATTGAGAGGCTGAGTGAGCCGTACTGAGAAGCTGAGTGAGCCGTCTGAGTGTGAGAGGCGGAATGCGCCGTATGAGGAGCCTAGTAATACTAAGCCCAAGTCGTGGTGTTGTGATATTGCTGTGCAGAGTGTGCTGAAGAGAACACACGCATACCCAGCCCCATGCGTGTGCACGGCACAGCATAAAGAACATACCAGCTTGACTTGAGGCCAGTCAATGCCACGTCCCAGCAGCGGCGTGGAGACCAGTATGGGGAATTCCCCTCGAGTAAACTGACCGACCAGTTTACTTCTTGTAGGCTGGTCCAGGCCGGCATGGATAGAGCAGGCCGTCAAGTTGCACTTCTACACAGCAAAGGCAAAATGAATGATACAAAAATGTACAGCCACAGTCACTGCAGGTTTCATGAAAGGAAACAATTTTGTTTCGTCTGGCACCGATTCACTCACTCACTTACCCACCCACTCATTCTTTACGACAAAAGAAGAAAAAGAATTGTTTGAAAGCAACACATGCAGTACACTCCCGGAAAGCAGCTTCCTAAAAAGCAGTTCATACTTTTTCTATACGTTCTGTCCGCAGATTGAGTACTTGTACTTGTTCTATATCATGTTCTACATGAAAGCAGAGCTTGCCCCCAAAGAAATCCTTTGTTTTGTGCAATGGACCAATAATTACGAACGGAACTGCCCCTAAGCTCGCGGGTCGGCAATGATTCCATATCCTCAAGCTAAAAATATTATAGCAAAGCACGTGGATAACAACAGTATCGCACTTGGGTCAATACCACTATAATGTATTTAAGCTTCATAGGAACCCAGCTAGATGAATGAACGATGCATCGGGCTGTCTACCTTCACAATGGCATCGGCCAGAAAGTCTGCACCTTGCTGCCTCTCCACAAATATTAACACCGGTGGTCTAAACAACGCATACACATGCATACACATGCATACACATGCACACACACACACACACATGCACACACACACACACACGCACACACACACACACACACACACACACACACACACACACACACACACATACACACACGCGCACACACACACACACACACACGCACACACACAACGTTTCAGTTCTGCTGATGTGACAAAAAAAGATTATTTTAAAAACTAGAGATACATGACTGTACTCATAGAAGCCAACGTGTACAGAGAGTACTTAAAGCAGAATGTTCAACGTAGCACCAGTATCCTGGGGCAGCAACTACAACTAAAACAATAACTTCGAAGTAGTTAACTGGATTTTTGATGATATATGTGCAATTCATTTCGCCCGTACAACGGGCTTTCTTACGAAAACAATGACACAATAGAGCACATGTTTAGAATGGGTAAGGCATTGCACGGGCTAATGAACGGGTAAGGCATTGCACGGGCCAATGAACGGGTAAGGCATTACAAGCGCTAATGAAGTAAGGAATCAGCCTCGGCTACGACACAGGGATTCTTTATACACCCCTGACACATACACACGCACATGTGCACACACACACCACACACACACATACATACACACACATGGATTTTTCGGATTTGCACACGCACACACACATACACACACACACACAAACGCACGCACGCACACACACACACACACACACACACACACACACACATCTAAGACTGGGGTGGCTACTGGTGGGTCGACGCCGGTTCTGTATTTCATAAAAAAAGTTTACATACTGTACTATCGCATAGATAAACCAGTTGCAACTCAACAGCGGCAAGGCAAAAAGAGCCACACATACAGGGTTAGAAGAAGAAAAACTATGCTTTGCCTTGGTCATGCGACGACCCCCAAGTTTGGATAAGAAGTTAGTTCAAGTGGCAATGAGTCGTAATCGCTACTGCTCAATGAACAAATATCTGCATTTTGCTGAGAATGAACCGCTTAATTGAGCCAGGGAAAAATGGCCCGTCCTCTGTACGGCAGCCTGAAGGAGCAGCTAGGGAACCGGGGTATATCCCATCCGATGCTGAGCATTGATGGCGAGGCCATAGGCCCGTACTACGACAAGGTATCTTTCGCCAACTCACAATCATCTCATTGGCGAATACCATACGCTAAACCGTTTTTAGTCTTAACAAATCCAACACGAAACAAATACGCCAAAAAAATGATTGTCCCATCCTGTTTGTGTCTGGTCGGCCAGATAGAGGTTTAAAAGTAGGTTTCTGGTCCTCAAGGAGGTACGTGTTATCAGAGCTCCACTGTATATTGACCGTGAGACCCCCCCCCCCCCCAAACCCGCGCATGCACACACATCACACATACAGAACGTGTAATATTATGCTTACGTGTAGTGCGTCTTATCCCGGAGTATCAAAAACAAAAGGCTTTTCTTTTCAGCCTCATCTCTCCAAATAAGAGTATGCCGGACAGAAGGAGACGGCATATTCGCCTGGGGGAAACACAAGACGTGTGTGTGTGTGTGCGTGTGTGCGTGTGTGTGTGTGTGTGTGTGAGGGGGAGAGAGAGAGAGAGAGAGAGAGAGAGAGAGAGAGAGAGAGAGAGAGAGGAGAGAGAGAGGAGAGAGGAGAGAGAGAAAAGAGAACAGTAATTAAAAGAAAGTGTTGCTGATACTGCTGCTATTGTCGCGCTCATCGCCGTCGATAGTGGCTGCAAACAATGGTGATGAAGAATAACATTGGAATCACTGTAATGCAAGGGTGAGTATCCATGGTTTGAGGCACCATATGCATGCAGGTGAGAGAAAGGAGGGGGAGGAGGTTGTCCCCATTCACTCCCTGGTGCTTGTCTGAAGAGTGCTGAAGTAGAGTAACCCTCTTGCGCATGTTGTACGTAATGTAATGATTGATACGTACTTTCGATATTGATTTCGCTGGTGCACACGTTGGTGCAGTGCTGGTACACGCGCTGGTGCACGCGCTGATGCACGCGCTGGTGCAGCCAGTTGTTTTCCGTTGTACGTGATGCAGCTTGTTGAGGAGAAGGGTTTTCAATATCTTGTGTTCAGTTCTTCTTGCTTCTGGCCTGGTCGAGGTCGTGCTTTTTTCTTCTGTAAACTTCTTGTGCATTTTGGAATTGAAATTAATAATTATAGTCCAACTTATATCCTTGCGCTGGTCTGGTGGTGGATAATTCCACAACAACGTGGTACCGAAACCCGGTTTTGAGTGGACCGTTGGCGCTTTGTGGTTAGGTTCTCGGAGAGTATTAATTTTGTTATTTCACTGCCTGTTTCAGTAGTAATGGCGTCGTCTGCTGGACATTCCTTGTTGCGGCCGTATCGTGGAGGAGATGACGACCTGGAAGCGTTCTTGCTGAAATTCCGCGTGGTGTCACGAATACAGAAATGGACGTCGGAGGCTAAAAGAATGGACCACTTTCCTTTATTCCTAGACAAGGACGCGTTCACTGTTTGGAGTGCGCTGCCGGACGTCGAGCAGACCAGTGAGGAGGTTGTCCATGGTGCGCTCCGAGCCGCTTTCTGCATCACGCCAGCAGAGGCGTATAAGAAGTTTGTGGCCAGAACTCTTCGTCGGGGAGAGAGCGTTGACGTCTACTTGGCCGACTTGAGGAGGTTTCTCCGCCAGAGTGGTCATGTGGAAGCGCGTGACACTTCGTCAGGGAAGTCATGTGACCCAGTGCTCCTGGAGCAGTTTCTGCTCGGCATTCCGCAGGTGCTGGCATGTCAGGTGCGCCTCCAGCATGCCTTGCACTGTATGACTGTGGATCAGTGTGCGGATCAAGTTCGCGTGTTGGTTTCTGCAAGGCAGGTGTCGGCTGCACCAGTACAGGGTGCACGTTCTGCGACATTTGCAGCGACGCCGTCTAGTAGCAGCGGCCCTAGCAAGCGGTCTGTGTTGTGTTACCGGTGTAATAAGGTCGGCCATATTCAGCGGAATTGCCCGCAGCTACCTAAGTCACCAGCATCCGGCGAACCTGTTTGCTATGGTTGCAAGGAGCGAGGCCACGTCCGCAGTGCGTGCCCCCAGCGGAAGAGGTGTGCTGGAGCAGCTGCGAGTGAGGATGTCGGCCATGTCTGCGTCGCGTCGGAGATTGATGGGCCCGCAGTAGCGTTGCCACGGATCTTCTTGCCTGTGAAGCGTTGTGATGCGGTGGCGTTTCGGCGTTGTGTTGCTGCCATCGACTCGTGCTCAACACACACGTTGGTGTCTCGTCAGTTGGCAGAGGACTTGGCACTGGAGGTGACGACGTCAACGCCTGATATCATCACCGTTGACGGCAATACACTCAAGGTATTGGGCTCGGCTGTTCTGGATGTCGAGCGGGTGGACGAGACGGTATTTCTGCCTTTCTCGTCTGTGTCTGTATCAATTGTTCCGGAGTTGAGTGTTGTGAATGCGGATGTGCTTCTGGGCCTCAACCTGATATCGCAGCATGGCGGAGTCGACCTCAAGTACGCGGACTCCAAGCTCGTCGGAGCATCTTTCGGTCAAGCAGCTTCAGCTTCCGCAGATGTGCCCAGTTCGGACGTGCGCAGTGATGATGGTGATTCGCCTCAGCTGCTACGCCATGTTACCGTGGAGCATGACGGGGAAGATGTCATTCTGACCACTGCGGATGGGTCAGTTCGTTGGCGCGCTGATGTTGGCTACTGGGAGCTTACGTGGGCATGGAAAGACGAACCCCCCACGCGTCCAGTCGGGTCAGGCATTGGTGAATATTCCCGGCATAGCCTGTCAACAGACCAGGAGTCACAGTTCTGCGAGGAAGTGGACATGTGGATCCGCAATGGATGGTTGGTACCCCATGACCAAGCAGTCCATGGTGAGCCTGGTGCTGTGTTGCCCTTGTTGGCGGTGGCCCAGACGCACAAGGAGTCCACCCCTGTCCGCCCGTGTTTGGACTACCGGCAACTCAACAAGTTGATTGTGTCGCATCCAGGTTTGGACGTGCCTGTTTGCCAAGAGAAGTTGCGTCAGTGGAGGTCTATTGGCAACGCCGACAGCCGCGTGTTGCTGGACATCAGCAAGGCTTACCTCAACATCCGCATCGCGCCAGCTCTCGCCAAGTTCCAAACGGTCGTCTGGAAGGGCCAGCTGTTTGCAATGGAGAGGATGGGCTTCGGTCTATCGATTGCGCCCAAATTCATGGACATAATCGTCAAGTGGGTCCTCCGTGCGTATGCTGATGTGGACAACTATGTTGACGATTTGTATGTTCCGAAGCCTCGTCTGCGTGCTGTCACCGATCAGTTGTCGCAGTACGGGTTGCCCACCAAGCCAGCGGAGCCAGTCGTCTCTGCTAGGGTACTGCATCTGCAGCTGTCAGAGTCTGCAGATGGCCAAGTGAGGTGGAAGCGTCGTGGTGACGTCATGCCGACCTGTCAGCCCGATGCCATCACACGACGCGAGATTTTCAAGTGGTGTGGCAAGCTGACCAGCCACTATCCCGTCGGCTCCTGGCTGCGCCCAGCGTGCAGTTATCTGAAGCGTCTGTCTAGCCTTCAGCCTGGATGGGATGATCCAGTGTCTCATGAAGTCGTCGCTTGTTGTGCGGAAGTCATTCACCGCCTGCAGACCGATGACCCTGCGCAAGGTGTGTGGTCAGTTCCTGAAGGCGCACAGTGGTCGTTGTGGTGTGATGCTTCGGACATCGCACATGGTGCTGTCATTCAGGCCGATGGTATGATCGTCGAGGATGGCTGCTGGCTGCGGCAGAAGGACGACCGGCGACACATTAACATCGCTGAGCTTGACGCCGTGATCAAGGGATTGAACCTTGCCGTGCAGTGGCAAGTGAAGGAGCTCACGCTATTCACCGATTCCAAGACTGTGGCTGCTTGGTTGCAATCGGTGCTTGGCAATGTGTCTCGTGTTCGCGTCAGCGGCCTGCAGCAGGTACTTGTGCAGCGCCGTCTCCAGATTATCACTGATCTCGTCGCTGTCACGGGCTTGACGGTCAAGGTCCAGTGGATCAGCAGTCAGCAGAACAAGGCGGATCAATTGACGCGTGTTCCCAGCAGCTGGATCCGATGTGGCAAGACGCTCCTTGCTCGGACTGCACCGTCCGTCACCGCTGCGGTGGTGACCGTTGGTCCATCCTCATTGGACAGAGTATCTGCTGCTCAGAATGCAGATCCTCGGATTGTTTCGACTCGCCAGCAAGTCATCGATGGTGACCCAGTTACTGATCCTGCGTTTGTCAAGATAAAGTCACAGCTCGTAGTCCATGATGGTATGCTGTGTCGAAGTGTGAAGTTGCCGCCCAATGATGCAGTCGTCATTCCTGTTATTCCTAGTTCACTCGAGTCCGATGTCGTTCGTGCTGCTCATGTGAACTGTGGTCATGCATCTTGGGAGGGTACATGGCGCTTCCTTCGCTCGAAGTGCTATTTCCCGAACATGGCTGCCCAATGTCAGCAGTTTGTGCGCCACTGTTCGCCGTGTGCTGCTGCCAGCCCAACCAAGGGCGTTTCGGCGGAGGCCAGTCGCCCTGTGGTGGCTGATGGCCCATGGAGTGTTGTAGTAATTGATACTCTGGAACTGGGCGTCGATCAGAGTGGAGAGTACCATTGTGTTCTCGTCTGCATGGATACTTTCACCAAGTGGGTGGAGGTGGTTCCGCTCCGTCAACATGACGCGGCATCAGTGGCCGAGGCATTTGTCGGCCTGTGTACGCGGTGGGGCCCGCCCCGAGTGGTCCGCTGTGATAATGGCACGGAATTCATCAACGCCGTGATGTCATCGCTGTTTGACACGTTTGGTGTGACAGTGCTCAACGGTGCCGTGCGTCATCCCCAATCACAGGGATCTGTTGAGCGATTTAACCGCACTCTCCTCACCCTAATTCGGAAGGTTTTGGATGAGGCTGATGATTGGCGATCTGAGCTGGACGTGTTATTGTATTTCTACCGTATTCGTCCGCACTCTGTCCTCAAGATTTCTCCTATGCGTGCGATGCTTGGCTGGGAGCCCACCAGTGTGCTCTTCTCGGCTAATCCTGGGCTGGGCCGGACTCCATCTGATCTTGAACGCCAGGCTGCCCGGATCCGTGATTTTGTGTAAGCTGAGCTGTCCTCCAAGGACTTTGTTGAGTCTGACGATGATAACTGTCTGTTCGCCGTTGGTGATGCCGTTCTTCTACGTCGTTCCCATCGTCGCCAGAAATGTGAGCCGCCCTATGAGCGTGACTGGGTGGTCATTCACATTGTGTCCCCCTCTACTGTGGTAATTCGCAATGAGGCTGGTGGTGGTGAGAAAGTGGTGAATGTTGAACTGCTGAAGCCTGATGTTGGTGCTGAGGTGTTTGTTGATGTGCCTGCTGCGGATGCTGTTGCTGATGTGCCTGCTGCAGATGCTGTTGCTGATGTGCCTGCTGCGGATGCTGTTGCTGATGTGCCTGCTGCAGATGCTGTTGCTGATGTGCCTGCTGCAGATGCTGTTGTTGATGTGCCAGCTGCGGGTGCTGTCCCTGATGCTGGGTCTCGGTTTGATCCCCGTGATCCTAATTATGTGCCGCTTCGAACCCCTGCCGATGATCCTGCTCCGTATCAGTTTCGCCCATATGGCCTCCGTCAGCGTGGTTCGCTTGCACCCCCTCAGCTCTTCCGTTAGTTCTGCTTTGTGGCGCTATTTAGTATTTGTGGTGGTATTTTCTTTGGCATACCACCAGGGGGAGAGGTGAAGTAGAGTAACCCTCTTGCGCATGTTGTACGTAATGTAATGATTGATACGTACTTTCGATATTGATTTCGCTGGTGCACACGTTGGTGCAGTGCTGGTACACGCGCTGGTGCACGCGCTGATGCACGCGCTGGTGCAGCCAGTTGTTTTCCGTTGTACGTGATGCAGCTTGTTGAGGAGAAGGGTTTTCAATATCTTGTGTTCAGTTCTTCTTGCTTCTGGCCTGGTCAAGGTCGTGCTTTTTTCTTCTGTAAACTTCTTGTGCATTTTGGAATTGAAATTAATAATTATTATAGTCCAACTTATATCCTTGCGCTGGTCTGGTGGTGGATAATTCCACAACAGTGCTGAGTGATTGACTATAAGACCGGCAGCAGCAGTGGTGTGCTTTTTTAAAGTACCGGCACCGTGCAGTCGGCAGATCAAGCGCAGCACCGGTTCTAGCGCAGCATCGGTTCTAGCGCAGCATCGGTTCTAGCGCAGCATCGGTTCGCAGCATCGGTTCGCAGCATCGGTTCTAGCGCAGCATCGGTTCGCAGCATCGGTTCGCAGCATCGGTTCGCAGCATCGGTTCTAGCGCAGCATCGGTTCGCAGCATCGGTTCGCAGCATCGGTTCTAGCGCATCGGTTCGCAGCATCGGTTCTAGCGCAGCATCGGTTCGCAGCATCGGTTCTAGCGCAGCATCGGTTCGCAGCATCGGTTCTAGCGCATCGGTTCGCAGCATCGGTTCTAGCGCATCGGTTCTAGCGCATCGGTTCTAGCGCATCGGTTCTAGCGCATCGGTTCGCAGCATCGGTTCGCAGCATCGGTTCTAGCGCATCGGTTCTAGCGCATCGGTTCTAGCGCATCGGTTCTAGCGCATCGGTTCTAGCGCATCGGTTCGCAGCATCGGTTCGCAGCATCGGTTCGCAGCATCAGTTCGCAGCATCGGTTCGCAGCATCGGTTCTAGTAAAAAACGTAGCTGGCGTGGTGACGTTCTTCAATGCGCAAAACTTCACGATTAAGCTCTGGTCAAATCAGTGCAGGCCTCACCATACCTGTGTACTGATGTGCAACACAGAGATAGCTGCATGACATGCAATGTAGGTACTGTCAGCACGCACACAGTTTCTACACGACCTAATCTCTCTGAAGCACATTCATAGTGCAACAGCAATCCCCAGCCATGAACGCCGCTTTACCTGGCCGACGGTGAGCGTGACAGGATCAGACAGCAGGGTAGACGCGATTTTCTTTAGGTCTTCATTGGTAGTAGCAGAGAACAGCAGTTTTTGAGTGTTGGTCGGAAGACATTCCAGAATAGGCATAACCTGACAAGAAGAAGACATACAATGTAGAGACCGGATTAGCAGCATGTAAAAACCTCCCCAATGCCTCCAAAAGAATCCTCCCCACATAGCATAAGCAATCTCCGAAGGACGGGCACATTTCTCTTCTCCGTCTGACATTTTAAAGCTATGCTTCTAGGACATTTAGCACCATCACATCACATCACATCACCAGCCTGTAACGTACAATAGTTACAGTACACTCCGCCGGCTAATCTGCACTCACCTGATCTTCAAATTCCTTATGCATGATCCTGTCAGCTTCATCGAGGACAACTGCCAGAACGTCGGAGAAGAACTCTTCATCTTCTGCCAGTACAAGACACACCGCACAGCCATCTGACATTAGAAACTGTTCTTCACCATTCACCACCAACATCACAATATACTTGAGAATCAATTTTAAAGAACAGTGACAAATGGCATTGGTGCGAGCAGAGGGCTCTAGATATCAACTAAACTCAACACAGATAGATAGATAGATAGATAGATAGAGAGAGAGAGAGAGAGAGAGAGAGAGAGAGAGAGAGAGAGAGAGAGAGAGAGAGAGAGAGAGAGAGAGAGAGAGAGAGAGAGAGAGAGAGAGAGAGATGCACTACTTGTATTATTAACATTAGAGGTACCAGTAGTACACATACATGTACGTGTACACGGCACGTGAACTTAGTATGCACATTCGTTTACATACGCAGTTCATGTACTTGCACTCACTGATGTGGTCCTTCAGCAGATCATGTAGCTTCCCTGGTGTGGCAATCATAACCTACACACGTCAAGCAGTGTAAAAGAGAGCACTCCCTTCATTCACTGTCCGCTACGTATCAAGGAAATCAAGACAGCGCATCCTACATGTAATTGGAAGTAGAAGCAATCATGAATACAGAAGGTTTCCCCGGCTCCCTATCAAGTGAATTCGGGACACTCTACACAAGAACAGTTCTGTTGCAAGCCAATGCACTGTATGCAACAGTAAGACTACAGAGCTAGCCATAGTGTGCAACTCCGCATGAACCTGTGGCATGGTTTGCTTTTAGATTTATGTCACTTTTTGCCATGTACGAGTAATGCACTGCACATGGTCAACGTTGAATGTTGAATGCATGCACAGCGCAGGATTAGCCGTTACAACGCGCAAAGTGGCATAATGCCGAAAGCGAGTCATGACAGCTGCCTATTGGCAGTTGCACGTCCTGGGCAGCTCTTGCTGTCTTGGGAACAGTCTGATTGTGACAGCAGTGTGTAGTGATGCCCATTCAACACAGCAATGGAACAGTGCTACTTTGTGCGTGTTTGGCCCGCACACCCAGGAATAGCAGAGGATGGAGAGCAAGAGATGTGCACAAACTCCGGTCTGGAGCATGCACAACAAGAACACTTGGAAGCAATGGACATCGACTATACCTGTGCTGCTGTTCGTAAACGGTAGAGCTGGGGCTTGGTGGGAAGACCTCCCACCACAAGAGCCGTGTGGATATTCGGTAAACCTATACACCACACAACAACAGCAGCAACAGAAACAACAGCCAGCAGAGCTCTTGATATTACTATCACTACGTGGGCCCACTGCATTCATCTCACTACGATGTTGGCTCGCTCAACTCATCAGCTCAAGCAGCTACCTTGGGCAAAGCGTTTAGTCTGCACCTCCAGCTGCTGCGCCAGTTCACGTGTACCGGCCAGCACCAACACACGAGCAGCTGCAGTGTCACGACTGTCGTTAGCGATCCTCGCCAGAAGAGGCAGCAAGAAAGCAGCGGCTGTGCATGAAAGAGAAACCACCACCACCACCACCACCACCACCAACAACAACAACAACAACAACATACTGAGAATAAAAATACAACAGCAACAGCAGCAGGCCCAGCAGCAATGTCAAAATAAAACAACAACAAAACTCTCAAAAAGGGCAATGATAACAGTGGGCCGGAGGATAGAAACACGGGGCGACGCTTTCTAAAACACTTCTAATAATATGCAATATGAAGGATGGCCAGACGACAGCGAGGCTGAAGCAAAGCCTTGGACACTTCATCTTGCGCTGTATCGACCCACGAATATTATAGTCCATAATAATAGTCCATGCGTAGCGTTCTTTTCTTCCGCCAGTAGGCAGTATGGGTCTCCGGAAATCCCAGAGGCCTCCCCGGAGCTCCAAGTGGAGTGCAGACTGCAGCTGTGTCACTTGCACGGCGGCGATCCATGGCGGTCACCAGCAGCAAGGCGGCGACGGCGGTCATCATCATCATGGTCCATGCAGTGCACTGGTGAATAGCTGACCAGCCTGAGACGGACGTCTGCCGAGCGAGGAGAAACTGGGAATGCATCCAGGCAGTGGGAGCAGTGAGGGTGGGTAATACGTCCAGTTACCTCGAGCGGAAGCTCCATTGAAAAGTCTAAGCTTGGAACCAGCAGATCACTTACTTTTCCCAGAACCAGGTGGTGCTGCTGCTAAGACATGGCGACCCTGCAGAATCAATGGCAACGCTTGCATTTGAACTGGAGTGGGCGACTCTATTCCAGCCTCCCTGACATTGTCTAGTACTGCAGACGCAAGGGCAGATGCAAGGGCAGATGCACGCATACACGCGCACACATACATGTATGTACGTACAGTCGTACACGCATGTTGTCAACGCATACACAGGCACACACATACATGCACATACAGGTGCAGGCACAGACACATGCACACACACACACACGCACACACACAGACACGCACACACACGCACACACACAGACCCATAACCCTATCTGCAGTATCAGCAAAATCTGATTAGCAGTGGCGACGTGACAACCCTTCACATGCCTGTGTTTGTTAGCTAAACCCAGTTTGCATCAGAACAACATTCATCACCTAAACACACACGACCTAAGTAGGAACGCTATGGCTACAAAGGAAACACGATTTTTTAATTAATTCCAGTTCACAGGAAGGTGTGCTAACAGGTGGTAAATGAAATCCAACCCCAGCCTCATGAAAAGAACAGCTCCAATAGTCCCCCACCAATACTACGTGTATGTGAAGCTAGCACTACAAACACCAGGCAGTGCTATGAGGACAGGCATATGACTGGCAATTATAAGCATGATATTGATGTGTCATAACAGGTCAACATAGAGGATGAGACTACTGAGCAAAGACTATGCAATAGTCATCTTCTAGAAAGGATGGAGGTCCAATGGTGAGAAAAAGAAAGAAAGGGTGAGAAAAGGCATAGTGTTCACATGCTAGATGCTAGCAAGCGAGTTAACGCAACAGAATATTGCTACAAGCGAGTTAACGCAACAGAATATTGCTACAAGCGAGTTAACGCAACAGAATATTGCTACAAGCGAGTTAACGCAACAGAATATTGCTACAAACGAGTTAACGCAACAGAATATTGCTACAAAGAGTTAACGCAACAGAATATTGCTACAAACGAGTTAACGCAACAGAATATTGCTACAAGCGAGTTAACGCAACAGAATATTGCTACAAGCGAGTTAACGCAACAGAATATTGCTACAAAGAGTTAACGCAACAGAATATTGCTACAAAGAGTTAACGCAACAGAATATTGCTACAAACGAGTTAACGCAACAGAATATTGCTACAAAGAGTTAACGCAACAGAATATTGCTACAAACGAGTTAACGCAACAGAATATTGCTACAAGCGAGTTAACGCAACAGAATATTGCTACAAGCGAGTTAACGCAACAGAATATTGCTACAAGCGAGTTAACGCAACAGAATATTGCTACAAACGAGTTAACGCAACAGAATATTGCTACAAACGAGTTAACGCAACAGAATATTGCTACAAGCGAGTTAACGCAACAGAATATTGCTACAAGCGAGTTAAAGGGGAAGTATACCCTAAAATCAAATTTTCACCAGTTGTAGTCTTCGGGGTGCTGAGTCGAATGGTCTTGGTCCGAGGAAGCTGAGACGCTCCCTTCCTACTTGAATCCCAATCGAACTGGCGCACTTCCACCGAAACTGGGTGACTGCGCCCTACTAGATGGGGATTTGTATGCAAAATGTCACTAAAAGCGCCATTTCGTTCTTATAAAAGCGTGGATGACCGCGATTGGCCCATATGTTGTAGTCTTTTGGACGCTGAGTCGACTGGTTTTGGTCCGAAAAGGCTGCGATGCAGCGTTCCTCCTTTATTCCCAATCGAACATGGTTGAACAAGCGGTCACGTGCTCCTGCGTACACCAGTCACCTGGTCACCGTGCCTGCAGGGTACAACTTACTAGCCTGTTTGACCTTTTTTGGGTGCAGTCCTGTCACTCGAGTTGAACTCGAGTTGAACCTTGGTGTGAAAGTTGTCGCCTGCTGGCGCGGTGACCAGGTGATTTGGGCACCCAGGAGCACGTGACCACTTGTTCAACCATGTTCGATTGGGAATAAAGGAGGAACGCTGCATCGCAGCCTTTTCGGACCAAAACCAGTCGACTCAGCGTCCAAAAGACTACAACATATGGGCCAATCGCGGTCATCCACGCTTTTATAAGAACGAAATGGCGCTTTTAGTGACATTTTGCATACAAATCCCCATCTAGTAGGGCGCAGTCACCCAGTTTCGGTGGAAGTGCGCGAGTTCGATTGGGATTCAAGTAGGAAGGGAGCGTCGCAGCTTCCTCGGACCAAGACCATTCGACTCAGCACCCAGAAAACTACAACTGGTGAAAATTTGATTTTAGGGTATACTTCCCCTTTAACGCAACAGAATATTGCTACAAACGAGTTAACGCAACAGAATATTGCTACTTGGTCCGCCCAGTTAAAATTGGCGCTTATCTTCTCACTTGGTTTTTTGGTGTTCTGCCTGTGCCACACGGCATGGAACCACCGATTCACCATCCGAACATGACCATTGACCATTGCATCCGACGACATGGCAGCACAAACCATCACAGAAGTTGCGATCGGTTCGTTTGAGTCTTTTTGACGGAGCTGCCGCCGACGAACACTTCCGTCAGCGCAAGAAAACACTGCAACCTCCGCTCGAGTCCGTAAAATAGGTCAGGATGTTCGCATTTCAGAGCGATGGAGAATACAGTTTCTGTCTACTTCCAGCTGTCTGATGGCAAGAATTGTTTGTCCCGGGGAGGTATAGAAAAGCTGAAAAAGCGCTTCGCGAGCTTGAATTTTAGTGCTTGCACAGTACAGCGCCTAGTGAAGGGCTATCACCAGCAAATCGCTGACGAAGAAACTGCAGCTCATGTCGATGTATCCAGTAAGTGAGACCAATCCGGCGGACACACTTTGAAGCTCACAGAGGACAGGGCAAAGGAGCTAATCAAAGGAAACACCAAGTCCTGAGAGAAACACTCGTGCAAAGGACTTTCAGGAAACTAGCCGAAAAGCCTGGTGCACGGCGTTGTAGGTGCAGTACGCACAGGTGCTACATCAAGTGGAAGCTATCACTGCGCTGCATGTACAAGCACCAGCGGCTCGCGTGGGCACGGGTGCTGATCAGCAAGTACGACAAGCGCAAGAGGCGATTTGAAAAAAGGACACTGATATGGCGTTGCCTTTTTGTCTCAAACAAAGTCGCCTTATTGCGACGAACGGGGATAACACTTACAGTCAACATGCGGGCAGTCTCACTCAGCTTCTGATGGGAAGGTGACAGGCACGCACTGCCTTTGAGCGTGATTCGAGACGAGGAGAAGTGGAACAAGCTATGAAACGACCCGTGCAGCAGCTGTCCGGATCGTACGTTTTGAGCTCTTCCTCCAGCGACGATAGTGGCGAGGAGGATGTGTAACTTGCTTGAATTTTCGACTGAGTTGCTTACTGACATGTAAATAATCATGTATATAGTGCTTTGTGATCGTGGCTTGCTTCAAATATTCGTATTTCTTTCCTGAGACAAGTGTGAAGATAAGCGCCAATTTTAACTGGGCGGACCAAGTACAAGCGAGTTAACGCAACAGAATATTGCTACAAGCGAGTTAACGCAACAGAATATTGCTACAAACGAGTTAACGCAACAGAATATTGCTACAAACGAGTTAACGCAACAGAATATTGCTACAAGCGAGTTAACGCAACAGAATATTGCTACAAGCGAGTTAACGCAACAGAATATTGCTACAAACGAGTTAACGCAACAGAATATTGCTACAAACGAGTTAACGCAACAGAATATTGCTACAAACGAGTTAACGCAACAGAATATTGCTACAAGCGAGTTAACGCAACAGAATATTGCTACAAGCGAGTTAACGCAACAGAATATTGCTACAAGCGAGTTAACGCAACAGAATATTGCTACAAGCGAGTTAACGCAACAGAATATTGCTACAAACGAGTTAACGCAACAGAATATTGCTACAAGCGAGTTAACGCAACAGAATATTGCTACAAGCGAGTTAACGCAACAGAATATTGCTACAAACGAGTTAACGCAACAGAATATTGCTACAAGCGAGTTAACGCAACAGAATATTGCTACAAACGAGTTAACGCAACAGAATATTGCTACAAGCGAGTTAACGCAACAGAATATTGCTACAAGCGAGTTAACGCAACAGAATATTGCTACAAGCGAGTTAACACAACAGAATATTGCTACAAGCGAGTTAACACAACAGAATATTGCTACAAACGGATTGTCTACTACATGTACTCTCTTACACTTCTCTGGAAAAATATCAGCGGCGTCCGAAAACTCAACAAAAGGCGGAGGAATATTCCTGCCAACAACGTCTAGTTGAAGCTAAGCACACACAGACACAGACACACAGACACAGACACAGACGCAGAAACACACAGACACACACAGACACACATGTACGCATACAAATGTGCATATCCACATAGAAACAGACAGACAGACACACACACGCACACACACGCACACACATACACACACACACACACACACACACACATACACACATACACACACACACACACACACACACACACACACACACACCATTGGACCATTGGACGCCCATCACCTCTGATGATAGCGATGCTACATCAGAAGCCATAGCAGCTTGTGCTGGGATTGCACCATTCAACAGCTTGCAAGGCTGAAGAATTGACCGCCACACACACACACACAAACACACACACACACACATACACACACGGGCACTCGTACGTGTAATGTGTACATTTGCTAGTAATCAATGACTTACTAGCAAGTGTACACATTACACGTACGAGTGCCCGTGTGTGTATGTGTGTGTGTGTGTGTGCGCGCGTGCGCGTGTGTGTGTGTGTGTGTGTGTGTGTGTGTGTGTGTGTGTGTGTCTGTCTGTCTGGCGGGCATCTGCCGTTGTGCCGAGCCTCGGCGGTCCTTCCCATGACCAATCTCAACGGGTGGACTGTCTTATCTGCCACCGTTCGTTTCGCCGGCCAGGTGACAAAGCAAGGCACAAGTGTAGCGCAGAGCGAAATCTCCCCATCCAGGATCAGCGTGGTGCTGTGCAGTGTGGTACATGCAGGAGGTGGTTTCATTCTCGTGGTGGCTTGCGTGTGCATCATTGTTTGCCCCTGAAACCATCGGAAGCGTCCGCGCCAGCATCATCTATTCCGCTCAACGCCCCAGCTTCTCTCTTGTGTGTGACATGCCATCGGCAATTCAAGTCAGTGCCTGGTTTCAGACGTCACAAGTGCGACCGTGGCCATCGAGCAACCAAGTCTGACAGAGTAGCATATGGTGTTTGCTGTTCTCGCTGCAACCGTCAGTTCCGTCGACAGAGTGACCTGAGTCGTCATCTCCGTTTCTGCTTGTGACAATGACTCTGGCTCCTTTCGGAGTGGTGTGGCCCTTGTGGCAACCAAGCTACAGTAGTAGTAGTAGTAGTAGTAGTAGTAGTAGTAGTAGTAGTAGTAGTAGTAGTAGTAGTAGTAGTAGTAGTAGTAGTAGTAGTAGTGTGTGTGTGTGTGTGTTGTGCGTGCACGCGTGTGTTTGTGTGTGTGTGTGTGTGTGTATGTGTGTGTGTACGTGTGTGTGTGTGTGTGTGTGTGTGTGTGCGCGCGTTTGCGTATGTATGAGTGCATCTGTGCATGAGTATGTCTGCATATCTCCAGTGGATGTGTGCCCATCTCTTCATAAAACAATTCTTTTACAGTACTAGTGTGTCCGCGAATGGTCTGAATGATGGAGTGTGAATGGGTGTTCAACCACTAATGCCCAAGTGTATCAGAAAGCTACAAGTCCATACCTCACTCCTGATCGCTTCAATTTGCCGCTTGCTGAGAAAAGCTCCCGGGCATTGTAGCTCGGCACTTTCCACTGCTGGTGTACTATCCGGTGGCTGTACAGCTGGTGTACTAGCCGGTGGCTGTACAGCATATAATTGAAACGCACACACACCGTAAAGTCGCGGATAAAAGCCGGGCTTATAAGCACATAAGCTGCTTTCTGCATCAGGCTTTAATGCAAACCAGGCTTGTATGCAAACCATGCTTATATGCACCACTGATATTTTTGCCAGGCTTGTATGCACGTAGAAGCCAGGCTTCTACGCGCGACACGCGTAGATCTACCACTGACTACCGGTATGGCGGCAGTTTTACTATGCACCGTACATAGCGCATGCACTCTTGACCTACCCGATCCGCGCTTGCATAGAAACCAGGCTTCTACGCGCGACAGGCATATTATGCATTTGACCATTGTGATTTTCAGGCTTCTATCCGCGATGTGCTTGTATGCAAACCCGGCTTTTATCCGCGACTTTACGGTACACACACACACACACACACACACACACACACACGGGCGCGCACGCACACACACACATACATACACACACACACACGCGCGCGCGCGCACACACACACACACACACGCGTGCGTGCGCATGCACACACGCAAGCACACATTGGACACTTGAGCTGAGTGAACCCTACGGATACTCGAGAAACTTTTCTTTGGCTGAACCTTCAATGCATGTCCTTTCTTACATGAACTGTTCTACACCCATGGAAAATTTCGATCCGACTGCTGCGCGAAAATCCACGTTTTTCACATGTTTCATGAAACACCGCATTAGGACCAATCCGTTGGGGAATTGCAAGCTGGTGTACCGAGACGTAACAAGGTCAAAACAGCTAGTTAGCTGTCTGGAGATTGAGTAGTGATCGTACATGCCGTCTAATAGTTACAACTCAGCATGGTGCGTTGGTAAGCACAAGTGCTGCCGTGTAGACAGTAGGCCAGTGGGTCCCGGTGGCAAGGACTACCCTTGTTAATTACAAGTGCTGCCGTGTAGACAGCAGGCCAGTGGGTCCCGGTGGCAAGGACTACCCTTGGTAATCACAAGTGCTGCCGTGTAGACAGTAGGCCAGTGGGTCCCGGTGGCAAGGACCACCCTTGGTAATCACAAGTGCTGCCGTGTAGACAGTAGGCCAGTGGGTCCCGGTGGCAAGGACTACCCTTGGTAATCACAAGTGCTGCCGTGTAGACAGTAGGCCAGTGGGTCCCGGTGGCAAGGACTACCCTTGGTAATCACAAGTGCTGCCGTGTAGACAGTAGGCCAGTGGGTCCCGGTGGCAAGGACTACCCTTGGTAATCACAAGTGCTGCCGTGTAGACAGTAGGCCAGTGGGTCCCGGTGGCAAGGACTACCCTTGGTAATCACAAGTGCTGCCGTGTAGACAGTAGGCCAGTGGGTCCCGGTGGCAAGGACTACCCTGCACTGTACTGTAGGGCTCACACCTGGCGTGTGCTGCCAGGAAAACTGTCAGACAGTCACAAGTCGGCGCAGGGCGGCAGTATGCAAAGGTCGAGTGTTGTGAAACTTGATCAGTATCATTTTCTGCATATTGAGCGCCACAACTTGTCGCATTTCAAAGCAATTTGCCGCATTTATTGCCGCAACTTCTTTGATTTCACCCCACTTTTGCCTATTTTCTGAGAAATTCTTCCGCGATTTTCCACGGGGACAGACTGTAGCCACTTCATCTTGCGCACGGCACTACACACAACCCAGAAGTTGTGAAAACGGTCTCTCGGCTACAAATTGTACAATAGAACAGTATAATATCCTATTTTTCGGATATTAAATATGAAATGAACTGCATGCATGCCAGGACTGTGGGGTTGAGGCAGCAATCCCTGCCATGCAGCAAGCATTCAACCAGGAGGATGCTGAGACCGTCTTAACACATACCGGTATGCCCGTACGAAATCTCCTCTACCTGCACCACTCACTGTAGCCAAGATCAAGCAAGCAGAAGTCAAATGGCTAAGGTACGCTCAACACGACAACTTTGAAGATGTTTTTCAGGTATTGACGAATGGAAAGGCGAATGGCCTGATCAACAAGTATGGTTTCATTCAAGACGAGAATGACCTTCTTCAGTGCAATGGACGAATGCAGAATGCACCGCTATCAGCTGAGTCACTGCAACCAATCCTTCTGTCTGGAAGAAGTCCACTCCGCCAATTTATCGTTGCTGATACGCATCGGAAGTTACTCCACGGTGGAACCAATTCAACACTTGTGGCAGTTCGCAAACGGGACTGGATTACTCGTGGACGGGAAACCGTCGAACTTGCACTTGCACGGTGTAAGATGTGCAAACGATTTGACGGTGGTCCTTTCGCTATGCTTACCATGCCACAGTACCCGAAAGAGAGGGTCACTGGAGGGTCTGTACCGTTCACCACCACTGGAGTAGTTAATGGCTGATGCCACAAACGAGATGCGTGTCTGCGCAACACGCGCCACCTATGCCCATCCCTTTGGACAGCTACCGACAACCTGCAAAGCTGTTTGCTTGGGCCAGCGTGATCACATCGGTATAAGGCACAACCCAGGGTGACCTCATCGCGATGCCTATGTACGCGCTGGGCATCCTGCCTCTCATTCATGCTCTCTCAGCCGAGAGAACAATCCAGATGTGGTTCACGGATGGCTCCTCCGCGGCCGGCAGAGTCTGGTGACCACTACGTGCTTGGTGGGATATTCTACGGCTGAAAGGACCTGGGTATATGTACCTGGCAAATACCAATAAATCAGTCCAGGCCGTCAAGGCCGGTCACCTGAGGAAAGCCGAGGACGCCTTTGCAGGGACCCGGTCACCAGTGTGCAGACCACCTCCGACGGCCACCGGTTTCTAGGTGCAGCGCTTGGATCAGCGGAGTTGGTCCTACATTATCCATCACAGAAGGCAAGCGAGTGGCAAGATGAGATCCTGGCCTTGGCTAGGATTGCTGAATGCCAGCCCGAGGGTGCTTATGCAGCATTCACCCAAGGCATCAAGCATCGCTGGTCCTTCCTTTGCTCAACCATCGAGGGTGCTGCCATCGCTCTTGCCCCGCTGGAAGACACCATCTGTATGGTTCTCATCCCTGCCCTGTGCGGTAAAGCTGTTGACCTAGGTGACCTAGGTTGTTTGTCTTTTTATTTTTCACGGAGAAGGCAGAGAGCCCGAACCTGCACGTGCAGGTCCGCGCACATACCGTGGAAAAGTGGTATTGCGAAGATATTATGAACTTTATAGGAAAGAAAAAGGACCAAGGAGCTACAAATTACCTATACTGTCCACTGACACCACAAGTTACTGGTAGGCTTCCGCGGAATATGCTCGTATTTCTACCGATAATTCCTTTCAGCATCGCTCAAAATTTCGACCGATTCTTCCCGTAATTTCACCAATAATCCTCACAATAATGCTTTTTTCTTCCTTTTTGCAGATACCGTACGCAGTACGGGTATTAGAGAGGTTCCGCATAACGTACTTAGGCCACACCAAGTTATTTCATTGTTTCTCGTCACCTGAAAATCTCAAAAGGAACGCGGGCGGGCGGAAAAAAAACAAAATAGGGTTTGAAAAACAAAAACTGCTATTTACACTACAAAGGCCCAATTTATGACCTAAAATCAGACTATACACCACGCGTGACAGTCAATTGCAACATAAAGCCAGAAAACCAGGCTCCTGCACCGGCCTCTGGTGAGGAAGTCCAGTGTTGCATGTTATTTAAATAGGAAAGAAAGCAAACCAAAGTTATTATACAAGGGGTACATAAAAGAACAGCCAAGTGCGCGCTTGTGTAGCAAAGAAGACGACCAGGTCGTGTGGTGGTGTGGTACTTGAACTACCGGTATGCGTACATACACGGTGCAAAAGTCGTCCTTCGGTTCGTGCACTAGCACTGCACTCCAGATTTGACGCCGCGCGTACTTTTACAACGCCTTTTTATGCGTGTTTACCGGGACGCGAGATTTTTTTTTGGTCCAATCCTCAAGAAAGGTACGCGCGCGGTGACGAGAAACAATGAAAAAACTTGGTGTGGCCTTACGTTAGTAAAAAACGTAGTCGATCTACGGAAAGTCTTACGTAAACTGCATGCGCATCTGGGTTCCGCCATACGGAGTTTTCAAATCACGTAGCTGCCCTTGGCAACTCCGAATGCGACAGTGTACGACCAGATCGACATGGGGAGAGAGTCATAAATTTGTACCCCAATCCACTTACGGACCAGCTACGTTATCAGAGCCCTATCTACGTACTCTCCGTAGACAACTTTCCGTAAGTGGAGTGTAAACTCGCGAATTCACGGGTTTTTCCCGCCCACTAACGCAAAGTTGCTCAACTTTACGTAGTGCGGAACCTCTCTATTGTTGCCACTTGTACAGGCAAAAAAATCATGGTTCACGCGAGACTCGGCTGGAAGCTTTCCTTTCTTTCTTTTTTTGAAAGACAGGGTGAACAACTGCAGGATCACAAGCTTTTTGGTACAAATCAGGGTGTTATAAATGAAAAAATTGAAAAAAAGGGGGCATTGCTCAAATTTTACCGATTATTCCACAAAATTGCCAATAATTCCCGTTTTAAAAATCACACCGATAATTCCCGAAATTATGCTGGCATATTCCACGGAAGCCTAATTACTGGACAATCAGCTCATGTGATAACATCCGAGTCATATTATGAACTGTTTTCTCCTGACGCTTCGTAGCCGAGAGACCGTTTTTAGGTATTGTGTTGTATCATGTGCAAACTGAGTGCATTGTACTCGTTTTCAGTGCTACATGAAAGTCATTTTGCAGACCTGCACAAAATCTCGGCCCCTACTCTGGGGATCCGGGTAACAGTAAGTAACACGACTAATAGGAATAGGATATTCAACATCCGAACAAGCTGTACCTAGCAAGAAAAAAGACTGCAAGAATGCAGTATGAATGGAAGGGAGTGCTGGGCCATGAGCTGCATACCTGTTGAGTGATACCATGTCGGGAGAGGCTCTTGTGTTTACACTCCAAACTACACACATCATCTCCTGTCGCGTCGCAGATGTATTCCCCATACTTTCCACAGATAGCACAGGCTGGTTCTGCTGCATGAGGCCATCTTTGCTGCGCACTGCACTCAACAATTGCTTCCTCCGTTGAAGTTTCTGCCATTGCAACCCGGTACTGTACCCACTCCAAACAAGAACAATCAAGAGTACATGTACATAATGTACTCTTGGTACAATGGCATTTACATTATTTTTTATTACTGGGAATATTGTGTAGTTTTGAAAGGATTGGGTACTAAAAATTTGAACTTTTTTCGAAAATGGATACACCATGTACACGCAGTACTCGCCGAGATCGATCCACGTGGAGCTGCTTCACATGCACGTGGCACTCAAGAGCGCCGATTTTGAAACCAGAGAGACTGTGCACATGTGAGAAAGGAGTCCACTCGTAGATCTACTCCATAACTGATAACGGCATAAGCATAACCAAGCACCATACTAGCACGGGGTCCATAAATTATTTTGTTTCGTTGTTCTTTTTGCTTTGTGCCAACTGAAGCCTCTTGCTTGCGATGCGATGGTGGATCGCTTGTGCTGTGCTTCTTGTGGCAGCAATGCCAGAAAATTGAAGCTGGTATCATGCTTGCACGCGTTATGTGTGGCGTGTTTGGACCAACATGTTGCATTCGATGGAGGCGTCCAGTGTCCCAGGTGCTTCACCAAGACCCCAATACCAACACCAAGGTGCCCAGCGTCTGCGCTACCGGACAGTTATCCAAGGCTAGTGACAGGTGAAAGTACAACTACTAGTACCACTAGTGCCAATCTGCCAGTGCTGTGTGACGATTGCGCTGAGGAGGAACCTGCCACAGCTAGCTGTCCGGAGTGCGGAACCAGTCTTTGTCAGACTCATGCAGCTGCTCACCCTCTCTTTCGAGCTACACGCCATCACAGAGTGGCATCACTGTCTGCTGCCGGTCAGCAGGAGACTGTTGACAGTGTTGCGAGAGTACAGCGTACAGCTCAGCTGCAGCACTATTGTCCTTTACATCCCAGACAAGTGGTGACCAAATACTGTCTTCAATGTCATCAGCTGGCATGTCAACAATGCCTGGACACTGGAGCTCACAGGCAACCAGAGCCAGCCAAACATAAAGTAGTGCCCATCGAACGTGCAGTGCATACCATGCGCCAAAAGGTCGACAACAACATCAACAGCTGCTTGTCGAAGGGAACTGACTCGCTTTCCATGGCTCTGGAGAAGGTAAGGGAGGAGATTGATCATATAAATGAGGATGCTGAGCATGCCTCCGAAGAGATCGTGGAACAATTTGAAAAGCTGAGGACAGCCCTGAACAGTAGAGAAAGCACTCTTCTTGAAGATGTGGATCGACAGAGGAACAGTAAGCTCATACTGCTTGAAGGTCAGGTGACTCGACTGGAAGATGGCCTTCTAATCGGCCAGGCTGCATCGGAAATATCTCGATCCTGCGATGACGACACAGACTTCTTGAAGCTGGCACAGTGGCTAAACAGCGCCCTTGATCGTCGGAAAGATGTACAAGACAAAGATGCAGAGCCATGTACCAGAAGTCAGATTGTATTTGGTCGTGTCAACGTGGAGGAGGTTGCTAGTCTAATTGAGAGCACCGGTATAGTCCAGGATTTCACCAATTTCTCTGAAAGCTTGAAGGTGGATATTGATGATCGCTATGAAGGTGGCAAGCTGCGGCTGCTGATCAAGGGAGCATTGCCACTGGATCTTTCTCCGCAGTGCCTCGATCGTCTCTATTTCCACATTTCCGTCCAGGATGCGGGCAATGAGAAGCTACCCACAACACCACTGCAGCAAACTTCACTGGAACGCCTCGAGTCCATGTGCACATCGCCTTCAGCTGGAGGCCCTGTAACTGTATCAATACAGTACGCAGAAAGGCACTTGCAGAACAGTCCACTCAAGGCCAAAATAAAGCCACAGCCGGTGTTTGATTCGAGCTGGTCTCATGAGGACATCACCATCAGTAATGGAGGCCGTACTATTACTAATAATGAGGGGAGTAATACTAACACAGCGTATACATCACGCCTAACAAAAACCCGCGGTGTCAGCAGTATCAGAGTGAGAATGGACAACACAAGTTTGAGCGACGTGTGGATCTGTGCGTGTTCCGCCAGTAAGCCATCATATCACTGTGTGCATCGTCTGAGGGGGGAGGTATATGGTTGGTGTGGCTACACACCAGATGGAGGTTGCAAAGGTGGGGAACTTTCGCAGCGTTGGAGAAAAGGCGATGTCATCTCTCTGGAGCTTGACCATGACAAGCACACGTTGACCGTGCACCACGAATGCACCGGCCGCAGAAGTGTAATTCAAGGTGTTACTGGTACATTCTGCTGGTATGTAGCGCTGTCTCACCAACACGATCAAGTGACAATTATCTAGACCATCCATCAATGGCTGCTGGACTGTCTGCATCATGCTGAGAGAGAAAGAGAGACAGAGAAAGAGAGAGAGAGAGAGAGAGAGAGAGAGAGAGAGAGAGAGAGAGAGAGAGAGAGAGAGAGAGAGAGAGAGAGAGAGAGAGAGAGAGAGAGAGAGAGAGAGAGAGAGAGAGAGAGAGAGAGAGAGTGGTTAGCCCACTGTCTGAGCAAATGGGCGTGTATTCAGACCCTGTGCGACCGGTGTTTTCACACTGCCCACCCGTCAATGCCCAATGACTGGATAGCTACCCACAAGAAACGAGTTGCAAATTTTAACGACTCGATTCTTGTGGGTAAATTTACGACTCCCATTGTTTCTCAGTGCTAGCATGCTAGCTATCGTTCCACACAACAACGAAAAACAAGTCCAGCATTACTTGGTATGTATATTGGCAGCGCAAGTCGGCCAGGCACTCTAAGCTCATCAAGGCTGATACTGAGGAACAAGTAAAAATAGAGTAGTCAATATACAAAAGTAACAGAACCCTCGACCAGCTGGCTACAAGCAATCTGCCCGTTACTATGTATTCGGCTATCAGCAGCACGCTTCAAGCACGGCATTCGCTTGCACAGAGTATGAACAAAGCATGGGTAGAAAATGAGAAGAAGCCAAAATAACACAACAGCACAATCAGTGGTAACCTCTTTCTAGTAGTAGTGGGCTCCCTAGTGCTGCCTTGCCGAGCCCGATTTGTTTCCCAGACGACGTGGAGAACAGTCTACAAGGAAAGTGCGTAATAGGGGGATTGCAGTCAGTGAAACTAGACAATCTGTACAATCATAGTATGATTTCTCTTTGGCCAGAAGTCACATTGTCATATTCCATAATCTCTCGTCAAAAGAGAAAGCAAATGAACAGCATTCAAATATAGAAATTGTTACAGTCAAAGAAAGCATGCCTGGAACAAAAGAAATCTGTTGGGGTGCCAGCTCCCTGGTCATGCCAGGGGCTGTTGTTGCTAATAGAAAGATGAATAGACTCGGAACAGAGAGGAAGAAAACAGGGAAGGCTGGGTGCATGCAGTAGGATGACTGCGGGTTAGCTCCGGTGGAGGGAATCGTAAATAGACCAGTTGCATATGAAGATGTCCTGCTCGCTCATAGTCAAGCACCATGACTGGACAAACCCAGAGAAGCTGCTGCATTCAGGTGAAGACTTCCAGTCACTGCACAGCCTAGACCGACCGAAGAAGAGCAAAAACTGCACTCATGATACACTGGCGCATGCCACCCGGTAGCCACTCCATGAACTCAATGGACGTTACTTTGAACTTACTTCCCATGTACATGTACAGTTGAATGGGTGACTGCTCAGCGCCCCAACGCACCCGCATGCTCTCACAAGTAAGTCGGCATCCACACACCCACACACTATGCCGTCCCTGCACTTCAGTAGCCACCGGGGATGTACTGCGCCTGCTGCATCTGTGGGTACATGTGCATGGACTGGTGCATGGGCATGCCTGAGTTCGACGTGTTGATACTGGGTGTTACGCCAGTCATTGACGTCATGGCCGATGGGACGTGCGAGTTGTGGCCTCCGGTGCTGCTGTCGGAGCGAATGCGAGTGGCCTGGTACTGGGCACGGGCACTGTTAGAGCGACCAAAACGCCGGCCCCATGACTCCAGTGTCTTTGTCGACCAAATCCAAATGCCCGACGCCAGGCCTACAATCAATACCATGAAGAGCCGCAGCATGAATAGGGCTGGCTTTGCAGGCACACCATCGCAATTCGAACCCTCCGCAGGTCCAGGGTAGCCGGCATTGCACGAACCGTCCATGGGATACTTCCAGCTGGGCTTCTCGCTGTGCTCCACAAACAGGCAGCCGAGGACAACGGCGGTGGGGATTGCATACAGAATGGAGAAGACGGCAACACGCACCATCAGCTTCTCCAGCTTATCCGTGCGGTGGCCGCCGGCTGACTGTCTGATAACACTGCGAATATTGACCAGAGACATGAATCCGTACAGGAAGAGGAGTGCGCCAATGATGAGGTAGACACACAGGGGGCCAATAACAAACCCGGCCAACGACTTATCGTCAAAGTAGCCCACGAAGCAGGCGCCAGTCAACTCGTCGGCATCGACCTTCTTCAGGGCCATGAGCAGAACAGTTTGCACGATGGCAACGCCCCAGGAGAAGACATGGTACTTGAAGAAGTGCTTGCCAATACCCTCTGGTGCCCACTTGAGTGAGGCGGCGAGAAACCAGGTGAAGGCCAGAGTCACCCACCACAGCGCCGCCGCCATCCAGCTGAAGTAGAGCAGGAAGGCTACGATGATGCAGCCGGCGCCGGCCTCGTCGGGCTGTACAGCATAGCCGTCGGCGCATGCAATGTTGTCGCCCACCATCAGGCTGACCAGGTAGCCGAACGAGAACATAACGTAACATCCTGCAGGGACAACAACATACCGTGCACCCGCGCATAGACCAGGATACGTTAGTTAGCCGTGTCAAGTACCACAGCTTAGAAGTGGAAACTGCTCCACCTGACAGAAAACATCCGTAAAATAGATTTCGCTTCCTCGCTATTAACGTATGCAAACTCTGCCATGCTCAGCGTCTGGAACAGTAATTGGTATGCACAAACTCCTTTGATGAATTCCAACTACAGAACAGGCCTGGCCATACACACATGGCTACATGGCTGAAGGGGCACCACTATCGCCCATTGAACACACTATACTTTTTCACACGAGTCTTGGGACAAAAATGAAAAGAATTAGCCTTTCAACAAGGTCATGATGCACGGACAAACATTTCGACCAGAAGAGCTGCATTTCTGTGGAGTTGGGCAACTTATCTACAGACCAAAACCTTTGCTTGCACAATACTGACTCTCCAATGAACAATTTTCAATTTTAGTTCCAGTGATTTATGTGGCTGGCTGTCTTATACCGAAATGACATCATGTCACGCTTCCTCCATATTACATTAGACAGTACTGTACTAGGTTTAGCCAAGTACCCAAGGAGTACAATTTGGTTTCTTTGCGGGGGGGGGGGGGGGGGGTAAACTACGGTAGGGATTTCAGCCAAGTAAACTGAGGAAGTGGCAATATTCTTCTGCACTGGTGGGCTTCTTTCACTCTCTAGAGTAATGAGACCCCCCCCCCCCCCTGAAAGGTCATCTTACGATATGGCCCACAATGGAAGAGCTCAAGTCATTTGCCCCACCAGTTTCCTTTGGAAGGGGTTCTGGAAGCTATCAATCAAGTACAGCTAGGGATATGCACAGCTTCTATAGAGCTCCTGTTGTTATGTAAATCTTTCGGCTAACTTTCATGCAGCATATGAAGTGTGACTTGCCGATGGCGAATTGAATTATTTCAAGAAACAGCACTCAGATTCATCACAAGTTTAGTGGATCAGTACTCATCCATTCTCTCCCCCCCCCCCCCCCCCCCAGTCTTCTGGAGTGCAAATACTTCAAAGTACTAGTTAGACATGACTCAGCATTGGCAAAGGTATCACACTGCCGCATTAATGACTATGTACAGCCTAGTGTAAGCCTACTTCCATTACTTGTAATCACAATCATGTGTTTAGTACCACTACTGCACTGTTCCTGTGCGTGAGTGGCACAGGCCATAGTGTAATACAGAGCATGGCCCTCTGTTTGCAAACTAACTGAGTTCTGACCTGAGCAGATGGTGCTGAGGGAGGGGGGGGGGGGGGCATACACACACTTACTACACGTGTATTGTACAGCTGACCATACAGACGCACCATGGACGCCCATACTAGTACTACTGCCCATGTGCTATCATCCTAAAGTGCTTCTTGTGCGTACATTATCTTCACCATACACTAACGTTAGCTTTCCCAAACAAATGTTGCGCGGCTATTTAAAGTGTCTTATCGTGGCATGATCATAATCATTGTCAGTACTGTGTAATCGTGTACATGTAACGTTAGGACATGCAGACATTCACTCAAGATGTCTGCCTATTTGCAGATTGCAATGACAATATCGTTGCAAACATAACCATCATTATCGAGGTGCAACAATGACCAGGAGTGCAGTATAATTGCACACAAAGCATGTACATCGTGACGTGTACATTCTACAGTGTAGATGTCCAGTAATTACCAAAACTATGCAGCAATGCATAATAATTCTTATTACAGCCGCAGTGAAGAGAACTTGCTTGTACATGTACAGGTTTATGCACTTTCCACCTGGCATTGACTCTAGACTAATCTAGTTCAGGAAACTTCACTTCTCAACTCCAAAAACTAGTTTAGTTGCCATTATTGAACTGACACCCAAAGACTGCCTTTGGAGTTCACTTTCATCCACAACGTGCAAGTCCATGCACAATTTCTTTCATATTGGTATGCATGTACATGTACTTTGAAAATGCTGTTCTCTAGAGTATAATTATGGCTCCTTTGCTGAATCAGCGCGAATAACGTTACACAAACCAACAAAACCGTACACAAGATCCTCATTACAACACCATGCAGGTCACCAGCACCACCCTGCAGCATGGCAAGACACCATCCATTCACGGTATGTGGTTTCACCACCGGCTTGCCACAAACTAACTTGTGGAGGTAAGTGACTGTATGGTACACCCCGTGTCTAGACGTGTCATGTAAAGAAGGTGTCACTAAACAGCACTTCAAGTGCCCAAAGGTGTTTACTACGCGGGTGATTTGTGATGCCTGAAACATAATTCCCTGGACAATTTGAGCAAGAATATTGCCTAGAAGAGGGGACATCTGATGGCAGAGTGTTTTCTTCCCCTGGTACCCGACTCAGTGACTATAGTTCTGCATACAGGACCAAAGCCAGGCAGGTACAGCACTCCATGTCCTAGGCTAGAGCTCCATCACATCCGTACATCATGGAGGATGGCGGGATGATGCGCATAATGCTTGCTGCATCAAAAGAGTACCGGCATGCTTGTTGGACCACAAGTGGACGCATGATTGTCCTGGGGGGTATGAACAAGGACCACTTCCTTCAAGAGCAGATATTACAGCACTTCTCCAGCACTACAAAGTAGCCACTGTGGCACTAAGTGTAAGTCACAGAATAGCATCAGTGGCAGTTGTACTGCTTCACAGCAGTCCACCATTACCACACTGCAACTTGTGTGAGCAGGTGGCCATCCGCAGGTATTTCTACAGTGATCAGGCATCTGCACCCCACACATGTACTAATTTGATAAATAGTACAATAAAGCAAAGTCCTCAATCACTCCACAGAAGTAGATCTATTCTGTACCCACATACTACAATAGTAGACTTACAATAAGAGGCAGTGAAACGGACTGGGGGAATTGTTACAGGCATGCCACTGGCCACAGAAGCCGCCAGAATGGAAAGATTCTATCCCCAGCAGGAATAACTGACCCAGGCTATCACAATAACTATATCAGTGCAATACTTCACTGACAGTGACACAGACCCAGTGCTACTGACTGAGTCTGTAAACAGCTGTGTTGTAGCATGATTGTGCTGGCATGGTTGTGCTCAAGGGTCGGTTGAGTAAATTTAATCACCAGGATCACCTGCCTCTGTGACACCCAAGATCAATATTCTTTTCACCCTGGAAAACTTGAACATTTGCTCATGCGTGGAACTGAAAAGCTTTAGGGAAAATGAATAATGGCTGCCCTTGCCAGGAGCGTACTCACCTGCCAAGTAGATGACAGGTCTCTCTGGGTAGTTGAAGCGCTCACGATCGATGCAGTACGTTGCCACAACCAACACGCTCGACAAGAAGCACAACGTTGCCCAAACACCAACCCAATAGCGCGATGTATCACGATCCTCCTTGCGGTAAAAGTGCTGTTGTCCGCAAGGTATTCTCTTCTTGTTGTATGGTGGCCGTGTCGCGGGCAAATCCGTCGTTGCGATGCCTCCGATCGGTCTTGCCGTACCACCAATCAGGTTCAAACCTGGTCGGGACGTCGGACGAGGAGGAAGAGTATCATTGCCCGCACACAGTTGGTCATCTGTCGACGACTCTGGAAACTTATCACACCTCAGATCTTCGGGCCAGTGGAAACCAAACTGCTGCATGAGGGGCTCGCACTTCGACTTAGCTTGCAAGCAAATGGAGCGACATGGGGGTAGATACTGGGGATAATCGGGCAAACACATCGGCAGATACACGGCACAAACGAAGAATTGCAGCTTATCATAGCAGTTGACCTCGATCAAAGGGAAATACTGATTAGCTATCAGACCCGCATCCTTTTGTGTATTATGTCCAAGCCGATTAGGGAGGAGAGTCGAGTTGTATCCAACGTCTCTGCACGTAGCCACTTGCGTAGCGTCTAGTGGCTCGCAACGTTCGTTCTTGAACGTGTCGTCAAGCGAACTGATGAGATCGTTCTGCGCCCAGCACGCAGGTGCTAACGCGGAAAGTGCGAAGACCAACACAGTCGACACACGGAAGACAACCATCTTCCTTTCGCAAGCGCGCTGCAGACGCGCGTCCCGAAACTGACAGAGGCTCACAAGTCACATAGAGAGAGAGAGCGAGAGAGAGAGAGGTGAACGCTGGGCCAACTCTACTAAAATACTAGTTCTGCGCTGCCCTGAAACAGAATAAACTTGAAAAACACAACTAACAACAGAGCTCAGCCTTTGGCCTGGCACGCGCTCATAGAAAAAACTCTTCAGCCGGTACACTCACAGTGCACTTGCCGACCGACGAAAGGAAGACGGCAAACGAACAAAGGCTAGAAACGGATAGGCACAGCGTACACATGCATGAATTCCCACGATCAAACCAGTGCAATCATCCACCACTGCACCACATGCACTGGGACACCAGGCCAGGCGGGAGGCAGGGCCACCATCTGCTTTTCTAGTCACGAATCGATGTACAAAATCAGTAGATCTACGACTGCATGCATCATCATTGTCACATCATGTGCTGGCCCTGCTGCCGGGCTGAAGTCCAGGCAAGCCACGTAAGTCGTTAGTGAGTGAGGCTAGCCTACAGACTTACTGAGTGGTACAGGCTGTAGCCTGTGTAGGCAGTAGAGAACGGTTTAGACTAGTACTAGTACCGTATTATTATCTCTATTATAATATTAGCACGGTCCTTTATTTTTTCAATGTACATGTACCTCCGCCCCGTGCTATTAATGGAGACGTTCCTTTATTGGAGACTGTTCCATTATTTTTTCAACCTCATTTCAGAGGCATGTTGCCATGGCCAAATTCATGTCAGACACACACATTTCAGGGTTTTTTCGCCGGTACAGATAATGAATTTACACAATGTGCTTGTAATGGAGACTGAGCACTTTATTTTTTGAATGCCACCCCAAGGTGTTCTATTATTGGAGACGTGCTATTATTGGAGACTGTGCTTATAATAGAGATAATACGGTATTATAGTAAGAGTTTTTCAGTGGCAATTGTCATGTCGATGATGATCAGATCGACCAGCTCCACGTACTATGGGACCATGGTGACGGACACTGTAGCTACAACTTACATGTACAAGTACAAGTACAACCCCAAACAGTCAGTGAAACTCTTCGGAACTAATCCACCTCTCCCATCGGATGAGGTTTAAGTTGTGGAGTTTCGTTTTTCTGAAGTCTACCGGTAGTACTGTACAAACACGTATGTAGTTGGGGGGAATTTTTTGCTCGTACTTGGGTGGATGCAAATTTGCGAGCTCCTGACCTTTACTCCTTTTTTCGGTTTCCCGGGGCACTAGGCCCTTGGAACACCAGTATTGTAGCAGTAAATAGTGATATAAATTATAATGGCCGGGAAACTCGACCCCAATACGGACATCGCCGTGCTTACTGATGACGAGCTCAAGGAGCTCATCCAGCGACTGGGACTGGAGTTCCCCAGAAAGGCGAACAGGCCAATGCTGATTGCCCTACTGAGAGGATCCAAGGACTCGGCTCCCGTAAGTCATGCTAACCCTGATGTAGCTAGCCTTTGCGCCGCACTCTCCGAACTTACCGGGGTAGTAAGGGAATTGAAATCAGAGCTAAAGACGATGAAAGATGTGAATGTACAGCTGAGAGATTCCGACAGGGAAATTCAGGCGTTGAAGGACGACGTGCAAAAGCTCCGACGTGAACTGCATGCTGAACAAGATCACCAATCCCGTTTGACCCACGTCCACGCTGACCCTGGGGATACAACTCATCTCAGAACTACTACAAGTAGTACTCTCCCCATGCACTTTAGTATGAGTACCGACGCTACCCCAGACCTGTCACACACATCACCACGTGCACCGGTACAAACACAAGGCCCAGCTGCACAGCTAGAAAATTCGTACGCAGACTCCGCAAGGCAGCCACCAAGGCCGCATGCACCTGGCCACGACAAACGTCCGCAAAAGCCAAACCACCGTAGGGAGGAGACATCGCGGTACACAGCACCGAAAACACCCAAGAGTGCACCTGGACTCGTAGGACGACCCCGTGTGACGGTGTACTACATTGGAAATGTTGACCCGGACTGCGATGCGGATTCAATAGCTGAACACTGCAAGGCACAAGGTGTATCTGTAGTACAAAGCGTCGTGTACACCTCCGTGCACTTTAGAACAGCCTCTGCTCGTATTACAGTCTTGGTCACGGACGCCAAGAAGGTCGCGGAAGAATCGTTCTGGCCTGACGAAGTTGGCCGTACTGTAAGAGAGTGGCGATTTGGTACAGAGGCCTGGGCCACCAAACCCGTTAAAGCATAATAATGGCTCACACCACCGACCCACTCCCCTTGAACCCGCATGCTCAACACACCAATCGGATCAGCAAGAAGCTTAATCCACACGCCGCTCCGTTTCACCCACACACCCACCACCTGACCCAGCACAGTAGTACACTTAACATTGGCCACATCAATATACGCAGTCTACGCCACAAACTGGGTGAAGTTGAAAGCATAATGATAGAACAGCAACTGGATATATTAGCCGTATCCGAGACCTGGCTAGATAACAGTGTCTCTGACCTGGAAGTGCATATCCGTGGAACCATCCTTTACCGTAGAGATAGACCATGCATGACAAGCTGCTCGTGTCTCACAGCATGCGGCCCCTGCAAGAAAGGTGGCGGTGTGTGCCTTTATGTGAAAGAAACCCTCAGAGTTTCCCTGGACGAACGTTACTCACATGATGCCCTAGAGCTTCTTTGCATACGATGTACGCCACAAAGAGGATCCGAGATATTGATCGGCTGCATCTATCGCCCGCCAGGTCAGTCCATTGACTACTGGGACAGTCTTGCTGCAGCTGTAGACTGCGCCGATTGCGAAGAGCTGTACTTGTTGGGAGACCTCAATGTAAACTTCCTGGACAAGCAATCAAGTACCTATAAAGCCCTATACAACACCATCCTCCTGCCCCTTAATCTCTCCAACTTAGTAAACGCCCCTACACGCATTACACGGCAAACCCAAACCTCTATTGACTGCATCCTCACGAATTCGGAAGACGCCACAACCGCCTCAGTCTTTGACTGTGAATTCTCTGACCATCGTATTATCACAACCTCCGTGCCTATCACTTCCCTGCAGCCTGACACGCCAGACCACAAGCCAAGGCAGCCCAGTCGAGACTATAGTTCGTTCTGTATGCAGGAATTCCACAAGTTGCTGAAATCGGTATCCCTACACTCTTTTTCATCCACGAACCCCCACCAAATGGCCGCTGAGTGGGTGAAGAAGTTCAACTGTGCACTGGATGAACTCGCGCCAATTGTCTCACGAAGAGCGGGGAGGCCTACCTCTAAAGTAAGATGCCCTTTCATGACTGAGGAGCTACTGCACATGATACGACAACGCAAAAGTGCCTTCCGCCGATTAAAAGCCTCAGCTTTCCAAGATCCAGTTACTGCACTCCAATTCAGGCAACTGCGCACCCGATCCAACAACCTGTATCGCCAGCTCGGCAACAAATATTTTTCGGAGCTCTGTCAAGACTATGAACAATCTCCTCGGAAGTTCTGGTCGGCGATCAATGGCGTAACAAAACGTAAACCCGCTAAACCCAAAACCTCAGTCGAAGCAGAGACGCTGAATAGATATTTCCATTCAATCGTTCACGACCCCGATGCCTCCTACAACGTACCGCTCGGGCCGGTCTCCTCCACCGATTTGGAGTCGTTCGCATCTGTCACCATTGCGGAAGTAGAACTTCTTCTACTAGACCTGAAGCCGCGCAAAGCCCCGGGTCCAGACAATATACTGCCCTGTCTTGTGAAGTCTGCCGCTTACATTCTTGCCCCATCTCTAGCAATCCTGTTTAATGCCTCCTTTTCTTCTGGTATACTCCCGTCCACGTTCAAAGAAGCGAACATTTGCCCAGTGTTAAAGTCCCAACGCAGTGACAGATCAGACCCGTCCCAGTACCGACCCATATCCCTTAGTAGTGTCATTGCCAAAGCCCTGGAGAAAGTCGTTCTTAGACAGCTCCAGCAGCTATTTGACGACAAGTGCCCATACCATAAAGACCAGTATGGCTTCCGCCGCCATCACTCTACTGCCCAACTCGTCACCAAGGCTGTAAGCCAGTGGACTGCGAGCCGGGATACTGGACACACTACCATGATTGTGTTTTTAGACCTTAGTAAGGCATTCGATCGGGTGAACCACCAGTGCCTCCTCATTTCACTGCAAGCCAAGGGTATTGGAGGGACAGCACTAGCATGGTTCGCCTCATACCTGTATGATCGTCGGCAGAAAGTCACTCTGCCACATGCTACATCCAGAGTCCTCCCAGTTTCGCGTGGAGTCCCGCAAGGTACTGTTCTGGGTCCTGTACTCTTTAATGTCTATATAAGCCACCTCCCTACCATAGCGGATTCCTTCACCTGTTCCCTTCCCATGTTCGCAGATGATATGACCCTCTACCGAAGTGCCCCCTCACTCAAACTGTGTATTGCCTCCGTCATTCCCTGCTTGAATGTACTATGTGACGAGCTACAAAAGCTCCACATGATGATCAATGTTAAAAAGTCAGGTGTTATGATCATTTCCCCCGGCCGAAACCCCACGACGCACCCAAGTGTCATTAGCCTTCAAGGTGAGCCACTTAATTTTGTGACCGAAACTCGTCTCCTTGGTATCCAAGTTCAACTGCCTGTCATGGACCAAGCATATCGATGTAATTGTTAGAAAAGTATCCCAGAAGGTGGGTGTCTTACGTCGCACCTTCCGGCAACTGAGCAAACTTGCACGCCGCCAGTACATCCTGTCTGTCGTTCTTCCTGACATTCTGTACTGCATCTGTTCCTTCGTCACACTCATTACTGCGAAGGATCACAGTCGTCTAGTAAGCGTGTACAATAGAGCTATCCGAGCGGCTTGTGGGGCTTCGAGCCGGGACAGTATTTCTGGTCTTCTGAAAAACCTTGATGTTAAGCCCCTGGACTACTATTTCCTGGTGTCAACTGGGAAGTTCATTTTCATTAATCATATTCTTCGCCCTTTGCCTGTATTTACATCGTTATTCCCAGCCCCGCAATCTACCCGGAGCACGCGTAATCGCGACACACATGATATCCCTTATTTAAAATGCAGAACAACACTCGGTCAAAAATCCTTTGTGCTTCGTGCTGCTCTTTTTTTTTAATGCTCTACCTAATGACTTGAAATCCTCTTTGTTTACCTCTCAGTTCGATCGCGGTTTTAAGCGCTTATTGGATGATCCAGTTTGGTTTGAACGATATCGTGCAATTTTGTTTGACAACGTTGGCAACGTTTAGTCTCTCACCAGCTACATGTATGTATTGCCCAGGTTCATTCAGCATACGTTTT